AACAGAGAAATCTTGTCTCAATACCTCTCAAGCGAGTTAAATCTAATGAAAATTCTTTGCAACAACCCAAACTAATATACTATATCCCATGAACATATGCATTATATTGACATTATATTAGCATTATACCACTTAATCAATTATAAATAAAATTATATATTAATAAATTATATATTCTCAAATGTTATACAGCTTCCACTGCAACGGTTGTTTTAAGATAACTGCTAACACCACTGCAACGGATTAATGTATGCTGCTACATGTGCCGTCCTAATGGTTAACACTTCATGTATTTAAGGTTTAAAATGAATCAAAACTTTTCCAAAATTATTGAACTGCCCCATTGGCCAAAAGGTTAAGGCATCTGCCTCCTAAGTAGAAGACTGTGGGTTCGAGTCCCATGTGGGGTGTTATCAATTATTTTTGAAGCTTTAGTTTTACTTCTTCTGTTGCTTCTGGTGGATAAACTTCCATTCCATTGGATATGCTAGCTTTGCTTTTATTGATTGAGAACTTGAATTTACTTTTTGCATTTTAAAGAGAGAGCGAAGAAACGCCAACGGCAGAAAAACTTTAATGAACAATGGGCAACTTCCCGTCAGTTGCTCAAAACGCAACTTTTGAAAAATACCCTGAAAACAATTCATTTTTTCTTAAAGAAGTTTGATATCGATCCATCATTAGTTGATTCATAGTATTTGCTGTGTTTTACTATATTATATTTTATCCTATATTATCATATCATAGGAAGTTATTGCTGTATATAATGGAATCTACCGAATCCTTAAGATTGCCTACTGATTTGATCAACTTAACAGCGAAAAGGAATAAAAACCAATCATTAAATCCAAAACTGAACTATCCAATTTTTTTAAAAGACTATCCAAATTGGATTAAAGCGAGAGAATCATTAAATAATAATTTAAATGATATTCAAGCTTGGTCCGAATTAATTAATCAAACCAAAAAAATTTTATCAGTCACACCAATAACTGACGATATTAAAAATTTAATTCATAAAACATTTAACGAGTTATTAACTCGATTTCCGTTATTAGTTTATTTTTGGAAACAATATATTCTAATTGATTTCCAATTAAATAACAATGATATTATTTCTTCGATAAATTTATATCAAAGAGCATTAAATGCGTTTCCAAATTCAATCGAATTATGGTTTGATTTCTTAACTATTATAATTAAAAATTTCCAAAAAAATTTTTTAGATGCAATTGAATTGATCCAATTTGAAAAGATTGAGAAAAAAGAAAAATTTGAAAGAGATATTATTATAGAAGTTACAAAAATTCGATCAATTCTAAACAATTCAGTTGAATTATGTGGGTATCAATTTTATTCAGATCCAATTTGGGATAAATATATTGAGTTTGAATTGCTCTTAAATTCTATAATTGAAAAATTAACGACAAAAAAATTTGAATTGAAAAGAGATTTTTATGATGTTTATAAATTCAAATATAATGATAATAACAATAGTAACGAAATCCAACTAAATATTTTAAACATTTATTTAAAATTAATTAGAATTCCTTTACATCAATATGCCAAATACTATACCAAATTTACGAAATTAAAACCATTTTTTGGAATTGAATTGTTATTAAAAAATGATTTGCAAGAAGTTGAAAACTTAATGAAACGAAATTACATTGAAAATATTAACGATTTACCCAAGAATATATCAAATAGTTTTATTGATAATTATTTCAATAAGATTTTTCTAAAGACACAAAATGATGTTAAATTAAGATGGAACTTTGAGAGTAAAATTAAGTATCGAAATTTTAATTTCAATAACTCAATTTCAATACCAGATAATGAATTGAAGAATTTTTTGGATTATTTAAAATTTGAAGAAACAAATGGAGAAAAATCACAAATAGCCTCACTATATGAAAGAATTTTGATACCATGTTGTTACAAAGAACAAATTTGGGTAAACTATATTAAATGGTTTTTAAAAAACTATCCTCAAGATATTAAAAAAATTAAGTTGATTTATGATAAAGCGGTTAACAAATTTCTCCCTATAAACAAGAAATTTTTAAGAGTTAATTATTGTATTTATTTAGAAAAAATCAAGGAATTTGATGATGCGAATGATTGTTATTTATTGTTGATTAAGCATTACAATTTATTAATTGATAATAGGAATGGCAGTTTAAGTATGAATGATAATAATGAAAATATTAAAGATAAAGAAAAAGATAAAGGCAATGCAATTAAATTTGATGAAAATGAGTATAAACAAATGATTAAACGATACTTGAATTTTTTGAAAAGATGGCTAGGAATTGATAAAAATCTTGATAATTTAGAGATAATAATCAATTTATATTTTTCTAAAATTAAAACAGGAGTTACTAATAGCGGAAGTGGTAATAAATCTACAAAATATGGAAAATTGAACAAATTGGATAAAGAATTTGAGCCGTTACTTCAAATTTGTGATGATTACATGATTTGTTTAATTTTGGTGGAATTCATTGAGATAAGTTATTTGATTAGGTATAATACAGGAATCAATGGTGTTAATGGGAATACTGGAGTAAATAATGGAAATACCAACAATAATACTGATAACAATAACAATAACAATAATAATAATAATAATAATGATAATGATAGTAATAATAATAGTAATGTTATTATTAATGAGTATATTAGAAAAATTTATTTGAACTTCTATAAAGAAGAAGTATTAAAAACGTCTATTGAATTCTGGAGAAGTTATTTTAATTTTGAAAAACAATATGGAAATTTTTATAATTTGAGAAAGCTAATAAGATATATTAAGTTAAACACATATTTACCAATAGTGGTAATTAATGATTTTGTTTATCTTTATAGTGAATACTTGTTAAGTAACGCTATAAATTTGAGTAATAACGTTTATGGATGTTACGAGATTGAAGATAATAAAGGGAATAATAGTGGAAATAACAATAATAATACTAATATGAGTGGGAATATTATTAATGGCAACGGTATTAATAATAGTAGTGGTGCAGTGAGTGAAATGAATTCGGTTGGGAATAATGATCCAATGGCATCATTAAGTGTTATATTTAAGGAGATATTAAAAAGCGAATCAGAGATTGAAGGACCATTTTTCCAAAATTATTCACATATCAAGCGAATAAATGGAGTTGAAATGGAGTTAAAACCGCTCATAAGCAACCAGCTCAATTACAATGAAACGTTGGGCAAAGTTCCCAGCCTACCACTATTTAAATATGTGGAAAGCAGAAGTAAATAAAGACTATATAGTGATAAGTAGTAACAAATGCAATGTGTGATCTTTGTGAACTTGGTTTATGGTTTTTGATTTTTGATTTTTGATTTTGAGTCTTGATCTGGATATGATAGATGTTTGAAATTGAACTGATCTGGAAGTGATTTGGAGTAAAATTAGAGTTTGAGCTTCTGCATTTGACTGCACCCATAGCGATGGTCCCGAGCAGAAGTGGAGCCTGGAGTGTGCACAAGGACAACTGCTGCAGAAGATGAACGGGAGTGCGCGCACTACAGGGGCTGCGGACAAAAAGCAAGAGCCCTGCAGAAGCGGGAGGTGGACGCTTACCAAACGTGATCAATGGGATCCGGCCCGTGTCCGTGGGCGGTTTTCCTGGCGGTTTTCCTTGTTTTATCTTGTTTTAACTCATTCGAACTCATTTTCGGAGCACAGGTGAAGTAGTTCAGATAATATTATTATTGTTTGTGCAGTGAATCAATGGGTTAATGGTTTAATGATCTCAGGCCGCTAGTTGTGAAAATGGACTTATAAATCTATGAGATGAAATAACATTTCACAACACCAGTTCACTGCTGTTGAGACTATCCTTGCTGAGATGTTTATACTCAATAGAGCATCTTCAGGTGAGCAAAACAACCAGAAAACAAGATTAGATTTGTATCAACCCAAAGCATACATAAACAACACATTAAACACATTTAGCTAGTTAGAAGAGTAGGAACAGTTCCAGATAGTTCCAGATGGCCTGGAGTGATTCAAAACACATGAATAATTGAGACAAAATAGAAATTTGCTTGAATTCTGATTATGATTCTGATTCTGATTGATAGGCTTATTTTTTTCTTGTTTTTTTCTAGGTGCTTTTCTTTTTAGTGTTTTCAGTGTTTTAAGTGGTTTTAGCGTTTTTGGTGTTTTCTTTTATAGAAGTAGTTTTAAGATTTGGTCAATTACCCTTTATTTCTGTTAGAAGGTTACATAATGGTTGACTATTATTTCATGTTTCTGGAACAAACAAACAAATTTAAAACCAGGACAGTAGTAATTCAATTTGATGTTGCTGCCTAAAAAACCGTAACGAATCGTAGAGTGTAATGATCACAGTGGGATACTCATAGTATGATACTCATAGTATGATAGTATGGGCACTGGATGGGGACGATCAGTAATTCTGTTAAAACTACAAACACAATTATAATTAATTAGCACAGTCTTAGCTTAGTATGCTTTGGCTACTTTAGGATTTGATAGTTTAGGATTTAGATTTTTGTATGGCATGGATAGGGGATGGGATGGAATTGTAGGATGGAATCATTGGGTGGAATCATAGGATGCCTATACATTCAAATAACAAATAACCTTCAAATAACATTAAAATATCATTCAATTAACATCCAAATTACATTCAATAGACACTTCGTAGACACAAAAAGAATCGTAATCATATTGTCGCTTTTCAAATGAAATGACTATTGAAAAAAAGTAATAACAAATAAAAAAGTAGCAGCTACAAAATAGTAAATACTAAGTGGTAGACACAGCAAATAGCAGATATATTGCAAATGAAATTGAAACTTGATAGGTCATTATTATAATATTTCAGTACTTTAATAATTATTAATTTTATTTAATTTTATTTAATTTTATTTAATTTTATTAATAATTTATTACTATGTTTATTTATACTCTTATTCACACTCTTATTCTTATTCGCTATTTCGTCTGTTTTGTAACCTAAATTACTAGCTGCTTGATTTATAACTAATTCTTGATAAAGAGTTATCAAGAATTGCAATTCTAATCCGAATTCCAACAATAAAATTTAAGATTCTATTCATATTGCTACCAATAATATAAAATTACAATTCCTAACGATTTCTTTTGGCTTAACACTATTGACCAGTCCAAATTGGATTCAACGGAAGCTGATCTCCTGAGTCCTACGACAAATCTGAACGAATAAATGTGAATAAAAGCAAATTAAATTCAAACAATCATATTTATTCTTAGCCAGTATCTCAGTTAATCTCAGTTAATATCGTTTGCTCTCCTTGAATCTCACATAGCTCTGCCAACTCAGAGATAACCAAACTGTATTGCCGAAGTGGTCACCATAAAGACCATTCCAAATTCCCTTCTTTCCCTCCTGCCCAACAGTGCCAATCTCTGATTTTCTGTTATTGGGCAACTCTTTTGTCCGATATTTGGTATTACGATTGGTTGTATTTGATGGTATTACAATAGTATCACACCAGTATCACAATCCACAGTAGCTTGCAATTAGCAATGCCATTGCTCTCACTATTGTGTCCTAGTACTGTTCCTATCTTTATCTTCATTAGCTTTTTTTTGTTTTACTCTTCTATTTACCTGTAGTTTTACTTGTAGTTTTACTTGTAGTTATATTTATGTTTATTTTTATTTTTATTTATTTTTATTCTAATTCTTATTCCTATTCTTATTTTTATTCCTATTCTTATTTTGCTTGTTGTGTTTATTTTTAATTTGAATTTAAAAATTTCCACCTGGAAAAACTGCAGCTTGTACAATCTTTGTTAGCACGTAGTGGTGTTGAACTCCTTAAAAAAGAACAAACCAATCCCAAACAAGAGATGTCTTACAGTTGTGCTAGCCAAACAAAAAAACAGCTAAACAGCCAAATCGTAATTGTATTATCGCAGTGCTATTTTGCTTCCCTTTTATAGTCCAATACTTTACTAACATCCTTATTAATATTCTGATTGAGGCTAAACACTGGTACAGTATTTTGCTTTGCAATTCCTTTTTCTGCCGCTAAATCGGTACAGATCACATGATAAAGCCCTACACAAATGAGATATTTTAGCATGGTTATATATGAACACGTGTTTATAAGTTACCCGCTTTGCTGATAAACGCAGGCGAACACAAACCAAGACGAACACAGGCACAGGCGTGTTGAAAGCGACCACGCCTGTTTGTTAACGAGTCAACTCTGATTTGTGTTGGGCATTTCCAGAAAAATAAGCTACTTGAGAAAGAGAGTTTAGATAGTAAAGTGTCCATGATTTAATCCATTAATTATATAGTTATATACCCAGGTTTTTAAAGAGAATTGTAGAGAATAGTAGAGAATAGAGAGAAGAGATAAGAATAGAAAAGAGAAAAATATTGTGGTGAAAAAAATGATGCAAGTTTTGAAAAATAGATTGGTTAAACAGAAAAACTAGTGAAATGAAAATATTTAGTGAAATTAAAATATAGTAAGTAAGCATAACAGGTGTAATTATGATAAATAGTTAAAACTCGATCTGAGGTTACTTGTGATATTAATATCATTGTAATTCAAGTAGTGGATAGGAGTTAGTTTTTGACTGCTATTGAAATTGAAATTGTTTGGAAGAGTTTCCAAGCTCACATTAAGCCCCATGTTAATATTAAGACCCATGTTCATGTTCATTTGATAATTTGGAGTCTCAGGAGTTAAATAGATGTTGCTAATATTGTTATTGATATTAGTATTGTAAGCGCCATTTCTTCTTGGATTCAAATTTTTAGAAGATGATAATGGCAATGAGGTTGAAGATTTTAATTTTGGTAATTTAGAACTATGTTTGGCTCTTAATTTGGTCTTTAAAAGATGAGTTTTGATTAAACTAATCTGATTAATAAGATAGTAATTTGACCAAGATTGAACAGATTTAAAATTATTTAAAATATTGTTTTTGAAAAAGAATTCGTTTAAAAGATATCTTTCCAAAAGATTCAATTTCTTTGAAGGAACTTTGATTAGCAAAGACCAAGTGGTTAAAGTATATGAACAGTCATCAACAATTTTATTTGATAAAATTAAACAAGTGATTAGGATTAAAGAAAGTAAATCATCAGGGTTTTTATATTTGTTGTGGTTGAAATTTTTATTTATAAATGAATTAAATTCTTTTAAATTATCGCTATTGTTCAAATAATTAAATTTAAATTCATACAAATAATTTAAAGCAGTTTGAATAACAAAATTAGATATTTGAGTCTTTGATATTATTGATTTGAATTTTTGAATAAACTTGGAATTATTCTTCAAATACAACGGATTTGGTTTGTTATTGAACCAAATGAACAATGAAGATAAAGCAGCAAAATTACCATCGAGGATAGATTTGCAGTCAATTTCCTTGTTTTTGTTTTTACAGCTAGTGTCATTGTTACTGATATTATTATTGTAATTAGAGGTGATGGGGGTTATTGGAGATTCAGAGGCAAAGTAACTTTGAGAAGGAGTGGTATTGCTGGATGACAAAGATATAGGAGAGCTATAGTAGGATAGAGGAGTTGGAATAGAAATATTTGAAGTATAGTACATTTTGATTGAGGATATTGAAAGAAGTAAAATTGATTAGTTGTAACCAAGTAATTATTAGAATAGTGATAGTTAAGAAGATGAAGAAAAAAATAATTAAAGAATTATAAATGAAAGTGATCAGATTATATAGAATAACAACATCATCTTGGAATATATATAAAAGAAAGGAAAAGAAATTGAATTTAAACTAAATATTAGATTGAATAAACAAATTAATAATTAACAAAACTGATAAATTGCAAAACGAAAAAAAAAATATAAGAAAACAAATCACAATCTGTAAGTCAATTCACATTAAATCAAATTAAAATTAAATTAAATTAAAATTTAATTAAGGAAATGAACATGAAATAAAATTCTAAAATTTTAAAAATTAAATGGAAAGAAATTCAAACCAGTTTAAAATTTAAAATTTTTGCAAAAAATCTCAGTTTTTCTTGTTTTTCCAATTATTCCAATTTTGCTATTTTTGCTATTTTTGCTGTTTTTTCCAAAAAAACCCACAAATCCTAGAAAAAAACATTTTTTTCTGGTTCAAATCACACTTTTTTTCCAGATCTTGTCAATCATTGCGCTTCGACGCAGAAATCCCACTTTGTGCGGGTGTTCCAGCGCGTACGGTAGCCGGACGCAGATAACTGCGGTAAGTCCACGCTGACCCTCTGCCACCGGGTGAGATCTGGCAGCAACGCACCGCCACTATGGTGTTGGCCCTGCAAGAACAGAAGCGCAAATTGCTAGACACACTCCCTGGAACGTTGGCGGCTGAAAGCCCCGTGGCGCTGGCTCTTTCCGTCTTCCTCAGGGGCTCCGCGTCCGTGGTTTTGTGGCGATGTGGGCTCCAGGGATGTGGGAGAAAGAGGAAGAGCCAGCAAAAGGGTAGAGAAGAAGAAAATGGAGGAAAAGAAGATGAGCAGGAAGATGATCAGGGAGATGATCTAGAAGATGGTGGTGATGCTTCCAAAGACGCCCTAGAAGGTGCTGCACACAAAACTGCCTGTGCTCTTTGTTCTACTTAGCAACATCTGCACAGCATTTAGTATTTATGATTTAGCATTTAATATTTAATATTTGTTTATCACCAACTTCGTATAATCCCAATAGCAAAACACTCAAGTTAAAACATGACAAGTTTTTTCATTTACTTCTAAAGTTCTTTTTACCCACAAATTCAAATCTTTCATCAAATGAGATCAAGTTTATATCTTTTAGCAACTTTTTACTGCTTTTTTTTTACTAAATTTTTATTAATTGTTCTTATAAACCAGAAAAAATTAGAAAAAATTAGAACAAAAAATTAAATGTTCTTACATTTCTTTCTTCTGCTGTTTTCAACTATGAGTGAATCATTAACAAAATATTCTTTGACCTGTTTAAAAGTTTATTCGCCCTCTTTTATCACAATAATAATTTCATATTTTTCAGATTTCAGATTTCAGATTTCAGATTTCAGATTTCAGATTTCATACTTCATGTAGCTCATACTTCATAGTTCATCTATTTCAGAATTCCTATGAGCCTGTTTACTAATCCTTTCATTACTCTACATTTTGCTTTTGGATTTCATGATTTTAATTTTTTCTTAACCATTTTTCAATTATTGTTTTTTTTATTTTCGTTTTAATCTGCTCATTTTCTTCTTGTTTTGTATTTTGGTTTACTATCATTAAGTTTCATTTTGAATTTTTATTCTGAAAAATATGACAACACTTGTTTTTTTATTTTCTCACTTTACTATCGCTTTTTCTACTTTGTTTTTATTTCTGTGTTTGTTTTGTTGTTTCTTTATTTGCCTACTGATTATTTCCCTATGTTCCTATTTCTGTCCAGCTTTCCAACCAGGTTTGCCAATTTATCTTTTTGTAAACCCATCTGGTTTCATTTTATCAGTGAAAATCTTCAACATACAGCACAATAATCATCTGCTAACCAGCTGCACTACACTACTACCTACACAATTTTCTTTTTTTACTTGTGTTTAGGTTTTTTTGGTCTTTTGCTTTTAATTCTTTTTTTATAACTCTGTCCTTCATTCTTTTACTACCCTACCTATTTATTTACCTATTTTATTATTTATCTGCTTCTTTAAAAAATATTATATTCAAGTTGCTAGTTGATTAATTGAATTATTTCATTGGCTTCACCTAATATCACTTATTTATCTTCCTATTTTAAAACTTTCACCTATTATTTTCTCCTGTTTTTTTTACAGTTTTTTCTCTATTTTACAAAAATTTGGTAGATTTTTAACTGTTTTCTTTTTTCGTCCTCTCTTTGATCATCGTCCCATTATAATGGTCACCAACATTAACGCATGTTTATGCAGACCCACACATATGGATATGGATTCTTTTTCAATTTTTTTCAATTTTTTTTATTTTTTAATTTACAATTCTTTGGCAATTCTTTGGCATTTATCTGACTATTATTTCAGAATCATCTGGCTATTATTCCAAAAAAATAAATAAACCAAAAAGGAATAATTTGTATTATATCACTATTCATGCTATTTAAGACTTGGTTTTATGGCTTTGCTTTGGGTCCCCAATTCTTAGTAGGATTTTGCTGATATCGAACTATCTTGACTTTTCGTAATTTACTTATCCTATCTGATAGCTCATTCCTTTCCCAGGTAATCTTTATTTTTTCATCTTGAATAAAACTCTGACTGAAAATCTTAAAAATCACTGAGTCTTTTTCATATTTATTGATATTAAAATCAGGATTCTTCTTGATGATAAAATCTTTAAATATCTCAATAATAATCTCCCATGGTGCATTAGTCTTAATGGAACTTGCCTGGGCATGTGTTAATGATCCGTCATATTTTAAATTCCCAATAGCTGCAAATAAATCATTTAATGGTGCTAATGGTGTCCGTAATAAACTCGATAAAGTAGCTGGGCTAAAATAAAATGCTTCTTCAATCTCATTTTTAGCCAATGTTAACATTCCTTCAATTCTCTTTTTGGTACCATATACTTTTTCATCTTGAAATTCCTCTCTATTAATCTTTAATACCCTTTCAACAAATTCTTTATCATGTATCTTATCTCCCCACATTGGTCCTGCTATTATAAATTCATTTCCACAGAAGTTGCATTCATCTCCAATTCGAATTCGACTATTAACAGTATATTTAACTGGTTTATTCTCTCTTTCAACTCGTCTCCCTAAATATTCTTTATGAATAACTCCACATCTTTTGCAATAGTAACAAACCATTGTCTTTGACGCCAAATCTTTAACTAATATAGGTGATCTTTTCACTTTAATAAAAATTCGAACATAAAAATCAATTGATAAAGATAACAATGGCTCAATTATTTTCCCGTATTTACTTGCAGTATTTGCAATCATATTAATCACCAATCTTAATGCTGATTCATGTGTTGAATCTCCCCGAATGTTGGTTCCACCATATAATGAAAAACATTTTTCAGGATAACTGTTTCCTGCTAAAACAGCTAAATCGGTACATGTAACCAATAATAACCCATTATCTTCGATACAATTAATCGCTGCATCGATAAATGGTGCAGCTGTACCATACGGATCAAGATCAATCACATTGATTTTCTTATTTTTGGACTTATACATAAATTCATTAGCATCGCCTAAATTCGGTTTGACGATGTCTCCAATTTTATTATACTTGATGTTTTTTTCAATCAGTTTAACTGCGTTAGGTAGTAAATCATTTGCAATAACTATTCCAACATTTGGAATCTCCTTTCCATATCTAATGGCTCTTAATCCTGTAGCTGATAATGCCTCTAATATATTAATCCTTGGTCTGTTATTATCTATAACCAGAGGTTTGGAATTTTCTTTATCATTGTTATCGGTCTTATTTTCACTATCTTCAATTATTATCTCGATATTTTCATGATCGTTTTCTTCATTTATTTTCAAACTTTCAATTCTATTTTCACAAACTTTTTTTATAGTCACATTATTTTTATTATCTTCCTCTTTTTTGTCTCCATTTTGGGTGTCCTTTTCAATTTCATTGTACTTTCTTTTTCCATTTTTCTTCTTATTTTTATTGGCCTTCCCTTTTGCTTTCTTATTGCTCAGATTATACAACTCATCCCATGCTCGAATGGCTGCAACACTCAAGTCTCTATTAAATTGCTGAACCGGATTGTAAAAAACTTTATTTTCTTTTGGAAACAATATATTTGCTTTTCCTTCAGTGATTATATTGTAGTCATCAAGATTAATGGAATCAGAAGTCATATTCACAGTTTTCCCACTTCTCTAATTTTAAATATTTCTAGTGATTGCTTTGAAATTTCTAAATTTTTTTCTAGCTTAATTTTAAATTTATTTTTCATTTTCTCACGCAGTTTCCCACGCAGTTTATCACGCATCTCATTACGCACCTCATCACGCATCTCATTACGCAGTTGCGAGAAACTGCCCATCGTTCCGTTTCTGGAAAAAATTCTTCCAATATAAAAAATATCCCGGAATTTCTTAGGAATTGCTTCTTATCATCTAAAAATTGAAAAAATTATAAATCAAAAATTAAAAATCACAAACACTAAACTTAGAATAAAAAAGTTCCTAAGACAACACTTTAAATATATAAAATTAATAAATAAATTAACAAATAAATAAATAAATCAAATAAATAAGTAAATAATCTCCATTAAACAACTAAGCTAGTGTGTTTTATTTGAAGACTAACACCTAATAGCTATGTCTTTCGCTTCAAGTTGATAACCATTTTTATAGTCTGTGTTACCTCCTATTTTTTGATTTGTCTATTTGTCCTTTGCATTTTATTCATTAAAGGGTCAGTAAAAATACTCTGCTTATTGGTAATTGCACCTCAATTGATCTCACTATTAGTTTGCTGATTAAGTTTTCTGTTTTCTGTTTTCTGTTTTCTGTTTGGTTAATAGAGTAAACAAATCTACAAATTTTTGAAAATCTTTTTAGAGGAAATGAAAAATAAAAATAAAAACATGTTCAAAATAATTTCATCATCGAACTTAGCCAACATCATCCAACTAGAGCAATCATGCTACGACTCATAGCAGTTTTACCGGCTTTAATAGTAAAGAGTTGATTACATCTCCAATATTAGCACAACCTCCCTCAGGATTATAAAAAACACTGTTCACACATTTGATTATTAATTATTAATGGATCTGAAAACCTTTTCACAACTTGACAAAATTATTTCATTTTTATTAATTTTGATAATTTTTTTTTGAAAAAAGTCTTCATTATGAATCATCTAGCCTTTTGTTAAGGCAATCTATTATCTAAAAATTTGTTTCATGGTTATTCTTTTCAACTATTTTTCCTAAAAAACTAAAATAAACTTTTTAAAACCTATTTAATTAGTAATATCTAATAACCACTAAAATCTTTAAATCAATTGAAATTTTAGTTTTATGATGTCCAATTTGAATTTTTCAGATTTCCTCATTTTATAGTATATTTACGTTTATGTTTATGTTTATGTTTATGTTTTTTATTTAATTTATTTCATGTGAAATTGTGATTTTAAAAACAAAAAAAAATAAAAGGAAAATAAAAAAGAAGGTCATGTTATTAGATACTAAATCAATTTACAAGAGATGATAGAAATATTAGAGATAGTTATTTAAATGATTTACTTTCTCGGCAGTTTTTAAGGTACAATACATTTATTTCAAGATTTGTGTGTAGCAGAATATCAGATCAGCAAGGATTTTATAATGATTGGGTTAAAACAAGTGATCAGTACAAAAATTTTGATCTGATTGTGTTTTCTTTTTCTACTAGGTTTTAATAATTAATTATCAATTATTTATTAATTAAATATTCATTTGAATATTCATATTAGAATGTATAGTAATTAATAAATTAGAAACAAATTGATTAATATTAAACTAACACATCTCAAAATTAAACATTTTTGGCAATAGCAATAACAAAAGTAAAAAATAAAAAAAAAAATACAAAGGAAAAGAGAGGATATAAGAAAGTCAGTTATGAAAAAAAACAAATAATGAAAGTAGAAAATTAAAAAAACTGAATATCTAAGATTAAATACAAAGTCAAATAGAGTGAATTAGGAAAAAAAATAAATAAAAAAATAAATAAATAGATAAATAAATAAATAAATAAATGATAAAATAAACCACAATTAATTAATAAAACAAAATCAACACAAGTTAGAAAAATTAGCAGATGAAGTAAAAGAGATAAATAACAAAACAGATTTTGAATAATAGATGAAAGAAAACCATAGTAAAAACAGAGGAAAAGTTTTAAATATAAAGCAAACTAAATGTTCATTGTAAATTATAGACGATGTTCAGGGACCAAGGAAAACAAGATTGAGAAAGCAGCACTTGCTAAACATATTAGGATTAATACCCAGATACTTCTTTTTATTAGGAGAGTGCCAACGTAATGTTCTTTTATTTTCATCAAGCCAAGTTTTCTAGCAACAGCATTTGGAGAACTGGTATTTCTGGTATAAGGATAATCATCGGTAGATTCGTGAAGGGTATTAGTTTCGCAGTATTTAGCGAAACACAAAACTGGATCTAGTCTGAAAATTGCAGTCAATATAAAATAGGAACCAAAGAAAAAAGGAACAGTGACAACAGGTCTTGCACTGCTTGGTTTATAGCCGAGAAATATTAGAGTGTAACCAATCCAAAAGCCTGAAAATAAGAAAAACAAGCCAATGGCTAGTCTAAAGTTGTAGGATTTGACAGTTATATTGTTGAGTGCAGCGTATTTGAGGAAATTGGGAAAAGCTTCTCTTTCCATTGCTTGAAAGACGTAATCTCTAGATTCATCAAAAACCTCAGGATCATCTCTCCCTTGAATTTCAATAGCGTGATGGATAGATCTAGTGATTCTATCAGGCAATTGTAATTTCTTTTCAGAGTTATCGATGAAATAGGTGACTAGGATTCTTCTCGAAGATAATCTTAGATCATCTCTTGTAATTTTGTCCTTCAAGTGGTCTTTAGAGTTGTAGTTTATATTTTCGTCGTCATTTAGCATTTGTTCAACCATTTCTGGGGAAATGGTTGCAAGGCCTGCAGGACCAGAAGTGGCAGAAGTTTGAGTCCCAGATTTATTGATGAAATTTATTCTTTCCTTTTCAGAAATATTTTCAGTGAGTGGAGAAGGTAGAGGAAATTCGTTATTTTTTGTGTTTTTTTCATTTGTATAGCTATCGTAAACCTTTTGAATTGCAGGTAATATTGCACTATCATTTTTTTTATGAGAAAAACGATTGGTGATGGGAGATTTTGAATTTTGGTATCTTTCAATATAGGAAGAAATGACAGGATCGTTGACCTGTTCATCGCCTCTGAGAAAGGAAGATAGTCTTTTAGGGTTACTGTCATCAAGAACGCCATCATTGACCAAGGCTTCTAAAAGAATAGAGGAAGACACTGAGTTTCTTTGAAAGGGACTGTTGGCGACAGTGGTGCCCTGGGTTCCGGTGATGGTGGCAGGACCACTTATAGTGGAATTGGAGTGTTTCTTTGACTGAGTAGGAGCAATTGAAGGATTAGTAGAGGTTCTAATGTCTGGCAGCGATGGCATGGAGAGAGGAGTCTCCAAGACACTTTCCCTCAAGCCCTTGACGTACTGTTTGCACAAGGCTAGATGACTAACAACATCAATCCAAAAGTCAAGATAGTCCACAGCATGCTGGTTGTCCCTCATGAAGACGTAGAAGGACCAGAGGTCAACTGGAGGTAATGTCTTTCTGTTGAGCACCTCAAAGAGAGTGGGAAGTCTGTTCAAACGCTCGCTGGTGCGCCCATAGAGCTGAGACAGCGATTCAGACAGCAGGGACGAGAGCGGGAGAATGGCGGCGGAGTGGGGGCTGTGGGTCATGGCGGCAGGCGAGTGAGAGAGTGGAGCAGCAGAAACAGCAGAAGCAGCAAAGAGAGACTGAAGAGCTCTATTTGAGCTTTCTCACGAATCATGATCTGGTTTCTCAGCTCTATGGATCTGCGACTAATCACAAGCTAATAATAGACATTCCGCGGCCGCAGTGAGACGCAAGGTGTGCGTTTCGGAGCAGATTAATTCAGCCGATTCCGCCCAAAGCAGTGGTTTCTTCCAAAGCGGTGGTGATATGCGCATCTGTGCAGGACTCTGCGTGTCTGTGTCGTGCGATTCTATTGGCTGGCGCTGTATATACTGAGCTTTTTCTGTGATTTATTGCTCAGAGTGCTTTCTGAGCTGTATTAGCTATGTTTCGCCAGTTGGGGTTGTTTTCCATATACGCTCTTCCCACAACGCCAAAGTCCTCCACCAACTGGTCTATGAACTCGGTTGTCAAGTTGGGGTTGATGAAAACTATTCTGAAAAACTCCCCCTCGTTGTGGGCGTCTTTCACTGGAGGTGAGAAATCAATAAGGTACTTGTTGAGCTGGTGGAACTTGTAAACCATCCATCTTGTGATCGGTGTGTGGTTCATGGTTTTGTCGCCAATCTCGTATGGCTCATAGTAGAAACAAACCTGCAAACAAGGTGGACGTGCTGCCTGCTCATTTGCTCTTGAAACATCAAAGCTATTGAGTGTTCTGAACCTTTTGTTCACACCTATCTTTTCGCTAAAGTACTTCATGATAAAATACGCATGATCCACTCTTTCACCAAATCCAACTTTCCCATAGTAATTCCAGGATAGATAAAACTTTAACGAATCTGCTCTTCTTCCACATCCCATAGTTCCCTCTGCCAAATTAAAATTTTCTTCGCTCCTAACACCATCATCTTTCCTTTTGTAACTCTCTAGCAACTCTCTTTGCGATAATCTCCGATCACCACTTTCAACACTACCTTTTATTTTATGAAACAAATAAGGCGCATCCAAAGAATTGGCCGTAACAAAAATTCGTTTGTCCTTCATTAACAAAAACGAGCAGGTCGTTGGAACTCCCAACATTTTATGTGGTGAAACAGTGATCGAGTTGGCTAAATGACTGCCCTTTAACTTATTCTTCAACTCTTTTGAAAATATAAAATTTCCTCCCCATGATCCATCAACATGAAACCAAATACCATATTTCTCACAAATCACCCCGATTTCTTCAAGGGGATCAAACGACCCAAAAACTGTAGTCCCAGCTGTTGCGTTCACATAAAGTGGCGTATATCCATTTTCAATCGCTTTCTTAATGCTCTCTTCAAGTTTTGAACATTTCATCTCTCCTCTTGAATTGACTTCAATCTTGAAAACTGATTCGCTTCCAAACCCACATAACATGGCTGCTTTTTCAACACTATAATGAGAGTGACTGCTAGTAAATACAGCAAATTTATAATTTCCATTTCCTCTTTTTTTACTATCGCAATACAAATAACTTCTAGCAATTTGTAACGATGAAATATTCGACCATGATCCACCAGAAAATGTTAGCCCTCCACTATTCTCAGAGTATCCATCATAAAACAATTTGCTATACTCATATCCAATCTTTTTCTCAATAACTGTTAAAATCGGTGAAACCGTAAAAACATGCGAATTCGTATTCAATATAGATAAAACTAAATCTGATATTACTCCAATAGCATTAGTTGACGAGTAAAGCTTATCCAAAAATCCAAGTGACCATGTATTTACACTATTATTCAAAATAAAATCAACATGTTCCAACATTTTATCATAATCTTGTTTATGATACCCATTCCCAATATCCGGCATTTCAATTAATCCATTTTCAACTATTCGATTGTAAAATTTCAATGGTTCATTTGCTCCATCAACTGCATTCACTCCATTGGCGCTTTGTGCAAATCTGACTAGTTTTTCTCGAATTTTTATTAATAGATAGTCAAGAATCTCGTACTCTGCCTTATCTTTTGTCATTTTAAACAAAAAGTAATATTCAACTTTTTTTCCACCTTTTCTATTTGATTTACTTGAATTTTACCTGTATATATCTTAAGTCATGAAAGTTTCCCACAAAAATTTCAGATTAAACGAGTGATTTTATTACTATCCAATAGCTTCGTGCGTGGAATTACTAATGTTTTTTTTTTCCTTCGTCCTATCTTCTCTCTCGTTAAAATTTAATTGCATTTCCAAAAAATCAAAAAGCTTAAAAAATATTCAACTTATTGTTATTCTATAAGCATGGCCTCAAGTATTGCCATCGTTCTAGATATTGAAGGCACTATTTGTCCAATATCCTTTGTTAAGGACGTTCTATTCCCATATTTTCTTAAAAAGATACCCGATGTTTTAAATTCAATCAAATTTCCAATTTCAAATGCTACTGTCAAGGACCCTCAAAATGAAAAACTCGAATTAATCCAAATTTTATCTTCTTTTCCAGAGGATAAAATCGCTTCAAAAGAAAAATTATTGGATTATATCAATTACTTGGTTTCAAATGATATAAAAGAAAAAGCTTTGAAAAATTTACAAGGCTTGATTTGGCGGGTTGGTTATGAAAATGGTGAAATCGTTTGTGATTTATTCTCTGATGCTTTTCAGTCGATTAAAGACTGGTCGACCAAGTATAAAATTTATATTTATTCTTCTGGAAGTGTAAAGGCTCAAAAATTGTTATTAAAATACGCTAGAGATGATAGTAAACCAAAATCTTGCATTGAGGATTTAAATCCTTACATTACTGATTATTTCGACATTAATACTTCAGGTTATAAATTTCAAAAGGAGAGTTACGAATCAATTAAAAAATTCATTGGATTATCATCTAATCACCTATTGTTTTTTTCTGATAATTTAAAAGAGCTTATTGCAGCTAAAGCAGCTGGTTTTAAGGGTTTTCTTGTGATTAGACCTGGCAATTATGAACCCAATTATGAAAAAGAAGGAATCCCTAAGGGAACATTTAAAACCATTGATAATTTTAATCTGTTAGGTTTGTAGATTTTCTATGTTTTATTTATTTATTTATTTATTTATTTATATTCTTATTTTCATAATACAATGGATATTTGAAAAGAAAAAAAAATATAAAAGAAAAGAAATGGTAAAGACAATAAAAATGAAAAAAAATAAAAAAATGAACAAAATTGTTACAATGTATTTTTTTTTGCTGACGAATATATAAAGAAAATTAAAGTATAAGAATAAAATTTAAAAAATTCAAAAAAATTTAAGAAAAAAACAAAAAAATAATCCATAAGATAAACAATTATGCATAAAATAAATATAATAGCAACAAAAAAAGATACAGAGAAAAAAAAATATTAGAATCTTTGATAAAATAATTCAGAAATAACAATTTTTAGAAAGAATCACTCACTAAATAAGAAATTAGCTGCTAATTCTTCGTTTTTGTCACAAGCAAAATAAGCTTGAATTACTAAATTTCTCTCAAAACCCAATTCACATAGTCTGTTGATAGCAGCTTCCTCTTCAGAAGTAATATATAACACATTTTGCCTTTCTCCAGCAGCTGAGCCTTGTGCATTAGTTTCATCTTGGGAGTCGACTTCCATTCGGCTTCCGTCGGGGTCACCAACTTCGAGTTCAACACCTTCCCCCCCTTCGTAACCGGAAAAACCGAGGTTCTCAGCACTCAAATCTTGTAAGATTAGTCTCATAAATTCATCAGGATTTTGGTTAATAGCTTCAGACAATTCTGGATATTGTTCAGCTAATCTTTGCAAATGCTGTTCAATTCTTTCTGGCTCAGTGGCTATAGCTTGTCTCAAAATTTCAATTTGTTCGATTAAACGAGGGTCACTTAACAGAGACAAGCCCGAGGTTTCTGGTGGTGCAGCGGCAGCAGCAGCAGCAGCTTCAAAAAGATTTTGGTTTGTAGAATTTTGCTCTCCAGTTGTAGGAGGTTCAGGTGCAGATGCAGAATCAGAAGCAAGTGCAGGTGGATTTCGAGAATTTAATTCTTGACTGAATCTAACGGTTTCAGGAATTCCAGTTAATAAATACTCAACAGCTCTTTCAGGATTATTAAAAGCATATCTTAGGGCTTCTTCGACTTGAGATCTTTCATAACCCATTTCCATAATATTTAAAATTGAGCTTTCTAATTGAGGACCTCTTAACAAGGATGAGTTAGCCATTGTAGTTCGGTTTTCTTCAAAAGCAGGAGTTGTGGATGAAACTGCTCTGGGAACATTACTGCTGATAGGTGTTTCAGTCAAAGCAGGAGCAGGAGCAGGTGTGGAAGCAGTTGTGGTGGTAGCAGGAGTAGCAGCTGGTTGAATTGGAGTGGATGATTGTACTGGTTCTGAGGTTGTAGATGTGGAAGTGGAAGCCGGGACCTCCTTTAGTGCTGGGGTAGGCTGTGGTTTTGGTGCTTTGGCTTTTGAAATCATAAAGATAATCTGACCATTTTCCTTGATTTTATAAAACTCTGCAGTTTTTTCATTTTGTAAAACCTTTCCTAGAAACAAAAACAGTTAGTGAATGGGAAATTCAAGACCAGAGAAGCAAGAAACTGTTGCAGAGCAATTGTAACACATACCTGAATAAACAAACTTCAACTGGGAAGGTTGGACTTTCTTGACTGTGGCGACTTTGTCTTTTAAAGACGATACCTGTAGGCGAACATGTTAGAAAGCAAAAACGCCGAAAAAAGAAGAGCAAAAGCGTCAGCACAGAAGTCTCACATACCAGATCTGTTGGTTCGCACTCAACAGTGATCTTTTCTTTCTTGAAATCCTTGAAGATGACTTTCATGGTGAAGCAGTTGCAGCAGAAAGAGGGTGGTGAGTTGCCTTTACTTTTTTCAGCGAAAGTCCAACGCCAAAATCTTCCTTTTTGCTGGGCGGGTAATGAAAACCTTATTCTGCCGTCGCACGTCTGTGATCCAAAATTTTGACACCTCGAGAAGAGTAAACAAGAACGAAGGAGTTCAGAGTTCACAGCTCAGAGTTGTTCAATTATCGCCAGCTAAGCAAGAGAATGTCTGTTTTCAGGAGCAGAAACGAGTCTGTGCGTATCAAGGGCCCCACCTCGGCTCTCTCGTCGTATTTACGGCACCACAACATTGGTAGCAACCTCCGCAGGAACATCGACCACAACGTCGACATCGAGGAGGATGCCCAGCACACTGAACCTTTGACTGAAAATGCAGAAGCACCTCAGGATGAGAATTCCATTGTCCAGACAGAAGAAGCCCAAGACGCTACCGAAACCACAGCAAGAACCGCAACCAGGCGTGAAACTAGAGCCAGAGGAGGAAGAGGTTCATTTGCAAATTTTCAGAGAAATTACAATAGAATTCTTGCCAGAAACAACCAGAACAGCGACCATGAATTGAATCTCATTCAAAATGCTGATGGTCTGGAAAATTCTGACGATCCGGAAAATTCTGACGATTTGGAAAATGCTGATGAAATTGCTGAAGATATGCAGATTGAAATAGCTTTTAGAAGAAAAAGAAAATTGAATATCGACTCCAACAATGAATTGAGCGAACACGATAATGAGGATGGATATGATTCACAAGAAGAAACCCTTCTTTTTGCCCTAAGAGGTCCAGGTCAAAAGAGTATCTGTATCGGTTGTGCACGAGGTTTTGTTATTGATGTTTATTGCAAACAAATAACTGAAAACACTCGATATTTTTTCGAGAAATATAATTCTCAAACTGGTTATTTATGTCCTATTTGCACGAAAGAGATTGATTCTATCTATAAAAAAAGAAAAAAAAATCAATTAGCTGCTAGAAAAAAAAGACTAAAAGTTGCCGCTGCCTTATTGAACAAACAAGAATACAAACTCCCTTCCTTACAGGACCTCTGTATTCAACTAGTCTCTAAACACATTGATAACATTGATGAGCTCGGGGAAGTTGGTTTTGGAAATTTATCTAAAATATCAATGGCTTTATCGAAAAATAGATCATTGAATACCAGAACTGCAAAACTCTTTTTTCATTCAGATTTAAAAGAATTAAACTTATATGATTGTTCCAATGTTGGTAATGATGCCCTACGTTTAATCGGTTCTTATTGTCCAAACATAGAATCTCTCAATTTAAATATGTGTGGTCAGCTTCATAGTGATACATTACTATATTTTGCCACCAATTTAAAAAATCTTCATTCTATTTCATTGAATGGCTGTTTTTTAATAGATGATACAGCATGGAATACATTTTTTGAAACAATCAATACTAGACTAAAACGATTTGATATTAAAAACACTCATCGTTTTGGCAATGATTCCTTAGTTAGCTTAATTAAAAATTGTGGAGAAAGTCTACAAGAACTAACTTTATCCAGACTAGATGGATTAACTGATCCAACAGCCTTTCAAATTCTTGGTTCTGATTTACACAAACTAGAACTGCTTGAACTCTCATATCCAAATAAGGAGGAGTTTATAACTAATGAATTGATTATTTCGATATTAGCCAACAATGGATCTACATTAACCTCATTAAATCTTGACGGTTGTTCCGGTTTGGGGGACTCCTTTTTAATTAATGGAATAAGACCATTTTGCTCTATCTTAACAAGTCTTTCTTTAAGATATTTGGATTTGATAACCGATGAGGGAGTGTGTAAACTTTTCTCAAAATGGGATTTAAATGCTGGTTTAATGCATCTAGATTTACAAAAATGCGTCAGCTTAGGAGATACAGCATTGGTCGAAATTCTTACTCATTCAGCAGATTACTTGATTACATTAAATATAAATTCGGTTTATGAAATTACTTCTGATTTTTGGGCGGTCTTAAAATATGTTAAATTAAATTTATTAACTTCATTAAATGCTGGATTTGTTAGATCTATGAATGATAGTACTATCGAATTTCTTGGAAGATCTTGCCCTAATTTATCGCTTTTAGAAGTTTATGGTGCAAATAAATGCACGTCAAAAGCTATAATTAGAAAAGGATTGACAGTTATTGGAAGGCAAAGTGATAGTATTTGATTCCAGAAAGTAGTGAATTAATTTCTCGTTATTTCAATAGTTTTATCATAACTAGCAAAAGCAACAGTTCATGAAATTTTATTGCAAACGTTTTTCTTAGATTATGAAAACTATTGGTGAAAAATAGATAGAATTTAGAAATGATTTAGAAGAGATTTGGAAGAGAATTAGAAGAGAATTAGATAGAAAATAGTAGGAAGCTAAATAAGTCTGTATAAACAAACAATATTAATTACTTTATAATTTTTCTTTCTTTTCATCTTGTAGTTTCATCTTTTTTTTTCTTGATTAGTTTTGAACCAGAAAAAAAAATTACAAAATAATCTTTCATTTAGTTATTATTATAACTGGATTTTTCCAGCTTTATACTTCAAGAAGAAAGTAATATATAAAAGAGCGGCTAAACCAATACTACCAACACTGATATAAGCTGGCCAGTGAAATTGAGATGGTTTATGGAAGACCATTGTAACAGCATAACCAGAAAGTTCACATAAACTTATGATACTTTCTTCGATTGCAGTAAAACCAGCTCTTTCATCGTCGTTAACATATATTTGAATCATATTTTGAATTGATAAATCATAACCCCATAAACCTAGTCTGCTAAAAGGAATACATATACAAAGGATTTTATAAGAATACTTATAGCTTAATAGAAAACTAGTTAATATTGGAATTAGTGAAGTGAATTGAGAGACCAAAGAAATTAAACCAGTATTAATTAAACCAAAATTTTTGTTAACAGGAGGAAAGATTACAGTTGATGATAATTCAAAAATCGAAGAGATTGCTCTAAGAATACCAACAAGTTCATCATTGATTGAAGGAAAAGAAAGCAAGTAAGCAATAGTTGAATTACCAAAGGAAAGAACTGTTAAATACAATAGAGCATAAGAGATAGTTGGAAGACACATTGTTGAGCTTGAAAATACTTTCAAGTTTGTAATAAATTGACTTTTTGATTTTTTTTTCAAAATTGGAGACTGGTTTGAATTTTCGCTTTGGTCTAATGATTCATAATTTTCTTGATTGTCATAAACTATAACTTGTTTTCTTTTAGGTTTTTGTAACTCTGGAACCAAATAATAAACTCTTGCAATAGCATAATATTCAATGGGATTGGAAACTAGGAAAGATACAATAATAAAGACTAAAGAGATTTTAATTGATGTAAAACCAATTACCAAAGCAATAAAAGTAGGACCAAGAAGCTTCGAAAATAAATCAATGGATCTCATTTGAGTATTTAGTTCCACTAAAAACCCCTCGTTACCTTCTTCGGCTATGTGAACTAACCAATCTCTTTGAATTGAGATTTTATTGGCTAGAGCACACAACTTCTCAATGCCACCACATATTATAACAACGATTAAGACAATAACCTTATATCGAGCCAATTTAGGAATAATATGAGTTAATAAAATGGAGAAAGTTGAAAGTATTACGGAAGATCTTTGAATGAAAATAGTCTCACGAACAACATGCAACCTTTCACCATTGTTGACAATGGTAGCAATTGAGGTTGAAAATATAATTGAAGTTAATGAACAACACAAAGCAAACAATGAAGAAGGCAATAAAGTTTGGGGAAATAAGTCAACAATAAAAAGAATAATACCAAATTCATAAACTCTTGCGTTCCAGACATAAAGAAAATGAGAAATGTATAGTTTTTTTTTGATTTCATGAATCACCGACAAACGATCTGTGTCATTCTGATCAATTGTGCCATGTATATTGGAAGTTGAGGTTAAAAGAGGTTGAGTTTCCAAATTTTCAGCATCATTTTTCTTCTTAGGTGATGTAGAAGTCATTGCAGTATAAAAGACTCAAGAAAGAGTTAGAGTTAAGGTATTTTGTGAAAGCTGAAAACAAAGAAAGAAAACCAGTGAAATATTTCAGTCATATATATACTAAAAGTCCCAACAAACGCACTTCTCTCCCTAGTAAACTTTTTTCTATTCCCTTTAAGATAAGTGATCAAAATTTTCTGTGCTAACCTCCAATCAAAACCCGTTTTCAGGCAGATGCAACAACAAACATCCTCAGAGCAGTTCCTCTGCATACATGCGTTGAAATGCTTAATCTTTCTGTTGGTTGCTGTGGAAATACAAAAATTTCCTAAAAAAGCCTTGTGTCCGATGCGTTGGATTTGCGCGTGTAGTGCACAAAACAGCGCATATCCACAGCGCTGGTTCTGTGAGAACGAACATACGAACACTAGCATAGTGGCGGTACGAGTGGAACGAACTCAGAGCAGCACCAGATATAATCAGCGATCAATGGAATGGTAAAGTGGAAGAGTATAAGTACAGCTCAATGGAACAGCAGTTTTGGAGCTGCGTATCAGTGACATGTCTTGTTTTATATTTTATTCAGACCCTCTGTGCAACTCCTCTATGATCTGGTTGTTTACCACTGTGTGCTCAATGATTCTCTCAACGTCTTCTGGTCTCACTCGACCATACCAGATGCTATTGCCTGATTCACTCAAGTAAATAACATTTCCAGCATACTAAAATTGATTTGAGTCAATTTGGTTGAAATTGATTGAAACTGTTAGTAAATCACTAATAATATTTATTGTCAGCCTTCTGATTTGGTGCTAACTGTATCATGATTTTTCTACTTACGGCATGACCTCCAACATGGGATATCAATCCAATTTTGATGCCCTTGGGGTTGTTTTTTTCATCAAACAACAACTTTCTACTTTCAAGTTCTTTGGCAAATTCATCTAGTAGTATCGGCCCGTATAATCCACATCTAATGTCTCTTTTTAGATGTCCACAAATTAAAATCATCCCATTTTTGTTTTTGTAATGTTCCAAGTTGATCTCTTTTTGTGGTTTTTCTTTACTAATGTTTTTGACTTTTTCTCTATTGCAATTGACGTTATTCTTTGATTTGGTTATCAACTTCTTTTTTTCAAACGCAAAAAAGTTATTATTTTCACTACTAATTTTATTCTCAATCTCATTGAAATTGTCGGGTCGCAAATAATTTTTCATAAATTCTTGGATATTGTCATTGTTTTTCATTAACCTTGGGAATATCAAATTATTGGGATACAATATTGCTTTAAATTTATCTATGTCACTTGTGCTTTCGTTTTGATGGTAATCTATCAATGATATCTCCGATATTAGCACTGGATGCAAATTGCTAATAATTTTTCTTTTGAATAAATTAAAGCTTGAAATTATTGATTCCGGATCCATTTCTAACCTTGATGGCCAATCCTTCCCGCTTTTATTCGAGAATATTAATAAATGTTTGTAGTAGTTCACTTTAGTTCCCTTCAACGACTTTTCATAATTAATTTGTTTATCCTTTGGAAGTTGTTTCAATATTTCACAGTTACAGATTTTTCGATTGATATTTCTAGAATAATTATTCATATTAAATCGAATCACTTGATTTATGCCATTTTTGATCATTTTTAGATAAAAGAAATTAAAACAAAAACAAAAATAAAAGATAATTATAAATAAAAGGATATTAGTGAATAGTATTAGGTGATGATGTCTAATGAATTATTAAATTTTACTGCATTAACTCAAACAGTTTCGATGATCGATATCGACTTTTGATTCGCTAAAGTGAGTACGATGATCTTTCCGTCAGATTCGAACCGCACACGGATTTTCATTGATTTCTTTTGAGTTCCATTCTACTGGCCAACTCTTTCCTTAATCAATCACTTGATAACATAAACACAATCAGTATAGAATTAACATGAAATTAAAGAAGAAAAAGTATAAAATTAAGGAAAGTAATAAATCAATTTTATAATTTGTAATTTTATAATTTTATTGTTTTATTTTGTTTGAAAATATAATAAATATTTATAAAAGTACCAAAGAAAAAAAAAAATTAAAAAATAATTAAAAAAAAGAGTATAAAAAAAATTAAAAAATTAAAAAATTAACAAAAAAGATAAAGAAATCAATTAAAAACTTCTAGAATTTAAAAAAAAAAAAATAAAACCCAAAAAAAACGAAAATACTTTATAAATTTAATTTTTTTTTTTTCAATCTTTTCTCAATTTTTTCATTTTTTGTTGTAAATTTTAGTATAAAAAAATTTATATATTTAAACATTTGGTTTAAATATATAATGATCATAAATATGAATCGAATTATAAAATCGAATCCATTCTTGAGAATACACTTAAAACAGCAGCTACTACTTCCATCTGAAGATCATTATTTGGCACAGATTCAATTTCGTTTTGAATTTCTTGAGCTAAATTTGAGCCAATACCTAGTTGACTTTGGTTATTGATAAATGGGAAATCAGAGTATTCGGATAATAACTCATCAGCTCGCGCAAAGGCTTTATCACGTTGGTCATAACCAAGAGTAACTAGAACATTTTCCAAAACATTTGCAGCGTATGAGCCACAAACCAAAGAGATTGATCTTAAAAACTTATAGGTTGTATTTGCAGGAAATAGGTTTGATGAGGGTAAATTGACAGTTCTTGAGACTAATAGGGAGATTATTCTTCTTTTAATATGGTCTTTACAATTAATATCAGCAACAGGATGAGTAGCCATGTCGAATAGTAAGAAGTTTTTTCTTTCAGTTCTTAGTATCCCCTTATCAACCAAACCTTTTGCAAGTCTTTCTCTAACTTGTTTCAATTGATAGCTAATTTTTAATAAATTCCAAGTTTCACCACTTAGTAAATCGATCCAATTGTTGACACTTAAGTTTTCAGGGTCGTTTTTCATTAGTTTTAGGGTTTCATCTAGCAATACTTCACCAGTCATTTTGTAGTCGATGACTTCAATTAATCTTTCACTTAATTCGAATCTTCTTCTAGCGGGATCATTGACCATTGCGATTTTACCTCTAAAGGCTAATTCAAGGATTATACAACCCCTTAGGGCGTAGGAGATGCTGTCATTCCAAAAGGATAAATAACCTTCTCTATCTTTCAAGCCCATCAAGAGGACTTCTTCCATTAGTGTTAGAGTTGGAACTATTTTGTCATTTGAATTCAAGACTTCTAAATCACGAGGATCGTAGGCAATTTTATGACCAATAGGTTTTTTATTGAGATTTGTGTTGAGGATATTCAAGTCGTTTGTGTTATCAGTTTTCACTATGATGCTTGAATTTCTTGGGGATGGAGATATTGGAGAAATTGAATCATTATTAGAGATATTATTGGCATTTGAGGTGCCTCTAACACGACGACGTTGTAAGTTTCCTGAGGACATTGTTTTTTTTATAAAGAATTTAGTGAGGAACCAAACGAATTAAGAAAACAATAAAACAAAAAAAAACAAAAAAAAAGAGGATGATGTGAATTGAATTCCAAAGTAAATTGTTAAATTTCAATTATTATCAGACTAAATGTGTGTTTTGGCTTTGGTTGAATTGATTATGTATTCCATTTCTAAGAGCGAACGGGGGAAACGAAAGCGAAATATGAGAAATACCGACAGAGGACGGGCATGGAGAAAAAAGAAAAAAGGTGAAGAAAGATAAGAGAGGATAGAGATGAGGAATTGAGAGCCGAGAGTCGAGAGTTGCAGATTGCTATTTAATATGTATTTTGGCTATATATTTACAATGATTGAAATTTTAAAGAAAAAGGGAATTGTTCGGGTCGAGATTAGTTATTAAGGCTGCAAACTTCTTTCAGTTGATTTCGTTAGAGTTGATTCACCACTGTTCAATTTCTCCAAGTATTTCAATTTGTGGTATTCCTCTACTGGATCCAAATTACCCTTTGAAAAATTTTCAAAGTGTTCATCGTATTTACCACTAGATAAGGGTCCATTACCAGTGAACCGTTTCGATTTATCGATTATGCCTCTTTTGCAGTCCATAAACTCCTTCATTTGAGCTAGACATATAGAGGGAAGTGTTTTCAACAATTCCTGGTTCTGAACACATTCCTTGGGGGTGTGTCGTTCAATTAAAACACAGGGGGATCTCTGCAAGCATATTGCCATTTTATATCTTTGGTCTTTGCAACTGGAAAGATGTTGGATGAAAAATGAGAAACAGAATGTGGGCGTTAGTAACCTGTGGGCGAAGATGAAAGAAAAACCTGTTGATACGATACTGCTATGGCGGGACCTACCTTGAAGGCATTTTGAAGAAGGGCTACTGATGATAGAAGTGGTAGAAGTGGTAGAAGTGCTGAAGTTGCTGAAGCCGGAGGAGCAGCAGTTTTCTACGACAGCTTCCTGGTTCAGATCACAACCACGCCCTCCTGCGCGGGCACAAACTGCCGGATGCGGATGCCCGCCGTGCGCAAGACCGACGAGGAGAGGTCGTCCATCAGATACCGCTGCGAGAAGACCACCTCGCAAATGCCGATCTGCGCAATCTTGATGGAGCACGTGAGACACGGGCAGGTGTTGCAGTAGAGAATGCTTCCACTGCCGATGCGATCCTTGCCGCTCTCTAACAACGCGTTTTCCTCAGCGTGCAAGCACAAACACGTCGCGAGGCCCGCGCCGCTTCCCGTGCTGCTGCCGTTGCATCTGCCGCAGCCGCCCTCGTTGCAGTTGGCGAACCCGCGGGGTGTGCCGTTGTAGCCCGTCGCAATCACTCGGTTGTCTCGCACAATCACACACCCAACACGTCGTTTCATGCAGTTGCTTCGGAAGGCAGCGAGGTCGGCGAGTCGCATGAAGTACGAGTCCCAGCTGGGCCGTAATCTCGTGAGGTCCATCAAATCCAACCTCGAGAGCGTCACATACAAGTCCTCAATCAGGCTCTTGTTGTTGATGATTTTGATGACAGCAGCAGAGATCACACTGATGTGGGAATTCAAGTATAAGAACTCATCCGTCAACCTGACAAAATCCTCGATTTTGAACTCTTCTTTATTCAACGAATACTTTTCGATATACCTCTCATACCTGAGCAGCATTGGGGAGTCAATCGAGATGTGCAAGAAAAATGGCTTGATTTTCAACGTCTCCAATATATCCAAATCGCAGATGTTGTTCAACACGTAGTTGTTATTCCAGCACTTTGTAACAAAATCAGAAAGCTCTTCAAACGTCTCGAACACCGTCGACGCATGCCTGTCAGCAGCTTTCCCATCCTCGCCTGAGCTTCTCTTGTAGTCGATTGTCTGGAATCCCTGGAACGTCAAGTACCTCACAACCTCTGACTTTCCCGACGCTGGTGTCCCAGATATCCCAATCAACATTGTTCTATTCTCACTTGCAACTGTCTGCTGAAAGAAAACAAAACCTCTTTTCTTTTCTGCTCAATAAAAAACAACACGGGAACTCTTCAGCGCCACCGCTACGGCTCTGCTTTTCTCCATATATTCACCCCATTTTTTGATTTATATTACCATTTCGTTATTCTCGCCATATTTCCACCTCGTTTTATCTTTATTTCATCACTCTTTGCCCTTGATTCTGAATCTAGTCCTGTCTTTGGTCTTATATCCATAATGAGTCTTCCTCTTCTACTCAAGGCTTCTTCTTCTTCTTCTATCTCTTCCAGAAGAATACTTTTCTCTTCCATCTCTTCTATAAATCGTTTTTCAACTTCAAAATATATCTCAAAGAATATATTTGACGATAGTCACATCTTCTCTACTGGCCCTCCAAAATTACCAAAAGAAGACCAAGAGGAGTTTGAAAGACTACAAAAAATTGCCACCTCCCAAGCCGCTATTGAAGAATACAATCTACAATTAAAGGATGGCACTGAAAAGAACCCCCAAGAAATTTTGGCAAATAAAATAATTCCAAGTTTAAAAATTAATAATACTTCTAACAGTACCAGAGATATCTCTAGTGACGACGGCGAAGATGATTCTATTGATCTATCAACCAATCTTTTGAAAACTATCCCTGAATTCGAAGGCGATGTTAATCCAAAAACCGGTGAAATAGGTGGCCCCAAACAAGATCCTCTTCGTCATGGTGATTGGTCTTTTAATGGCAGAGTAACAGATTTTTGAGACTTTATTAATCAAATCTCTTTTTTATCTTTTCTTAATCAATGCTCAAATTATTAACCAATTCACGTATCAAGTTATTCAAGCTATTCAAATTACTCAAACTAGTAATCAAATTATAATACTTTATTCACCTTATAAATCTTATACATCTTATATATCTAATACATCTATTTCATTTATATCTTCAAAACCTTTATATACATTAATCGTTTTCATTATAATATACCTATCATTCTATAACCATTTTACAATTACTCTATAATAATCATTCTATAACCTTTTCATGCCAGTTGTATGCTATTTTAACTTGAAACTATATTCACATTCATAGAATATTCATAGGATCATTCCTTATCACTCAAGGGTATCAAAAAAATTAAAAAAAATCAAAAAACAAAGGAAATTTAATAAGAAAGAAATAATTATAGCTTTGATCATTAGTATCCAATTTTAAACATTAGTTAATAAATAAAAAAAATAAAAAAATACAATATTAAAAAAAAAACAATAAAATCAAAAAAAAAAAAAAGTTTAAAATAAATCAATGTAAACAGAACTGAACTTGAAACATTAAAAATTCTCTTTATTAACTATTATTCTAGTTAATAAATCAGATGAAATCAATAAAATATAATAAAATAGTTAAACCAAACAGAAAAGAAAAAAACATAATAACCAGTGATATAAAATTTTTTTTAATTCATTATAAAGCGCCCAACCATTTTTAATCCTATTGTGATTAATTTTAATTAAAAAAATGAGTAAGAAAAACAACTAAAATATGCAATATAATGGAGTAACATAATGGAATAACGAAATAATAAAATCAAATAAAATAAAATAAGATCAATAAAGGAATAAATAAATGATTGCAAAAATAATCATTTATTTTATTTTATTGAATGTAATAATTGAACACCTTTTAACCTTTCTTCATACAATGCTGCTAATTTAAAAACTTTGCCATGTTCAATTCCCTCTATTAACTTGATAGACCTTCGTCCAATAAATTTTGAATTTTTTGAATTTTCTTGGGTTGATAAATTATCTAACATCGTTGAAGCAGATTTAAAATGAGTTAGACCCAATGGAGAATTATTTGTTTTGTTTTTTGAAAGCAAATTTAAATCACCCAATGATTTTTGTTTATGCAATTCCTTTTTAACAGTGACATTTGAAAGAGTTGTTTGAGACGAAGAAGGTGAACTGGGTCTTGAACTAGGTCTTGAGTTTGTGTACAGATTTAGGTTTGGATTTAGATTTAAATTTAAACTTGAATTGGAATTAGGATTAGAATTAGGAGTGGATTTAGATCCATAAGAATATGTAAATGTTCTTGGTCTTGTGGGCAATGGAGGAGGTCTAAAATCATCCAGTAAATCTTTATCTTGAACATTTTTAGAAAAATAAAGCTGAGGTTTAGATTTGGATTTTCGTAATTTATATACATTGGAATTATTTTGATTATCATTTGAATTATCGACATTATTAATTAAAGGTCTTAAAAATTCTTTGATTTTATATTTTGTATGTTCCATTTTGGATTTTGAATTTGAATATTCGTTTTCTTTATTTGAAGTGTAAAATGCTCTATTTTTATCCAAATCTAAGTCAGAATCATTAGCACTATTCAACAAATTACTTGGAATAAAGTCACTAAATGATGGTGAAAATGGTTCATTAGAATAATCGAGTATTTCAACAAAAGAATTATTAGAGCTATTTTTATTTGTGTATAACTTTGTAAAACAATTATTTAAGTTCGTATTAATGATAAAATCATCATCATTTCTAAATCTTAGTATAAAATATTCAGTCTTTGAAGAGAGTAATAAGCCTAAATAATCTTTGGGTAGAAAAGAATTATTATAAATATTTGAGATATAGGATTTGTTTGTTGCAAATGAGGTACTAGAAGAGGAAGAAGAAAGAGTTAAAGATATAGAAGAATTTGAAGAATTTAGGATTGAGCTTGAAGATTTTTTTTTATTAATTGGGAAAAGAAAAGAGGAAGATGGGAGTTTTCTCAAAAGAGAGGAGACATTATTATTATTATTTAAAGCGCTGTTATGATTATTATGATTGTTATGATTATTGATATTACTTGAATTTAATTGTATGAATATTGAGTTTTGTAAATGAGTGAAATTTGAAGAAGGCAATTTATCATAGTTTGCATCTAGATAGGGCCAAAGTTTTATTAAATTTTTTAGAAATCTTGAGGACACCAATAAATCATTTCTATCTAGATTTCCCGAAAAATACGATACTAAAGACTTTGAGAATTTTATTAGATAATTGTTATTCAATTCGTCTAGGGAGATATTTTTGTATTGGTTGTTAATATTCTTATTGAAATCGATTGAAATGAGATATAAATCCAAGTTTAAGCAAGGTAGTATGATTAGGTTCATTAAATCGTTTAGTAGAAAATGGTAGTCGTTAGTGTTTAATATTGAATTTAATATTGAGTTTATATAGGATAAGTTATTATCCTTTATTGGTAATTTAATTGAGGAAACTGGAATTAAGTTTGTTGGTAAGAATTTTAAGAAGAATTTCCAGACATTGATTAGAGATAATATGTCCCAATCATTGAGATCTATTAATTGATTTCTTTTAATTGAGTCGATAAGAATTGTGATTTTTGATTTTTGAAACTCATCTGTTGGATTTTTCAATAATAATTGGTTGTGAATCGATAAGTTTGATTTTAATTTTGAATTTGAATGTGAATCTGAATTTGAATTTGAATTTGAATTTGAATGTGAATCTGAATTTTGGGTGGATATAGCAGATATATTTGATAATAAACGATTTGAAATTTTGAAAAATAGCAAGTTATAATAAAACCAGGATAGTTTATTTTTTTGAGTGATTTTGATATTAAATATTGGTACTAAATGAATTGGAATAATGATTTTATTGTTTAGTTTTAACGAATCATATAAGTAGTTTGACAAGGATATTTGTAATTTTGTTATGTCGATATTTTTAGATAGTTCAGTTATATTACTGCAGTGGATTATTCTTTTGTTATTATTTGAAATGAATTTGGATGATAAAACGTTTTTTAGCACTTCGATTAAAGCACGAATCCACCAGCATTCATGGACTACGTATAGCTTTCTTAAAAATTTTCTCTTTTGTTGAGGTAGTAGGCTGAAAGTTTTGACACCCCAAACCCAGCTGAATTTGAATTTTTCATCAAATTCATTGTTGTATAAATTTGGAGAAGCAGATAAACCACAAGTGAAAAAAATTAGAGAATAGTTGTGATTTGGAATTCTTGATATTAGAATTTCAATTAGATTTAAAAAATCACAGCTTTCTGGATTTGGCAATGCAGTAGAATCCAATATGTAGATTGGCAAATTTGTTGAAGGATCATAAGTCTGAGTTTTAAAAAAGATTTTATCTAGATTTATTTGGACCATTGTTTTTGTTTATTTTTCTATGCCTATTTATTTTTCGAATAACAGTAGAAGGAAAAAAAAATTATCAAAACACACACAAAACACACAACCAAAAAACCAGTGATACTGTCGAAACTAAAATAAACCGAGTAATGATGCAATTGGATGATGAAAAAATCTCTGTTAATGATGAATTAGAAACATAAATGTAGATTGAAGGGGGAGAATTACAGCAGCGAGGAGAGAAATCGGCAAAAACAATTGGAGCTGTGAGGGTATTTAGGTATGTAAATCAACAGCAGAGGAAAACAAGCAATTGGAGAAAGCAAGCAATTGAAGAAAGCAAGCAAGAGTAGAAAACACAGGGTGTTGGCAAGAAGCAGCAACAGGGCAAAAAAGGTCAGAAAGACGAGCAGCGATGGTGAATGTGGTGCTTTTGGTGCGTGTACGAAGAGAACAGAAGAGCATCTTTCCAGTAGGAGCCACCGCGCCCAAACAGGAAAAAGGTAATCAAAAGCGGCTTCAAACCAGCACCAGGGGACAGATCCTCAGCAGCGGTAAATAGCAGTAGTAGCCGAAAGAAGCGTGCACCTACCTGGTAGACACAGAGCGCATGCATATGCGTTGTGTCGCTCAACATCTTGTCACGTGCCAAACGTGGGATGAGAGAATTGGCGGTGATATTTGCACACAGTGGTTTTGGGCTGGAGATAGACAATGTTTGACAAGTGTGGATGGTGCGATGGTGGAGATGGGTGAGATAAGCAGCAATTGGTGCTGGGTCTGTTTGCTGAGCAGCCGGAATCAGATGTTTTGTGCCACTATTGCCACAACTCGCCATCATCAGCCTATGGCGGTTCTCATTATTTGGTTGATTTGGGAATTATCCTACAACCTTGATTGATATTCATGACTGGCGGTGTACTTTTAGGTGTTTCGAGCAGTTCTTCCTTTTCTTCTTGGTTTTCTTGTTTTTTCATCCATATTTATCGATTCAATCGATATTTTGTTTTGCCATCTTTCGAAAACAATTCACTATATAAATAGCTCTGATTTTACCTGTTTTGCATTGAATAGTTTCATTTTTTAACCACAACAATTGAGAATATTAAAGGATATCAAAGATAAAAAAGATAACAAGGATGTCTGCTGTAACTACAAAAACTTCAGAAGAGACAATTCTTGATGAACAATCTACTTTGAGATTGACTTTTGCTCTTCCAGGTGAATCCTTGTCCGGTCAAACCAAAAAAGATGAGAAAACCGGTGCTTTGATCGTTGAGAGAGAGGACGAATACAAATATAAAGATTGGTTGCCAACTTGGGAACCCACTTTTTACAAACCCTTGGAATTTTTTGAACATGTTGATAGAGGAACCAATGCTAATCCAAGTTTCATCAATTTATTTCCTCCTCAAAAACTTAAGAATGATCAAATTAAATTTCGTAGTATTTCTCCCAAATTTGGTGTAGAAGTTACTGGTGATGTTCAATTATCACAATTGTCTGATGAGGCTAAGAATGAATTGTCTTTATATGTTGCTCAAAAGGGTGTGGTAGTATTTAGAAATCAAGATTTAAAGGATCAATCTCTTGATTTCAATAAAAAATACGGTGAATATTTTGGTCCTTTACATATCCATCAATCTACTCCTGCTCCAAAGGATTATCCTGAATTTCATTTGGTTTACAGAAAAGTTAAAAAGGATGAATCAAGCTATGTATTTGGTGATAGATTAGCCGGTTTGGATTGGCATTCAGATGTTAGTTATGAATTACAACCCCCAGGTTTAACATTTCTTGTTTTATTAGATGGCCCAGAGACTGGCGGTGACACCTGTTTTGCAAATGCTGAGGAGGCATATGAAAGATTATCACCTAAATTCAAGTCTCTCTTGGAGGGCTTAACATGTTGTCATTCAGGCTTTGAACAATCAACTGCTTATAAAGCTCAAGGAACATTGCTAAGAAGAGCACCTGTAGCTCACAACCATCCAATTGTGAGAACTCATCCATTGACTGGGAAAAAATCGTTATACATTAGCGGAAATTTTGCTACACATATTAATGGGTTGAAATTAGAAGAGAGTAATTTGATTTTAAACTTTTTAAAGGATTTTATCAAAGCAAGCAATGATTTACAAATTAGAGCCAATTGGGAAAATGGCACAGTTGTTTGTTGGGATAATAGAAGAGTTTTGCATTCGTCAACAGTTGATTGGGATAATGCAGAAGTTGCTAGACATTTATACAGAATTACTCCTCAAGCCGAAAAACCATTTTAAAGAGAATCAAACAAAGGTTAAGAATGAAGATATATTGAATTTAGTTGAGTCAATTGTTCATTCGTATTCGTATTCATATTCATATTCATATTCATATTCATATTCATATTCATATTCATATTCAATTTATTAAAATTAAAAATAAAGCTAATTACTTTTATATATACATATATATATTTAAAAAAAATAAAAATAAAAATAAAAATAAAAATAGTTATAATTTTATGATTAATGTTCACTTCTTTTTCTTAATTGATTTATTGTAAATAAGGGTACCAAATCCTTTTTTGAATTAATATTACAAATGTTATTATTTGAAATTTGGGATGTAATTTGAATATTATCTGCATTTGTAAGCAATTCAAATTGACTGGAAGATTGATTAAAATTGTAGATTTCCACTAATTTAACATTATCATTTGTATTATCATTATTGACATTTGAAATGGAGGATATGATTTTATTGTTATTAATATTATTGATAATTGATAAATTTATAAAAGTGTTTTGAGATTGAATTAATTGAAATAGATCAATTTTGATTTTGTTATTAGCAAAATCCAATTCATTGTATTTTAAGATTAGTAAAACATTAGTTTGTTCGATCAAGACAATCATTAAGTTTAAGATTGAGTTATCATTTGAAGTTAATGATACTGTTTTAATTTGTGAGATTGAAAATTCTTTAGTTTCTTTAGTATCTTTGGTATCTTGGTCAGAGTTGGTACTTAAAAATCTTTTTGGAATTGAATGATTTTTATTCAAGTAAGGATAAATAAAAGGTTTTATATCAAATTTTAGAATGGGATGATTTTGATGAGTTTGCGATAAATTCCAAAAAAAAATCTGTTGATCACCACCAGCAGATATCAATAAATTGTTGTTAAATTTAGGAATGTTTAACGAAGATATGAATTGAGTATGGCCAAATAAAAAATTTTCAATAATGAAAGGATTGTTGAAATTTGAGAATCTGATATGTTCGTCTCTATCAGCAGAGATAACGGATTGGTTCCATAATAGTAAATCAGTTAGCATTGAAACATGGCCTAATAGTAAAGTATAACTATTATTTATTGGATTATAGTCAGTGAAATTTTCTGGAATTTTCAATTTATAAACATCACCAAATTTATCACCGAGAATTAAGAAATCATCGTTGGGAGTGGTCAAAATGGAGCAAGGTCTCTTTGGAAAAAGATGGCGAATAGTAGCGCAATCCAATATGTTCAGCTTATTTGAATAATCTAGTTTAAATATAATGGCAGCCTTATCGGAATCAGTAGTTATAACTAAAAATTTCTCACTGTTTGACAAGATTAAGCATCTAATGTAGTTGTAAATTTGAGGAGCACCAGAACCTGGAACTGGGATTTTTGGTATTTTCTTTCTTCCATTAGCAGGCTTTTCGTGAGAGATTTCAGCTAGGTCTTGCTGGTGGAGTTTCAAAGCATTGATTTTCTTCTGGTGCTGCTGTTCCATCACAGTCTTGTGGTCAACAGAGTCCACCCAGGAGCCTATCAAGTGCCCATTCTGAAGATCAAAGATCTGCAAGGTGTTTTTTGCAGCACAAAACAAAAGAGTGCCTTTGGAATTGGAGACTACCAACTGGAAGGGGTGTTTCATAGTGCTGTTTTTGCTGCTGTTTCTGCTGCTGGTGCTGTTTCTTCTTCGCGTGCTTCCAGAGCTCGCGCTGAAAAATTTCGCCCACCGAGACGGGCAGAGGCAGGTGTCTGCACGCACGCATGGCACCCGTGCGCGTGGCTCCTTCCGCCCGTGGCCGAGTCAACGCACAAAAGTCCCGAGTCAGCTTTGCCGCATCGCTTCTTATCGCTGGAGCTGGAGAGTGGAAGCTGGGCCCAGCGAGAATTTTTCACCAACCGACGCTCGCCCATATCCACTCCAGGTCCCAGATCCAGACCATAATCTCGAGCTTGTATCCACGTCCCAGCGTCCAATTCTCCTGCAATCTCAGACCTGCCTGGAGTATATATAACAAGGCCTTTTCGCTCGTTTTCTCTTTTCCATCGTTTTTCTTTTTCTACATTTCGCTAATTGCCTCAATAACCACAATTTGCTCGATTTCTTCTTTCTAGCTGGTTGTATTTCTGTTATCCAGTTGTTTTGTTTCTTTTGCTTGTTGGCTGTCTTCTTTCCTTCTTTGTTTTGGTTTTTTTCCTTCTGGCCCTGCTTCTTATCTCGTTTTTCTTATCAAAATTCCAATCTCCACAGTCATGCTAACATCCAAAATCCACTGTTCTATCAGGAACAATGCCTTTTCTGCGTTAGCAAAAAGAGTCACCTTTCCCTCCATTACCTCTAGCTCCAGCTCTATCTCAAAGAGTTTCAGATCTTCAAACAGTTTCTTGCTCTTATCAAGATCTTACTCTACTTCAATTGATGCTCCCTCAAAGGCTGACATTTCCTCCGAAAACTACTCCTCTATTTACGCAAATGCTACTCCTATCAGCTCAGATCTCACTAATAATCACACTTTATTAAAGCCTTTGGATAATTTTCAAAGACGTCACTTAGGTCCAAACCCTGATCAGGTCTCATTGATGCTAAAAGCTTTAAATTTTAATAATCTACAATCCTTTATTGAATCTGTAGTCCCGGAAAGCATCTTGCTTCGTCGTAATTTAAACATCCATCCTCAAAATGGCCTCACAGAATCCCAATTGTTATCCTCCTTAAAGGAAATCGCTTCAAAGAATAAATTGTTAAAATCTTTCATTGGAAAGGGTTATTACAATACAATCACTCCCCCAGTTATCCTAAGAAACTTATTCGAGGCTCCCGAATGGTACACCTCATACACTCCTTATCAGCCTGAAATCTCTCAGGGCAGATTGCAGTCTTTATTGAACTACCAAACTCTTGTCTCGGATTTGACTGGTCTACCCATTGCCAACGCTTCTCTTTTGGATGAAGCAACTGCTGCCGCCGAAGCAATGATCATGTCCCTACATTTCCTTAAAAATAAGAAAAAATCATATGTAGTAGATCAAAATATCCACCCTCAAACTTTATCTGTCCTAAAATCAAGAGCCCAAAATCTTGATATAAACATCCTCCAATTAGACCTAACCAATCCTGATTCTTTAGCTTCAATATCTTCTAACGATGACATTTGTGGTGCTTTAGTCCAATATCCTTCCACCAATGGTTCAATTGACAACTTCTCTCAAATTAGCGATATTATTCACAAGAAAAATGGTTTGTTCTCTGTTGCAACTGATTTACTAGCCCTCACTCTATTAACTCCTCCTTCAACTTTTAACGCTGATATTGCTTTAGGTTCCTCCCAAAGATTCGGTGTTCCAATGGGCTACGGTGGCCCTCATGCTGCTTTCTTTGCTGTCACCCAGAAATTGAGCAGAAAAATGCCTGGAAGATTAATTGGCCTTTCAAAGGACAGACTAGGCAACCCTGCTCTACGTTTAGCTCTACAAACAAGAGAACAACATATCAAGCGTGAAAAGGCAACTTCAAATATCTGTACTGCACAAGCTCTATTAGCTAACATGGCTGCTTCTTATGCCGTTTACCATGGTCCTCAAGGCTTGAAAAAAATAGCCGAAAGGGTCTTCAATTATACTTCAATTTTGGCCAACTCAATCATTAACAGTTCTGATCACCAACTAGTAAATCAAAATTGGTTTGACACTTTAACCATCAAATTAAATAACATCTCCTCATCCGATTTCCTAAAAATTTCCGTGGAAAAATTTGCTATCAATTTATTTAAAGTCGATGAATCAACCGTTTCCCTCTCTCTCGACGAATCTGTTGTTCAAAATGATCTAATTAACTTGATTGAGTTATTCACCTCTCAAAAATCAGACATCAATTCTTTATCGCAAAATTTTAAAAAATTCAATTTTTATTCAGACTTGACCAGAAATGACGAAATCTTATCCAATCCTGTTTTTCATGATTATCATTCCGAAACCTCAATGATGCGTTATCTACATCTACTACAAAGTAAAGATATCTCTTTGGCTAATTCAATGATCTCCCTAGGTTCTTGTACAATGAAATTAAATTCAGCTGTTGAAATGATTCCAGTTAGTTGGCCGGAATTTTCTCAAGTCCATCCTTTTGCTCCAATCGACCAAGCAGAGGGTTACCAGCAACTAATCAAAGAATTAGAAAGTGACCTAGCCAATATCACAGGCTTCGATGCTGTATCTTTAATGCCCAATTCCGGTGCTCAAGGTGAATATACAGGTCTTAGATTAATCATAGAATACCTTAAGAAAATTGGCCAAGGTTCAAGAAATATCTGTCTTATTCCTGTTTCCGCTCATGGAACTAATCCAGCAAGTGCTGCTATGGCAGGCTTAAAAGTTGTCCCTGTTAAATGTCTTAATGATGGTTCTTTAGATTTAGTTGATTTAAAACAAAAAGCTGAAAAACACTCTGATAGTTTAGCGGCTGTCATGATTACCTATCCTTCAACTTATGGTTTATTTGAACCTGGTGTTAAAACTGCTATTGATATCGTTCATCAAAACGGTGGTCAAGTTTACCTTGATGGTGCAAATATGAATGCTCAAGTTGGTTTAACTTCTCCAGGAGACTTAGGTGCTGATGTTTGTCATCTCAACTTGCATAAAACTTTTGCTATTCCACATGGTGGTGGTGGTCCAGGTGTTGGTCCAGTTTGTGTTAAAAAACATTTAACCCCATTTTTACCAAGTCACCCAATTATTAGATCAACCGAAAATGATCAAGAAGCCATTCTTCCAGTTTCAGCTGCTACTTTTGGTTCTGCGTCTATTTTACCAATTTCTTATGCTTACATCAAAATGATGGGTGCAACTGGTTTGCCATACGCATCAATCATTGCAATGTTAAATGCAAACTATATGATGCATAAATTAAAAGATCATTATAAAATTATGTTTATTGGGGAAGGTGATATAAAACATTGTGGTCATGAATTTATTATCGATTTAAGATCTTATAAACCAAACGGCATTGAAGCTATTGATGTTGCTAAAAGATTGCAAGATTACGGATTCCATGCCCCAACTATGAGTTTCCCAGTTCCTGGTACATTAATGATTGAACCAACAGAATCTGAAGATTTAGCCGAATTGGATAGATTTGTGGATGCAATGGTATCTATCAAAAAGGAAATTGACGCTAAAATAAACAATGAACCTTTTGGCAACGTTTTGAAAAATTCACCACACTCATTAATTGATATAATAAGCTCTCCAGGTTGGGAATCAAGAGGTTACACCAGAGAACAAGCAGCTTTCCCATTGCCTTATTTGAAAGTATCAAAACAATGGCCATCTGTTTGTCGTTTAGATGATACCTATGGAGATATGAATCTTATTTGCAGTTGTTCATCTGTTGAAGAAGTTGCAAACGATAATTAATTCTTTTTTTTTTTTTGCAAAATGATGTACAATATTTAACTTATTAAAGATGTTTTTATTTTCTATTTTATTTTATTTTCCAATAATATGAAAGGCATCATTCCTTTTAACGATTCAACTCAATATTCTAATAATCTATATTCTATCTTATTCCACATATTATAGTCCATATTCATAGTTTTTTTATTATTTTTCTTTTTCTTTTTCTTTTTCTTTTTCTTTTTCTTTTTCTTTTTCTTTTTCTTTTTCTTTTTCTTTTTCTTTTTCTTTTCTACCTAATTATACATTATTTCAATTCGTTGTAAATTTTATAAACGTTTTATCTGCACCAGATAATAGCAATATTTTTTAATCTGGGGGGTATGTAGGCAATTCAAAGTCTAGTTTTACAGTTTTACGGTTTTCATTGTTTTTCTTGGGGCTTTTTTTACACATTATATATGAAAAATATGAAAGTAATAAAAAAAAATTTTTAAAGAACAAACATTATTACATAAGATTGGGATATATATTCAAACAAAAGAAACAGAATTAATACAAAGAAAGTATATTAATAATGAAGGACAAATTGATTGAACTTTTTGAGTAACCAAACAAACAAATAAATGAAGTAAATTACCCATTTGTAAAATTAAGAATCAAAAGTCATATTAAGAATCATCATTTTGATATTTAAGACAATGATGGGAAGTTGGCGTCGTCGATAACAACAGATTTCTTTTCAGTGTCTGGATTTGCACTTCTGCCATTGCTTCTGCCATCTCTGGAACCTTTGAATGGACCTCTTCCACCTCTGGAGCCACCTCTGGGGCCACCTCTAGAACCACCTCTAGAGCCACCTCTGCCTCTGAAGCCACCTCTGCCTCTTCCACCTCTTGGAAGTTCATCAAAGAAAGTGGCTTCAAAATCCAAGTGTTGCTTTTCTTTCTTTGATTTAGATTTAACTTTTTTTGATAAAGAAGATTCAACAAAGACTTCTTTTTCTTTGACTAAAACTTCATTAGCGTTCCATTTGCTTTCGGAACCTTGGTTAGCTTTTCTTACTGGGGTAGCAGCTAAACCTTCAGTTTCGACTTTTAAAGAAGCAAGATATTCTTCCAAAGTTTGTTGAACTGGACCGGTTTCTTTTGGTTCTTCTTCTTCTTCACCTTCACCTTCAACTTTTTCTTCAACTTTTTCCTCAGCGACATCTTGAGCAGCAGCAAGTTCGGTGTCTAATTCTTTGTCGTCATCACCCCATGCTTGTTTAATCTTTTTGGCAGAATCGGTTTTACCAGTTCTTGATTGACGGTCACCAACAAAGTCTTTCTTTGCACGACGTGGGTTAATGGTTGAGGCTGGAGCATCAGTTGGTCTGGTTTTGTTTGGATTACGAATTAAATCCTTTGATCTGAAGACTGCTTCATTACCAGTTGGTTTAGAACGAGAGTTTTTTAGTGGACGAGTAGTTTTGGTTGGAGCAACATCAGCTTTCTTTGAAGAAGTTGTTTTCTTGACAATTTCCTTTGGAAGAGGAGGACGGCTAGTTTCTTCTACTTGATCATTACCTATATTGAGATGAATTAAATTAAATTAAATTGAATCAGGAATTTTTTAATTGTTAGTATAAAAATCGTCTTGAAATTTGCATTTGAAATTGAATTAAGTCAAAATAATTATTGGTTATGCATACCTAAAAGGTCAAATGGATTCTATAATAAAGATGAGGGATAAAAGTTAGTATACAAAATACAAGGGTACAGTTTAAGAAATAAAGTAGAGGAAATAATTTTGAATAATTTTTAATAGATTTGATAATTATTTATGATTATATATAACTATCTATAACAATTTATAATTAGTCATAATATTAAATTGAAAAAGTATAATGGAGGATGAATTTTAATTTTTTTTTAGTCTAATAAAATTTGAGGATTGGTGAAGTAGAATTGAGAAAAAGCGTACCTTATTGAATGACATTTTGATTTCTTTTGATGTTTGTATCCTTAGAAGAAAAAAAAACTTTCTTTAGTTATATATATATATTCGTTTGAACTAGAATTTGTTTCTAATATTTAAAAATTGCATATAAATACTTGATATATTTTACCAGCTCTTTTCACTTTTCCTACACAACTTTTTTTTTCTTAATCCTTAAATTTCGCCGGTATGAGAACTACACGTTACATGTAATTTAAGGTCTGCGTGGGTTCGGAATTGCGCTTTTCACGTGAAATGTGTCAAAGAAAGTGCTGCGAAAACCGTCGTTCCAAGATTATTTTGTTACTGATCATGTGAAACAAGATTAAGTCAAGGGGAATTGTGCTTGATAGATGAACAATAGTTCGTGGATATCAGTTAGTTGAAACACACTTGAAAGAAGAGCCGGGCAGTGTGGTTGTTTGAAAAAACATTTGTTGACTAATGTGAAATAATTTGTTTGTTTTAGAGAGAAGAACAAAGGAAAGAGAAATCGAAGTGGATCTTGTTTGAAACAATATACAGTTGTGGTCACATGCCGGACAAAAAGCTTTGAAGCTGTTTGGTGAGAGATAGAAAATGGGAAGAGAGAAAGTGATGATAGAATAAGCGAATAGAATAGTCGAAGAGTAAATTTAAAATGTCATTCAAAAACACAGTCGAAGCATCTAGAGCGTTGATCAGACAAATAAATCTCTTGCCATATGAGAAGTTGAAACCCTCGATATCGTTCAAAGAATCCCAATATGAGAGATACAGAAAGATTGCTAATTTGCCCCAACAGTTTGAGATACCTTACATTAAGCCTGCAATTAGTGAGGTAGATTTTAAAGATGAGCCCAGGGACAACAATACTGAGTCTTTAAAGACGTTAACATTAAAAGATTTTGAGAGACAGATCAATTCGTTAAAGAGTTTGTCTGAAAACAAATTCAAGAAATATTATGAGGTTGGAGATAAGTTATATAAACCTAATGGGAAGCCAGAATATTATGAAAGATTAATGAAGGAAATTAATGGTGAAAGTAAAGCTGGGATTTTTACAGCTTTGAAGGAGGTGTTTTTTCGTAAAGTATAGGTGGTTTGTTGGTTGATTAAGTGAGTGAGTAAATATTGATAATAATAGTTTGTATATAATTGAGGAATAAATCCCAAATTGAGTTTTGATATATTACTTTTTTGTATAAGATATAATTGGTTTAACATTACTGATTAATAAATCTGAGGTATTTTGTTTAGCGATAATAGCATCGTTATCTGTTTCATATTCAATAAATGCTAAATTTCTGACTTTAACCAATCTGATTTCAACAAAGCCATGGAATTTTTGAAAAGTTGAATTTAAAGTAGAATTTAATTGTTCAGCAGATAAATCTTTTGGCAAGTTTTGAATTAATAATAATTTATTTGGAGGCAACAAGTTGATATCAATCATGGGTTCTTTTTTAGTTTTATTGTTGTAATTATTTATATTTCCATCTGAGCCCGAGTTGTTTTTATTTTGATTTGTGGTGAAAGAAGATAAAGTCTTTTTTGAATTCAATCTTTCTTGTTCTCTTTTTAGTTTTAATGATTTTCTGTTGTTCAAATAAGATTGAAAATCCGATTCATTCAAGTTGAATTTTAAATTTGAGTCAGAGTTTGCTTTCGCTAGATATATCTCTGTATTTTTTTTGAATGGTAAAAGATTGTCTTTATAAGTTTCAGATTTAGCATTTAGTTGAAGATTTAATTTGATTATATTGTTAAGATTAATTGAGTTATCATTGTTATCGTTGTTGAAAAATTGATAAAACTTTGAGCATTTCAAATGAGACTCAAAGCTTATAAATGCCTGGCCTCTCATTCTAAGATTTTTGTGAGCAGTTATTGATAGGATCGGATACCAGTCTGAGGATGGGTTATTAAAGATGGTTGATAAGAATTTTTTCAAATTGTTGATAGATATCTTTTCATTTAGGTTTTTCAAGTATATGGTTGATACGTTGGAGTCATGATGAGCATTTAGGTCAGAATCGGGGACCAGAGCACTTTGATCTGCTTGCATTTTGTATATATTTGGCTTTCTTTATCCAGCTATAAAGAGAAGAAACAGCAATTGTTTGGAGAAAAAACATGGCATTATATTAGAAGACAAGAGTGCCACTTCTCTGGATCGCATATGAGCGCAGTAACATACATATAAACCGTTTCTGCGGATGCAGCATGCTTATACAGCTGCTTGCTCAATATAACACCCGTATGCGTCACCCGTGCTGCTGGCCATATCTTTTCCTAAGAGAGCAAGTGCAGTCAAGGTGAATGTTTCTCCAACCTAAAACATGGCAGCAGAACAGAATAGAAGAAAAGGAATACATTTGTATTATATTATATCTTCTTATTCTTCAGGAAAAATTTTCAAATTAGATATTCTTTTGTCGTTTTGTTGTTTCACTTTCAATTAAATTTTAGAATAACATTATTTTTGTTTCATTTGTTCTTCTGTATATCCTTTGCAGTTTTGGCTTATAGGTATCAGACAAGTTTAGTTGGGAGATTATCAAGTGTTATCAACTACTATCAGATTTAGTGTTTATGAAGTCTCCTTTTCGTTCCTTTTGGTAGAAAGATATATATATAAGGCAGTATTAACTTTGTATTTTCATTCAAGTCATCGTTAATATTTGATAATTATTAATTATTAATTATTAATTAGTTTGTTTTTTCCTTTCCTTTTCCTTTTCCTTTTCCTTTTCCTTTTCCTTTTCCTTTTCCTTTTCCTTTCCTTTTTCTTTTCCTTTTTCTTTTTCTTTTTAGATTGATTTAGAGCACTTGTTATATTAAAATGGGACAACTTGCATCACAGCCAGTTACAGAAAAGACTATCAGTAGCAATAGTTTTATGAATATGTCGTATTCAATTGGATCATGTCAAGGATGGAGGTTAACAATGGAAGATGCGCATTGTGCAATTGAAAAGACGTTTAAATTTTCCAAATTAGTGAAGAATGCCAATCATCCTAATAATGTTGTGCATCATCATAAAGAGAACAATGCGGATAGCAATAGAGATGGCAATAGAGATAGAGAAAAGAGTTATGCAGAACAGAATGGGAGCAATGGTGGGAATGATAAAGAAGAAAGTATACTAAAGCAAAGACAGTATTCTATAAAGGAAGACGAATTAAATATCAAAATCTTTGGTGTATTTGATGGACATGGGGGATTTAAGTGTTCCAAATACTTGTCACAATATTTGCCTCAAATAATAATAAATGAGTTCCAAACATATTTCCAGAAGCACTCCAACAGTGGTGGTGCTAGTGCCAGTGTTAGTGTTGGTACTGGTGCTGGTACTGGTCCGGATGATAAAGATATCAATATAATTCAGACATATTCAAATATAATTAAAAATTCGTTTTTCAAATGTGATTATGATTTATATATTAAAGATATTAATAGTGGATCCACGGCTATATTATTGATTGTAATAGATAATAAACATTCATTTATAGTAAACACAGGGGACTCCAGGTGTATTTTAAGCTGTTATAATGGATGCAATAAGAATCTATCCTATGATCACAAACCCAAGAATATAGGGGAGTTAATCAGAATATCAGATGCCGGAGGAAATGTCAATTCAAATCGAGTGGATGGAATGTTGGCATTAAGTAGGGCATTTGGGGATTTTAATTTCAAGAAAAAATTTATATTTATGAACAAACTAAAGGAGATTTATAATGTTACGAATGTGAATAGCATCCATTCAAAGAGTCTGAATATTCCCAGTAGTAATAAAAAAAAAAGTACGGGTAGTAATAATAATAATAATAATAATAATAATGATAATGATAATAATAATAATAATAATAATAACAACAATAATAATAACAATGATAATAGCAATAATAATAACAATAATAATGAGGATAGTAGTAGTGATGAAGAATTGGATAAGATAAGGAAATTGGAAAAGGAGTTTCATAAATATTATATTCCGTCAGAGGAGACCCAGGTGACAGTTGAGCCAGAAATAATCTATCACGAATTAAATTATAGTAAGGACGAATTTTTCATTTTGGCGTGTGATGGTATATGGGACATTTTCAGGAACAACGAGATTATCAAGTTCATCAAAAGAGAGTTGCAACAGAACAGCTCGTTGGACAAAATCAATGAAAAGATCATTGAAAAGATCCTCAACTCCACCAATAGCTCAAAGGGAATCGGCTACGATAATATGACACTAATAATAATTGCATTGCATAACAACAGCAGGCTCGAGGAGTGGTATGAAAAGATGAAATTGAAGGATTAACATCGTGAGCGTGGCGTGTGATTGGCTGCTGGTGCAGCTGCTTTTTAGTTTTTTTCTGGATAATTGCTTCACCGACGTTTGTCGTGTTGTTTTGTTACATTTGTTACATTTGCTTCTTTTGCTTCTTTTGCTACCCTTGCTTCTTTGGCTTTTCTCCAGCACCAGCACTGTGGACCCGGCACCACGCGCAGCACCGGCGGGAAGCCTCGGGCTGCAGGTGCGCCTAAGCGCATGGGCGGCGGGAGCCAGCACTGTGGGCTCGAGCGCGCCTGTTGGGAACGGGTTACGGCACCAGTGTTGGGGGCGCGCACCAGTGCTGGGGGTCTTCCTGGAGGGTGGTTCCACTGGGGCTCCGGGGCAAGGTATAAAAGGACGTCGGCTGCTTTGTGGTGGCTTTCTCTCGAAGTTTTCTCCACATCAAACAGCCAGATCGACAACAGGCAGAAAAAGCAGCAAAAGCAGCAGAATTAGCAGCAGCAGCACAGGCACTTCCCTTCCGGTGCTCATTCCAACCCCTTCCACTCAGGCACTGGCCTACTTCCTATTCCAGTCTCCACCCTTTGCGACCTCCAGCAACTTCTCGTCAGCCAAAATAACTTTCAAAGAAGTTTTCAATTTAGCTTTAGAAGCCTTAGATAATAAATTTATTATTTACCATTTTCCATTCACTGAAAAGCTCAATTTCACATTTATCACAAGATCCATATCATATTACAAGATTCTTTTTACCATCCATACTCTTTTCTTGTTTATATTTTACTCTTTTAAACTGTTTTCCAAGTCTCTACAAAACCTTATCCCGTTTTATTATTATCCCAATTTTCATTATATCATATTATATCACAAAATACACCTAGTTATAACAGAAAATAATAAGCATATTCAAAAAAAAATCATCCCAACATCGTCCTTTTTTTTCTGTCATATTCTTTCTAATCAATTTCATCTCATGTTATTCTGTCTATTCTCGTTTTATTGTTCCTAACTAAAAACACTTGTTTCTGATTTTTTCTTTCCTTAAAAGCATATATTTTTTAATTCAACCAAAACAAAAATAAATAAAAAAAGAAATTACAACTATACTCAATTTATATCTATAATTATATTCTCAATTTATTAATATAAATATCTTATCAAAAGTTCAACTCCATTTATTTTCCTTATCTTTATCAATATCCTTTCTTATTCTTTTATCTTATACTAATTTTATTTGTTTATTTATTTATTTATTTATTTATTTTTTTCTTTCTTTCATCTACTTACTTACTTACTTACTTACTTATCTACTTATCTACTTTCTCTTTAAATTTCTCCATCTCATCTCTTATTCATGGCTTCTTCAATCTCTAGCCACTACTACTCTTCTGTCTCCGTCAAACCACTCTCTTACAATATTAACGATAACGACCTCACTTTAACTTTAGAATCCGATGATGAAAATATAAACTACTCCTCAATATCAACTCTAAATAGAAACAACACTAATTTTAATAATAACAATAACAATAACGATAACAACAAAAATAAAATTTTCAATTTGAAAAGAAGAATTACAAAAATGAACAACCGGAACAAAATCTCTAATAATAACAATACCACTGCTTCCACCACCACCACTACCACCACTTCTACTAATAGCATTAGCTCAAATGACATTAAAAACAATCTAGATAACGTAGATAACGACGATAGCCTCTACAACTCAGACCCAATCTTAGCTCTAATCACCTCCGACAAAATCATACCTTCATCCCTACAAAATGTCGTGCAAAATTTACCTCTCTCTGATAAACCTTTAATCAAATACATCAATAAAGCCTTTAATTGCTACCAAGACCTAATCAACTTGAATAACTTTTCAACCTCATGGGAATTCAAATTTCTAGAAAAAATCTCTGACTTGAATTTCTCTTCCTTTCCAATTCCAATTCCAAAAGAAAACCAAAACTTAAACTCAAACCCAAACCCAAACTCAAACTCAAGCTCAAGCTCAGAATTTTACCTCAAAATAGCTAAGCTAATCATCAATAAATCCTTGGAAATTCACCAATACATTTACGAATTAAACCCAAACATTAACGAAATTAACAAAATCTTATCCTCCTTTACTGCCCAACAGTTCATCAGCGATGCAGGCTGCATTCTAACTGAACTATCTCTAAAAATCATCAAATTGAAAAACGAACTTCACGACAAAATCAACATTGTCTACTCAAAATCAAAACTACTAATCATCAACTCAGATCTAGAAGATCTATTGAAAAACTGCAATGACTCCTCCCTCTCGAACGTTGATAGCCAAAGCTTTAAAATCACTAAAGACCTAGAATCAACTTTATTATCCTACAAAACCTTTGTTTCAACCTTATTATCTCAACTAAACTTGGCTATCGAAAACAATAATGATACTGAAATTGATGAAACTTTGCAAGTCATCTCAGATTTAGAAAAAATGTTTTTAGCTGTAAAACAAAAATTAAATCATGGCTTTGATGAAGATGATGAAGGTTATCTTTCTTCTGCTTCAATTAGATCTACTAAATCAAACTTTTCAAGAAAATCAACTGCTTCTTCCTTTAACATGGAAAGAAGACCAACCAATAATATCAACAATATTAACAACAACCTTAATAGAACTTTTTATAATAATCAACACTTATCTTCAAACACCTCTTCAAACATCCCTCCAATCACTCTGGAAAATATTACTACCACTACTACCGATAATAATAATAAAAATATCAAAAAAGAAAACCAAAAACATGAAATTCTCAATCCACTTCCAAAACCTCAATTTACAACTTCATTTGCTTCTTCCTCAACCCCAGAAAATATCTCAAATGAATCCATCCAACAAAACATTCCTCAAGCTACAAGTACTCCACCTCCAAATGTCCCTGTTAAATTAAATTTCGAAGAACCCTTTATCAAATCCGTTGAAACCACTAGGTCTTCCTCATCTTCAACAAATTTTGAAAACGATACTTTGTATGAACCACTAGGCGATAATGAAGGAATGGAAACCTCTATCATCAATATCAAAAAATTACAATCACTACATACTGCCTCTGGCTCTGCATACGTTTTCACTCCCGGTTCCCATAGATCGTCTTTTTCTTCTGGCTCAACTTCAATGACACTAGTCAACCATCATGCTGGCAACACCGGTAAAAAGAAATCCACAATTTCATCAGAGATGCCATATTTATTAAATGCTTTTGACAACGCTAGACAAGTTGAACATGATTTGATTGACATAATTGAAGAAGCCAATCTAGGTAACTCAATTTTAGGCAATAGAAAAAATCATAAAGTCTTGCGCAAATCATCAATTGGTCAATTGAATAACAACAATAATAAAAATAAAAGCAACAGTTTTTCACTTAATTATACTTTAAACAAAAATGATCAAGATAAAAAAGAAATCATGGAAGATGATGGTCATTTGTTAGAGTATGCAGGCAACAAAGTCGGCAACACATCCAAACTATTTGCACGTACAAATTTCATCAAATCGCTGACACCAAGACCTTTTGTTCAAAAACCTATTATTGCAGGCGTTTCGAATAGCTCTAATTTAACATCACTATCAAATCCACTTATTGTCAAAACGGAAGTCATCAATGGTAATAAAGTCGGTGGAGGTTTGCTATCCAAATTCAACTTATTGTCTCCATCAACATCTAAGAATAATTTGTCCCAATATTCTACACCAAAAGTTAGAAAAACAATCGATAACAGAACCTTTTCATCACGTAGAGGCTCAATGAGATCATTATCAGGTAATGAGTTGGGATTAGTTACTATGGCCTCCAAAAATTCCGTATTGGGTTCTCCTCTAACACTAGATGCTGATTTTAAACAAAGAAATTTATTAATGGGAATTGAGTCTGATAATGAAAACTCTGAAAACTCTGAAGACGAAGATTCGGATTCAAATTCAGATTCGGAAGAAGCCGATGATGAAGAAAGTTTCGATGAAGATATTTCTGAGAATGACGATTTTGAAGAACTTGCCAACGAAATTGATTAAATCTAACGACTAAAATCACTAATCCAATTCACAACTACCAAACACATATCGTTAAACTATTTTTCCTTTTGAACCCTAATATTAATTATTATTCTTTCTACTTATAAAACTCATAAGATGTTTAAACCTTATAAAACACAAAATTTAAATTTTTTTCATCCTTTTAGTTTCTATTTTGCTTTCTTGTTTCATGTATTTCTTTCTACCCTTTCTATTCAGTTTTTTTTCTTCATTATTAATTACTAATTACTACAAAATATTTCTCAGACTATTGAATCACTTTTCCTATCTCTTTACTGCCCTTTTCCAAAAAATATCTATTTTTATGTATTTTTATCACCCCTTTAGTTCTCACCTCCCGAGCCTCTTCTTTCTATATACTATATCCAATACAATATACAGCCCTCACGACCCTCTTTCTCCTCCCACGCAGCACAAGCACCACAAGCTCTCAAAGTGGAAGGTTGACGCGCTGCATCACATGATATATCACATGTTTCGACTGCTTTTGGAGTGCTGCTTTTCTCTGTTTTGGTGCTGGAGATTCAAACAACCACTTCTTGTGCTGCTGTTGCTATATCTGTCTGTTACTCACCCACAATGGCTACTTTGAACGACAAGGAGCTTTGTATGTTTGTCTTCTGTTTTCTTACTGGCATGGGCTCTTGCCATTGGTTCCAATTTCTTTGCTGTATTTCCTGTTACTATGTTACTAACATTGTTGTCCAGTCGATCTTAACAAGAAAGCTGCAGTTGAAGGCTTTAAGATAAAACCAAGAATCACTTATAATACCGTTGGTGGTGTCAATGGTCCTTTGGTCATCTTGGAAAATGTTAAATTTCCTCGTTATAATGAAATTGTCAATTTAACTTTGCCCGATGGAACGGTTAGAGCTGGTCAGGTTTTAGAAGTTAGAGGTGATAGAGCTATTGTCCAAGTCTTTGAAGGTACCTCCGGAATCGATGTCAAAAAAACCAGAGTTGAATTCACAGGCCAGAACTTAAAATTGCCTGTTTCCGAAGATATGTTGGGTAGAATATTTGATGGTTCTGGTAGACCAATTGATAATGGTCCAAAAGTATTTGCTGAAGACTATCTTGATATTAATGGTTCTCCAATCAATCCATTTGCAAGAATTTATCCCGAAGAAATGATATCAACAGGTATATCTGCAATTGACACAATGAATTCCATTGCAAGAGGTCAAAAAATTCCTATTTTTTCTGCTTCTGGTTTACCTCACAATGAAATTGCTGCTCAAATTTGTAGACAAGCCGGTCTAGTTAGACCAACTAAAGATGTTCATGATGGTCATGAAGAAAATTTCTCAATTGTCTTTGCCGCTATGGGTGTTAATTTAGAAACTTCTAGATTTTTCAAACAAGATTTTGAAGAAAATGGTTCATTGGAAAGAACAACTTTATTCTTAAACTTGGCTAATGATCCAACTATTGAAAGAATTATCACTCCAAGATTGGCCTTGACAACTGCCGAATATTTAGCTTATCAAACCGAACGTCATGTTTTAACTATTTTAACCGATATGTCTTCCTACGCTGATGCTCTTAGAGAAGTTTCAGCTGCTAGAGAAGAAGTTCCAGGTAGAAGAGGTTATCCTGGTTATATGTATACTGATTTATCAACAATTTATGAAAGAGCAGGTAGAGTCGAAGGTAGAAACGGTTCAATTACTCAAATTCCAATTTTAACCATGCCTAATGATGATATCACTCATCCAATTCCTGATTTAACTGGTTATATTACTGAAGGCCAAATTTCTATTGATAGACAATTACACAATAGAGGTATTTATCCTCCAATTAATGTCTTACCTTCTTTATCTCGTTTAATGAAAAGTGCTATTGGTGAGGGTATGACAAGAAAAGATCATGGTGATGTTTCTAATCAATTATATGCCAAATATGCTATTGGTAGAGATGCCGCTGCAATGAAAGCTGTTGTTGGTGAAGAGGCTCTTTCTACAGAAGATAAATTATCCCTAGAATTTTTGGAAAAGTTCGAAAAAACTTTCATCAATCAAGGTGCTTATGAAAATAGAACCATTTTTGAAAGTTTAGATCAAGCTTGGTCTTTATTAAGAATTTATCCAAAAGAATTATTAAATAGAATTTCTCCCAAAATTCTAGATGAATTTTATGACAGAGATAGATCTAGAAATGATGAAGACGACGATGATAAAGATGACGACGATAAAGATTTATTGGATGCTTAAGTAATTAATAAATTGATATTTAACTTTGATTTTTGATTTTTGATTTTTGATTTTTCTATACACATTTTACTTTACAATAAAAATTGTCATAACCTTAATCCTAATCATATTCATAGTAATAAACAAAATTAAATTTATTATTATAATTTGATTAAATTTAATAAACAAAATTTCTTTTCTAATATTCTGCTTAAGTCACATATTGTCAAATCCTTTACCCAAACTATTTTTCTTTATTTTTTTCTCTTGAAATCTTTTTACATGTTTGTCCATTTTTTTTTATATATTTTTATAATATTTAATCTTACTTCGAGGTTACCTAAAATTTATTTATTCCTTTTCTTTTCATCTTCCTTATAATTATTTCCAGATTATGAATTAATTGATTAATAATTGCTTATACGTTCAGAGAATTTAGAGCATGTCTGAATCAACAATCTAAAAACAACCCAACAAGGAAATAATAAATTTGAAGCTTCACTTAAAAAAAATTAATAGAAAGTAAGTAAAACCCCCCAATTACATATAAAAATACTCCTTTATTTCTGAAAAGATTATTCTTTATTTCTATTATTCATTCATCAAAAAGAAAACTCAAGTTTTGGTATAAATATATCTTGATATCTAGATATACCTAAATCCCTGAACAGAAATAAAAAATGATTCCGATCAACCATTATGATAAAATTGATAATAATGATTCTTTAAAAATTAAGATTCAAAATAAGTTATCAGTTGACATTGCTCCTGAGGTTGACTGTCTTTCGCAAATTTTTAGCAATGTGCCAAAGAATCATATAATTGAAGTTTTGAAAACCTGTGAAGGTGATAAAAATAAAGCGAGTGAATTATTATCCAAAGAATGTGACAAAAATTTTGATATTATTATCTTGATAGAAACATTTCCACATATACCAAAAAGTAAGCTTGAGAGAATTCATGAAAAAAATAATTGTGATATTAATAAGACTTCAAATAATTTAATTTTTTCTCAAGACATTTTAGTTCGTAAAAATAACAATCAAAAATTTAAATTAGTGCAAAAAAAGTCAAGAAATACAAGAAAAAAACAACAACATATAAGCACGAACAAATCAAAAAATAACAAACCAACAAACAATAAAGCTGAAATTAAACCTCAAAACCAAATAAATAATGATTTCAATGACTCAAATATTGAAAACATCAATTTTGATTTACTAGAAACAAATGAAAATCACAAAAAACCAGAAAAACATGCTTTGATTTATGATCAATTAGAAATGATATTGAAATTTTTAAGATTGCCAGTAGAGTTGTGTGAGTTTTATTATCAAAAAAACTGTGCAAACGTTTTGAAATATATAATCGATATTATAACAAATGAAGATTCCCCTTTTTTAACATCAAAGTGCTCAGAATCACCAAACTCATTGGCCTCAGATTTTTTGTTTAATTCGCCTTTTATCTCAAACAAAAAGGATACCATAGATTTTAATGTAGAAAGCCCATTCAATAAGAAAAATCATCTGAAGGGTTTGGAGGTTCTGAAAAAGATTAAAGCCTCAGAAATTTTATGGAAAGAAATACGAAAAATTGAATCCCCTAAAAATACATCTAAAAACTATCATAACTCCATTAAAAAAGAATTTTTCACAAATTTAAATTTCAATAACCTGAATTCAGATAATATAGAATCAGTGTCCAATTTTAAAGTGGATTCAACAACTTATTTATATGATCACAATAGTAATGAATCAATCATGTTGAAAAAATTTTTAACTGAGAATTCAGATTACGATCAGTTAAAATTGCCAGATATTTTTCTTCAAAAGTCATTGGAGTATTTTAATGGTAATTATTTGCTTCTTATTAAGTTGTTGATTTATATTTTTGAAATTCAAAAAACCAAAGATGATAGCAAATTTAAGCAGCCCAATAAATCTGAAAATGACATCCCTCATGGTAATTGTTTTAAACAACCTTTAAAAAATATGAATCCTTATCTAATCTTATCGCTCAAATCTGAAGGATACAAAGAATATTTAAATACTGAAATATCTTGTTATAATCGTAGAAATCGTTCAAATGAAATTTTTGAGACAAGAGATAATGCATGTAAAAAAAAATTTACTTTAAAGTTGTCTGAAAGATTAAATGAAAAATGTGAATTACACCAAAATAATTTAAAAAAAAAACAGTTATTAAATTTCAAGCAGAATTTAACAATTGATTTGCATAAGTTTAGTTTAAGAAATTCAAAAAAAACCACCATACAAATACTAGCAGAATGGAAATCAATTGAATTTGAGCTCAGAGAAAACGAAGGTAATATGAAAAAAAATAAATATTATAATTTAGTTGGCCCATTGATAATTATAGCAGGAAGAGGGCTTCATGGTAAAAAAGAATGTCCCAGTATTCGAACTTTTGTTGAAAAACATTTAACAAATAACAAATATATTTTTAATGAACATTTAGGTACATTTCAAGTTATTGGCCAACAACTTTAAATGAAATTCAGTTTTATTTATTAATATATAATTTTATTTATAATTGATTAAGTGGTATAATGCTAATATGATGTCAATATAATGCATGTGTTCATGGGATATAGTATATTAGTTTGGGTTGTTGCAAAGAATTTTCATTAGATTTAACTCGCTTGAGAGGTATTGAGACAAGATTTCTCTGTTTTTGTCATTTATTATCATCTTGTTACTATCGTGTTTTTGTTTATTTTTCAACTGTTGATTGTTTGATTGATCTATGGAGTCGATTAAANTTTTCTTTCTAACTAGCAATTTTTTTTCGATGCTGTTTAAGTTTGACAATGATGTATGTAGCTGGTTGTAGCTATTCAAGTATTGGTTGCTGTACTTGAGCTCCAAGTCGCTATTCATCATCTTTCTCTTTTTGATGATTCGGTTCAAAATGGGCTTGGAGTTTAGCACCAAGAATTCGTTCATGTCGTTGTTCGTATTGGTGTAGTCTAGATTTTTGATAATATCCAAATGATTTATGTTGCCTTCACTGTATTTCTTTTCATCCAATAAACTAGTCAAATGCTTCGACACCTCATTAGAATAATCGTCAAACTCATCCAATCTTCTTTTAAAGATCTGTCTGTTATCATGGTTTCCATCACCACCGTTGCTGTGTATTGTGTGTAACTTTTTAGATACCACATCTATCTGTAGCAACAACTTGTCATTCTGCGCACTCAAATTTTTATTCGACTGGCTAGTTTGGTTGATCTCTTTATATTTTGTGTCGGTTTTTCTGAGAATCTGATTTATCTCCACGAACAAATCGTCTCTCTTACTTTTTTTCTCGTTCAACACCTCTTTGAACTTTCCAATTTCAATCACTTTGTTGTTCAAATCCTCTATCGTAATAAACTTGGAGTCAAAGATGTAGCTTAGAAACTTGTCCTTGGTATACTGTTCCAAGTATGTGAACTTCAAGTTGGAGAAAAACTCATTGAGCTGGTTTATGATCTGCACCAAGTACCTAGGCTCTTTGATCAACTTGTCGTAGTAATCCTTGATGTTGTCCTCGATGTTCTTTATGTTTTCCACGATCATCTCGTTGTCTGCATTTTTTTCTGTCAAGCTTTCATTGTTTACAATGTCTTTGATTAGTGTGTTGAGACTCTTGATGTAGTTTAACTTAGCGTTTGAGAACTCGCAGTAGTCAAGGCCAGAAGACAAGCCACTCGAACCAAAGCTATCACCAGCACCATTGCCACCAGCACCATCGCCACCACTTCCATCAGCTCCAACAGTCATTTTTCAGTGTGTTTCGTCTTCCAGCTCCATCCCAAAGAAGTAAACAAATAAATCTCTCCACGAAAGAGCCCTAGCAGAAGTAGGGCTCGGGTCACGCCACCCACAAAGACGGCTTCGTTTGCTCAAACACAGCGGTTTCTCATTAGAAGAGCACCAAATATACTGATTTGTCTCTGTGTGCTGTTTGGAGTGCTGTTTGGAGTGCTGTTTGGAGTGCTGTTTGGAGTGCTGTTTGGTGCGATGATTACGACCAAACTTGTTTCTGGCAGTGTGTTTATTTCAAACAGCGAATTGAGCTACAGATGCATCTCAATCAAGACAGTTACTGAATCATAGAGAAAATAAAACAACATTGCGGAGATAATTACGAAAACTATTACGATCACAGACTACTACGATCACGAAATCTGTTTCTGTTTTATTTTTGCTCTTTCTGTTTTGCTGCTTTTAAATTTGGTAGTTTTTACTAACTCTATTGCTTATTATTGTTGTGAAATCTTTAACATTGGACTTTTATATGTATCGGGAATGAAAAATGCTGGAAACTGGCTGTCAAATATGAATTGATGTTGTGGTCCAACATTGTCATAGTTGCACACATGCAGCGTAAGTCTTTGATATTTATTTGTTTTTGGATTAAATAAAATAGCTAAAAAACTGTGGAGAGAATATGTAACAGCTTGCGAACTGTGAAAAATATAAAATATATAGACAATAAAGCTATTAAATTTGCAAATGAAGTAATAAAAATGAAATAATAAATGAAAACAAAAAACACAATAAAATGATAAACTATTTCAACACCATAATTATACAATCCGTAAACAATTATACAATCCGTAAACAATTATCAAAGCAGATAAACTTTATCCTTCACCAAAACATTTATTTTAGTCTCAATCTGCTAAAAGGTGGTATGTGTTGAATATATCTAATAGAGGTTGATCTCACTTTCAATGTATGTAATTTTACTAGCATTGATATATCATTCAATCCTATTGCAAGGTTGAATGATATATCTAACTGCTCTAATTCAGTTAAGTTAGATATATTATCAAATTTCAAAAGATTGTTATTTGATAAGTTTAGAATTCTTACACCATGCAAATCTGATAAAGCAGCAGTACCAGTGATTCTATTTCTCGATAAGTTTACATTAATTAAATAATTTGAGGCTGGAAGGTCCGATAAACTGTTGATAAAATTGCCTTTAAGATCCAGTTTTTCTATGGAACATAAAACTGATAGACCAGCAACTTTAGTGATACTATTGAATGAGAGATTGAATATTTTCAAGGTCTCTATATCATCTAACCCTTCAATTGTTTTGATCTTGTTATATGAAAGATTTAATGATTTTAATCTGAATAAATAATGCAAGTTTTGTGTTTTGAAAATCCTATTATCTGACAAACTCAAAGCTTGTAAGTGATATAATTCAGTTAAACCAGAAATTTTTTTGATTTTATTATTAGATAAGTTTAAAACTTTTAAATCAAAAAATGGCGATAAATCTGGAATTTTTGGGATTTTATTGCAACTTAAATTCAAGTGAGTAAGATTAAGCAATGATGGTAAATCGATTTTCAGAATTTGATTGTGAGATAGATCTAAAAGTTTTAGAATCAGCAAACCACTAAACTTAGTTAAATTTGGAAATCTATTAAGATTTTGGTATTTTGAAGATACATTGTATAATAAAAATGAATTAAAAAATGAAAGATTAGTGTTGAAGGATAAACTAGAAAAATCTAAATTATCAATGGTATTTGAGGTTTTTAATTCATCAATTGAAAATGTTTGATCAAACTTCATGAACTTAGGTACGAGACTTAAAAAATTGTTCTGACTATAACTAGTAGGATTTTTGCGATACTCCATTCCGTTTCTGAATGAATAGATAAAAGACTTAATGGTGTTTGAATTGAAAATAATCAAAATCTTAAAAAAATTAATAGCAATGAAAAATTTTCTTTGATCAGCAATATCAGAATTTATATATAATAAACAAGTTTTCAAATTGCTTGTTAAATATAATATATTTCTTAATTGGGAATAATATAATACACCCAGTCTAAAACCAGTTTGAATATCAAGCAATAGATGTTCAATTGAGTCAAAATATTGATTATTAATTCTATCAAAATTTTCCAAATTCAACACAAATTTATATGAATTGCGGTTTCTGTTATTTTTTTTATTGGTTATTGTAACCTTATTAAACAAATGTTTCAAAGCACTTTGTCTTAAAACCTCATTATCTGACAATGTGAACAACCAAAGTTTATCATAGGGTAGATTTGAAAAGACTGCATTAATAATCTTAGGAGAACTAGCTTCCATAATAGCAATTTGGTATTTACTATAACGTGAATGAGAAGCAGTGATATGTTAAAAGGCACTTTTTAATTTATCACAAAGTACTAATAGATTTGAGGGTAAAATATACCAATCAACAGACCAGGATATGAATGGTTTATATATTGGATTTTTATTATCATTTGTATTTTAAATAATAGATAAAAGTTTTTTCAAGACTTCTTTACCACAGCAAGATGAATCTGTATTTTTTAAGAAACCAAGGAAAGCTTTGGATTTTTTGATAAAAAACGGATTTAATCGAGAGTTATCAGGAACTCATAATGATTTATAGCTATGAATTGTTGTAGTTGCAAATATGATGATTTGTATAATAATCTAGAAATTGAACATATTTTTGATTTTTTGATCTGTTCATCAGAATTTGAAAGAAGTTTTTAGAAAAAAAAATATATATCCCAATTAGGAAACATCATAGATTCTGATTCCAGTTGAATTACAAAGGAAATAGAAACAGATATCGCGGAGATAATCACGTTTGATTACCAACATGTTTTTCGAAAAGTTAGCGGGACCAAATACGTAAAATCAGTGTCTGAGTGTCTGACGAAACCAAAGTAAAGAATTACGGTTTTCAATACCGTTGAATGCTGATGATAATTATTACTCTTCTACTGGGAATTGAGCTTGCAACAGAATAATCAATAACAAAGTTGTAACCACTGCGCTAAAAAATTCAAAAAAGTTTGCCAGAGATATATTTTTTTTTATAAAGCTTGATTTGAATTTTTTTAGTTTTTTTTTCAATTTTTTCCACAGAATTGGAAATAAAGTCAATCTCCTAACTAATTCATTTAAAACATTATCTGCTTCTTTTACTTCTTTATCATTAGTATTATTATTATCTTCTCAATATTCTTTTTTTCTCCTTTTTTATGTTAAAATGAGTTTTGTTCCTTTTGTCAATATTATTTCCACCGGCTCTATTGCTTCATCTAACAATATTCCCTTTAATCTTAATGATAAATCAAGTTTTATTCAAAAGTCTATTAATATTTTCGATAGTTTATCAAATAATTATAAATCACCTTTAACAAGAGTAAATCAATTAGACGCAACATTATTAGATCAAGAAATATTCAACTCTTTATTTGAAAAGACTTTATCGATATTCAATAATAATTTTTATCCAGTTTTAAAATTAAATTACTCAAATGAACTTAAGCTATTTTTGAAATCAATATTATTTAAATTCACGATTTGGGATAATTCAACAACTTATGGATTTTTTTTGCAAAACTTAAAATTGATTGTCAATAATAGCAAAGAAAATAAGAATCTTCAAAAAACTACTCAAAATAGTAGAAAATTAACAAAAAAAATCAAAATTTTATACTATATATTTTTTATTCTTTTTGAGTATCTTCATGAAAAAATAGAGTTTTATATGTATTCAATGGATGATGATGAGGATGAGGATGGGGATGGGGATGGGGATGAAGATTATTACCATGAAAATCATGAGACTGAAAATGTTGACGATTATGAATTTGATAGCAATAAAAATAGAAAGAGAAAACAATCTTTATTTAAGAATATAATCAAAAAACTTTTAAGATTTTTTAAACCAATCTTCATGGTTTTCACTAATTTTTACAAGATTTTGAATTTATTCATTTTTTGCAAATTTTTAATTGATGGGAAATTTCAATCTTTAAATTATTATTTATTAAATATTTCCACAAATATAAATTCAATTGAATTTGATAAGAAAAATAAAGGTAATGTATCATTTGAATATCAAAATAGACAATTAATTTGGAATACATTTATAGAATTTTTGATATTTTTTTTGCCAATAATTCAGAAAAATAACAATTCCAAGAATAAAATTCTTAAAAATTTAAGAAAACAAAATAAAATTTTCTTTAAAAATTCAAAAATTGGAAAATTCATTTCTAAAAATTATTTAAATCAAGGTAATTATGATGGTGGTCATAGTGAATCTAGAAATTTAAAAAAATTGACAAATATTCAATTGTTTAATCATTTAAACCAATCTCAATGTGCTATCTGTTATCAAAATACAAATAATTTTAATAATTTAAATTCTTCCAATTCTAATACAAATTCATTAATTGGCAATGATGGTAATGTAAATTTGATCACAAATCCCTATATTACAAACTGTGGTCATATTTATTGTTACATGTGTTTATTGACAAAATTGGAAAGATTTCAATCTGATGAAAGAAATTTGGATAATTTGAAAAAAATCCATGATCACAGTCATGTTATAAGCCACAACACTGATGATGATGATGATGATGATTACGATGACGACAATGATGAACGATGGAGATGTTTAAGATGCTACAAACAAGTTCTTTGGTGCAAACCCTACGAAGATATAAATCCTGATGCAATAATCGGGATTAATCTTGATGATTTAGTTGAAATCGAGCAGCCTAAAGAGGAACCTCATGATGATCCTGGGTCTTATTCTGAGTTTTCAGATCATGATTCCGAAAGTGATGAAGTCGACAACCACACCCACAACGACATTGAAAACGATTCTGATGACGAGTCGTTTGACCAGATTCCCAGAGGACGATCTTTGTCTGATTCTGAGACAGAAAACAATAACGAAACTGGAGATCACAGCGACAACACAAGCTCTGGCGACGAAGAGGATTATGGATACAGCGACAGCGACAATGGTGATGGTGGGAACAGTGGCTTCTTCTCTGACGACGAGAGCCATGGCTTCTTACAACGAAACCTCACCAACGAGGACGAGTTGATGGAGTATGAAGAGGATTTCGATCAGGACGAGTTGCAGCTATAAACCGGTGTCCTCCTTCTCTTGTTTATAGACAATTCACTGAGATCAGTGCGAAAATCACTGTAGAATGTATAAGTTTTGCATCCACTTTCTTGAGCTTCTTTTATACCACTTTTATACCACTTTTACAGCACCTGTTTTAGGTTTACCTGTCAATATATTACTGTTTCTGTTCACACTTTTCATACACACAAAGAAAGCTCATGAACTGTTCTTGGTGATACTGTTTCCTCTGCTGCTTGTCCTGTTAGTTCTCGGAGCCCTTACTTGCTGCAAACCACACAGTGCTCCATATTGTCTTGATGGCCACTGCCAAATACTCTAACATCCCTCAATCTGAGCCTGATGATGCCAACATAGAACTACCGGTTGGCATCAACCACACCTCATCTAGCAAAACAACCCACAACACCAACAACGAATATGACAGTTTTGAGAACTTTGCAACTGCATCAGATAATCTGCAGAATAACTCAAGAAACAACGATTCCAATGATAGCTTTGGCATTGAGGAATTTGAAATCGAGGAGAACCAAGCGAACGACATTATCGATGATGAAAGTACTAAATCAACACTAAAAATGGCCATGATGAACATGACAAATTCTATTGTTGGTGCTGGAATCATATCTCAAGCCTACTCTGTTTACAACTGTGGGATCATTGGCTATATCCTTGGGTTGGTTATATTGACTGTGCTAGTCGATTGGACAATTCGTTTGATCATCATCAATTCAAAACTAAGTGGATCAACATCTTATCAAGAAGTTTGTTTTAAATGCTTTGGCAAAAAGGGCAAAATATTGATATTGCTATCTCAGGGATTGTTTGCAGTTGGTGGTGCAATGGCTTTTTGCATTATTATTGGTGATACAATACCTCATTTTCTAAAATTTATTTTCAAAAAACTAATTGACAAATTCAACTGGTTAAATTTTTTTTTTGAAAGAAATTTTGTTATTATCATGGTTACATCTTTAATAAGTTATCCACTATCGCTAAGTAGGAATATTTCTGAACTTGGGAAAGCGAGCTTGTTAGCATTACTTTCTATGCTAGTTATTGTTTTAATTGTACTAATTAATGGTCATTTTCTCATTAAAAATGACTTAAAGGGTGTTATTGACAGTAAATGGTTAATTTTCATTAAATTTGACTCATTATTTGAAGGATTAAGTGTTATTTCGTTTGCATTAGTTTGTCACCACAACAGTTTATTTATTTATCATTCTTTAAAGACTCCAACATTGGATCGATTCACAAAATTGACTCATTACAGCTGTTTTATTTCTTTAATTTGCTGTGGATTAATGGGTCTTGGTGGTTTCTCGATATTTAGAGATAAGGTTAAAGGAAATATTTTAAATAATTTTCCAAGTGACGATGTCTTAACAAATATTGCAAGATTTTGCTTCGGTTTAAATATGCTAACTACTTTTCCTTTAGAGATATTTGTTGTTAGAGATGTTATAAAAGATCTTGTATTCATAATTAAAACACCATCAGATGTTCTTGAACAAGAGCAACAACAAGAATCTTTTCTACCAAATAACACAGATGAAAATGATAATCAAATCTATTCTGATCATGAATTAAGTGATAAACAACATTTTATAATAACCACAGTCTGTGTATTTTTGTCAATGAGCGTATCGCTATTTACATGTAATCTTGGTGTGATGTTAGAAATAGTTGGCTCAACTACAGCTTCATTGATGGCATATATTTTTCCCCCTTTGTGCTATTTGAAGTTAACAAACAATGGAAATAAAAATTGGAAAGAGAAATTTCCATCTTACTTTACTATAACTTTTGGGTTTATGATTATGTTCATTTCTACATATCAAACAATAAAAAAAATACAGAATGATGATGAACAAACCCATTGTGTCGAATGAAATTTATATTCCTAAAAAATATTGCTGATGGTTTTATTTTTTTTTCAACTATCACAATTATATTATTTGTAATAACATTAATATTTAATATTTCATTTTACTCCTTATGATAATTGCAAGAAATTAATGAAGAACTTATAATTTACAATGATTTATAATTAAAAAAAAACAAAATAAAACAATCAAATCATCAACAAATATGGATAGTAGCTAAATAATAGTCTTATTTTACATATTTGTTCAATTATTAAAATAAAAATCTAATAAAATTTTGAACATTGAAATGAATATCAATAAAAGTACATATATAAAAAAAATTAAATGAATAAATTCAAAAAAAACATATTTTAGTAGATCACTCTGTAAAGTTCAATTAATCTGTATTGGTAACTTTAAAATTGATTTGTTTCATTGTGCTGCGCAGAAATTTATCGATAAAGTATATTTCATTTTAATTCCTAAAAGATGACTTCAATAACACAATTTTTTTTTTGCATAAAAATAAAAATGATACCAATTATGATTTTTTGTTTCCAGTAACTTCAAATTCACCAAAATTTTCAGTGAAACAATAACCATTTTCCTCTAAATATTTCCGGGTTAAAATTCTGATTCTAGAATATCCTTTGTCACTATGAAGACCTCTCCCTGTTACAATAACTAATGGACCAACAAAATTGTAATATTTATTCTTTGACATATTGCCATTTTTTTCTCTTAGTTCAAACTCCATCGATTTCCATTCTGACAATGCTTCTTTAGTGATTTCTTGAGATTTTGCTAAATTAAATCCATGCAAATCGATTCGTAAACTTTTTCTGAAATGTTTCATTCTCTCTGTTTTTAATAAATCTTGAGAGTTTTGTTGCAATGTATCTATTTGATTTAAATTTTTAGATAGCTCTGAGTTGAGATAACTTTTATAAGCACCGTTTTTTTCATTAACGATTTTATTTGAAAGCTTTTGGTGTTGAAGCTGATGATATTGAATTTCATTATTCAACTTTCTAATGTCCTTTGAACAAAATGATACTGTTGAGTCACTTAAACTGTTTCTGTTTGTCTTAGAGTCTTTAATTTTTTTGGTTTCTGCTTTATTTGATTTATAAGACAAATCGATTTGATTATCATAAATTCGATCAATCCTTTGATTTTCATATATACCAATCAATAATTGTATAACAGATAAAAAATTGCCATTGAAATGTTCCAATGCATTTTGATAAAATTGAAATGGTAAATTTAATTTACTAATCTCAGGATTTTGAGTTAAAAATTCTTGTATCTTGATTGATTCATCACTATTAGGATTATATTTATAATTTGATGAATTTGACCCAAACATATAATTGAACTTTGAATCTTTCAATTTTAAATTATTCAAATCATTGGTTACCTCATTGATTTGATTGATCTTAGTAGAACCATTGCAAATGTCCAGATGAATATTAATTTTTTTTCTATCTTGAATTCTACTTCCTTTGATTATTATTTTTTTATGTTTTTGCTGATTTTTGGTTTTTTCTAATTTCGAAATATGATTTTGTTCATTTTGAGAAATTTCCTTAGAAGAATTCAAAGGAGTTTGAGGGTTATAACAAGATGGTGGATAGTTTGTTGGAAAATCATGAGGAATTTTTGAAATTGAGGGTAAAACTGGTTTCATGGGAGATGTTGATTTGGAGGCAAGAGACTCTTTATTCATAATAATATCAATTAGTGTTTTAGAAAGGTCATTACGATTTTTATAGTAATGATAAGAACATGATTTAATTGGCAAATTTAGTAGATTTGATATAATTTCCAATTGGGTATTTATTCCAGACCAGTTTTTAAGATTTGAATTTGAATTTGAATTTGAATTTGAATTTGAATTTGAATTTAAAGTATCAGAGTTATAAGAATCTGCAGAATCAAGATTAAAAACATTAATTCCTCTGTTATTAGTGGTTAAAATTCTGTTTTTATAATTAAATTTTGATTTTGAATTGTTGTTAGATTTGTTATTGTTATTGTTATTGTTAATGGTAATTTTGTTTTTGTTTTTGTTTTTTTTGTTATTATTATTGTTTTTATTATTTATGATATCATCTTTAAGCGTATTTTGGAAGAGAATTAGTTGATTTGAGGTCTTGTGAATGTTAGTATCATTTAGTTGGTAAAATTTATTGATTTTTTCTTTTGATACATTTGGAAAGGCTTCCATTAATAAAAGAATATCGGAATCATCTAGGATTTCGTTTGATAGGAAATCACTTGTTTTGTTAATATCGCCTTCAAAGGTGGATAGTACTTCGATTATATGGTCTTTTGGAGTGTTTATAAAGATCTGGGAGAGATATTGAACGTCGTTAGTGATATCAAGAGTTATTATGTTTTGAATAGTGATGGAAACCGTATCTTTGAGATCAGTTTTACCAATTTGATCATCGATACTAAAATGGTTAATATTATCAGTGTTATTAGCATGAATGTGATTAATATCATCAGAACGATGTGGATCATTTGTGAGGTTATTCTTGGAGATCATTTATTTTTATTTTTTTTATTTGATTTAATTCAATTTTAAGAATGAGATACAAAAAGGTTATATTGTTAACCATTAAAGAGAGCAAATAAAGGGATTAAAAGAAAATTATAATGGGAGTCTTTTATATAGCGAGAAGAGGTATTTGGCATCATATATTTGATAAAAGTAAGGGAGTGAAATGTAAAGTGGACAGTGGATTAGTTTGGAGTTGGTTTCAAGAAGTTATCGCAAGATTCAGAGCATTTGAAGAAATAAGTGTGTTGGATAGATTTTAATGAGGTTTGAGATAAAATTTTTTATAAGAAAAATAGAGTTTGTTGAAGTGGAAACCTTAATGAGTATTTATTGTTTTATTTATTTATTTATTTATTTTGAATAAACTATTTAAAGAAAAAAAAAAAAATAAAAAAGGAAAGAGATTAAAAAACTTTGGAGAAATCTACAATGGAGTGAGCGTATTCTCTGCTTTTTTGAATTAGAAGAGCATCAGCAAGAACTAAGGCAGCCATTGCTTCTACTATTGGAACAGCTCTGGGGACGACATTTGGATCGTGTCTTCCTCTTGCTTTTAATACCCCAGGAGCACCATCATAGGTGGCAGTTTCTTGAGGCTGGCTGATTGTTGCTGGAGGTTTGAAGGCTACGTTGAAGTAGATATGTTCACCATTGGAAATACCACCTTGAATACCACCACTGAAGTTTGTTAGGGTTTTCAAGTTGTATTTGTCGTTTGGATCGTTGGAATCAGTGTTTTTTGAAAACATGTCGTTATGTTCAGAACCCTTAAGGGTTGTGCCATAGAAGCCAGAACCAATTTCGAAACCCTTTGTCGCTGGAATGGACAACATGGCATGGGCTAGCATGGCCTCTAGTTTATCAAAACAGGGCTCACCAAGAGCCTTTGGAACGTTTCTTATAACGCAGGTTACTACACCACCAATTGAATCTCTTTGGGCCTTTACAGATTCAGTTAGCTTGATTTGTTGTTCAGCAATATCCTTGTGTGGGCAACGAATTGGGTTGAATTGGTCGACTTGTTCTCTTGTTATGGTGTTGAGCAAGTTTTGAAAGTAAGGGGAGCTTGGATTTTTGTCGATGGAGATTTTGCCAACGCTTGAGACAAAGGCTACGATTTCCACGTTGTTGGCCAATTTGAGGAATCTTTCAGCAATTGCACCAGCAGCAACTCTTCCTATGGTTTCTCTTGCACTGGATCTGCCACCACCAGAGGCAGCCTTTATACCGTATTTAAGCAAGTATGTTAGGTCACTGTGGGAAGGTCTTGGGTAGAAATCAGTTTCCGAGTAGTCTTGTGGGTGGTGGTCTTTGTTTTTGACGATCATAGCGATGGGAGTGCCCAAAGTACGACCATTTTCTAGACCTGAGTGAATTACGACTTTGTCGTCTTCCTTTCTTGGGGTGGATAGTTTTGATTGACCAGGTCTTCTGCGGTCAAGTTGTGGTTGTATATCAGAGGCATCGAGGTTCATTCCACCGGGAACACCTTCGACAATGCAGCCAACAGAGGGACAATGGCTTTCACCATAGGTTGTGACTTTGAAAAGGGTACCGAAAGTAGACATTGTTAGGAGGAGTGAACAATATGGGTATTGTTGATGGAGTTGGTGGTGGAGTGAACAATAACTGAACAATAACCGAAACAGTGCAGTGAAAAATGAGTCAAAAAAAAGGAAAAACAAAAACAGAGAAAAAAGCTCATTGAATGGAAGTCGAACCGAAGACCTTTCAAACTGCAAGACCAGCGGTGTGGTTCTGTTTTGAAAAGAAAAAGTGCGTTGTTTGCGGGTAACGGCAAGAGCAAAAAATGTTTGGGTTTTTTTCTGGGTGAAATTTTTCAGAAGGAGGGAAAACGGAGGGAGAAATTGGAGCTGTATATTAATCTGGGTTTGTTTGATGGCTTTCTCTTTCTTTTCATCAGACACCAGTACATTGTATAATATTGTATAGTAACAGTAACACAGTAACAGCACCAAAATGAAATACATCCACACAGAACAAACATTAGATATCCCAGAAGGTGTCACAGTCAACATCAAGGCTCGTATCATCAAAGTGACTGGACCAAGAGGATCGCTAACCAAGAACTTACAACACATTGATGTTACTTTCCAACACCCTGGAGTTCACTCCAAACACATCAAAATCATTGTCCACAATGGAGACAGAAAGCACGTTGCTGCTTTAAGAACAGTCAGATCGTTGGTCAACAACATGATCATTGGTGTCACCCAAGGATTCAGGTACAAGATGAGATATGTCTATGCACATTTTCCAATCAACGTGAACATCATTGAAAAGGACGAATCCAAGTATGTTGAGATTCGTAACTACTTGGGAGAAAAGAAAATCAGAGCTGTTTACATCAGAGAAGGAGTTACAGTTGAAATCTCTTCAGCTCAAAAGGACGAATTGATTGTCAGCGGAAACTCTTTGGATGATGTTTCTCAAACCTGTGCCGACGTTCAACAACAATGCAGAGCTAGAAATAAGGATATTCGTAAATTCTTGGATGGTATTTATGTTTCCCATCGTGGTGTTATTGAAGAAGCTGCTTAGGTTTGATTTTTCTGAGTTGTCTACATTCTTTTATTATATAGGCTATATAATAGTGGGAACTGGGGAATATGAAAAGTTAAAAAAAGATGGTTTTTTTTCTCTTTGAAATCATTAAAGTGCTCAACATAATAAAGAGCCCACTATGATTTCAGCAAAGGGAGAAAAAGGACATTTTCTATCAAATTGCAAGCATGTAGAGTGTAAGCTGTAGATTGAAGAATTGTAGAGCAGCCCTTTTGTTTGGTTGGCTACTGTCAGTATAGTGACAATTCCAGCTCCATAATCCGAGACTCCAATTCGTTTTTGACAATGCCCTCTGACCTTTTAAGAGCTGTGCTCTTTCTTTGGTGTTTCTTTGATATCTCCTTGATCTTCCTTTGATCTTCCTCTGGTCGTCCTCTCCTCTTCCTTTCATCTCTCTTCCACCTCTCTCTTTCTCCCTCCTGCTATTTGCCCGAGCCCGCCAATGAACAACCGTCCGGCGGCTCTCGGAAGCTGCCCGTGCACGCACGTCTCCCGCTCCCGCAGGTCTGCGCCTGCTCCCAGCGAATCAGAGTGCAGGAGCCCGCACGTGCACTGCTCCATCGCCCTGTGTGCGCGTGCTGCTGCACTTCCACGCCCGTTCTGCCGTCACACGCGCAAACCTAATCAGGCCCGCAGCAGCAAGAAAGGTCTGAGATGCTCTTCTCTTTGCTCCAAAATCGCTTTGTCGTTGCTCTCTTCTTCTCCTGTCTCTATAAATACGCTCCAGCTCCTCTGCTCTTTTCTTTTTCTTTACTTCCTCTTCTTCACTCCCATCCCATTCACTCCCATCCCACATCACATCACAATGGCTGGAAACGTCTTGGTCATCTCCAACAGATTGCCTGTCACCATTAAGCGAAACCCTGATGGCACCTACGACTACTCAATGTCCTCTGGTGGGTTGGTCACTGCATTGCAAGGACTCAAGAAAACAACCAGCTTTCAATGGTTTGGCTGGCCAGGCTTGGAGATCCCCGAAAATGAACAGAAGCAGGTTCGCCAGGACTTGATTGACAAGTTCAATTGCATTCCCATTTTCCTAACTGACGAAATTGCTGATTTGCACTACAACGGCTTCTCCAACTCAATTCTATGGCCTTTGTTCCACTACCATCCAGGTGAAATCAACTTTGATGAGAATGCCTGGATTGCCTACAACCAAGCAAACCGTCTTTTTGCCCACGAAATCTCCTCAATCATCAAGGACAACGACATGGTCTGGATCCACGACTACCATCTCATGTTGCTCCCGGAATTGTTGCGCTCCAAAATAGAAGAAAAGAAGATCAAACACACAAAGCTAGGCTTCTTCCTCCACACTCCATTTCCCTCCTCTGAAATCTACAGAATCTTGCCTGTTCGAAAGGAAATCCTCAATGGTGTCTTGGGCTGCGACTTGATTGGCTTTCACACCTACGACTACGCCAGACATTTTATCTCCTCTGTATCCAAAATCCTCAATCTCAACACCCTTCCCAACGCGATCAACTACAACAATAGGCAATTGAGCATTGGCGTCTTTCCCATAGGCATCGACGTCGACAAGTTTATCGACGGTTTGACTCTCACTTCTGTCAAACAAAGAATCCACGACTTGAGATCAAAAATCGGCAGCGACGTCAAAATCATCCTAGGTGTCGACAGATTGGACTACATTAAAGGTGTTCCCCAAAAATTACATGCCTTTGAAGTCTTTCTCAATGAACATCCAGAGTGGATAGGCAAAGTCATCCTCATCCAACTAGCCATTCCCTCCAGAGGCGACGTCGAAGAATACCAATCCCTCAGATCTGTCGTCAACGAGCTCGTTGGCAGAATCAATGGAAAATTCGGCACCATCGACTTTGTTCCCATCCACTTTATGCACAAGTCCATTCCCTTCAACGAACTAATAGCTCTCTACAACATCTCAGACGTCTGTCTCGTCAGCTCCACCAGAGATGGTATGAACCTCGTCTCCTACGAATACATTGCCTGCCAACAAGACAACAAGGGTGTCCTCATCCTCTCAGAGTTTGCTGGTGCTGCCCAGTCCCTCAATGGCTCCATCATCGTCAACCCATGGAACATCGAAGACCTCTCCAACTCAATCCACGACTCTCTCACTCTCCCCTACGAAAAAAGAAAAAACATGCACCAAAAACTATTCACCTACATCTCCAAATACACAAGTGCCTACTGGGGTGAAAGCTTTGTCAAGGAATTGTTCAAAATCAGCAAAAAAGACCAAAGCGTCTCTAACTACAACTCCCTCCACAATTCCTTGGATAACTCCATCGACAACTTGAAGATCAAACCCTCTTCTCTCGCTTCAAATAAAAGAGCTGTTGCTTTAGAATTATAGTTCTGTTCTCAACCCTAATTTATACTTCTCAATTCTCAATTCTCAATTTGCAATTTGCAATTTGCAATTTGCAATTTCATTGATATTTCTCAATTCTTATCTACATCTCTATATACAATCTCTTACATATACTTTATATACTTATAATCTATATATATAAACATCTATTCTCATCAACTCTCACCAACTGCAATTTCCCACTTCCGCTTTTTTTTGCCTTTAAATCGTCTCTCCGATTTTCTTCGATTGTAATCAATTATTACCAAATATAATCAATTATAATCAAATATTATCAAATATAACCATCCATAACCATCCACATTCAATTACACCTCTCTCTATCTCCCTCTACTCCCTTTTTCTTTTTTTATTTCTTTCTCTCCCTCCTTCCCACCCCCAAAATGCTGCAATCTCATCAAAAATTAAAAAAAACAACCCTATTCACACAGCCAAATAATAACAATAACAATAACAATAATGATAAAAATAAAAATAAAAATAACAACCAAACAAAAAAAAAAAGAAAATCACAAAGACTACTTAAAAAAGCAAAAACATCTAATAAAAACCCTTCCCATTCTCTTCAATCCAAAGAGCTAGCAAAGACTCACTCCCTAAATGTTCAAAGGCTCTCTTCAATTGAATTCCCACTAAACGTTATCAACGTTGATAAGGCCCTATCCATGGTTGGTGGCTCACGAAAGATAAAAGACAACATCCTCAAAAACAAAAACTTGGAACTAAGATTAAACCCAAACAACCCAGCTCTTCATCCAATTCAATCCCAAATAATTCCCTCCGAAAACATCCTCATAAAAGTATCTTTCCCAAAGGGCGAACTAGCTAAATATAATGGAAACATTCAAAACACCCTCAAGGCCAACACTTTTGGTTCTGAAAGATACTACAAAATAACTATATGTTCAGTGGTAAACAAAATTATCAGATTCAGAGAATTGGCTGATCATCAGTATATCTCCACCGAAAAAGAACAAAAACTATTTTCTCAAAAAATTAATTCTTCTCTATTTCAAGGAAGCTTCCCAAACATCAAACAACTAAATCTCGATCTTCACACTACTAAAAGACCTTGGTTGCCTGATGAATTTCAAAATTACTCAAATCAAGAAATGAACTCATTTCATGTCCAACAATTAATCAAAAAAACAAATCTAGGCTTATTTCCAATTCCAAAATTTTGTCAGCAACCACTCCCTTTTTCCTTCAACTACAAAGGCAATTCTTCTGTTATTGTATCAAGCGATAAAGTTAATGAAAAAAGATTTCTCAATTTTAATATTTCCCTCCATAGTAAGTTGAATAATATTCGTACTTCTTTTGACGCCAAGTCTCCACTCATCCCAACTAAAAGCTCTCTAAGCAAATTAATTTACATGAAAAATCAAATTTTACTGTTCAACGAATCTCAAAATAATCAAATCACAAGAAATGACAAACCTGATGATAGATCCAACTATAATATATTCAATTTGGATCCCCTGTTGGTTTCAGATGACGATGATAATATTAATAATATCGCAAACACTCTTATTGATAATAATCTTAAAATTGATAATCTTAAAATTAATAACCTAGATTTATTCAATTTCTCAGAGATTAATTATTGCAAACACTTGTTTGAAACAATTGAATTTTTGCAGAAAAAATTTGATGAAAAACCAATTTGGTTAACCTTTCATTTAGAATATTTAATTCCTTATCATATTAAATCCTTTCTATCTTCTGCATTACCTTATGTATCCTATTCATTTATTTATGGTCCTTGGAAACATGCCTACATCAAGATTGGCTATGATCCAAGAACTTCTCCTGATAGTAAATTATTACAAACTGAATTATTATCGATAAGAGGCTATCACAATAAAAGAATTAAATTGTTTTGTGAGTTTCAACTGTCAAATAACAATCCCAATTCAAATCAAATACCCAAAGAATACGAATTTGATGGCAATAATCTACCACTCACCTTATTATTTCAACTTGAAAACATAAAAGATCCACTAATTATAGATTTGTTGGGTCATGCTATTATTAACGAAAGTCCCAATATAACAAGTGGTTGGTATGATACCGCTACTATAAAAGGTGTGAGGAGAATATTAAAGAAAAAAATATTTTGCATTTTGAATAAAAGAATGAAAACAGATTTTACTAAAAAAATAATAAATGAAATAAATGATAAAAAATTGTTAGAAATTTCAATAAAAAAGGAAAAAAAGACTCCAAAAGATACCCAATCCAATAAAATGGAAACTAATAATAAAGAAACCGACCTATCTCTTTCGGTTGATTTCATTATAAATTCCAAATCTAAAATTGATTTAGACAAATTTGGTTTAGGCAAAGTTGAAAAATTCTTTATTAATAAAGACATGAAACAACTTGATATCCTAACACGATTTAGAGTAGCAAATCCAAAAGCTATTCATGAATTAGATTCTATTATTGGTTTAATTCAACAAGATAATATATCGGTTTTATGATCAATCAACCTGCTTGTTTTTCTGTTGACACGCTAGTTATTCTTTTCATGTTCAATCATTGCCTCAATTTATTTTATTTTTTTTTTAATTTCCCTTTATTTTGTATTTTATTTGATCATATATTATTAGATTGGATTTGGATTCAATAGTGATTGAATAGAGGATTTTGTAATTATTATTAATTTTCTATCAGCAGTCATATCCCATTGGTTGAATTCAATGTATAAGAATAATATAGGAACAAATGTCAGGTCAGTTCAATTGATTACTAAAATATCTCTTAACTTCAAAAACGAGCCCATTATTTTCTCTTGCTAATTTTGTCCATTTTTAATCATTGATTTTATTTTCACTCCCTTTAAGGGTCATAATTTGTCTCAACCACAAAGATATTGACTATGAGTAATCATAAGCAAATGTTCTTTATATTGCAAAAGGTAGTGGGCTCTAATTAGTGTCGATCTATTACCATTGGTGTTTCTCTAGAGTTTGATGCCTTTGATCATGGTTTTAATTATCATCACATCGATTTAGCTTCCTCCTTTCGATTTCCACCAACTTTTACTGATTCTACAAAGTGCTTTCCTGTTTTGTCCAAGCTAAAATAAATTCTAAATATGCACATTTATATCATTAAATGTGCCTGCATAATCAAAGCATAAACATAAACATAAACACAAAACAAATATATACAGGATTCTAAGATAATTATTCATTTTCTATAGCATAAGATAAAAGTCAATAAAGGTTAATGATATATACTAAAAGCAAATTAACAGTATTTGGGAATTATCACACTGTCATTTAGGAAAATAATAGAATTAGTGCATCAATCTTAAAATAATACTTATTTAAGTTTTACGAAATTCAAATTCGTAAAATAAAAACAAAAAAGATCATTTAAATCAAATACAAAGCAACCATAATAGGTTGCAGAAAAAAAAAAGCCAGCCATATCTAAAAAAAAAAGAACTCATAAATCTTGATCTAAACTCTCCTGATCAAAATCGTAGACAGCACAAATAAAAAGTAAAATATCACTTACAGCTTACCATAAATCATAATTTGAAATATGAAGATTATTGTTATCTAATTTTTCAGATCAGGTTGATGCAGGTCGAATAATAGCGATTTCAAGGATATGTTTACATTACTTGGATATAGTTGATCATTCAAATTGGAGTTTGATTTCAAATCCAGACTGTTCAAGGAGGTTCTACCACCAAACTTGAAGTTTAAAAAATTAGTTTTTTCGCTTTTTTCACTTAAATTTGAATTGCTCAGCTTCCTTTTCTTTTCAAAAACTGAATCTTCATTAAAATGGTTGCTGCCTGTGTCGTCTTGTTCTCTTGAAAATGATAGTACTGAAAAGAATTTACTATCATTAGAAATTGGAGGACTTTGAATTTGGTTCTGTTGAAATTTTGAATTTGAATCGAGATTAAAATTATTATTTCTAGAAATACTTGAATTAGAATCAAGTTTACTTGATTTTTTATTGATTTCGTTTGCACCGATTACAAACAGTGAATTCTGGTTTAATTGATCCATATCCAGTATAACAGAACTGTCAGGTCTTCTTGTTTCCATGCTCGAGTTTTCTCTATGCAGCTCTACTGAATTCATTGATTCTTCTGAAAAATCAATTTCAATTGTATTGTAATTTTTGAGTCTATTTAATGTTTCCTGATGAAAACTCTCAGATAATGGGGTTTCAATCAACTTATCATTTATTGGGGTATCTTTGACGACAGTTCTTGAAGAGTCTGGGGATATATGATTGTTATCTGAATTATTTTGTGAATATTTAGGAACTTTGTAATTTTTTTTATTAATTATTTTATCATATCTCCAAGGTAAAGAAGGTGAAATTGAATTATTCTTTTGGACATGAAAATCATTTGAATTTTTCTGTAGGTGAATTGGAAATGAGATATTATTATTAGCATTGACTGAATTTCTTAAATGGGCTAAATATCTTTTATAATTTTCTTGTTTTCTTTGATATTCGATTGTATTGTATCTTTTTAATTCAGAATTTATGGAATTAATTGAAGCAGATCTTTTGACTATTACAGATGAAGAAATTGTACTTGATGTCAAAGTTCTGTTGAGTTTTAATGAAGAGTTGGATCTAGAACAATTATTTTTCATTGAATTTTTCAAATTCTGAATATTTGAGGCGCCCTTTTGAAGAAAAGGTGGTAATAAATTTGAATTCATTTTGGAGATGTTTGATTTTTCTCGATCCAAATACAAAGTAAAAGATTTGTTATTGGTTAAATCATTAGTGTTATAATCATGAAAAGTTTTTTCATTGAGATTAAATTGAGGGCAAGAATTTGTGTGAACATTTGAGAATTTTTTTAGTGGTGATAAATTTGAGGGTATTAAATGATCTTGTTTCATTGTAAAATTTTGATCGAAATTGTCGAGATAAAATTCTGAATGGTCGTTAAAATAATTGTGATTATCATGATGATTATCAAATTCAATATTACTAGGGAAAGAAGTTTCTAATTTGGGAGATGAAAAGGAGTTGTTATCGGGAGACATATTTGAACCATTGGTTCTAATTTTATCTTCATCGTCATCTTGAAGATAATCAATTTGATTTTTTTGATTAACAGTATTATTATTATTATTATCAGTAAAATAATAAGGGTTTGATGGATTTGATAAATTTAAAGAGCGTAGAGAATTTGATAAATTTCTTTGGTCATGAACAAAGGGAGGAGGGATATACCAGTTATCTTGAATATCATTATTGGAGGAAATTACACCAACAGTATTTGGTGTAATTGGAGACAAAGGAGAGATTAAATTATTTTGAGTTAAGGTTATCAGAGAAGGTTTAAATCTAATTTTGTTTGTTGTTTGCGACTTGTGGATTTGAAAAAGAGAGGAGTGTTTAGTTAAAGGAGGATTGGAAGGATTGCAAGAATGAAGTTGAACAAAATTTAAGAAAAACAATAAAGCCAATAAAGAGAATCTTAAGATTATTGATGAGATGTAGAAAATGGAAGAAACTAGAATTAGATAGTGTGTTTTATTTTTCAAGAAAATATCCAATTGAAAGTAAAATAAGTTGTTGAGTTGATAAATTGAGCCGTATTTGATAAACCAAGAGAATATAGTGGAGGATAAATAAATGAAAAAGAAAAAAGTAAAGAACAAAGAAACCAAAGAAAGGAAGATTAGAATATAAATAAGGATTGAGTTTTTGAATCTTTGAAGGATGAAGTTCAGAGTAGTGATTGTTATTTTGTTTGAGATTTGATTTGAGATTTTGCAGTTTTTTTGATAATTGTTTTGATAATTGTTTTGGTAGATTTTTTTATTCGAGTTGATGAAAATGAAGAACAAAGAAAACAAAAGAGATAAAGATTCTGATGTAATTGATAAAATAATTGATATTTTTAATACTTTTAAAACATGATATTGAGTGTTGGGTATTAAATTGTATGAATCGAGAGGAATGAGAAAATTTAAAATTGTTGATAAAAGGGATATATTTGTTATTAAAGAAAAAATGAATAGGATAAATAAGATCAAAGAAATTCTAAGCAAAAGAACCTTTGGATGACAATTTAGAGATGAGCACATTTAGTATAATTTTGGGATTGATGAAAATAATAATGAGGATAATTGCAGTAATAGTTATAACAATCTGTTTTTGTTTTTTTTTTAAAAAAAAAATTTCTTTGACCTTTAAAGGTCAAATATTTTTCTAACAAAACAAGGAAAAATTTCTTTTTCTTCTTCTTCTGATTCTTTTTTTCCTATTTTTATTCTATTGTTTCCAGATATTATTATAAGGAAAAAACAGAAGAAGAATAAAATGATTTTAAAAACAGATCCTTTTTTTTTTAATTGAAAAAAATGGAAAACTTTTGCACGATATATATATCCAAGAATTGCAGAACTCTTTTAAATTTAAATTTAAGCTCAGCTGCTTTAACTTTGAAAGTGTTTATAGCTTTATTGTAGAGTTGTTGTAAAATTATTATAAGTATATAATAATTTTATAAATTGCTTAGAATATCTAGACATCTTCCAGTGAATAAAACAAACAAGATAGTAGTGAATATGAGATGACAACAATCTGCATCAAGTACCATTTTTTAGCTTTGCAAGAGCCAATGAAATAAATAAACAAATAAATAAACAAACAAGTAAACAAACAAGTAAATACAACAAGAAACCGAAACCAATTAAGGTAGACAGAAGTTGAGCAGAATGAGATAAATTGAGGATATTAAAGATATTAGGGATGTAGAGACTAAGACGAGAGGAATAGCCTCAAGAGCAGAAAAGAGCCAACAGATGAACAGAAGATGCAGAAAATAAACACAGATCGAGTTGCAGCACTCCTGCTGAGGTTAAACTGTTGAGCAGGATGAGCAGGAAGAGCATTAAGGTATTAAGTGCTGCGAAGAGTAATGGAGAGCAAAATTAGGTTGAATTCCAATTGAAAAGTGTGAAAGGAATACCAAAGGAGCTATTTTTAATGAATTCTGAGAAATGTGTTGGGATGAATTCGCCTGTAATAAAGCATAAACCAAGCCTTTCTGGAACAAGCAGAGTGTAATTGTTGGAAAACGCAGCAGAGGTACGATCTGGAGCTGCCAAAGCCCATGGTCTGTGTTTCGCTGAGAAGCACCGGCAGCAGAAGCAGCAAAGGAGGAGGAAGCAGAGGAAGCAGCGAAATCGAAGCCAGTCCTGCTTCTGGAAGCCCTGCACACGTATGCCATGTTATGCGTAAACATGCACATGCACAATCCGATGTGGGAAAATGTAAACACAAACCTGGCGCATTAGGCCTTTTTCTGGAGAGCTCCATTTTGGTGCTTTGGAGGTGTTTTCATGGTGCTTTAGCAGTGCTCCAGCTGTTGTACAAGTGCTTTGAAGGTGCTTTGAAGGTGGCCTACATAACTACAGCAGTGTGTAGAAGAATAGTGTTATTGAGTACAAATGGAAGCCAGGATAGGCAAGTTACGCGCACAGTCACCAGGCAACCAGAGTGTGCGAAGCGATGTTACTCCAGATCTATAGCTCTTGGTGAATTATCTTTGAGACTGTGCTGGAAACTGTGCTGGAAAACGTATTGCAAACATCGATGTCACCAAAAATCAAATATCCAATAATTAAAAACGAAAAGCCAACTCCAAGCAAACTCAATTTCAAGCTGGCCTCCTCTTGCTCAATGATTTTAAACATTTTGACATCCAACGGATCTCTATCTTGCACTTGTCTGAAGATCGCTGTTTCAGTGGGTTTGTAATTGATCTCACTCAACTCTTTTGGTAAATTCTTGAATGGGTACATCGACTCAATAAATTGTTCTATCTTACCGCATAAAATTCCAATTTTAAGGTAATTTGGATCATCCGGCTTGGATTTGTGATGAATTGATTTGATATATCCGCTGAAAATTTCAGTTACTCCCTTTAATGTTCGAGATTTCAAAATTAAATAACAAGTGGTTCCTCTTCTAATTTTAACAGTTTTTTTTTGCAATTCTTTATTTTGATAAAGTAAATCCAAGGTTGCAATTGCCATCACTTGCGGAATTGCGCAGAAATTAAAGCAGTTTTGTTCATTAATCAACGAGAGAAAATCCAATACGTCAATAACATGCCCTAATGCATTTAAAATCAAATCTGAAGTACAATTTAATAATTTGTCCACATTTTTTTCAAGTAATAAATCTGGTAACTTATCACAATATTTGGACCAAATTTCCTTGGGATAGAATGACCTACCATCTCTTAGATCCTCTTCTAAATCTCTTATAATATTGGTCTTTTGTAAAAACAAGCCCATTGATTCAGCCAAATCCATTTTATCATTTAACAACGGATTTGAAAATTTCGCTAATACAAATAAATTGGTCAATCCCTCACCAACTAACCCTGCAACATAATGACAATATAAATCATAATCTTTAACCGTTTTAACTCCATTTAAATTGAATTCTTCATCTAAAATATACCTTGCCATTCCATTCCCCATCTTGTACGTGATTCTTTTGATGACATCTTGATACTTCCTTTTAATATTTGAATGAAAAACTTTTAAAATTGAGTCAAAGTTAATTAACACAATGCGATCTTTTTCCTTAATAGAATTCCCATCAAATGTCCAATCTGTTAGTTCCAACTTTTCACTAAAGCTCTTTAATAACGGAATCTTTATCTTAGGTTCAATGGTCATATCGTCTTCAACGGTATCTAATGCCCTTAAGATGAGGTAGAATAGCATAACTGCATCTCTTAATTCAGGATGTAGCTCGATAACAACCAATGCAAAAGACCTCGAGGTCTTCTTCAATAAGTCATAGCATAGCTTGGTCTCCTTAGACTCCTTGGATAGATCAATTGGTACATTTTTCCTGAATGCCTTCAAATGAATCATCGAAATTAATTCGCATGGGTGTGCTAAAATCTCACCAAGTTTTCCCATCGTGATATCCTATTTTCCAATCCTTTTCTTTGAACAAATGCTATGAAAATGAATCTTAAAGCGAATATGAGAGCAACTTGCAAATATTTATGGCAATGTCTGTCCAAATGGGCTGGGGAAAGATGGTAGAAATGAATAATACCTGGCTATTATACCAATCGATTTTTGCCTATTATCTCGATCTAAAAACAAGTACCGCAGCTATGGATCAATTCTCAGCAACCCTCGGAACGAGTTTCCGAGCTCCGCTACGAGGGTCGGGTAAGAGCATGCAGCACAGGAAGCACAGGAAGAAGAAATAGCAGAAGCAGCTTCCACAGGTGTTTATTAGTCATAAGTCGCGTTACATATGAAAAAAATTATACAGAAATGAAAAAACAAAAAATCATAATCCACTTTTAATTCAAAAAAATATAATCAAAAAAAACATAATCAAAAAAACGTAGTTCAAAAAAACGTAGTTCAAAAGTATAATCAAAAAAAAACATTAATCAAAAAACACAATAAAAGTAAAATCAATAAAGGCTGAATTGGTAAGAGTAAAATCAATAATAGTAAAATCCAAAAGATAATTAAAAAAAAAGAAAGAAATGAAAATAATTGAAAACCAGATGTGATATCATGATACTATTGATATCATACAAAAAAGAAAGAAATAAAAAAAAAACTGTAGTTTGAAATTTGCAACAGTGGTTAAACAAATTTCATTATAATTTATCAGCAATAATTGCAATAGCTTTATAACTCAGTGAAATGCTTTTTGGTGAGTCTTCAAATGCTGGGCTAAATTGTCGCTTCTACTAAACTTTTTATCACAAAATTTGCATGGGAATGGTCTTTCTGATGAATGGACTGATCTAAAGTGTCGTTTCAAGTGTTCCTGTCTTCTAAAGCCAAATTCACAAGAAATACATTGGAATGGTTTTTCAGCATTCTTGGATTTTCTTGAAATATCATTAATATCATAAATATCAATAGTCTTGCTATTAATTGTAATATTAAAGCTTTTATGTCTCTGATGTTTGACTCTTTCGGTTGGTCTTGAGACTGTATTAGAGGGCAAACTTTCATTAGAATGATTATTACCATTTTTATTAGTTTTAATATTAGTATTAACGTTAGTGTTATTATTATTACCACTGCTAGTAATACTACCACTAGTAATATTACCACCGGTATTACTGAAATTAGCATTAGGACTAATAAAGTTATTTTTACCAATATTGTTTTCAAAGGATTTATTAAGATGAAGACTGTCATTATCTGTATCAGCAAGATTACCTGCATCATTATCAGTTGATGAAAAACTATTGATATTACCAGTACTATTTGTATTAGTATTAGTAGTATTAGCGCTATTAGCGCTATTGGTACTGTTAATATTAATGCTCGAATTTGTTAAAATGGAAGAGTTTAAACTTGGGTTCAAATCGGTATTAATGTGAGTATTTTTTGAAAAAATTGAGGGTAAATCATTTCTATTCAAGTTTAGATTAGATTCTGATTTGGTTCTTTTCTTTCTTCTCAATTTCTTCTTTTTAAAGGATTTGTTGTTATTGTTGTTATTGGCATCAATATTGTTGACATCCGAGAAATTGATTCCCGATTGCAATGAATTTCTTCGTTCTTTCAAGAAAGTCAATGAAGTCTTTTTCCCGATTTTCAAGTTGTTGGAAAAGTTGAAAGTATCATTATGATATTTTGTGTTATTTATGTTACTAATTGAAGTGCTTGACTTGATAGATCTGTTGGATTTGATGGATCTAATAGATTTGTTAGATTTGTTGGATTTATAAGATTTTGTGTCATCATTATCATGATCTACATCATTGTCGTCAATATCATTATCATTGATATTTTCAATGTCAATGTCGTTATTAATAATAGTATTATTATTATTATTATTATTGTTATTATTATTATCGTTGTTGTTGTTGTTGTTGTTGTCAATACTTTCTTTTAAATTTTTTGATCTAGGTTTACTTTTATTGTTGGGGTTTAGTTTATTTTCGGGTTTATTTGAATCTGAATTGAAATCAGTATAAATGAGCTGGTTATCTTGATTATTCATTTTGGTAAACTCATTTAGTTCGTTCAGCTCATTCAATTCATTCAGTTCATTGAAATCATTTGAATCATCGATTGAACGATTTTCCATAATTTTATCCAATTTCAAGTCAATATAATTATAATTATCATCAATCCATTTATTTTTATTTTTATTTTTGTTGCTGCTGTTGTTGTCGTTTGAGTTATCATTATCATTATCATTATCATTGTCATTGTAATCATTGCAATCGTAGTCATAATCACTAAAGTTTGAATCGTCTAGAGATAGATTGTAGTTGTAATAATTGTTGTTATTATAGTAGTTATTGTCGATATAAATTGAATCTTCAAAGACACTTGGACTTATAGTTTTAATATTGTTATCAAATAATTGGCTATTATTGATATTAATATTTGGATTGATATTTGTGTTGTTATTAACAGTGTTGTTATTGCTGTTGTTGTTGTTAAATAGAGAATCAATTTTTAAATTGTTGAAATTGGATAGCATGTCATTTTTATTGATGTAGTTATTGTTTTGACTAAAAATTGATAATTCCGATTCAAGAGTGATTGACGAAATTGGAGAATTATTTGAGAGATTGTTGTTATTTGAATTTGAATTTGAATTTGAATTTGTATAAAAGTTATTGGTATTACTAATACTACTGATGTTGTTAATGTTATTGATATTGTTGGAAGTGGCATTGTTTGCGAAGCTGTTGTTAAAATTAATGTTGTTTAATAGATGAGAGTTGTTCAAGTTTGCTAAATTATCAGAATCTTGAAACTGATTTTTGAATTGCATGTATTGATTGAAATCGGTAAGGCCAATGCTGTTTCTGTTGCTGTTGATATTGACATTGATATTAGTATTAGAGTTATTGATAAACTTGTTGTTGAATAGGTTTTGATTATAGTCCTCATAATCATTAAAGCTAAAGTTTTCAGTCAAGAAAGATGTGTCATTTAAGATATTATTACAGTCGTTATTAATGATATTATTATTATTATTATTATTATTATTATTATTATTATTATTATTATTATTATTATTATTATTATTATTATTATTATTATTATTATTATTATTGTGATTATTATTATTGTTATTGTTATTGTTATTATTATTGTTGTTGTTGTTATTAAAATCTAGATTATTGTTTGATTGAGTGAGCAAAATGTCAGAAAAGTCATTTTGATTACTTATATTATTTATGTTATTTATATTAGTAATGTTATTACTTGTATTGATATTATTATTGAAGTTATTAGTATTAATATTAGTAATACTAGTATTGTTATTATTATTGTTATTATTATTGTTATTATTATTGTTATTATTGTTACTATTATTATTACTATTTAAAAACAATTGGTATTGATGTTGGTAATGATTTTGGTTCTGGTTCTGGGTGTCATTTATATTGATTGAAGTTGACATTTTTGAATGAAAACTTGGGCCAGCCGTAATTAATTAATTGGACAATTAATCAATTAGACAATTAATTATATAATTAATAAGGTAGATAAGAGTGGAAGCGACAAAATGGTAGGAAATAAATTGAATCAAGCACTAGTAAAAACCCCAACAAAAAGCAAAAAAAAAGCAAAAAAAACTGAACAATAATAAGCAACTAGAGAAGATTTTAAAGTAAAATCGTAAAAGAATTGGAGTGAAAGTGAGTATTATATAAGTTCTGAGTTGCAAAAAGTGAGTTGCTCACTGCGAACAGAGCAGAAATGGAGCAGAGACAGCAGAAAAAAGGCAATTGAGGCAGTAAAAAGAGCAGTGAGAAGAGCTGGAGACGGAGAGAGGTTCAAGCAGCAAAAACGCTACAGCAAAAGCACCAGAAACAGCAGAAACAGCAGACAGAGAAACAAGGTGACGGAGACACAAAAACACTGTGAAAGGTTATATAGTATAAGAAGGCTGTTGAACGCGTGCTGTGATTGGCCGTATCTGCAGAGGGTCTCGCGCTGAAGCGGAACGCTACGCGCATACAAATCACGCATGCCGCCGCCCGCCGGCCCTCAGTCAGCCCCAGCCTCAGACCCCCACTTGTTGCTCCCCAGCAGTGGTTCCAACCACCGCACTGGAATTATGCTCTCCACGGTGATGAGCGGCAGGACACTCCACAAGTCGCCTACCCAGGCATGACTCTGCCTAGTCCCTCCCATCGTCCTGGAGATTCAACTGGTTGCCGTTGTAGGTGACTCTGTCGTCGTCCTTCTTGGTGCTGGAGGCATCTTTGGTGCCGGTTCCGTCGGCATCGTCGTTGAGGGTGCGGACCCTGGAGTTCGAGAGGTTCGAGTGCATTGTGAACTCGGTGCTGAGGTTGTGTGCTGAAGAGGTAGGAATGGAGAAGAGCGACGATTGCGAGAGATTCAAGTTGCCATGGAACATGTTCGAGCCGTGGAGCTCGTTGCTGCTGTTGGTGTTGGATAAAGCAGGTTTCTTGGGCATGTGTTTGATGTGAGCGTGGTTGTGGGCGTGGGCATGGGGATGGCGGTTGATTATGTTTGTGCTGATCTTGTCATCGGGAACGTTGCAAGTGATAGCTGCATTTCTTCTCTTGTCTTTTGCCTCATTTTTAGTGTTGTCACTGCTAGTAGAAGTTTTATTTTCATTTTGTGTATCATTATGAGTGTCGTTGCGGGCGTCATCATGAGTGTCATTATGAGTGTCAGTGGTATTGATATTATCTGTGGTGATGCTACCATTACTAGCGTTATTATTTTCGTTATTATTATCATTGTTATCATTATTAGCATCGAAATTAATTTTATTATTGTTGTTATTATTATCAGTACCAGTGGTAGTAGTGGGATTGGAATTAGCATCAATATCGGTATTTATAATTCTATCTGCATCAGTATTTGTGTTGTAGCCAAACAACGAGCAGATGGCGTTTGATATTTTACCAAATATTGAATTGTTATAATTGTAATTATAATTGTTGCTGTTGTTATTATAAGCGTTTGAATAGTTATTTGAATTTGTTGGTTTCAAAATTAATACAGATCTAGGTAGCAAATCCAAGTCCTTCAAAGTCATTGATTCTTCTCTGATTGATAAGGTTTTTCTTTCTAAATGTTGATAAAAGACAAACGGTTTATTGATATTGCCGTTATTATTATTATAATATATTAGTTCATTTTCAAGAAAGCCCCGGACGTTTAATAATGTGTCATCTGGCTTGAATTCATTTTTGATGGTATGCCCGTCTAATAGTCTGATTGATAATATACAATAGTCATAATCTTTTTTGATATTTTTATTCAAAGTTTTATTACTATTCTTATTCTTATTTTTATTCTTATTTTTATTCTTATTTTTATTCGTATTTGTATTCTTACTAATAGTTTTGTTAGTAGTTTTGTTATTATTGTTATTGTTATTATTGTTATTGTTATTATTATTATTACTATTATTATTATTATTATTGTTATTATTAATTACATCGCTATAGCGGTAAATCATATTAACTCTTTTATTAAACTCATCTTGTTCATTATATTCCTCGCTAGGATTCTCTTTCTTGATAAATATATTCAATAATTTCCCATTTTTAATGAAAAAAATAGATGGAAATGTGATTTTTTGAATATTGTTAGTTATTTGGCTGAAGTGCTTGAAATTATTATAATCAGCAGTGTTGTTTTCAATTTGCAAGAAAACGGAATCTATATAAAAACTTGGGTTGATGGTTTTGTTATTGTCTTGCAATAACAATTTTAAACCCCATCCTAAATCGTCTCGAATCTCTCCAGCACCACTGCTTCCATGATCATCGGTGATTAACAACACCAATGTCTTTTTCAGCTCAATTGACAGGTTGATGCCCTCCTCCACAGACGCCAGGAAAAGAGCATCTGCGTCACGAATATGTCTACCATCACCATTCTGAGTGTCCATTGTGTTGCTTTCTTTGTTCTTTGGATTTTTATCTGTTAGGCCTTCCTTCTCTTCCGTTTATATACCAGATTGCACGTGCCCGAGCGCTCGCTCTCCGCACCACTGGGCCCCACTGCCTGCAGTTGCACTGCACACGCACTGCTGCCTGGCACCACACTGCTGGCTCGCTCTGTCACACGTGCAGCACGCGCACTATGCTCCTATTTGCACCCGGCCCGCTGCTTTTGCTCGATTACCCCATCTGGCGCCGCTGTCACTCCCAGCCCACTGGCTCACACAGGAGCTTCTACAACACTGAACAATAGGATCTGTGGACAATAAGACCAGCTTCTCCAGCTTCTCCAGCTTCACAGTACCATCTCTGCCAGGACACCAGGGTCTTTTTAACCTTCACAATCCCCAGCATTGCTCACAGACAGACTTCCACTTCTTGCTTGTTTCTTCTTCACCACCTGCTATTCGCCTACATGGCCCAGTCCTACTCTTTAATTTCAAAAACCGCATAATCTTAAGTTTAATCTTCATAGAAGCTTAAACCCACGTATAATACTCTCGTACTCTCTCATACCTAATTTCCTTTTTTTGTTCTCTTTATACAAGGGTTTTATAAAATCGCCAATACCCTGATTCCTGTCTCTTTATCTTTAGGACATTACTATACCTCTTGCCTGTAATCCTAGATCTCCATCCCATACTACTATATCAGTAGATCGCCATATCAACTCCAGCATCACTATATAAATATCACCATATAATAAATATCGTGGTTTTGCATTACATTGCAATCTTTTGCAAAAACCCTATCAATACTCTACACTGTCTCATAGCTTTTGCTCGCTTCTTTTCATAATAGTATTCTTACTATTATCCATTATCCCTTTTTTTTTTCTGTTATCAAAACTTAAATCACCTACACAATACAAATTACAAAATGCCTAAAAATCCTAAAAGGATTCACCAGGAATTAGAAAAAGAAGAGAGAATCAAAAAAGCTATTGAATATAAAGAAAATAATAAAAATGCAACTTGGCAACTCGTTGAACAGCTATTTAAAGTTAACAGAAGAACTTGCTTGAGACGTAAAAATGGCGAAACAAAACCCTTTCATCTTGCTCATGTATCCCAACAAAACTTATCTCCAGATGAAGAAAACTCCCTAGTTTATAGAATCTCTTGCTGGTCAAAAATTGGCTCTCCCCCTGACGTTTACGCTTTTTTAAACCTTTATGATGAAATCATCCTTGAAAGACCTGAAAATAAAAGACCAAAAAAAAAATACTCAGTTCCAAACAAACTATCTGATGAAAAACATTTCACAACTATTGAATACGTTCACAGATTCATATCAAGAAAACCAAATCTACAATTCACTAAAAATAATAAAATCCAATCCTTAAACCTATCAAAATCTTTTATTCCAAACAATTTCCCAACCTTAGATCACGACATCAACCATTCATCTTCTCCCAACTCCTCTTCTACTTCCTCTTCAACATCAACCCAAAAAATTATTGATTACAACAGCCAAGTCCAAAATCAAAACCTCTTTTTAAATGATCAAATCCGTCTTTCAATTCCCTCAGATTTATCTCCTCAAGATTACTATCTATCAAACTGGATCTATCGTTTCGAAGATTTAATTAAAATTAAAGAGTTTGATAAAAATCAGATCTATAATTTTGACCAGGTCTCGATTTTATTCTCAATAAATAACAATATCAATAACACTCTCAATAATAATAATAATAATAATAATAATAATAATAATAATAATAATAATAATAATAATAATAACAATAACAATAACAATAACAATAATAACCCAAACTATCCAATTAACAATGTAAATAATAACATCGCCCTATTGACTTCCTATGATTATAAAAATAAATCAATTAATTTGAATACAAATCAAAAATCTCAAAGTAATATAGTATCCTTTATAGAATGTATATGTTCTGACGGTTCTTCCTTATATCCTTCAATCATAATTAAAGAAAATAACACCTTCAATAAATTAGAAAATAAAAATGCTGATACTCAAAATAACAGCTTGGATATCGATACCTTTAAGCAAAGAATTAAAAATAATAAAAATTTTGATAACTATTATATTCAATCAACTCACTCAGGCTTTGCAACTCCCGATTCTTCTCATGACTGGTTAGTTAATCATTTTATCCCACTAACTGGTGGTTATGGTCCCTTAAGACTATTAATTTGTGATTCTGTTAACTCAGCTTCTTATATATCCTTCAAATTTATTAAAACTTGTGATCTAGCCAACATTGTACTCTTCGTTTTTCCTTCCTTTGTTCCTTCAAACAATAATCATAATATTATTAATAGCAACAATACATCTCAGCTATCTTCAACATCTTTTGAAAATTCAAGAAGCAATACAATTAATAATAATAATAACAACAATAACAATAACGAATCTCAAACATCTGTGTCATCATCTTCAACTTCCACTTCCACGTCTTTGATAACAACAAACCACAATACAATACAACCTTTAGATATTGATATCTATTGTATTTTAAAATCAAAGGCCAACATATTAATTGAAAATCTATTGAATGAAAAATTAAAAACTCATCACAGCAATATTCAAAATATCCATAATAATGATATCTCAAAAATAGAAAAATCAAACCAAAATTTATTCATAACTTTATTTGAAGCTTTAGATATTTACTTTAAAGCAAGATTCGTTTCAATAATATCTAAAAACATTGTGCACGGTTTTAATACCTCTGGTATATATCCTTTAAATATTGAAAAACTAACTGCTTTCACCTCGAAACACTCCTTACAAAATGATAATGATGCATCTTTAAATAATGATTATGATAACAATGATGAAGCTAGGCTAATATCTTCTTTCGATTATAAATCGTATGGTAAAGTTAAAGATAATGTCAAAAAGATTAACCAAATAACTAAAACTTGTAAAATCGCCAGTGAATTAGTTGAGACTGTTAAACCAGCGAATTTAAATAATGATCAAAAATCTTTTTTACTAGATTTTATTAATACTGCTAAGGATTGTTTTGTTAAACAGTTAAGTGAAGAAAGTGTCTTCAAAAATATTAACTCCAAAAACCCAAGGAATTTTAGAATCTCTCAAAATTATTCCAAATCTTTTAATGATTCCCAAAATATTGATAATAACAATAATATTAATAATAGCAATAATAATAATAATAACAACGACAACAACAACAACAACAACAATAATAATAATAATAATAATAATAATAATAATAATAATAATAATAATAATAATAATAATAATAATAATAATAATAATAATATAAATAGTACCATTAACAAAAATATCAATAATATTAATAATATGAGCAACAATATGAGCAGTAATATTAATAACAATATTAATAATATCAATAATGGAATTAATAATAATATGAATAATAATATCAATATGAATAACAATATCAATAATGGAATTAATAATAATATAAATAATAATATGAATATGAATAATAATTTTAATAATATCGTGAAACATAGAAATAATTCAATCATCAGTACAATTTCTAATAGTGATAAAATGCCTTTACACTCAAACAAGGAATTAATCAGATCTAACACTCTTGGTATTGAAAACAATAATTCTACTAACATGAATAAAAATCCAATTCTCGATAACGGTCCAATCCATAGTATCAGTCACACTAATAGTCCATTACATGTTCATTCTATGAGTCAAAACTCAAACAAGAATTTGAATCATACTCTAAACTCATCGACAAATCATACTCCAACAGCTCAGGTTTTGCCACAAAATTTATCCCAAGGTAATATAAATGATCCAATAAACAATTCCATAAACAATCAAATGTCTGGCCATATTAATAATCAAATAAATTCAATATCCTCTATGAATTCAATGAATATCTCAAGAAATGTTAATCATCAAATGAACAATCAAATGAACAATCAAATAAGCAATCAAATTAACATGAACAATCCAATGAATTCCCCAATGAATAACACGCTTGGAAATCATGTAAATTCTCATGTGAACTCTCATATGAGCTCTCATATGAATCATGAAATAAATAATCAACAATTAGGAAATATAAATAGCATTCATGGAAATATGAATATGGGAATGAATATGGGTTTGGATTTAGGATATGTTCCAGGAAATAATCAATCACATTCAGTGGAGTCTCAGCATATACAAAACCCTCAAAACTATGATCATTATTTAAATCAAAATAACCATTCCACAAATCACCATGTCGTGAGCTCATTAGGTAGTGATACCAGAACCTCCTATAGGAGAGAAAATCCAGATATGGAATATAGGCCAATTCTTCCCTATTAGAGCTCCCTAATTATATTTTTTTATCTTTAATTTTCTTTAGTTTTTTGGGTTGTTCTTTTAAGTTTTATTTATTTATTTCTTTTTTTTATAAGGTTTTTTTTAATTTTACTGGTCTATATTCTAGACTTATTGTGATGACTCTTTTTCATTTTTTTAATCTTACCTTATTTCATTTTATCTTATTTTTTTGACTTATTTTGGCTCATTTTATTTATTTTTATGTTAATCATTTTTGTGTAACTTTGTATTCTTTTGTGTTGATTTTTTAAATAGTTCAAAAAAAACCAATTCAGATTGTGTTTTCATTTTTTTTTATCCTCTAAATTTAACCTGGAGAAAACTTCATTTTTGTTTTCCAATAAAACTGGAAAACCTTTTAATTACTAATCATTAATTATTAATCATAAGTCAAGAAGATAAAAAATGAAAAGTTTTATCTTTTCCGAAACAATTTAAAAACTTGAGATTTACACTCGTTACCTACTTATCTTTTTATCTTTTAGTTATATTTTTCTTAATTTTTTTTTAATTTTTTTTCTTTACTTTTTTTTTCTCTCAGTTTTTTTTTAAACTTTCTACTTTTCTTGATATCTGATATAGAATAGTAAATTGAATTTAGTTTTTTAATACATTTATATACCCATCATTGTTTTATATATTTTCCATCTTTGTATATATATTGTGTCATTTTATAAAACTTCCCTTATTATTTGTTGATTTTGTAAGCTTGTATATATTTTTTTGTTAAATAATCCAAAAGTTATATTTATTCTTTATATTACAAATGTTCATTCGAAATTTTTTCAGCGGCTAACAGCTATTCATTTTTAAAGAGTATTTCAATACAGAAAAGCTAAGTTGGCAAAACTAGAAACCTCAACATTTTAATTACTGTTGATCAAAAATAAAGACAAAAGTATAAAATTGAGTTGTGTTTTTGTTCAGAGATCGTCAAATTAATTAAAACTCTGCTAGTTATCAGAGATCATAGTTTTAAAGCACTATAAAAACTAGGATTAATTGTCCATTTTCTTTGATTACCTTTAATAATATCTTTTCGAGCAATGTTTTCTATTGTATTTTTAATCGTTTTCCTAGTATAATTGTTTAATTCTTTGGTTAAAACATCGACCAAAGTTCCTAAACCAAAATCGTCGTTTTCTGTGATGTAATCACACATCTTTAATAAATCCTTTTTATTCACAATTACAGTTTTGGCCTTTTTACGAGATTGCAATGTATTTACTTCTGGTGTGTTATCGTTTGTTGTTAATGCTGAATTCAAGCCAATTTCCCGTTTTTGTTGATTTTGAAGAATAAAATCTAAAGTTGAAGAACTGCTTAACATATCTGTTTTTGTATTTAGATTTGAAGCCTTGAAAGTATTAGAATTAATTGTTGTTGGTAGTTCCCAATAGTTTTTAAAAGGATCGATAGGAAAAAAAATATTCCATCTTAATTTCTCTGCCTGCATCGAATTGAAGAATAGATCGGTTTCATAATCATTATTATTAAAATTATTTATTTTTATAACTGGTTTCAATGGACCAAATATTCTCTTTTTAGATGTAGTATTAATATCTTGATCATCTTCAGCGACAAAGTCATCTAAATGGTCTGTAGTTTCATCCATGATTTCATTCTCGCTATCTTCACCATCCAGATCGACATCTTCGCCTTCATCATCCTCTTGATTGTTTTCCCATTCAACATCGGAATCATATTCATAATCCAAGCCCGAAGATTTTGTATAAAATGGGTTTGATTTAGGAATAATTGATGTTTTTTTTGAAAAGGTACCAAAATAAGGAGGTCTAACATTTTCATAAAATTGCAAATATTTAATTGGAATTTTTGAGATCAATTGAATAACCTGCGATTCTGTTATTTGTAAGGAATTGATTGATTCGACTATTTTCGAAGCTTCAACGGATATTTCAAAACCTCTAGAAGTTTGTTGATTAATAAACCAATTTTTTAAATCATTGTTATTGAAGTTTATTTTTGAATGAAGACTCATTTGAGAATCAAATGTGGATACTGAAGAGTTTAATTGATGCTGAGATAAATCATACAAGGTGGATAGATATGAATTTTGTCTTAAATAAAAATTTAAAAAGACTTTATCATATTCTAATTTATTATGATTTGTTGAAATTGACAAGTTTTGTTTGAGTAATTGAGAATTGTGAAGTAATTGAGTATTATGGAGCGATTTATGATTTTTTGGGGAGTTATCGATGGGAATTGTAGATAACATCAGAATAGATTGTGATTGTGATTGAGGTTGTAATTGAGGTTGCGATTGTGAATATGGCAGTGGTTTTTGTATTTTTAGTGATTTTTGTGATTTTAATGGTGTTTTTGGTAGTGTATTTGAGGTTGAAATTGGAATTTGTTGTGGTGGTTGTGGTTTTGGTATAGATTTGAAAAAACTTGCAATTTTCATTTGAGATTTGTCTTCATTCTGGGATGTCTTTTTCTTTTCAGAATCTGGAGGTAATTGAGATTGAATTTTTGGATCTTTTTCAGGCTTATTTTTAGTTTTAGGAGTTTGGGGTTCATTTAATTTTTTGGTTTGATTTTTATTGATATTATTAGTATTACTAGTATTATTAGTATTATTAGTATTATTGTTATTTATATCAATTATTTCATTTGAATTATTTAAAGTATTAATATTATTTGAGTTGTTTAAAATTTTAATATCATTTAAGGATAGATTTAAATCATCAATTTTCTTAATATTTTTAATTTTTTTAATTTTTTTAGAGTTTTTAATTTGTTCTTTATCAATTTTCAATTTAGTTTTTAATTTTGATTTTGGTTGTTTGGTTTGTTTATTTTTTAATTTATTTAATTTTTTCAATTGATCTTCTTTTTCTTTTATGATTAAATTTTGAATGTTATTTAGTTTTTGTAAATGGTTGTCGTTATAGAATATTTTTTTATTTCTAGTTCTAGTTTTTTTAAGCTGTGTATTTAATACCGAAGAAGGAGAGGATGAGGATGAGGGAGGTGAATTGTGTATAGTTTTTTTATTAGGAGTATTATTCAAATTAATTTGGCTAGTTATTTCAGTAAATGAATCAGAATCAGAATCAGAGCTGGAATTAGAATCAGAAATAGTGATGGGATTTGAATTTGAATCGATGTCAATATCTATATCTATATTGTTGTTATTGATTAAATTGACAGAATTAATTGATGAAGAGCTTAATTTATTAGCAATTGTTTGGTTATTTGGACTATTTGTATAATTTGTTCGAGATAAATTGAATGAAACATTTGAATTGGTTAGAATCGCGTCAGTTTGATTTTTAGAAAAATCATTTTGAATTTGAGAATGAACTCGAGACTGAATCTGGTTTTTTGGAGTCTGGTGGAGTATTGGTTGTAAGATTTTTTGTGGATGAGGTCGTTGGTGATTTATATTTTGAGGAGAATTGGTTTTACTGTTAGTTTTGGTGTTATTGTCAGTTTTGGCGTTGGTGTTTTGAGAGACATTGGCAGCCTTTGGAAATGGTAGAGTATGCTGTTTTGGAGCAGGTTTGAAGTTCAACTGTAGCTGAGAGTGGCCCATTTCTGGAAATGTTGCTGGAAATGGTGCTAGAGAAGCTGTGGTCTCAGCAAGAGGAAGATGGTGGAGAAGGCGATGGTGAAGATGAAGTTGGAGAAAGGCAACGATGGAGCAGAGCTAAGCGCCGACACTTTTTCGTGTTGTTGACAAATCAAAAACGGCCGCAGCGCTACGCAGCACAGGCAGCACCAAACACAAACACAGGCAGAGGAGGCACAAACAGCACAGGCAGCACAGGCAGCACAGGCAGCACACGCGACAGCGCTCCTGGAGAGGTCAGCAAGGTATAAATAGCAGTGTTCCACGATCTGCTGTCGCCTGTTGCTCCGAGTAGCTTCTTCTGGCTGTGCTTCTTTTGATTGTGCTGCGTGTGCTGTTGGTGCTTCTTCTGCTTCTGCTTCTCTGCCGGTGTTGGTTGTGCTGGTTGTGGTGCTCATCTCGTTTTTGTTGGTGTTGCTCCTGCTGTGCTGGTGCTGCTTCTGCTGGCGTGCTTGTTCATCCAATGTGCTTTGTTCAGCTGCAGGTTGGGCATCTGCCTCCATTTTAAAGCGAGACAGATCTGATTGAGCACCTCCTTTCAAGTCGAAATACTCTGCTGCTTCAAAGGATTGCCATTGCTTCTATTCTTGCACCTAACAAACAACCTCCAGGCCTCTGTTGGCTAGCCCAATATGTTTTCCTCTTTCCCTCTTGTTTTCTCCAGCTTGCTTTCTCTATACTGTGTACCCCATTCTCCCTCCCAGTTCTCAAATGTTCCCCATCAAATTGCACTTGAATAACGATCTTCGTTCCGTCAACACCAGCGCTCGATCGACCATCTTAACCTCAAACCTCTCCAACAGCAAGAACACCATCAGTAACATCGACCATAATGCTCCATCTGATTCTGAAAGACCTCAGTTTAAAAGAGCAAATTCCACTCCAATCCTATCCACTACAAAAAAATTATTCCAAAAATTTTCCATCTCAAATTTAAATAACCGGTTATCCTTTGATAACATCAATAACAATTACAATTACAATTATAATTGTAATTATAATTATAGTTATAACTATAACTACAATAACCAGATTAATAACAGGAATAATAACCATAACAGTTACGACGATAATGATGATATTTATATCAATTTCCAGAAACATACTTCATCTTCCTTTTCTCCAAAAAATCTACTAAGTATCCTGTCAAAGACTTTTAAAAAATTTAAATCAAAGACAAACTCAATTATATCCAGTTCTTTATCTGATAATAATCTAAATCCCTATTTATCCAGTAATTATAACCACAACGATTACAATAACTATAAAAGTAATACTACGAATAATATTTATAATAAAAATTACAATAAAAATTTTACCGCCAACACTAATCATTTTAATTTTCCTTATTATTACTATATTAATGATACCCAATCAATTCATAACAACAATAATCAAAATAATAATATAGATAATATAAAAAGTATAGAAAACACTCAAAGTACTCAAGATAATCAAGATACTCAAGATAAAACCAATATAGACACAACAAATGATACCATCATACCCTCCCATTTATTAACCCTTGACATAGACTCTTTATCTTCCATTTCAAATTCTTCTCATTTACCAAAGCTAAACACAACTACCACTAATAATAATAATAATAATAATAATAATAATAATAATAATAATAATAATAATCAAAAAAATAATAATAATCAAAAAAACACTAATACAAAAATTCAAAATAAATCTTGCTCAAACTGTCATCATACAATCATAAATGAAAAATCACTAAAATTTAATTCAAACTACTACCACTCTTCTTGTTTTAACTGCGATATCTGTAATACCCCTTGTCCTTCAAATTACTACATCTATAATAATTCTCAAAAATTATGTGAGCATCATTATTATAAAAAATTAAACCTAATTTGTTTTCATTGTCAATCTCCAATTAAAGATAACTCTTATATATCAATCCAATTCAATACCTCAAATTCTTTCCAAAACATCCAGAATTTCCATTTAAACCATCTTAAATGCTCAATCTGCCAAACCTCCTATCTATCAAATCAAAACTTACAATTCTTTGAACTATCAAATAAAATCTTTTGCAAAAATCATTACAAAAAATACCTAAAGGGTTTCTTCAAATGCTACTCTTGTAAACAAAAAATAGATTTTCAAAACGAAAAATTTATTGAACTTAGAATTAAGAAAAAACATGTCAAACTTGATGGTAAAAAATATCTAATAAAAAGTAAAAGATTCTATCATCTTTCATGTTATTTTCAATCATAATTAACTCATAAATTGTTTATAAATTACTCATAAAAACGATACAATAAAAAAAAAATGAAAACGTTTATTTAATGCTAAATACAGAAAATGTCTCTTCACCTTAATGATGAAACCGTCTCTTTAGCTTAATAATGAATTGAAATTTTTATATTTATTTTTTCTAAATTTTAATTAAAAACTTTAACTAAATTACAATAATAAAACAGTGATAGCACCTAAAACAGAACTGAAAATAGTTTTAACGCTCAATTTAGCAACAATGCCATCGTTGGCTAAGAGAATTGATTGGGTTTCTTTAGCTTCACCTAATAATGTACTACTAGATTGCTTTTTGCTGATTGTATAGTTATATGGAACATATTCTGTGGTTCCATCAAGATCAATAATAGTGTAGTTTTCTGAAAAATAATCAGATGCGGTGGTTTCAGCATAACTTAATGTGGTCTTAGATTCATCAGATGTTTCAAATTCTCCTTTAAGAGTACTTGAAGATGACTTTTCAATGATAATTTCTTTAGACTTTGGAACACCAGTTTTGGGCTGTTCTTCTTCTTCCGGAACTGGCGTTGTACTTTTTGGTGTTTCAGATGTAGTCTTAGACTCATCAGATGTTTGATGTTCACCTTCAAGAGTGCTTGAGGATAATTTACTAATACTAATTTCGTTAGTTTTTGGGACATTAGTTTTTGCCTTTTCAGTTGTAGATTCTTTTTCTTCTTCTGGAATTGGAATAGAACCTTTTGGTTCTTCAGTAGTAGATGGGTTTTTAGCTTCAGAAAGACTTGTTGTTGAAACAACATTGGTTGTAGTAAGTGGATGGTAACTAGTGAAAATAGTAATGTTTTTCTTCGTGGTCAAAGTAACATAAGTGACACCTGTGGTAACTATAGATGATGAACATGATTCTTCAGAACATGAGGTAACAGTAAGTAAGGTTGTCTCTTCAGCTGTTGAAGTCGTTATGAAAGTTGAAACAACTGGAACATAAGTCTTAGTGGCAGTCAATGGACAGTATGTTGTATATACAGTTACTTCCTTGTTAATAGTGGTGGTAAAAACAGTAACACCAGTTTCAACTTCAACTTCTGAACATGGTGCATCAGAACTACAACTTGTAACAGTAATAACAGTTGTGAATGAAGCAACTTCAGTTTCATAAACGGTTGATAATGTGGATATTTTAGATGGTTTAGACGAGGAGATCTTAGATGAAGAGAGAACTTCAGAGCTAACAGCGACAGAACTTTCGACGGCAGAAGAATATTTTGATGGACCAGCCAATGAAGAGGATGAAAGTAATTCTGAAGAGCTTTGAGCAATAGAAGATTCAGATGGAACGGATAAATAAGAAGAGGAGACAATGACTGAACTGAAATATGATGAGCTAATGTATTCAGAACTAACAACCTGTGAATATGATTCACTGAAGATTTCGGAGCTAACATAAGAAGAGCTTGGGACAACAGATGATGTTTTTGATAAACCATCTAAAGTAGAAGAAGAAAGTGATTTAAAGTCAATATCACCAGTGAAAAGAGAGCTTTCAGGGATTGAAGATGATTCTGAGGGGGCTGATAATGAAGAGAACGAAAAGACATAAGAACTGTAAGAAGGGCTTTCAGCATATGAAGTATAACTTGAACTATAAATTAAAGAAACAGGTGAAGAGGTACTTTGTGAGAAAACTTCAGAGGATGATGGGATAACATCAGTAGATTGAGAAAAGGTTGATTTTGAATCTATATCACCAGTATGAGAGACATAGGTTTCCAGAGATGGGGAAAAATAAGTTGATTTAGTATAATGAGTTTTTGATCTTGATCTAGTTTTTGATTTGGTTTTGGTTTTCGATTCAGACTCAGATTCAAGCTCAGATTCAGATTCAGATTCAGTATAGAAAGTTGTTGGGCTGATAGTTGTGAAAGATGACTGAAGACATTCTGTGCCAGTGCAGCCATAAGAGATAGAATCGGTTTCACTTTCAGTGGATTGAACGCAATCAGAACCGGAACAAGCATAAGTTTCAGAGACAGTATCGGTACTTAAAGAAGATTCAGGATGACCATCACAACCGATTTTCCAACAATAATTAGAAGAATCGGTGCTACCATCACAACCAGTTGAGTACAGATAAGTGGTATCGTAACACCATGCAGAACATTTACTACCGTCTGAGCCATCACACCATTTATATTCAATATTAAATGGTTTCATGCAAACATATCCATCTTTTTCATCCACATTAACTTCTGCATCGACAGACCATTCACCTGGACTAGTGATTCTAGAAGAGGAAGTTGATATATCAGAGTAAAGAGTGATTGAATTTTGCAAACCAGTAAGACCAGTGATTTTCAAGCTTGAAAGAGCATCAATATCTAAAGTATCATAAGCTTTAAAATTAATTTTGACAGCATAAGTACCACATTTACAATATGAGACATCATAAATAGAGATATCGGCACTTGGGTATATCAATTGGTTAGTGGTGAAATCATTGTTGGGACATTCTTCAAAAATGGAGGTGCACACAACATCGGCAGAAGTTTGGGTTGTTGTTTGAGCACTTTCAATTGTTCTTGCAAAGCTAGCGGAAGATTTGGTTACTAAGAAACCAGTAAGAGCTAAAAGAGAAGATTTGGAAAACATTTTGAGAAGTATATTTGGAAATAATTGACCAACAGAGAGGTAATAAAAAGACAGAGGGGAGGAAAAAAACTATAGCAAAAAAAAGGGAAGATAATATTACAGAATTTAAATGAGTGACTGGTTGTTGGTTAATAGATAATCAAATGATTGGTATATTAATAAGCTAAAAGAAAAGAATTAAACAATAGGATGGAAGAAAATTGGTACTATATATATAAGATTTCCTGGGTGAGAATAATCTTCAAAGGAATCCATAGTTGGGTATTAAATTGAAATAAAATGAAAATGAAAATGAAAATGAAAATGAAAATAAAAATAAAAATAAAAATAAAAATAAAATAAAAATAGATTAAAAGTGGATAAATTCTTAAGTCAAATTGAATAAAACAATTCAAAAATTAGAATACAATAAATACAATATTTTTGTTTTTAAGAGAGAATGATAGTAAGTAAATAGAGTGAGCAAGAGCAAGAGAGTATAGGTATATGAAAAAGCATTGTGTTTATGGATTTGAAAAATTGGATATAATTGCTGAGCCAAAGGGTTTTACGGTTTGAAAGTGATAAATAAAAAAAAGATTTTTGTAACGTGAAATTCGTGAATTACATGGAGTGGTAGTTATAAAAGGGTATATAGGCTGATCAAGGTTTGAAAGGATTTGAGCTGGGAATCTTGAGCTGTTAATCCCGTAAATTATTGGAAAACTTGGTTGAAGTATTCAAGTAGAGCGATGGAGGAGGCCTAATAACAGGAGAATAAGAAGAGCGAGGAGGCAAGTACTCAGACAAACAAAGATCGCCGGTCTTAACTCTTGAGATAAGCAACGTTAACAGATCGACTTTGAAGCTCGCACTTTAAATAGCTGCAGGACTGTCGCCAAATACAGCAGTAAAACGTTTGAAGTTCCAGCGCAGTTGAACCGTGGAGAAGAGAAACAATAGCACTCAGTCAGGTGACTCTGCCTCGTGACACCCACACTGGTGGTTGTGCACTTGGTCATGTGTCACAGTCACATGTGCTGCACCCGGTTGTTCCGTAATATACTTCACTGCATTTCTGCATATGTTGCGCAGCCTACCATGCGTGTGGGACTGTGGTGCTTGGCTCCACAGGGACGGAGCTTGTGTCAAAGCTGCAGGTGTAACCAGCGAGGTAGTTTTGTGGTTGGAAAGCAAAACAAGTATACCCTCAGAAGAAGAGAAAGGGCATCGAAAGCTGTTTTCAGGTGTGTGCTGGAGCTGGAGCTGGAACTCAAAAAGTTGCTGATTCCTCGCTGATTCTCTGCTAATTTGCTGTGTGCTGTGAGAAATTCTAAACCGTCGGCTGCGTTTGCAACGAACCACTAACCACAACTCGTTTTGGCCTGATTTGGTGTGTTTAATTGACCAGATTCTTTGTCTCGTTAATCACTGTTTGTTTTTTCTCTTTTATCTTCATCTACTTCCATTGATTGTGATTGGTTTGAGCCTGATTTTCTTCAGCTTATTCTTCGAACTTTAGCAATTTGATTTGGATACTTTGAGTTCTTCCAATTCTTATACGGTTTGTTGAGAAAAAAGTCGTATTCTGTATTTTATTCTTTTTTTGCTCTTTTCACAATGGCTTCAACAACTTCCTCTGAGGATTTTGTCTTTCAGAACAAAAAACCTCTTCGGCAAAGAAACCAAAATGATCAAAAACTCGATCAGGACCAGGATCAAAAGCAAAGGCAATCCCATAATCACCCTTTCAAGAACAAAACTTCCCAATCAACTGTTCAACATCAAATTATTGATAAAAAAAATTTTCATCATTTAAAGCTTAATTCCTCTGAAACTGATAATAACGATATTAGCGATAGCAACGATAACATTACCAATGCCAATACTAATATCAACAATACCACTAATGATATAAGCTTGGATAGTCTTAATGTCAAAGAAATGACAAGAACCTCCTCCATCAATATACCTACTATTAAATTAAAAAATGGAGTCCTCTATAGTCATATCTATAACCATCATGACCACACTCATATCCATGGCCATATTCATAACAACAATATTAATAACCCTAATACCAGCCCTAACACCAACACCAACACTAACACTAACACTAACGTTAACAACACCAACATCAATAACAATAGCAATATAAATAATAATATAAACAACAATAATATCACTTCCAATAATACCTCTATTAAGGAAATATCTCAGCAAAACTCTTTTGACGAATCTAATTTTGACCCTAATTTTCTCTCTGATTCCTTTAATAACTTTCATACGCATTCCCATCCTCATCTCCATAACAATAATAATAGCAATAATAATCATGCACAGAACGATATCAATATCAATAATAAAAACAATGTCTGTTGTAATAATCAAATAGAAGACATGTATGATCAGCTTCATCAAAATATTCTTAAATTTCCTTCAAATACAAATAAAAAAAATCAGCGAATCTCTTATCCCCAGCAGTTATTAAAACTATGTTGTGATGAGAATCATAATGAATTTAATCAATCAGATACTAATTTTGCTCTGGATAACCTGCAAAATACTAATAATCACAATAATCTTAACAGTATCGACAATCCTAATAACTTCAACACTCTCAATGCTCTCAACCCTCTCAACCCTCTTAATAATAACAGTAATAATAATAATATTCAAAATAAGATTAGAAATGAAAATAAGATCAAAAATGAAAATAAAATCAAGAACGAAGATGAAAACGAAAATGAAAATAATGATATTCAACCCCTTGATAACAATATAAACCATCACCCTTTTATGGATTATAGTAATTTCAACATCTCACTTGAATTACAAGAAAAATTCCAATCAAACCACCTAGATTCAAACTTCCTATCTTGTTTTGACTTTGATATTTGCGATAATCTAAATTGCAATCAATTTGTTTGTGCGAACCAATTAGATAATTGTGAAATTCAAAATTTAACCAACGATCCACACCATCAACAAAATATTAACAATAACTTTAACCATAATAATCAAATCAACCAAATCAATCAAAATAATCAAAATAATCAAAATAATCAAAATAATTTCTACTTTCAGAACTATGCTCATTCTCATTCTCATAATCATAATTATAATCATAATCATAATTATAATCATAATCATTCTAATTACCACGATTGTCATAATTGTAATCCTTACCAAAGTTCAACCTCTTCTAATTCTTCAAAATCATCCACTTTAGTCCCACAAACTCCTAATGGTTTAAACTTGATAAACAATATTAATTTGAACCCTTCAAACATAATTATCAATACTGAAACAGTTTCAAATCCTTCTATTAATGGTAACAGCAATACGTTCAATGCTGAAAATACCACCAATTCAACGAATAAAGATGTTCAAAACTATTTCGACTGTTGCAAAGATGGTAATTGTACTGTTTCTAATGATAACTGTTTCTTTTTATCTAACAATAATCAAAATAAAAAGCCAATCTGGAAAAAAAATACTCTAGAGTGTCTATGTTCAATTAATAATTTAGCGAATAATTTCATTTCAAAGGATGAAAACAGTGACAATAGCCATATTAATAATGCTACTACCACTCCTAAAAATAATGATAATAACAATAAAAACGCTATCGCTTATAATAAATCTGCTAATGAAAACATTATAAATAATAATATAAACAGTATCATAAAATTGCCTGAAAATACCAATCAAATTGCTAATCAGAACACTCTTAACGATTTAGTTATGAATATGGTTCAATTATTAGTTAACCTTAAAACATTTGTAAAGACAAATAGTACCGATAATGACATCAATATTGATAATCCAAATGCTGGGTGCGATAGTCGAAATGATGGTATTGATATTGATAATGATAATCGAAACAGCGCTGATGGAAAAAGTAATTTTAAGAAAAGAAAATTAAATGACAGTATTAGCAATAAAAATGAAATGGGTTATAATAGTAGTATTGGTATTGAAAATGAAATGAGTTTGAATCAAAATATCAATGAATATGGAAATGGAAATGGAAATGGAAATGGAAATGGAAATGGAAATGAAAATGAAAATGAAAATGAAAATATGAATTTAGGTGGTGATAATGAAAATCTTAACAAGTATAATAACAAGTGTCAATGGGATAATTGTTTCAGTACAATTTTGGATTATAATGATTTCCAGAGACATGTTGTTAAAGATCATTTATTATCTGAGTATTGTAACTCGAAAGGGCAAAATTTGATATTGAACGAAAGTTCTATGAACAATATTGGTGTTAGTAGTTCTGATGCTGTTATCAATGAGAAGAATGTGGATGGTGAAAAATGGAAGCAGTTAAATCGAAATGGGAATGAGAAAGGAGAAGATTTTTTGAAAACTGAATATGAATTGTTAAATTCAAAAGAGGTTGATGTTGATGTGTTTATTAAGCATTTGACGGAGTATATTAATGAGAATAAAGAAAAAAAGTTTAATATTGATAATAGTAATGTTTCTGGTAATCTTTTCATTGGTAATACTAGTGATAATAATAATAATAATAATAATAATAATAATAGTAGGGGTAATGGTAATGGTAATGGTAATAAAAGTGAGAATGATGAATGCAAGATGAATAATAGTTTAGTTGAGAGTAGTGGGAATAATGTTAATAGCAATTTAGTGGGAGATACTAGTAATGATGGCAATTATTATGATTGTGAGTGGTTGAGTTGTAATTTCCAGGGAGATAATTTTTTTTCATTGTTTAATCATCTTAGTACGGATCATGGAAATAATTATAGAAATGTGAGTGTTATTGATGGATATGATAATAGTGGGATGAATGGAGTGAGTGGAGTGAATTTGAATGAAATGAATTTAAATGGAGTGAATTTAAACGATGTGAATTTAAATGGAGTGAATTTAATTCATAATAATAATGATAGTAATAATAATAATGATAGTAATAATAATAATAATAATAATAATAATAATAATAATAATAATAATAATAATGATAGTAATAATAATAATAATAATAATAATAATAATAATAATANAATAATAATAATAATAATAATAATAATAATAATAATAATAATAATAATAATAATAATAATAATAATAATAATAATAATAATAATAATAATAATAACAATGGGGGAATATTGTTGAAGAGAAATAACGAAATGAACTTTATTCTAAGTCCTGAAATGCTGATTTCATCTATTGGAAGTAAAAATGGATTTAATAAAGGAGCGATTTATAAATTTAATAATGGAGAAAGGAATGATAGTGTTAGTGATAATAGTGGTAATGAAGATGAGAGAAGTGTTGAACTGGATGAAAAGAGGGTTCATTATTGTAAATGGGAAATGAATTATGAAGAAAATAGGAATAATAAGAGTAATAAGAGTAATAAGAATGGTAGGAATGGTAATAAGAACAGTAAAAATGGTGATGGAAATGAGAAGATGATACATTGTAATAAAGCATTTAATAATACTAATGATTTAACCAATCATATAATTCAAGAGCATGTCGGGTCTGGAAAATCGCAATATACATGTTGTTGGGAAGAATGTGAAAGAAATCATCGAATTTTTAATCAAAGACAAAAGATAGTTCGACATTTACATGTTCATACGAAGCATAAACCGTTTGTTTGTTCAATTTGCCAACATCGGTTTTCAGTTGATACAATGTTACAACAGCATATGAGGATTCATTCGGGAGAAAAACCATTTAAATGTAAAATATGTTCAAAGACGTTTACCACGAGTTCGTCGTTAACGATTCATTTAAGGATCCATTCAGGCGAAAAACCATTAGTTTGCAAGTATCCAGGGTGTGGAAAAAGATTTAGTGAGAGTTCAAATTTGACCAAACATATGCGAATTCATGAAAAGAAGTACAAGTGCAAGAAATGCTGTCGAAGTTTTGACCGAGAGGAGCAACTAAGAGGACACTTGATGAGACATGAAAAAAAGGAAGCGAAGGAATTGAAGATCAAGACGATTGGAATTGGATTGAACAGCAATTAACAAGGTGATTTGTGTTGTTGTTGACATTAGGATAAATTATTATAGAATGTGTCACTTTTGCTTTCTTTATTAATTTTAATTATTTATCATTTATTATTATTTATTATTTAATGTTGCTCATTCATTAATTTGACATAATTTTTTTGATTTTGATTTAGTAATTTAAACAATTATTTTTGAGTTGGCTGAAACATTTTGTCTTCGAGCCCAGATAAAGCAAAGCGGTTTGTGGGTGTTATAAATAAAAAGTCGAGAGACATTTCATTGTTGCAGTTTGGAGAAGATCATCAATATAGGGTTTGGATTAATTGGTGCAAAGTCGGAAATCAAAAACCGTTGGGATCAGAGCAGACGACAAACGAGATCCGACCATTTCACGTGTGTATAGAATAAGCGCTGACCAATCCGTCTAGCGGCCTGAACACGGACGGAGCAACGGCCGCTCTCTGTTGCGCCGTGGAGACAAGAAGCTTTTTTGTGAACGCACTGGAGCATTGCCCCAATAGATTCTCCGGCACCTGTGCAACACGAAGAATGCAGCTCAAGAAAGCTATTTTTAGCGACGAGGGCACGACGCGCGAAAGAAGTGGAAGTCTAGATCACGCTGAAACAACCGGGGATATGACCCAGAATTTCTGCTGGGAGAGATCTGAGCTAGCTTGTTTTGGAAGCGAAAGCTTAAGAGGCTTCACGGCCTTTTGGTAGCAGCTTCTCAAAGTGTTTCGAAAGCACCTCTCCACAACAGCCACTTTGCACAGCATTTCCTTCTGAAGCTGCAAGAGCTCGTGAGGCTGCTTCTGCACCAGCAGCTCAGGAGGAAGCACCCGCCCAGCGCTGCGGCTCTTGGTGTTTGTGTCCGCGGGTTGCATGGCTTCGGTGTCTTTCGGAGGCTTAATCTGCAGGTACAGAATTGGTCCTTCTGAAGATGGGTCTGGGTCTGGTTCTAGAAACTTGAGCATAGATAGAGCACCGAAGTATTGCTCAAGCACTGCTCAAGCCCTGGAACAGTGCGAAATAGTGCTGATGGTGCTGGATCTGCTCACACTCGAATGGAAACACTTAGGGCATTTCTTACAAATCATGACAAATGTCTTCTGCTCCTGCTGCTCAATCCCAAAAGCACTGTTTCTTCCTTCGCATTCCCTCCAGCAACCTAATTTGCCCACTGGATGATTTTTCAGTTTTGCGATTTTGCAAATTTCCAGTTTGCAAATCTTATTTTTATTTTCCTGAACCTCCAACATATTTATCCTCTGGCTGTCTTGTTCATATATATTCATATCTACTCATCTATTCATATCTGTTTACTATTCACATTCACTATTCGCTGCTGGGCACTAGTCTCTAGGAACTAACAACTGTCTACTTCTATTGCTCTGCCTTATTGCTGTTGCTGTTCACTTTTTATTGTCTCCTCCTTGTATCTCTCGCTGGATATTGCTTTTTTACATCCACGTCCACGTCCACATCCACTTTTACCTTTATTAGATTTGCAAAATGGCCTCCAGAGACTTGACTGGAAACTACCATCCTCTAGATAATGACATCCCTCTCCAGGACAATTTAAACTCAAACAACTACAGTACCAACTACAATAATGGCAGCTCCTACAGCCTTGACGACTTCGACAACAATACAAACCATAACCCAAACATCCTAAATAGCAATGGCTTAGACAGTCACTCTGCCTCTTATCACTCAAAAATCAACAACAATGGAAGTAAAGTTCTACTAGACTCATCTTCCGATGCTGAAAGCGACTTTGATTCAAAAAATCCCTTCAACGATAACAACGTCCCATCCGCTTCCAACTCAAATTCAAATTTACTCAATAACGTCAACAACACTGCAAAGGATATACCCAACAACTACCCCTTATCTAACAACACCTCTTACGATTCACCAAATCGCCTATCCACATACGATAATGCCAACATCAACACTTCCAAAAACTCCTCTGACAACCTCATCCCTGCCGGCATCAATAGATACGATTCCTCTCTAACTCTACAAGGTATGAATAATCCCAACCCCAATACCCACAGAAATCTTAACCACCACAACAGTATCAATACTGACTCCCAGCTGCAAAGAAGTAACAACACCTACTCCTACGTCTCAGATTTCTCAAACAATTCCTCAAACTCAAAGACTAATCTCTTTCTAGCTGATGCCGATTCCTCTCCATTTGGTGGCTATCCTGCTTCTGCCTTTCCTCTACATATGGACGAAATCGAAGACGATGACTACCTTCACAACCCCGACCCAATCAACGACGCTGAATATGACAACCACAGGCTCTTGTACGACTTAAAAGCAATGGACAAGAAATCTGGCCTAGGCTTGTTCAGCTTCATCCTCCTTCTACTCGCACTATTGGTCTTGTTCGTGGTCTACCCCATATTGACCTACTCTGGTGCCACTGAATACGTAAAACCCCAGACCTTTGAATACCTATCTTCCTACCAATACCCAACCCTAAATGCCATCAGATCTGACTTGGTTGATCCAGATACCCCATCTTCTGCCTACACAAGAACTGCAAGAGATGGCTCCGAATGGAACTTGGTCTTTTCCGACGAATTCAACAAAGAAGGCAGAACCTTTTATGAAGGCGACGACCAGTTCTGGAATGGCCCCGATATCCATTACGCTGCAACAAACGACTTGGAATGGTACGATCCTGATGCTTCAACAACCGCCAATGGCACCCTCATCTTTAGAATGGACGCCTTCAAAAACCACAACTTGTACTACAGATCTGGAATGGTCCAAAGTTGGAACCAACTATGCTTCACACAGGGTGCCATGGAAGTCAGTGCAATGTTGCCCAACTTTGGTAATGTCACTGGTCTATGGCCTGGTATCTGGTCCATGGGTAACATCGCCAGACCCGGCTTCTTGGGCTCAACAGAAGGTGTCTGGCCCTACTCCTACGAAGACTGCGATGCTGGTATCACCCCCAACCAATCTTCTCCCGATGGCATCAGCTATCTACCTGGCCAGAAATTAAACTCCTGCACCTGTCTGGGTGAAGACCATCCAAATCCAGGCAATGGTAGAGGTGCTCCTGAAATTGATGCCCTAGAAGCTGCCATTGATACAACGGTGGGAACTGGTGTGGCTTCTCAATCAATGCAAATCGCTCCTTATGATATATGGTATATCCCAAATTATGACTATGTCGAAATCTACAACGACACTGTTACCTCCATGAACACCTATTGTGGTGGTCCTTTTCAACAAGCTGTCTCTGGAACAAGCACATTGAACGTAACTTGGTATCAATTTGGTGACTACCAGCCCCACTATCAAAAGTATGGCTTTGAATATCTCCATGATAACGATGACGGTTACGTCCAATGGTTTATTGGTGATGATCCCACCCTAACTGTTCATGCAAAGGCTTTACCTCCCAATGGTAACGTCGGCTGGAGAAGAATAGCTAAAGAACCTCTATCAATGATCTTAAATCTAGGTATTTCAAATAATTGGGCCTATATTGACTGGCAGTCTATTAAATTCCCAGTCGAAATGAAAATTGACTATGTCAGAATATACCAACCAAACGATAGTATTAGTGTAACTTGTGATCCAACAGATTACCCAACTTATGATTATATTCAAGACCATCTTCGTGCTTATAAAAATCCAAACTACACTACATGGGAAGAAGCTGGTTATACATTTCCTAAGCATAGACTAACAGGAGATTGTGAATAAATATTTTACTTATCTATTCACTACTAGTCAATTTTTTTTCATTTCCATTTAAATTTGTTTTATTTTTTTTATACAAGTAAATTTTTTCTCTATGATAATAGGTATGGTCTTTTTTCCTTTATATATATATATACTTGTTTGATTTTTTTTTATTTTGTTCATTCATTTATTCATTTTTTTTGTTTGTTTTGTTTTTATTTTTTTTATTTTTTTTATTTTTTTTTCTATTTATTTTACTTCTCTTAACCAAATTGTTTTATTAAAAAATTTTATTACTATTAAACTCAATTTTTCATTTTCCTTTAGTTCGTTTTCTTTTTTGCATTTGTTTCTAATAATAAAGTATTGTTTCAATTACTTTGACACTTATTCACCTATAAAAAAATCATATATTATTTACTTATAAAATCAGAAATTACCCCAAACGATTGTATTCACTAAAAAAAAAAAGAAGTATCAAGTTATTAAAAGTTAATTGAGATACTTGAAAGATTGCTTAATATAACTTAACCTCAAATAAATGAAATAAAATGCCAGTATATCTATAAAATAATTAAAAGGGCTTGATAATAAAATATAAAATCTCTTTAAAAAAAAATAATCAATTCCAAAAATAATGTTTAATTTGCAACTTGTAATTTTTCTTTCTCTTTTTCCTGATCAGCTTTGGAAAGATTTTGTTCAACTGAGTTTTTGTGAGCAATCTTTAAATTATTTAGTCTTTCAACCAAACTTGAATGATTTGTAGAAACCTCTAAGGATTCTGCGGTCTCATTATTTTTGACAGAAGGTGTTTCTTCTGTTTTCTCTTTCGAAATTTTGAGCAGGTCTTCTTTTGGTTGACTTTCAAGTGGAGTTGGTGTGTTTTGATTGGTTTCAGCTAATATTTTATTTTGTTTTTCTTTTGATTCTTCTTTTAATTCTGCTTTTAATTCTGCTTTTAATTTTTCTTCCTTTAATTTCTCTTCTTTTAATTTTTCTTCTCTTAATTTCTCTTCCTTTAGCATTTGCTCGAATTCTTTATCAATTTCTTCATTGATAATAATATCATCATTTGTATCTGATAATCTTGATAATTCTTGATTAACTTGATCAATTTGAGATTTTTGATCATCAATTTCATCAATTAGATTTTCCAATTCATCTAAACTAATTTTATTATTTAAATCTTTCAAAATAAGGTTAGATTTTTGAAGAGTATCAGCCATAATAATGTTAGTTTTTGCTTGGTTTATACTGCTTAAAATACTATCTAATTGATCTAGATTTGTAATAAATTTAATTAAATTTGATTGCAAAACTTTTTTTGATTTCAAGTAGATTTTGATTATCGGTTTATTGGAGATAGTAATTGGCAATAAATTTTTAATTTTTGATTCTACATCAGAAATTTTTGAGTCAGTTTTGGTGATTTGCAAATTTAGCAAACTAATTGAGTATTTGATTTGAGCAATTGATTTTTCTTCTTCAGTTATTGTCAACTCATTATTACTAGATTTGAATTTAATAAATTGATTCTTAGTAGCTGAATCAGTTGAAATTATAATGTCGTTTTTATCTCTTGATAAATAAGTGAAAATTGAGTCAAAATAGGTTTCTTCATTATTTTGATAATTTAAAGTTGGATTAAATGATTCTAATTTTGTTAGAAATATATTTTTTAAAATTAAGATTAAATCATCTTTTAAAAAGATTTTATTGGTTATTAAATTCACTTCGTTGATTTGTTCAAGAATTAACAATCTCAATTTATTTAGAAAGAAGATGTTGATGAATTGATCACTTTTAAGATAATTTCCTTTTTTTGAAAGCAGTAATGATGAAGATGAGGATTTCGATGAGTTTTTATTAATATTGTAATTAATACCACTGTTAATAAAACCAACAGTTAATTTGTTTAAAACCCAATAAACCAAATTTGAAACCAAATTCTTTTTGTAATAAATCGAGGTTTTAGAATTGTTGAAAAGAGTTAGAGGTAAAAAAAATCTATTTTCCATTGAATCGTCATTGATTAAATCGTTTATAACAGTGTCTAAGGACAATGGAATTAAGTGGTCTTCTGATTTTGATTTGTGATGATAAGCTAAATCATCTAGAATGTTACTAAAATCAAATATCAATATATTCAAATTTGAGATGATTTTGGATAATAAGTCTTTCCAAATTTGCAAGTTTGCCTGATAGCCATCAATATTATCAACGATTAAATCATCAAAGTTCGAGTATAAAGATTTGATTCTTGATTCTGAAAATTGGAATTGTTGATAAAGCAAGTTCTGAATCTCTTGGTGGTTCATTTTTTGATCAATCTAGCTAGTATCTGAGCAAAATATTAGAAATATGGCCAAGATATAAAGAATATATTATGATCTTTTATGTTTGAAATCAAAAACCAAGATTAAACAATTTTTTATAAACGAAAACAAAGCAATGTTGCATTTGTAGATATGCTCTCTCGCAAAAAATGTATAGGGGTTTACTAGCACATACAACAGCGTCCTGATATTAAAGGTATTTCTGCCAGAGATGGCACAATAAGAAGCAAAACCAGCCAGATGAACACAATGCATATATGCATTATGTCACACAGAAATACATAGACATGCTTATTAGATCCATACTACTGAAAGCATATCTAAATGCCGCTACTAACGTTGACCTGCATGGACACACGTGAATTGCGCAAGAAGAGCCTCAACACCGGCCTCATCTTTACACGTGCCCTTGCCGTGCTGATCTGTCTATTTTTTTTGCTTCCTGAGCTTCCTCCTGCTGTTTTCTAATCGCTAGCATCAAAGTATTAACTTATCAATGAATACAATTGAGTAGCGTATTTCTGAATTTCCTGCAGTCTCCTCCCCAACAAACACCAGCTTTTCTCTTTAAAAGTTCCACTGAATCCAGATCCCAAGGTCTTTCGCTCATCAATTTTAGTCTCAAAACATCAGTTTTTTGCACTTACTAAACTGACTTTTTTTTTGGCTCGTTTTTTTTTCTTTCACTTCCATAATCATTTGTTGATTAAGCTGACAGAATGTCTTATACGAAAGAACAGGAAATCTTGGTTGAAAAAATATTAAAAAGTGGTGAATTTTATTCAATTTTATCCGTTGAAAAATCTGCTACTGATGGCGAAATTAAAAAGGCCTACAGAAAGTTGGCCTTGAAAGTCCATCCTGATAAGAACCAGCACCCAAAGGCACCTGAAGCTTTCAAGAAAGTTTCAAAGGCTTTTGAAATTTTATCTGACCCACAAAAGAGAGCGTTATTTGATCAGACTGGAAGAGACCCTGATTCAAGACCTTCTGCTTCCACTTCTGGTTTCCAAAGAACCACCACAAATGGTCCTGCTCCCGATGATATATTTTCAGCTTTCCAAGCTTTTAATGGTAGACCAATGAATGATGATATATTCAACATTTTTTTTGGTGGTCAGCGTGGAACCACTTTTACTTTTGGTCCTGGTGGTTTTACAACTCATCGTTTCCCCCCAAGACAAAGAACTTATCAAACTCATCAAAACAGCACCAACCAACCACCTCCAGATTTTTTAACTAGTTTAAAAAGTTTGTTACCTTTATTTTTAATACTTTTAATGCCAATAATATCAATGTTTAGTGCTCACACTTCCAATAAAATCCCTGATTTTTATTTCACTCCATATAACAACTTTAATGTTCAAAGATCAACCCAAGTTTATAACATTCCTTATTATATCAAGGAATCCTCGCTTCAAGATTTAACTGAAAATGATTTAAGGGTTTTAGATAAAAAAGCCGAAAATAAATACATCACAATGCTAAATAAAAAATGTATTTATGAAAACACTGAAAGAAACAGATTGATAAATGAAGCTCATGGCTGGTTTTTTGTTGACACCGAAAGATTGAAACAAGGAAGAAATTATCCAAGACCAAATTGTGACAGATTAGCTTCGATGGGTTTAATTTAATTAAACTTAATAATAGCTATAATAATAAAACGATGATCATAACAATCGCAATAAACATATTACGCATGATAAGCATAATAATTTTCCATTTAAAGTCTGTATATATAAAATAAAAAAAACAACTTTGAAACATTTCTTTAATTTAATGTTTGAACATCCGAAAAAAAGGAGTCAGAAAAACAAACTTCAATAGCAAATAAGTTTTCTTTTTTTTCCATCTTGTTTGTTGACTAAAGAAAAGTTTTTTTATTTTCATTTTCTTCTTCTTCACACCCAAATCTTCCTCTTTGTTTTTTATTGAAACAATATCAACAACGATAGTAACTTTTATGTTTTCGTTCATTTCTTTAAGTCATACTAATACCTCTTTTTCAGTTCTATTCATAGTAATTTTTGTTAACTGACTAATATGTTAACATGAAAAAGTCAGATTCTTTCTTCTATTTTAATAATTTTTTCCCACCATCTTTATATTTTCTTTTTATAGTTGATTTATTAGCTTGATCTTTTTTTCTTTGGTTTTATTTTTTTTGTATATCTTTTTTTTTCGTTTTTAGTTTTTATTAAAAGAGTATAACATAAAAATAAGTATAATAATCTAGTTAAGTTTGGTTTTTTAAGCTTAGCTATACCTTAATCGTTTTAATATATAATAAAAATATTATACAAAAAACATTAACAAAATACCAAATGAAATTATCGAATGAGATTATCGAATAAAATTATTAAATACAATTACCAAATACAATTATCGAATACAATTGTTGAATAAAATTATCGAATAAAAATACTGAATCAAATGAAATATAAATGAAATATAAATAAAATATAAATATAAATATGAATCAGAATTAAAAATAGTAATTAAAGCTGTTGTTGAAAACTTTGAACTTTTTTTCTTGCAAATTGTAAAGCGCTAAAAAACTATAATTATGGAAAATAAAATTGCAAAGTCAGTAAAATCAAAATCCAATCAAACATGTCTAATGAAGAACAATCAAAAAAAAAAACAACGATTAACACAAAACTAATAAACAAATATTTCTCTTTTTAGTTGGTTTAGCCAAACAAAAACAATAAAAATCTAAAATTAAAATAAAAAGGACATTAATTTACTTACGCCTTTTTCAGATAATTCAATATTTCTTAATGAAGGAGTTTCAGCACTGGGTCTTGTTGAAACTCTGGAAGCAATTACTGAGCCTTCTGTTTCCAAAATAATACCATCATCACAGGTTTCATCAATAGCCAAACATACAAAGTCATAGTTTTCCTGAACTGACTTTTTATCAATAGCATGTCTTAATACAACATCTAGAGCATCTCTTAGTCCTATCAAAACCTGGTACAAACATGCCTCATTTTCGTCGATATTTCCAATTATATATATGATTATGTCTGAAATCTCCTTGTAAACAACAACCTGGTTTTCGAATAAAATTATGTCTGATTTTAATTTGTAAGTCTTGGAAAACAATGATGATTCAAATGCCAATTGAGATTTCAAAGTTGGAAATGGAGCTGGTTCTGTAGAATGAATTGGAGTGTAGTACTTGGCAAATAATCGTTTGCCTTCGTTATCCAATATCAATATCGCATTTATAGAATAAAGAGAAAAGTCAGCCATTGTTGGTTGCCAAAACAGAGAATAGAAACGAAGAGATTTGGTTATTTCAGCTTCAACTGAAGTGATGCTGAAATTAAATTGTTGAAGTGTTATTTTGAAGACCCTCGGAACTCATCTTCATCACGTGCAAAATTTTTAATATTTTATTTTTTGGAAAAACTTTGCAGAATTTCTCAAATGGTTGAAAGGTTTTACTTTTATTAATAAAGAATTAGCTAATTCTTTAATTCCTGCTTCTTGTGATCTTGTATTAATTGAAACTGCAATGGGAGTGCCAGCACTTTTTCGATGGTTGTCCTTGAAATACCCCAAGATTATTACTCCTGTAATACAGCCTGAGAGTTATGACAATTTCGATTACACTTCCCCAAACCCCAATGGGGAGTTGGATAACCTATATCTCGATATGAATGGTATTGTCCATCCATGTGCTCATCCTGAAAATAAACCTCCTCCGGAAACAGAGGAAGATATGATGCTTGAAGTCTTTATCTATACTAATAATGTTGTTAATATGGCTCGTCCAAGAAAGGTGCTAGTCATTGCTATTGATGGTGTTGCTCCAAGAGCCAAAATGAATCAACAACGTTCAAGAAGATTTAGGTCTGCCAAAGATGCTCAAATTGAACAAGAGGAGTTAGAAAAGCAAATAATGATAAAGGAACAGATCCACGGCCAGGTCATTGATAATGCAATCAAAAATAAGAAACACTGGGACTCTAATGCAATTACTCCAGGAACTCCCTTCATGGACATTTTAGCCAGATCACTTAGATATTGGGTTGCATACAAATTAGCGACTGATCCTGGATGGAAAGACTTGAATGTTGTCATCTCTGATTCCTCTGTTCCTGGCGAGGGTGAACATAAATTGATGAATTTCATTAGATCTCAAAGAGCAAATCCAGAATATAATCCAAACACAACTCATTGCATTTATGGTCTAGATGCTGATTTGATTTTTCTTGGTTTAGCCACTCATGAACCGCATTTCAGAATTCTTCGAGAAGACGTTTTCGCTGAACAAAAATCAAAGCCAACAATGAAAGACCGAATAAAAATGGCCTTGAAACCAGAAAAAGCTCTAGAAAAGGCTCTGGAAAAAGAAGACAAACAGAAACCTTTCATATGGTTACATATTCCAATTTTAAGAGAATATCTATCTGTTGAATTATCAATTCCAAACTTCAAGTTGGACTTTGAGAGGTGCATTGATGATTGGGTTTTTTTATGCTTTTTCATTGGAAATGATTTTTTGCCTCATTTACCTTCTTTAAGTGTGAGAGATGGTTCAATTAATATTTTAGTTAGAATTTGGAAATCAATTCTCCCTATACTAATATCCGTTGATCCTTCTAACATTACCGAAGAAAATATGAAAAAAAATAAAAAATCAAGTTACTTTTTGACTTGCGATGGCCATATAAACTTCCATGGTGTTGAATTGTTGTTAAAAGAACTAAGTCAGTGTGAAATGGGAATATTTATCAAAAAACACAATTATGATTTAAAACAAGAGGAATATTATAAAAGAAAAAATTTATTGAGAGAAAATAAAAAGCTAGCTAAAGAACTTTTGAAAACGTCAAATTCAACTGTTACTATGGAGAAAGGGTTGGCAACTTCTGTTGATTACCAGTTATTTGATCCAAGTAAAGATAGAAATAATGTTAAACTTGATATCAGTAAAATAAATTTAAGTAAAAAAGAGATTGAAATACAAGAAAAAATGAAAAAAAATGAGGAAATAATTAAAAAATCTCATGAAGTTCAACAGACTTTCTATGATAATATTGCAGAACAAATGCTGAAAATGAATTCCAGTAATATGAGTGCCGCAGCAGCCTTAAAAGCACAATTATCAGCTAATTCAAAAACGGATTCCCCTTCAATTGGTCAAAAAAGATCGTTTTATCAAGTTCAAATTTCTGAAAATACTACATCAGTTAGCACTAGTGACTTGGAAATGAATACATCAGAACTTCCAGATGAGATGAATTTGGTGAATAAAGTTATTAAGAACTCGGGATCTGATAATATTATAGACAATAATGGAGACATTAAATTTTATGAAAGTGGTTATAGTGACAGATATTACAGAATGAAATTTGGAATCACTGATAAGGAAGTGCCTTTGTATAGAAAAAAGCTTGTTACCTCGTATTTAGAAGGTGTTGCATGGGTATTACTATACTATTATCAAGGCTGTCCTTCTTGGAAATGGTATTATCCATTTCATTACTCTCCTTTATGCATTGATTTTGGTGATTTTGATTTCTCAGAATTGTCAATTAGCTTTAATAGAGGGGAGCCCTTTAAACCCTTTGAACAGTTAATGAGTGTTTTACCAGCAAGCTCTGCACATAATTTGCCACCTGTTTTTCATGATTTGATGAAAAATAAAGACTCTGAAATTATTGATTTTTATCCAGAAAATTTTGATTTAGATAGTAATGGCGCTCATGTAAGTTGGTTATATATTCCTTTACTTCCCTTTATTGATCAAAATCGATTGTTAACAGCTGTTGGTAAAAAGTATCCTCTACTCACGGACGATGAAAAAAATAGAAATGAAAATAAAGTTGAGGAGTTAATGATAAGTAGCAAAAATTCATGGTATAAAACTTGGAGAAAAAAACTTTATCCTAAAAAAAAACCAATTGAAGATGATGCTTGTTTTCATTTTAACGCACATAAGACAAATTTTTGTGGAACTGTTACCAGAGACCCTTCTTATGATACAAAATCTGTGGTAATTTTTCCATTACTGATTAATGATCCTACCAACCTCTATCCCAGTGAGATTTCTAACACCAATTACCTTAGATTACGTTATAATTATTATTTTGACCCAATTGAGGATAAAAAAATATCCGGAAAGTCTATGCTATTGGGAGGATTTATTCCACCACAAAGAAATCTCAACCAAGAAGATATTAACAGTATTAAATATGGTAAGGGGTATGCACAAGATCGATCTTATAGAAATTTCAAAATGGGAAACGATGATAATAATGATACTGAACCTGTTTTAATTGGACCAGATAAGAAAGTATCTAGTATATATAAAAATCGTTCTGGGGGTTTTCAGGTTTTTCTAAAAACTGATATTGGTGATGAAACTCACGGTATTGTTAGAGAAACACACATACAAAACGTAATTGCCAATGCATATAATCAAAACAACGGTTATAGTAATAACAATTATAGAGGCAACAATTTCAGGGGCAACAGCTTTAGAGGTAATTACAGAGGTAATTACAGAGGTAGCTTTAGAGGAAACAGAGGAAACAGAGGTGGTTTCAAAAGTTACAATAACTTTGAACGTCGTAATTTTAATGGAAATCGGGATTTTGATGGTTATGGAAACTCATCAAGTGGTGTTTTACCAGATCCCTCTACAGGAGTGCTACCAAATCCACCTAATAATTTGAATGCTAATAGAGGAGGAGTCTTCAATAACTTTAGTAACTTAAGTGCATATTTTAATAATACCACCAACAGCAATACCAATACCAATAACAATAACAATAACAATAACAATAATCTGAATAGCTTTAATGGGTTCAATAATAATGGAAATAACACAAATAACAATTATAATTTTAATAATTTCGACAATTTCAATTTCAAAAATTCAAATAATTATAACAGGTAAGCTTAGGTTTAATAAAAATGGGGTCTGGTTATTTTAGTTAATAGCTTTTTGTATCATAGTATTAGGATTTTTTTTGTTTTGGTTCATAGTGAAATAAATAACCGATATTATAATGGCCTTTCAGTTCTGTTTACACGTGATGAAATGCTTCTTCTGCTTCTTCTGCTTCTCAGTTACACAAACAGCTATCCAGGCATTAAAACCATCTATATTGATTTTGTATTGTGGGATATTTTTGGCATTAGATAGTAGATGCTAATTTGTTCAGTGTTTTTTTCAACTAAAATTTAATCTTCACCAAGTTTATCCAAGGCATTCTCTTTTTGTTTTTAATGAATCTTTTTTAATATATTCTAAAAGATTCTATTATTGCTTGATTTATATATTATATTGCTAATAATGCTAAGCTTGACAAAAATATTGGTTTGGCTTTCTGGTTTGCTATATTTTGTTAATGCAGGTTATTTTGTGCAGTTGAAGACTCCAACTACTTTTGAAGCATTATTGAAAAAAGATGACAAAGTTAAAGCACTTCGTCATATCAGGCCATTGATTAAAAAGGCCTTTTCCTTTGAAGGATTTGAAGGATTTGCTGGAGATTTTGATTCTGACATTTTGGCCAGATTGGCAAATAATCCATTAGTACGAAATACCTTAAAAAAATTAAATTTTAGTTTTGGTTTTTTTAAAAAGCTAATACTAATAGTAAATTTAACATTGAATATTTTATTATTTTGCAAATTAAAAAAAAAAAGGTTGCCGAAATAACACCAGACATCAACATAAATGTTTTTGATAATTACAATGTTCAGCATGATGCTCCCAGACATTTAGTACGTTTATCACAGCGTGAAAAGATTCCTTTTCATCCAGAAGAAAACAACTATTATTATCCCAGTGAGTATCAAGGTGAAGAAGTTACTGCTTATGTTATTGATACTGGGATTAATTGTGCTCATCCTGAATTTGAGAATAGATGTGAGAATGGTGGTGACTTTACTGGTGAAGGACCTGGAGATAGAAATGGGCATGGAACTCATGTAGCTGGAATTGTTGGTTCTAAGACATATGGGGTAGCTAAAATGATCAATCTTATTGAAGTCAAGGCATTGGATAAAAGTGGAAGTGGAACATTAACTTCAATAATTGCAGGTGTTGAATATGCAGTTAAACATCGAAGAGAAAATGAGATTGAAGCAGCAGTAATGAATTTATCAGTTGGATCATTTAAAAATGTAGTGTTGAATAAGGCAATTGAGGCAGCAGTGGCATCTGGGTTTGTTGTAATAGCAGCAGCAGGAAATTCCAATTCGGATGCATGCAACACTAGTCCAGCAAGTGCCAAAAGTGCTATTACAGTTGGTGCAATTGATGATAAAACAGATCATTTGGCATCATTTTCTAATTGGGGCAGATGTGTGGATATATTAGCTAGTGGTGTTAAGATTGCCAGTGTCAATTCAAAGGATTTTAATGGAAAGCCATTACATTTATCAGGAACTTCGATGGCAGCGCCAATAATAACTGGATTAGCAGCATTATATTTAAGCTCAGGATTACCAAATGATGAGATTAAGGAAAGATTAAAAATGACTTCGACCAGTGGAGCAATTTCAAGGTTATCATTTATATTGAAGCCAATGACACCAAATAGATTAGCGTATTTGCCATATTATGATTTAACTTCGGATTTTATTGAGCCGTATTTTTCTAATTATACAGAGAGTTCTGTTGAAAAAGGAAAGTCAATGCCAGTTTTAATTTTATAAATGACATTATAGAAAAAAAAATAAAAAAACAAAAGAAAACAAAAGAAAACAAAAAAAACAGATATTTTGAGGGTTTGAGGTTTTAAGGTTTTTAATTTTTTTTTTCTTTGTTCTACTCAAATAGGCAAGATATATAAGATAAGATAAAGACAAGTTTTAATGAAGATAATATTTCAATGTATTAACGAATTATGAATTATTTAAATTTACGATTTTTCAACAAATATAGCCATTAAGGTAAATATACTATAAAACAAACCCAAGGGATAAGCAGTTAAAAATCTGATATTTTGTAATTTTAATGTTAACACGAAGAAACCACTAGCAGAATAGGTTGACCAAACTGTGCAAATAGCACCTAAGAGATAACCGAAAAAATTATCTAGACTTATAAAAACACCCAAAAAGCTCACAAATACTAGGGGTAATAAACAATAGCCAATTATGCTAGCAGACTTTGCAAAATCCAATTCTTTGATTTCACCTTCAGGTTTGGAATCGTTAGATTGTTGTGGAATTGAATAGTTTCCGTAAATATCTATTCCTGGAGGTTGATTGAAATTATAAGAATTATTGTTTGTGTTTAGCATGTTGTATGATTCTTCAAGATTTGAAGAAGCCATTAATTTAAGAAACCAATGTAAAGATAAAGTCCCAAATAAACCACAGCCGTATATGTAGCCAAAATGAATTTTACCTGCTAGCAATAGGAAAACGCCGAATAAAAGAACAAAAAAAATAGGGCCAGCTAGATCAGAATCATTTAAAATTGTAGAATCGCCTGAAGCCAAATTTGATTTATTCTTATTGAACTTGTTGAAGGGGTTCAAAACAGCCATTGTTTTCAATTTGATGTGGTTGAAATTTATATCCAATTCCTCCAACAACGATGGTTCGCCGGGGTAGCCAGAAGTAGAAAAAGCAGCAAGTACTCCAGTGGACAACTGGTTTTCAGTGGACAAAGAAGCCATATTGGATGTCGACGAGTTCATTGGGTTAGAATAATATTGGTTGTTCATTGAACCAGACAAGTTGGAATTGAAGATATTGGGGTTCAAAGGGCCAGCTGAACCAGAAGGCCTAGGAATTGAGCCAGAAATGGGATATTGGGACTGGTAGTAACTCATATTGTAGACAAACAATAGCAAGCAATAGACCAAGATAGCAAGTTGAAGATATGAGAAGCAGTTGCACAGTAACAACAGTGCTCCAGAGACAGCTGTTTTTGAGGCCAGAGCTGAAGCTGATCCAAAACCACTGTGCTGGCAGATGCATATAACAGTTCAAGTATGCGGTCCACAATGCTGGCTCGGAACCTGCTTTTCAGCTTCTTCTTCAGCTTCTTCAGCTTCACCAGACAAAGACAAATACAACACAAGTGCTCCAGAAGAGACAAAACAGCACCATGCCCTCACTTCGCACCAACACTCCCTCCCAACATGACTCGACGTTGGCCATTTCCCCATTGCTCACTGCCTCCACCAGAAACCGCCAGGTGAACAGCATCTTTTCCACTCCCATCAGACACAACTTGTCCCAGAAACCGATTAGCTCCAATCTTGCGAACCAGCACCACAATCGCAACACAATTCATGCCAATCTCTCCTTGAACATGATGAGTAGCCATAAGAGCCATCATAGCTACAATAACAATCAGGAGGATGCCATTGACGCAGAAATCTCGTTGAGCCAGCCAATTCTTTCCCAGGCCGACAAATTGAGGTTGTGGAGACATGATGCTTTGATGCAACATCACTATAAGACTGCTGAGTATATTGGCGACAAAATATTGGCCTTGACAGACGATCCAAGCGACGCCTTTTGGCTAGCTCAAGTGTACTATTCTGCTGGAAACTATATCAGAGCCTATCAGGTCTTATCAACAAAGGAGTTGTCACAGAGCATAGCGTGCAGGTATCTATCTGGTTTATGTTTGACAAAATTGAATCGATGGGATGATGCTTTGGATGTGATAGGTGAATCAAATCCTTTTAAAAGAGAAGGTAAGCCAAACTTCATATTTCTAAGTTTTTATTTCTTTCTTTTTTTATTTCTTTCTTTCTTAACCGCTGATAAGATTCCTGCTACTAATATCATAATAACATTACAACAACAATTTATTTCTAATTCATTTTCAATTCATTTTCAATTCATTTTCAATTTGTTTTTAATTTATAATATACTAAGACAATGTTCATAACAAAAACTATGATGGAGGTGTGAAGCTAGAGGCTTCAATGTGTTACCTTAGAGGCATGATATATGCAAACCAAAATAACTTTGATAGAGCAAAGGAATGCTATAAAGAAGCAGTTCAAGTAGACGCCAAATGCTTTGAAGCGTTTGACGAATTAATCCATAACAACTTTCTTACTGCCCAAGAAGAATGGGACTTTTTAAATACTTTGGATTTTGAAGATGCAAATGATAACCAAGAATTAGTAAAATTATTATACATTACAAGACTAAACAAACACTATAATATTCCCAAATTTGAAGAGGCAGAAAGCATATTAAAAGAAGAATACAATCTAACCAATAATAACGATATACTATTGTCAAGAGCAGATTTACTTTTCATTCAATGCAAATTTCAAAAATGTCTTGAAATTTGTGAAAAAATCTTAAAAAATGATGAATATAATGTTTCAATAATGCCAAACTATTTAAGTTGCTTACATGAATTAGGCGCAAAAAATAAACTATTTGCAATGGCTCATAAATTGGCCCAAAATCAACCAACTTTATCAATAAGTTGGTTAGCTGTTGGAATTTATTATCTTTCAATAAATAAAATATCAGAAGCAAGAAAATATTTCTCCAAAGCTTCAATAATGAACCCGAATTTCGGTCAGGCTTGGATAGGTTTTGCTCATACTTTTGCCGCTGAAGGTGAACATGAACAAGCAATATCGGCTTATGCTACTGCTGCAAGATTATTCCCAGGCACTCATCTACCTAATTTATTTCTTGGAATGCAATATCTCCAAATGAACAACTTGACTCTAGCTGAAGAATACCTAACTACTTCTTATCAAATTTGTAATACCGACCCGCTTCTATTAAATGAAATGGGTGTAATATATTATCACAAGAATGATCTTAAAAAAGCTGAATATTATTTTTTGAAAGCATTCAGCGCTTCAAGAAATTTAAATTCAGATTCAAAAGCTTGGTTATCAATTCATGCAAATTTGGGCCATGTTTATAGAAGATTAAACTCATTTGAAAAATCTCTTGAATGCTTTAATCAAGTTTTGAAAATTTCTTCAAAGGATGCAAACGTTTATTCTGCAATTGGTTTAGTTTGTTTAAAAATGAATAAAATAGATAAAGCCATTGAAAATTTACATGATGCTTTAGCTCTAGCTCCAAGTGATCCGGTAGCAAATGATTTAATGAAAAAAGCATTGGAAGAAAACTCAAAAAGCTCAATCAATAACTCTCAAATAGATTCATTATTATCAAAAAGAATTTCCTCAAAAGGATTTATGTTTCATAATTCACTTCTTTCTAACTCGAAAAGATTGAAAAATAATCATAATCTAGATACTTCTTTTAATTTTGATAATCCTGATTCAAATAATGATTTCTTTTCTAAAACATCCAAGCTATTAAGTCTAAATAAGGCTACACTAATGTATAAAAAAAGATATAAAGGGAAACAATCAGAAATTATTTCCACATCAAACTTAGGTACAGAAAAGAAATTATCAGGTTTGAGCAAATCTCAAAGATTTAATACAAAATTTGGAAAAAGCCCAGAAGACATTAATAATTTGAGTGAAAATAGTGATACAAAAACCCTCGCAAAAAGTTTAATACAAGGAGAGCAAAGTAGTGATGAAGAAGATGTAATGGATATTGAAACCGATTAGTAACAGCTTCATTATTTTAAATAGCTTATTGCTTTAATTTATAGAAATTTAATTTGAAATAATAGAAATAAAAACTAAAACTAAAAAAAAAATGTATTAAGAGTCAAATAATAAAAAGAAACACACAAAACCTTTCAAGCCAGTTAATGTAAACCTTAAAAATTAATCGTAATAAAGATTAAACATAATAAATAATAAAATAAATAAAAATTGTAAAAAAAACAAATAAGAAAATGCCGGATAAGAGAAAACTAAAAAAAAACAACAGAAAATTATAGGAGTTTAGTATTTGTCTCTGTTATTATTGTAAAAATAGTGAGTGTTTATAATTAATTAATCATTCAAATCACCAAAACTTCTCCAGCCTTCTCGAACAAGCTCCCATTCTCTAATATTAGAATCTTTGTGATCCTCGGATTTCTTTTTCTCTTTTTCAACAATTACGTATTTTTCCCATTTGCCTCTAAACTTCCAAACAATTATAACAGAATCTTCACCAGACCAACCGAATACACCTCTATCAATAATAGTATTATTATAGTTTAAACCGTCATTATATTTATCAATGTTTGGGATTAATTTTGTCTTTCTACCTGAATCAGTACTTAATGAGGATGAGGAAGAAGATGTTGAAACCTGATTTAAATGACAAGAAACAAAACTCCAAGTCGAGTTAAAGTAACTTGAGAAAAATGGCATATTTTTAAGCATATGAGATCTATTATAGGTTAAAGATTTTGAAGAAATTGGATTATCGTTTATAGAGTTCGAATTGCTTGATAGACTATGATTTGAATTATTTAGGAAATGGTTACCCATAATTGAACTTTTAGATAAAGAATTCGAATTAAAAATGTTAAATATATGTAAAGTTTGTTTATCTGAGATAACCGCTAATTTTGAACCATTAGGAGAGAATTTCATTGAATAGACAATAGCTCTATCCAAACCTCTTCTAAATTCATATAATAAAGTACAATTTTGAGTAGAATGTATTCTAATGATTGTACCAGTTTCCGAAGCCGAAGCTACCATTGTCCCCAATTTATTTAGAGCTAGACAACGAATTTTTGATTTATGAGCTTTGATAATTGAGATTAAGTTTCGTTCCTGGCCAACAGGAGATATATCGACAATTTGAATCTGACCTGGTTGACGACCAGGAAATGCAAGAATTTCGTTAGCAGTTGTAGAAGGAGCGTAGGAACGATGTCTGTTTGAGGTGGTATTATTGGTATTATTATTAGTGTTGTTATTGGTATTGTTATTATTGGTGTTGTGATTATTATTATTTATGTTATTGTCATTGGTGCTAGTCTTTTTATTAGCACTATTATTGATATCAGGATTATTGGTATTTTCATTAGATTTGTTATTGAGACCCTCATCAAAGCTAGTATGAGAACTAATAGAAGTAGATGAGTTATTGCGATGGTTTATATTAGAATTGTTTTTAGAGGAGTTATTAGTAGAGGAAGAAACAGTTGATAGAGAATTGGATAAATCGGCAATACCAAAGGGATTTTCTATGGTTTCATAGCTTGCAATCTTTTTCGGTGGAGAACTAAAAGCATAAACATAGATATGAGTCTCAACCACTATAACGATTCTAATTCTTGATAAAAAGACATTTAAAATTGGGCTCATGAATTCTAAAATTAAGGAGTTTTTCTTTTTTAAATCATCATATATGATGACTTTATTAATTGGAAATTTTGGGTTTTTACCACCACCAACTAAAGCCAAAAAATTGGTTCTATGTAGCATTGTTATGTTGCCAATACCTGAACCGGTTGATTTTAAAGAATTGTTATTATTATTGGAAGAATTATAATTAGAGGGATTATTGTCGATGTTATTTGTGGTATAATTAGAGTTTTTGCTGTTATTGTCATTATTAGGTTTATTTTTACTGTTACTAATGGAAATATCAGATGTCGAGCTATTATTACGAGAAAGATTTTTGTGTTTTCCATTAGATTTGTTGAAGTTTCTCTTAACTCTTAGGACCATTGGGTCAGTATTATACACTCTAAAACCATTTTCATAGCCTATGGCAAAACAGTTTTGATCTTGATTAAAAGAAGCACATAGTAATTTTGGTTCGGTGCTTTTTTTGATATTTGCAATGGCAGTTCTTGTATTCATTGGTTTTGGATTCCTTGATGGTTGAATGGTTTAATGGTTTATTACTTAAATTTTTAATTATTAATTACTGTTTTCTGTCTTTTTTTATAAGCCAAAAGCAGACCAAAACAAAGTAAAGCTAGAATAGGAAGAAAGCAGTAGCAAGCAATGACTGAGGAAAAACAGCTACTAAGCGGAAAATCAGACAATAAACAGGTGTTGAAAAAAGATATTGTGCAATGACAGCAGAGGAAGATGTTGAGGAGCAACAACAGGAAGCAGAAGAAGTGGAAGAAGCAGAAGAAGCGAGAAAGCAGGAGAAGGAGAAGGAGAAGGAAAAGAGCAAATGCCTCTGCCGCGGAGCGTGACGCACGGAGCTCCAAAAGCGGTACGAACGCTACGAGCACGCACTCTGATGTCGTGTCAAAGTGCGTGTCTAACGTTACCACAAAATAACCGTGTGTGCTGTGCGTGTTGCGTCTGCTGCGTCTGCTGTATTTTCGGTATATATGTACAGGGAAAGAGAAGTAACACACCTAGAGTTTGTCGGCACACTCGCCCATAAGCTGGATTACTTTCTCGACGTTTTCATTATTTTTCGCACAGCAGGGCACCACTTTCCAGCCATTGTCATCAACAAACCTCTTCAACTGAACAAATTTGTTTTGAGAGTCCTTCAAGTCTGCTTTGGTTGCAACAACCAACACTCTTTTATTATTCATTCTCTTGGGCCCCAATTCTTTGATCAACAACGTTAAATCAGAAATTGGGTCAACAGAACCTAATGAAATCACAAATGCCAATCCTGATGATCTTTCCACATGTCTTAAAAACTCCAAGCCCAACCCTTTTCCTTCTGTGGACGCTCCTTCTATTATACCGGGAATATCAGCAACAGTAAATGATGGCTTATCAATTCCCAATGATATAGTTCCAACTGTTGGCTCTAGTGTAGTAAATGCCCAAGCTCCAACTTTAGGTCTTGCATTTGATATCGCTCTTAGTAGTGTTGATTTTCCTGCATTCGGTAACCCAACTAACCCTAAATCTGCTAATAGCTTCAATTCAAACACAAAACATTGTGAAAGACCTGCTCTTCCTTCTTTGCAAAATCTAGGGTTTCTTATCAAGTTGGTTAAAAAATGAATGTTACCCAATCCTCCTTTACCTCCCTTTAGCAACAATAATGGTTTTTTCGATGGTTGATTTAAATCTAGTCCTGCAATTGGAAAAATATCATTATTTAATTCCTCTGTATATGTGGCTTTATCATATTTTTGAACTTTTTTATTCAATTCTGTGAAATAATCTTTATCTTGATAATATTCTTCATCATATTCTTTATATAGCCATCCTTTTCCGATTTCATATGAATCCCTGAAAAGTTGTACATATTTTGGATTAAAATCACCATCAACCTCCCCAAATCCCTTTATATTAAAATATTCAGTGCTAGCTCCTTCCTTTTGTAATTTTTTAACTTCTTTAATATCAGGTATCCATCTTATAATCGTACCAACAGGTACTGTAATAATAATATCTTCTCCATTAGCTCCATCCAATTGATGTTTTGATCCCGAAACTCCAGATTTTGCAGCATATGTACTCTTTAAATGATGCAATGAATTCAAACTTTCAATGGCTTGAACATAGATGTTTCCACCATTTCCACCATTTCCACCATCAGGAGGTCCATTAGGTCTACCAGCATCTCTAAAAAATGATATCGCTCCATTTCCACCACTGCCTGCTGTTAATCGAACGAATTTCATATCAAGAAATGTCTGACTAGTTGTCGATTTTGGTCTTTGTTTATAAGATAGATTCGACCATGGGGATGCTTTTAGTGATTTAAATTGATCCAATGGGATCTTTAAGTCCAAAAACCCATTTTCATCTACTCCTTTAAATTCGTATTTCAACCCAAAATTTTCTTTATCCCTAATAGATTGTTCCACTTTTAAAAACTTGTTTTCATTTATATTATCTTTAATTGAGTCTGGTTCAATTTTTTTAAAAAATGATTCATTTTTAAAAGGATTTTTTTCATTATAATCTTTAATATCTTTAATATCTTTAATATCTTTAATATCTTTAATATCTTTAATATCTTGAAATAAAATTTGGTCCTCAATTTCTTTCTGTTCTCTTGGTGTTAATTCCCCATGGTTTATTAATAATTGATTAATATTTTCCTCAAATCTTTGTTCCTCATAATTGTTGAAGCTATCAACATTACGACTGTGAGGATTTGGAATAGAATTATCATTTGAATTTCGGGAGCTCTTATCTAACGTCTTTAGCCATTTTTCATTCTCAGTAGCTGTGGGCGACCAATCAACAGGCTCTATGTTGGTATTTCCACGAAATGAATTGTCTGATATTCTTCTCGCAGCAAGATAGCAAACTATATCATTGATGTTATACCTCCTTTGTATTAGTCTTGATGAGGTGACAAAACTGCCTTTCTTGTTTCTTAAAAATACACCCAAATTACGATTCATCCTGCCATATACACTTGGTGACAACAAACGGTTTATCAGGTTTTACAGCAACAATCTAAAGAAGTTTTGCTCGTGTTTTGTGTTCAGTCTGGATGATATTTTAGAAATACGTAAAAACCTGCCTGAAAGATAGTTTCAATAATATTCAAATAAGTGATCTATGGCACCAAATCCCTAATCCTTCACGCTTCTGGAACAAAATACTCAGTGATGCCGTTTGTTTACAAAGAAGTTAAAAGCACTTTGGAGCTATTTTCAACCTACTGTGAGACTATTTCATGTTAAATCTACAAAAATGAGTTACTTTGAATTGATTTATTATTGGAACTTTGAAAAAGAAAGAAAAAAATTAAAGAAAAATAATCACAACTTTATGTAACAAGTTATTTGAAATAAAAAGTGATAATTCAAAACAAAAATCTGTACAGATTTTCAAAAAAATATAACGAATATAAAAAAGTTTATGTAAAAACACCAAATATAAAAAGTACAGTGTAAAAAAACTAACAAAAGTGTTTCAGTTGAAGTAAAACCCCCTCAAGAACAAAAAAAAAAAGAAAAACGGCAGTGATGTAAACCAAGGAAAAAGAATGAGACCATTAATGAATTATAAACAATTAATTTTATTGTAAAGATTGATGATGAATAAAAAAAAAAGAATTAAATAACTTTCAGGATTTGATAATCGTTTTTAATAAATGATTTTTTTCAATATAAAAAAAACATGTATATGGTAATTTATTTAAAGGGTATTTGATTAACATGTAACAATATTATAAGCGTTTGACATAAAATTTGTTTCGTTCATTCCCATAGCCATGTTCATGTTCATGTTCATGTTCATGTTCTGGTTGTTTTTGTTTAAATTATTAACGCCGTTGTTATTGTAATTACTACCCATGGTTAGAGTGCTCAAACTGCTATTGTTGCCGTTCATCACAATATTGTGGTTAATGAGATTGTTATTATTAGCATTTGCATTGCCATTGCCATTAATATTATTGTTGTTGTTGAAACTATTGGTGTTATAATTATTATTGTTGTAGTTTTCATTGTTAATAGTTTCTGAAAAAACGTTATTGGCAATATCTGGATAATAGGTGTTTGGTACTTCAAACAAATTAGTAGCTAAATCCAACAGTGTACTTTGTTCGGTATCTAAAGAATATTTATTATCTTCATCAAATTCCTCATCTAAACCTGAAGCAAAAGGTAGGTTTTGATTGCTATTATTGTTACTAGAATTACTTAATGGAGAAGTGATTGTAGTAAAATCGGGAGTAGAATTCACTGTAGTGTTATTAAGTAGAGAAATTTCAGTGGAATTTCTATTGTTAACATTTTCATTATTGTAAAGATTAGGTGGTAATTGGTTTAATGGTTGGTGATTGATGGACTGTGAGATAGGAACTGGATGTAATTGAGTTTGAATCAATTGAGAATTAATTTGAGGTTGAGAAAAAAAAGAAATTTGATTTTGGTTTTGGTTTTGATTAAAATCAAGAGAAAATTGAAAGTTATTTAGATTATTGAAATTGTTATTAGTGTTTATATTGTTATTGCCGTTTATATTATTATTGGCGTTTATATTGTTATTGTTATTGTTATTGTTATTATTGTTATTATTATTATTATTGTTGTTGTTAATATCATTATTAATTAAATTGTTATTTAAATCATTCAAGTTATTATTGACGCTGATAAACTGATTGGGTTGATTATTTTCAAATTGATTAAAAGGATTGTTAAAATTGATAGGGATTTGGTTATTGATTTGCATTGGGATTTGGCTAGCATTGATATTATTAATGTTAGGAATAGCGTTAATGTTATTAATGTTAGCGATATGATTAATATTATTGGGAATTTGAAGATGGTTTTTCTTCTTGTTGTGAGATTTATTATTTCTTGAAATATAGCCAAAAGGTAAGCCTTTGCATTGGCCACTTTCAATGTGATTTTCTACCCAATCTTCGTTGCTTTCAAAGCGTACACCACAAGAAGCACATCTACCAGAAACATGGCATCTATCATGAGATCTTGTTCCAGGAGGATATTTAAAGTGCCTGGCTTTTAGGTGGGTTTTGTAGGTATCTCTTCTAGAAAAGCCACCATTTGGATGACATTTGTGGTCTGAGTTTGGATTGTAGAAGGGACATTTGTAAGCTTTGTCGATGGCATGTTTTTTAATGTGTCTAGTTAAGTAACCACGAACTCTGAATTCAGCTTGACAGTAAGAGCAAACATGGACTTTTGATTTGCCTGAGGAGGAGCCTGATGAGGAGATTTCGTTTGAGGGAGAGGAATCAAAGCCGTCAGGCTCACCTTTATCAGAGACATCAGAATCGTCAGATTTATCTGAGTTGTGCAAGTCTTCCAAGCCTTCCAAGTCTTGCAAGTCATCTGAATCTTCTAATTTGTTTAACTTTTTTGAATCGTTTTCTTGGGTTTTTGTTGTTTCAGATTGATTTGATTTGATTGATTTGATTGATTTAATTGAAATATGTGATTTGGATTGTTTTTGAGAGATATTTGTAGCGGATTTATTGGATGATTGAGATGGAGAAGTGGGATTTGAAGAAGGAGAGGAAGAGGAAGAAGTGGAGGAAGGAGGAGATGGTGAAAGGGACTCAGCGTCTGAAATAGAAGTGGAGGAAGAGGAAGAGGATAGGGTTGAGTTGAACAGTTTATTTTTTAGTGTTTTTTTATGTTTTGTTGATTTTTTAAAGGATTTATTTTGTGGTGATTTTGAGGGTAAAGAAGATTGGTTGAAAATATGGCCATTTGAGGGTAAAATGGGGACCAAGTTGCTGTCGATTGTAGTGAAGGTTTTTTCATGGTTGATGTTGTTTGAATTGTTAAAGGTGTTTTGGAGATTGTTGGTAATGAAATTACTGTCAAAACTGATTGTATTTAAGTTGTTATTTAAATTATCAATTTGGGAGAAAGAAGAGGTGGTTAAGGTAAAATCTTTGTCAGTTAAAAAAGTTGAATAATCGTTCAAGTTGTTGAAGTTATCCAAGTTGAAATCAGCTAGATCAATATTAGTCAAGTCAAAATCTTGAGAGATGTCATTATTAAAATCAGGGATGTTGTTCAAGTCAATAATATAGTTATTATCATTGTTGTTGTTGTTATTATTATTATTATTATTATTATTATTATTATTATTATTATTATTATTATTATTATTATTATTATTATTATTATTATTATTATTATTATTATTANTATTATTATTATTATTATTATTATTATTATTATTATTATTATTATTATTATTATTATTATTATTATTATTATTATTATTATTATTATTATTATTAATTATGTTAATAGTGTTAATAGTGTTAATAGTGTTAATAGTGTTAATAGTGTTAATAGTGTTAGTGTTATTAATTACTTGGTTTGACCAAGAGATGTTACCTGATTGATCTTGGATGGGAATAAATTTCAATTGATTTTGGTCGATGGAACAAGATTTTGCAGATGATTTGATTAGTAATGAGTTTGAGTTTTTATTTGAGACAGATAATTTTTGGGGGATACTGAAGTTGTTGTAGTTGTTATTGGGAAAGAAGATGATTTTTTGTGATTTTTTTGAAGATTTATTGAGAGTATTGTTGACATTTGACTTTAAGGAGATGATTTTACTTGACTTCTTGGATGATTTTTTTTTATTATTGTTCAGCTTTGAATTATTTGAAACACTTGAATCATTTGAAACATTTGGGTGATTTGGTTTGGTTGAGTTAATAAGATTAGTAGAATGGTTTGAGGGTTTTTGAAATTGCTGATCATCGTCTTTATTGGTGAGAAAGGGATAAAAAATTGATTTTAGATTTAGAAAATTTGATTTCAAAAGATTCAATAGGTTGAAGAAAAACGAGAGAACAACACTATTGGAGATAATATTATATATATTAAAGGAATATGAATACTTGTTTTGATTATTAGACATTTTGGGATCTGGCATAATTACATTAATGAAAAGAGAAGGGCTGCTTAACAAGTGGATTGCTGAGATGAGGGAATAGAAAGGGCAAGGAAGTGAACAAGGAAGAAAAGGAAAAGAAAAAGAGGCAGAAGCAGGAGCAGAAGCAGAAGCAGAAGCAGAAGTAAAGTCTGGAGGACAGTGGGAGGTACAAGATATATGAGCTGGGATGGTTTGAAGGATCTGACGAGTTGTTTACTGGCGAGATAGCAGATTGGAGATATTGTACTCTTTTCAAAAGCAGCGAAAGCGACTGTATTTATCCTTCCCTGGTCAGTCGCTAAGGCACTGCCGTCCAGCAGCACGGCTTTCGCGCGGCCCCTTAGCGAATAGCAGTCCGACCCAGCAGTTCGGATCCCGCACCACACTGCTGGACTCCGCTGCTTTCCGCGCTTGCCCGCGCTTCTGTCGGCTATCTCTCTTTGATAATCTCCGCGGCACGGCTGAGTCAGCCGCGGACCAGCCCTTCTGGCGCTTCTTCGTCTGTTTTGTCCAGCTCTTTGGGTTCTTGTGGTGCGCTGCTTCTTGTGGTGCATGTTTTCCTATCTCCCGTGCCGCCGCTGTGCTCTACATGTCTGCTGCCCCTGCTTCTCCGCCCGCTAATGTCCTGTTTCAGCGCCCCTGACGTGTTTCTCAAGGCCCTCGACAGGCTAGAGAAGTTGCTCTACCTCCCAGCCCTGCTCGATCCTTCCTCTGCTGCCATTGTATACGCTGCTGTTTCTGACCCTGTAATCTTGTCCTGTGGCTGCATTTTCTCCAGTGCCCTCTTCCTGTCCTCCTCCTCTTCCACCTGCCCCATCTGCCTGCTCTCCCCTGTCTTCAAGGTCTCCAACCTCAACATCTTGCGCAAGCTAGCAAAGTACATCTCCAACTACAAGGCTCTCTTCAGGAAAAACTCCTCCTCTCTCGCCCCCCTATCTGGTACCTCTCACACTCGCAACATTCCACTTCAATCCTCAAAAGGTCTCGACCATAACCAAACTTTTCTCCAATCTAGTTCAAACACTACTACCATTAAAAAGAACAACAAAAAGAAGTTTGTCAAATTTGAATACACTGAAAAAAGACACATCGATGCGATTAAAGAAATAAAAAAAAAACATGAAGATGAAAAATTCTTAAATCGCTCCTTATTTGATCCCGTATTAAGAGACAATTGTGAAAATAAATCTTTACTCGCCATTTTTGACAATGTAGCTAAAAAGATTAAAAATAACAGTGATCAAAATATCGATAAAAATAATGACAATACTATCAGGAATGCTAACATCATCATCACTTCTTCTGATCCAAATACCATTTCAAATAATATTTCAAATATTTCAAATAATATTTCAAATATTTCAAATGATAATAACATTACCATTCCCATAATTGACCAGCCAATTAAATTATTATCCAACACTCCGGTCTCTTCATCTCCTCAACAAATTTCAGATATCTATTTTAAATTAAACCCATCTTATCTTAACCCCAATCTAACTAAAAATAACATTTCTATTAACAATAATTTATTTCCACCAAAGACGGTATCCTTCACAAACCAACCTCCATCTTCTCTTCCCTTTGCATCCTTTTCGTCTAATAACAACATCGATCGAAACATATCCTCTTCTAATACAAATCCTCCTATCATATCTTCTGTTGATCCTTTAGATACATCCCAATACATCCCTCCTTCTTCCTCTTCTCCAATTCCAATCCCAATACAAAATACAATACAAAATACAATCCCAAACTCAAACTCAAATTCAAAGATATCTTCTTTATCAAAATCCCTATCAAACGTTATTCGAAAATCTGCTTCTGTTTCTTCTCTCCTAAAAAAGAAGAGCTCATTTTCAAATTTAAACTCAATTTCAAATGCAAGCTCAAACCTAATTCAAATCTCAAACCAAACCTTAAATCAAAACCTAAATCAAAACTCAATTTCAGATTCTCAATCAACTTCTTCAAACATTCTTTCTTTAAATAACAACAAAAACAACAACATAATCATGATTAATAATAATAATAATAGTAATGATTCAATAAAATTCGGCTCCTCTTATAACTCATTTCCTCCAAAATCAAATTTATCCTATATATCCTCTCCATCTAACTATCCGTCTGTAACAATTCCTCTTGCAAATTACGAAGCAAGATTCTCCACCAATTTCCCAATTTATCGAAAAAAAATCCAACATCCTTTCAAACTCAATAGAAAAAACTATCTCAAAAGACCAGATTTCATTGGCACCGCTTTATCTCCATTGGCTACAAAATTCGCTCTAATCGATGAAAAAAGATGGTTTGTTTATAAAATCTCTTCAAACTCGAATAAGAAGCCCTCTTTATTATGCTGTGGTAATAAAGATGGGGACTATGGCACAAATTTCGAAAATCTAATCCAATACAACCCTTACAATAATAACTTATCTCCAAACATAGATTTGCTAATTAATGGCAATTCGCAGGCAAAAGAATTTATTAAAAAGGGTATTTGGGAATTCTCTTTTGTCGCCTTAAGCGAGAATCTATTAGTAATATACGGAAAGAGATTGATTAGAATTTACGATGTCTCCAATAACGGCATGCCAATTTATACAAGATATGGAATCTCAGTTAGATGTATGGATATCTCTCCAATTGAAAATTTAATTGCTTTGGGGTTGACTAAAAAGGACAAGGCAACTGATGGAGAGGGAAGTATAATTCTTTTAATTCAATTGTCATTCCAACCCAATTTCAATTTCAATCTCAATAATGCTGACAGTAATATTAATAATATTAATAATGAAAATAATAATGATGGAAATAATAGTTTTATACTAGACTCAAATATACCTACTATTTCAACTTATCGAAACTCCAATTCTTCTTCTGCTGCTTCAAATCCCTCTTCTCCAACAATCTCATCTTTTTTCAATAACATTGTTAATACTAATAATACTACTACTAATAATAATAATATAAATGCATCTAAACTGATTTACTCTCAAGGGTCTTCTGTCAAAAGTCCTGGGGAAATAAGTACCAATGACGGAAATTCATCAAATGCAAGATCATTTAATTTTACATTAACTAGCGTTGATCATAAATTGATAACGCTTGGATATAACGATCCAATCAATGTTGTGAAGTTTTCGAAAGATGGAGTTTATCTTTCGTGTGCGACTATTTTGGAATCGAGATTTATGGTTATAAATGTTCGAAATCCTGCCGATGTTCGATTGGTTATGAAGTCGAAAAAGGATATTGACACAGCATATGAAAGTGAAGGGATAACGGATTTGGAATTTGTGGATGCGGATAATAATCTTATGGTGGTGTCGTCGGTTGCTTTTAAAACGCCGCCAGTTTTGATTGAAACATTGATCCCCAAGTCAAATCCAGATTTGTTGTTCACTCAGCCGAGATTGAAGGCGAGAATTAATAATATCGGATCAGCTATTCATAGGTGTACAGCGTCACCCCGAGGGTACGCGTTGTCGTTGTTGAATAAAAAGGGAGATGTTTTCATAGTGGATATCAGTGGAGCACAAGAGATACGAAGGATTTTGATGGTCGACAATGTTATGAGTGCGACCAAGAAGTCAGAGTCTGCCAGTCTTGGATTTTCAGCAGATGGGTACAAGCTTTTTATTATAGATCGAAGGGGGACATTGTATATTGATGATTTTATAGCTGGGACGCCACAAAGTCCGGATGTTACAAAATGCAAGTCTGTATTATAAAGAAACATTTATTTTTGTTAATTTTGTTAATTTTGTTATTATTTTTGTTAATTTTGTTATTATTTTTGTTATTATTTTTGTTATTATTATTATTATTATTATTATTATTATTATTATTATTATTATTATTATTCTTATTCTTATTCTTATTCTTATTCTTTTTGTTATTGTTAAGTTTATAAATTGTTGTATTTAGATTCATTGTATTTAGATTCATTGTATTTAGATTCATTATATTTAGATTTATTATATTTAGATTTATTTGTTTTGAGTAAAATTGAACCATAGATAATTAAAGAATCGATTCATTAGAGAATCGATTGGGGAATCAATCAAGGGTAGAAAAGGCAAGATTAAAAAAGTGGATAGAAAAGGGCCTAATTTAAGAAAGTATATATTTCTTTTTTGAATCAAAGACAAAGAATTATCTAGGCCCAATAGATTTAGAAAAGAGGCTTTAAGAGATTTAAAAGGGTTAATGATGGGAAATCTTTTTTTAGTATTTTGATTTTGATGTTCGGTTTTGAATAGGAAATGGTTGAAAGGTTTGAAACTGGTTTGGGAGAGATGTGGGAAATAATTTATATAGAATTGATTAAATTTCAAGAAATTTGTTTGGTTGAAAATATAGAGAGAAGAGAATTTTGCAGTGTAGTGGAAAGATAGTAGGGGAATAAATAAAGAGGTGATCAATTGGAAGGTGAATCTCTCAAAGATGACAAATTTGTAATCTTTGTTGTAAGGGTTTAAAGAAGACTTTAGGGAAGCTGAATTGTATTTATCTTGTAGCAATTTGTATTTGTAGCCATGATAAGAGACATCGGATAGAATGTAGACGCCAGTAGTGACGGTGCAAAATTTCGATATGAAATTTTGGGGATTGTCAAGATTGATAAACTTGAAAAGTTTTTTAAGCTTTTTACTATTGTTATTGTTATTATTTGAGTGATGATTTACTTCATCGTTTGCATGATGGTATGCTTCAGAGACTTCAACGACCTTCTTTGTTGTTTTAGAAAACTTTTTCAATTTTCTGGAGTTGTTTGATAGCTTCAATAGGGGAGTCAACTCATTCTTGAGCAACTGGGATTCTCTAGACACAACATTGATGTCCCTGGATACAGCATTGAGACCGTCAATGGAATTGATGTTTTTGATGCTTTTGATGTTCGAGATGCTTTTGAGGTCTGTTATGGCAGCAGCCTCCTTGGATAGGTTCGCCAACTGGGCCTCTGTGGAAGCAAGTGGCAATTTCCTGGCTCGGCGGGAAACGTTGGAGAGCGGCTTCGCGTACGCAGCATAACGGAGGCCGGTGTCGTCGTTTTCGTCGGTGTCGGTGCTGCCGGTGCTGTCTGTGCTGCTCATCGCCGTTGTGGTGGTGCAAGAGCAGCTGTGGTGTGCGGGCGCGGTTGAATAGACGCGGCCGGGTAAGCACCACGGCAGCACCCCTCGCATCCGGCAATTCCATCAGAACAACACGCTCTCAACATGGCTTGTCCTGCGTTGCAGAGAGTCTGGCCATCAGCCTGGCTTGGTCTGAACGCGCATTACCCGGGTGTGTGTACGCGTGCAATTCCTGCCAATCCAGCAGCCGGGTAGCGTTGTTGCACGTGTGTGCCCAGAAGCTAGCGCGCTGTGTGGGTGGAGCAGATGCACCGAGAAGAGCGAGAACAACGGTGTGAGTGTTTGTGGGCTGAAATTAGAAGCAAGACCAGATTCAGGTAGGATTTGGTAGCAGCGGTTTCTTTTTTTAGGAGGCTCATCTTCCCTCCGCTGTTGGGGGCACCAACGCAACAGCATCGAGTGCTTGTGCTGCTTTTGTTGTTTTCTTTCCCTTTTGCTCGCCATACTGCTCCTGCTCCTTCTGTTCCATCCCTCTGCTGTATTTATACATCCTCTTCCCTTGGTCTCCATCGCTGTTCCTTCTCTGCTCTCCATCTCTCTGATAGCCCATCCTTAAAGTTGCACTTCACCCATACAAAATAGACTTGAAATACGCTTGATTTAGTCAGTGTCCAGACCTATAAGCAGAGTCTGCACATATCTCTCCTGTTCCTGGAATAGTGTTAATCTTCTTAGTGCAATCGTTTTTTCATTTCTTTTCGATCTCTTCAATCTGTTTATCCTGTTCTTTACAAATCACCACTCCACTACAGACCACCTTACAGTACCATAAAACAACTTCTTGTTTTCTTCCTCCGCTAATAGCATCCGGCTATTACTTAGAATCTCCATTCGTTTTACTGTTTTCCTTTGCAAGAACAACTATATTCCAACTAACTCATACATTCACACTGGTTTTCCTATTGGTTTCCTTTGGGTTCCTTTTCTGAGTTTCATTTCTCTCTCTCTCTCTCTTTTTTCTCTTCATTTCCTTTTTTTTCATTTTTTTTCTTTCCCTCTTTTTTCTCCCTTTGTTAATCAATTTCAAAAATGTCTTTTCGAAATAAAGATAATCCTAATAACGATATCGATGGTCAAAATTACTATGACCCAAATATCGATTTTCAAGCTCAACCCAATCTAGATCCAAATTCTAATCTCAATCCTAATCTTCATCCCAATCCCAATCCTAATTCTAATTCTAATTCTAATTCTAATTCTAATTCTAATTCTAATTCTAATTCTAATTCTAATAATCAATATCATGATCCCTACACTGATCAATCCCTGAATTCTCCTTCCTTTGATCAATCTCAGAATCAACAGCCGGATTCCTCTTATTACTACTACGAAAATGATAACAACAACGATAACATTAATCAATACAATTTCAACACAAACTCAACTGCAAACATTATCCCCCAAGATCCTTCAATTCAATTAAACCAAAACATCCAAAACAATTACTCAGACTACTCTCAAAATATCTCTCCATCTGCCTACGCTCCCTCTCACATCAGCTATGATACCAGAAACTCTTCTGCCACTTCAACTCCCTACTACAACTCAATGGGCCCAAACTCATCCACCATTGGAGGCTTTGTTCCTGGCTTGCCAAACGACCCTTATCCTGCTTGGAACGCTGACAACGAAGCTCCTGTCAAATTAGAAGACATTGAAGACATATTCATCGATCTAACAAACAAATTCGGCTTTCAAAGAGACTCAATGAGAAACATCTTTGATCATCTAATGAACCTTCTAGACTCAAGAGCCTCAAGAATGTCCCCATCTCAAGCCCTACTATCCCTCCACGCCGATTACATCGGTGGTGAATCTGCAAACTACAAAAGATGGTTTTTCGCTGCTCACCTAGATCTAGATGACCAAGTAGGTTTTGCCAACGTCAATATCTCAAAGGTATCCTCAAAAAACAAAAAAAAATCTAAATCCGCTAAACTATTAGCCAAAAATAACCTCAAATCCTCAAACGACGCCAACTTCAACCCTTCCTCTGCCTCCGATAACGTCTCCTCTCAATCAGCCATTGACTCGACCCTAACACAACTACAAGATGATAACTCCCTACTCGCTGCAAACTTTCGCTGGAACAATGAAATGAATCAGCTATCCTTTCTAGAAAAAATTAAACAATTAGCACTATATCTCCTTTTGTGGGGCGAAGCAAATCAAGTCAGATTCACCCCAGAATGCCTTTGCTTCATCTACAAATCCGCCTACGACTATCTAAGATCTCCTGCTTGCCAAAATACATCTCAACCTGTACCTGAAGGCGATTACCTCAACAGAGTCATCACCCCAATCTACAAATTTCTTAGAGACCAAATCTATGAAGTAGTAGACGGAAGATTTGTTAAAAGAGAACACGACCACAACAAAGTCATCGGTTACGACGACGTCAACCAATTGTTTTGGTATCCCGAAGGTATTGCCAAAATCATCCTCAAAGACGGTACAAGATTGATCGATATACCCCAAGACCAAAGATACTTGCGTTTAGGCGATGCTGATTGGTCCAACGTCTTTTTCAAAACTTATAAAGAAGTTAGAACTTGGTTCCACATGGTAACAAATTTCAACCGTATCTGGATCATTCATGGCTCAATCTACTGGATGTATTGCGCTTTCAACTCCCCAACTTTATACACAAAAAACTACGTTCAATTGGTCAACAATGAACCAGTTCCAACTTTTAGATGGGCTAGCACTGCGCTAGGTGGAACTGTCGCTTGTTTAATCCAAATTGCTGCCACCATTTGCGAATGGATCTTTGTTCCTAGAAATTGGGCCGGTGCTCAACATCTTTCAATAAGATTTTTATTCCTATTGTTACTAACCGGCATCAATTTAGCTCCCTTTATCTTCGTCGTCGTCTATAACCCAATCGATACCTACTCAAAAATTGCTCACATCGTATCTATAATTGATTTCGCTATCGCGGTTGCCACGATTGTTTTTTTCTCAATTATGCCTCTTGGTGGCTTATTCACCTCCTATATGAATCGCTCCTCAAGAAGATTTGTAGCTTCACAAACTTTTACTGCTAACTTTTACAGACTACAAGGCAAGGATATGTGGATGTCTTTCACTCTATGGTTTGTCGTCTTTTTAGCAAAATTCGTCGAATCCTACTTCTTTCTAATCTTATCTTTAAGAGATCCAATTCGAAATTTGGCTACAATGCATATGCGATGTACTGGTGAAGTTTGGTGGGAAAATAAATTGTGTACTTATCAATCTCAAATTGTCCTAGGAATGATGTATTTCACAGATTTTATTCTATTTTTCTTAGATACTTATATGTGGTACATTGTTTGTTCTTGTGTATTCTCCGTTGGTCGTTCCTTCTATTTAGGTATCTCAATTTTAACCCCTTGGAGAAATATTTTTTCAAGATTACCAAAGAGAATTTATTCCAAAGTTTTATCTACAACTGACATGGAAATCAAATATAAACCAAAAGTTCTTATTTCTCAAATTTGGAACGCCATCGTTATCTCAATGTATAGAGAACACTTGCTAGCTATTGACCATGTTCAAAGATTATTATATCACCAAGTTCCTTCCGAAATTGAAGGTAAAAGAACTTTAAGAGCTCCCGCTTTTTTTATTTCACAAGACAAAGATAATATTGAAAACCAATTCTATCCAAAAGATTCAGAAGCGGAAAGAAGAATCACTTTTTTTGCTCAGTCTTTAGGAACTCCAATGCCAGAACCCTTGCCAGTTGAAAATATGCCAACTTTTACTGTTTTTACTCCTCATTATTCTGAAAAAATTTTACTATCTTTAAGAGAAATTATTAGAGAAGATGATCAGTTTTCAAGAGTTACTTTATTGGAATATTTAAAACAGTTACACCCCGTTGAATGGGATTGTTTTGTTAAAGACACTAAAATCTTATCTGAAGAAACCGCTTCTTATGAGGAAATTCCCAAGTCTGAAAAAGAGGATAATGATACTCTAAAAACAAAAATTGACGATTTACCCTTCTATTGTATCGGTTTCAAAAGTGCTGCTCCCGAGTATACTTTGAGAACTAGAATCTGGGCTTCATTAAGAGCACAAACTTTATATCGTACGGTCTCGGGTATGATGAATTATGCTAGAGCTATCAAGTTACTTTATAGAGTTGAAAATCCTGAAATCGTTCAATTATATGGCGCTAATACCGAAGGTCTTGAAAGAGAATTGGAAAGAATGGCTAGAAGAAAGTTCAAATTTGTTGTAAGTATGCAAAGATTGGCAAAATTTAAACCCGATGAAGCTGAAAATGCAGAGTTTTTGTTACGTGCTTACCCAGATTTACAAATTGCTTATCTAGATGAAGAACCACCACTTGAAGAAGGAAAAGATCCAAGAATTTATTCCGCTATTATTGATGGTCATTGTGAATTGATGGAAAATGGAAGACGTAGACCTAAATTTAGAATCCAACTTTCAGGAAACCCAATTATCGGTGACGGTAAGTCCGATAATCAAAATCATGCTCTCATTTTTCATCGTGGTGAATATATCCAATTAATCGATGCTAATCAAGACAACTATCTTGAAGAATGTCTTAAAATTAGATCGGTTCTTGCTGAATTTGAAGAATTGTCTCCTGACCAAGTTAATCCCTATGCCCCTGAATTGAAATATGAAGATAAGAAATTCCATCCAGTTGCCATTGTCGGTGCTAGAGAATATATTTTCTCAGAAAACACCGGTATTCTTGGTGATGTTGCAGCTGGTAAAGAACAAACTTTCGGTACTCTTTTCCATAGAGTTCTTGCTCAAATTGGTGGTAAATTACATTACGGTCATCCCGATTTTCTTAATTCTACATTTATGTGTACTCGAGGTGGTGTTTCCAAAGCTCAAAAGGGTTTGCATCTTAATGAAGATATCTATGCTGGTATGAATGCCATGTTGCGTGGTGGAAGGATCAAGCATTGTGATTATTTTCAATGTGGTAAAGGTAGAGATATGGGTTTTGGATCAATTCTTAATTTTACAACAAAGATTGGTGCTGGTATGGGTGAACAAATGTTATCCCGTGAATATTATTATCTTGGAACTCAATTGCCGATTGATCGTTTCCTATCATTTTACTATGCTCACCCTGGTTTTCATGTTAATAATTTGTTTATTCAACTTTCTTTGCAGTGCTTTATGTTAACCTTAATTAATTTGAATGCGTTGGCTCATGAATCAATCATTTGTATATATGATAAAAATACTCCAGTAACTGATCTACAAATCCCTAGGGGTTGTTACAACTTAATGCCTGCAATTGATTGGGTTAGACGTTACACACTCTCTATTTTTATTGTTTTCTGGATTTCTTTTATTCCTCTATTTGTTCAAGAATTGGTTGAAAAGGGCGTTTGGAAGACAATTGTTAGATTATTGCATCACTTTTGTTCTTTGTCTCCAATGTTCGAGGTCTTTGTTGCTCAAATCTATGCTTCATCAATTTCCTCTGATTTAACGGTTGGCGGTGCTCGTTATATTGCAACAGGTCGTGGTTTTGCTACTTCTCGTATTCCATTTTCTGTTTTATATTCCCGTTTTGCCCAATCATCAATTTACATGGGTGCAAGATTGTTGTTTATGTTGTTGGCAGCAAGTGCTGCCTATTTTCAACCAGCTTTATTATGGTTCTGGGCTTCATTGTTTTCACTTATACTACCACCATTTGTATTCAATCCTCATCAATTTTCCTGGAAAGAATTTTTTATAGATTACCGTGATTATATTAGGTGGCTATCAAGAGGAAATGGTAAATGGCACAAAAATTCATGGGTGGGCTATGTTAAGATGTCTAGATCCAGAATTACTGGTTTCAAGCGTAAGGTTTTAGGTGAGCCATCTGAAAAGGCTGCTGGTGATGCTCCAAGAGCACATCGTTCTAATATTTTAACTTCCGATCTTGTTCCTACATGTATGTATGCAGGAGGTGTTTTCATTGCTTATACATTTATTAATGCTCAAACTGGTGTTAATGGTGGAGATGCTAGTCCAGTTAACTCTGCATTACGTGTGATTATTTGTGCTTTTGCTCCTGTTGTTATTAATATTATTGTGTTGCTTGGATGCTCAACAATGGCCTGCTGTGCTAGTCCATTATTAGGTGCTTGTTGCACAAGAACCGGACCAGTAATGGCATGTATTGTTCATGGAATATCTGTTATTATTCATTTTATTTTTTTTGTTATTATGTGGATATTGCAAGGTTTTAGTTTTGCTAAAATGACTCTTGGAATTATATGCATGATCTATTTTCAAAGAGTTCTTTTTAAATTTATGACAATAGCATTTTTAACTAGGGAGTTTAAACATGACCACTCCAATTCTGCATTTTGGACAGGTAAATGGCATGGTGCTGCTAATACTCAACCATTTCGTGAATTTTGTGCTAAGATAATTGAGCAATCTGAATTTGCAGCTGATTTTATTCTTGGGCATATGATTTTGTTTGTTCAGTTACCTATCCTATTGGTACCTTTTGCAGATAGATGGCACTCAATGATGTTATTTTGGTTAAAACCAAGCAAACAAATTAGACCACCTATTTATTCGTTGAAACAAGCCAAATTACGAAAACGGATAGTTAGAAGATACTCTTTGCTTTACTTTTTAATATTAGCAGTGTTTGCTATATTGATTGTGGCTCCAAGTGTCGCTTCTACAAAGGTTAGTGACAATTTTGGTCAAGATTTAAGTGGCGAACTTAAGGCATTAATTCAACCAAGAAAACAAGAAAATAATGATACTGGTGCATCAGCTCCGAGATCTTTTTTTACAACAACTCCATCTATGTCTACATGGTCCACAATTGCATGAAGAATTAATCTCTTCCCTTTTTATACCATTATACTTATTTTTTTAATAATTTTACTATATTAGATATATTATTTAGTATTTTTAGGATATATTTATTTCTTAGATAGATATTTTATAACTATTATTGTAATATAAAATAGAGTAGGTTGAGGTTTTTGAATTGAAAAGCAATTTTAGGTTTGGTGGATCTTTGCATCCATTGCAGTGGTTCATGTATCTTTATGCATATAATACATATTTTCTGGTTTGGATTTTTTTTGAATTTTTTTTTTGATTCAACATTTTGAAATTTTTCAAAGCATTTCAATCATCTTAGTTCTCGAGAATATACCCAAAGATATACTCAAAGATATGGACAAAGATATGGATTCGGAAGATTCTCAAGTAACATACATCTCCAGGGACATTCATCCATTTTATATGGGTGGTTCTCCAATTACATTGTCTTTGAATGGTAAATTTCTCATCACTGCCCTTTTAGATGATATAGTTATAGTGAACCCAAAGACCAATAAGATAATTGATCAAGTTGAAGGTGATGGTGGATCAATTACTTGTTTGCAAATAACTCCTGATGGTAAAATGTTGGCTGTTTGCTCAATATCTCAACAATTTCGTTTATATGATCTTGAAAAAAAGAAGTTTGTGAAAAACTTCAAGTTACCTTCTCCAGTATACACCATGACAGCAGATTCGACATCCACTTTAATAGTCTGTGGAGGTTCAGATGGTTCTATAAACATCTATGATTTGGATAATAAATATCTAACTCACCATTTCAATCACTCTTCAACGATTTCATCTTTGTCTATTTATAATTCAGAAAATAAAAAAACCTGGTTATTGGCCTCTGGGGATACTTTGGGCAACATGAAAGTGTTTGATTTGATTAAAAGAAAGCAAATCTATTCTTCACAGAGCCATAATTCGACGATTCGTGGTTTGGATTTTAGCGCAAATGGTGATCATCTATTAAGTGGTGGAAGAGATAAAATTGTTCAAATTTATGAAATCAATAATAAATTTAAAACAATCAAAACGATTCCTAGTAATCAACAAATTGAATCTGCAGGGTTTGTTATTTTAAATGGAAATGAATATTACTTTACTGCTGGTGATGATCCTATTATAAAAGTTTGGGACTACAAAAATGACCTTTTAATTGGAAATTCAGTTCAAACATTAAAAACAAATGAAGAGTTGATGATGATCCAAGTTTTAAAGGTTTCTTCTAACTTAGATGATGGAAATACAACCACAGATAAGCTATTTGCCAACATAAGTGATCAAACTATTATTGAATTTGATTTAACCGACATTGTAACATTAAACAACACGGATAAATTTTTATTGAAACATGATAGAACACTTGCAGGTAATCATGGTATAATATCTGATTTAAGATTTGTTTCACCAAATAAAAACTTGTTGGCATTAGCCACAAACTCACCTTCATTAAGAGTGATAAATCCTTATGAAAATCAATTCGAAGTTCAAATATTAGAGAGTCATAAGGATCTATTGAATTCATTAGATTCTACCAATGATGGATTGTGGATTGCAACAACTAGTAAAGATCACAAAGCTAAGATATGGAAGTATTCCACAAAAGTTAATTCCTTTAAACTATTTGCTACATTTTCTGGACACTCAAGTTCTGTGACCTGTGTGACAATAAATAAAAAATATTCTACTCAGCCAAATTTTATAATAACAGGTTCTGATGATTTAACAATCAAAAAATGGAAAATTCCTGTACTAAACGATGACACTGATTTTGATAATAGCAGTTTCACGCCATTCAAAGTTTCAACATCTGTCTACACTAGACGAGCTCATGAAAAGGATATTAATAGTATTGATATGTCTCCAAATAATGAATGTTTTGCTACAGCGGGTTTTGATAAAGTTGCGAAAATATGGAATACTGAATCGGGTGAAATTATGGGTGTTTTAAAAGGTCATAAAAGAGGATTATGGGATATAAGATTTTCATTATTTGATAAAACAGTTGCAACTTGCAGTATTGATAAAACCATTAAAGTATGGTCCGTTGAAACATTTACTTGTTTGAAAACTTTTGAAGGACATTCAAATTCAATTCAAAAAATTCAATTTCTTAGAAGTGACACTTGGATTGTTTCTGTCGGTGCCGATGCTCTTGTCAAGATTTGGGATGTTAAATCAGGAGAGTGTTTAAAAACATTAGATAATCACAATAACAGAATTTGGGCTTTAACAGTAAAAGACGATGGTGATTTAATTGTTTCAGCTGATGCAGATGGTAATATCAGCATTTGGGAAGATAAAACTAAAGAGACAATAGCAGAGGCCAATGAAAGGAAAAAACAGAAGATAGAACTAGAGCAGTCATTGAAGAACCATATTTTCAGGAAAGATTGGATTAATGCCTTTTTGTTGGCCCTAAAATTAGATCACCCAATGAGATTATACAATGTTATTAATCAATGTATAATTTCAAATGACGATCCTGATAGTGTTTTGGGGTCATATAAGTTGGAAGAATGTATTAAAAAACTAACTGAAGAGCAGATTTTGCTTTTGTTTAAAAGAATCAGAAATTGGAATGTCAATTCAAGACATTTTGAAATAGCACAAAAAATTATAAAATGCATATTGAACAATCATCATGCTGATAAACTAGTTGAAATTCCTGGGTTAAAGAATTTGCTCGAGAGTATTTTGCCTTATTCAGAACGTCATTATTCTAGAATCAACGATCTAATTGATCAAAGTTATCTTCTCGATTATACAATAAAACAGATAGACACTGTTTCTATATAGTTGATATAATATAATAGATAATTCTAGGCCCCGGCGCGAAGTGCGCGAGTGAAAGGGAGTTTATTTTTTGCCATTTTTAAATGTTTTTTTTTTCAATTTCAAATCTCTTTCATTTTATTTCTAGTTTGTAATTTGTAAAACATATTTTTAAAAGAGAGAAGATACAGTACAACACGATGCCTATCAATCAGCCATCCAATCAAATACGACTCACTAATGTCTCTTTGGTTCGTATGAAAAAAGGGAAGAAGAAATTTGAATTGGCCTGCTACAACAATAAGATCCAAGATTACAGATCAGGAGTGTAAGTGCTATATAAAATTGCTTTCTTTTCTTAATAATCTTCTTAGGATTATTCTTTTCGAATAAAATCAGATAACTAATACAATCTTATAAACAGAGAAAAGGATCTAGATGAGGTGTTGCAAATTCATCAAGTGTTTTTGAACGTGTCAAAAGGTCTTGTTGCTCCACACAATGAACTTGTTAAAGCATTTCAAAAAAGTGATATTGAAGAAATTATTTTAGAGATTCTTAATAAGGGTGAAATTCAATTGAATGAAAAAGAAAGGGATCAGAAAATTAAGCAAATAACCAATGAAATTGTGACATTAATATCGACGAAATGCGTTAATCCAAATACTAAAAAAAGATATTCTCCCTCGATGATCCTTAAAACTTTAAATCAGTTGAAATATCATATTTTACCTACTAAACCAGCCAAGGTTCAAGCATTAGATGCCATCAAAGTTTTGGTGTCCAAACAAATTATTCCGATAGCAAGAGCACAAATGGAGATTAAGATTGATTCTGATTTAAAATTTTACAAGAGTCACGCCGAAAAAATTAAAAGCTTGATTGAAAATATTGAAAACGAAACATTTACTAAAGATAGGTGGGAATGCTTTGCTTTAATAGATCCTGCCAATTATAAAGAGTTGAAGACTTTTAAGTTTTCATTAGAAGTATTGGACGCAGCAGTTATCAGTACTAGTGAGGGCAAATATAAATAACGTTCTATATTGATATATGAATAAAAGAGAGTTATTTCTAAAAACAAATAAAAATATGTAGCTATATCATATTTCACACAATAATTATAACCTCAGTCTATGAAGAGTATATGTTGTTGTTTTTTTGAATCATTATAAACTTAATTTCTCTTTTCTTTTTTGGAAAATTTATGATCGGAATCTTTGAGCAAACATACAAATAAGCAGCCCCATTTCTAAGGAGCCATAAACAGCAATTATGGGGGCAGACATTCAGATCATTTCATAGCAATTGATGGGTAGTGGTATAGTAACCTCCGGAAATAATAGTTTATCAGAATGATCACATATAAATTGCTATAGAATCTCTTGAATAGTTAAATGTATCTATATTTCACCATATTGATATAATATTCTTTTAACAATTGCAACTTAGTACTTTCTTACTACAACTTGTTATTTTAGCAAAATGGGGTTCTTAGTTGTTTTCTTGAGTGTTTGGGTTATAATCTTGTCAATAGTTGATGCAGACAGAGTTTTCTCACTTTCTGCCTTTGGAGGGGAATTTGCTAACGTCCCTGTTGTGCTTCCAGTTGGCTCTACTTATCTCAAATTAAAAGGCACAGGTGGAGGTGAAATCAGCTTTACTCTTGAAGAACCATCTGGGTTTTTGACCCTTTTGAATGATCCTACTCAATACGTTTCAGTCGATGCTAACGGTTTGCACATTACTGACAGAGGTGGTGCTTCCAAAGACTTTGGTCTTGACGAGAGTGGAAACTTGAGGTTCACTGCTTCCTTCCAAGGATGGTGGGCCTGTCCTCAAGCTGATGAATCGTTCAACATTGCCAGTTGGGCTTGCAAGGATGGTATCAAAATCATTTTGATTCCAAAAGTCAGAACTGTAGAGGAGTAAGCACCCTATTATGCCTTGGACACAATTGAAAGCCATGAATACCAAAGCTCTCTTTGTGGTACATATTTATAGAGCAGAGGTTTTCATATTCATCAGGTTATTTTTGATTTCGATCAGTTTGGTATCAAAAAATTCATTAATTTTAAAATTTTAAAAATTATATACTATCAGCATATAGCCCACATTAATGAAAAAAATTTTGACGAAAATCAGTTTCGTAAACATTTAATTGCAGTTTAAACATTATATTGTTTTTATAACCAATAAAATGTAGTGAGATTTTAGGAATTGCTCTCAAATCATCAAAAAATAGTTGATTAAGAAGTAAATTGGGGATTCATAGTGATCTTAAACTAAATAAAAACTGTGTTTTTTCCACTTCTTCAAATAATGGCAATTGAAGACGATGGAAAGACTTTTCTTCTGCATGAATATGCGGAGCTGCTTAAGTCTCGCTTCAAATCACTTGATTTGTTTCTGTGGTTTTCAGCTAGAAACTCCGGGTAAGGCCGATCGAACTTTTCACATCAAGTTGTGAAATGGCAATAACTTGTCTAATGCAATTCTCTCAATATTTGATAAAAGACCAAACTTGCTCTTTTTGTGCCCTTTTATTCGCTAACTATCTTTATATATTTTACAGAAAGAATGAGCAATCCGGAAAACAGTCGTTTGATTGTTGGAAGGAATACTCAGAAACGGCCACGAGCACCTGATCATGGTGGGGCTACCGACCAAGCGCAATTGTCATGTACTTTCAATGTGAGTATATGCATACATAGTAAACATTCTGCATAGTTGTACCTGTGGGCACAGCTCTACTTCAAAAATTGACAAAAACTGAAGTGTAACAATAAGATTTGTAGTTGAGAATATTTTTGAACTATGCAATAATTCAATGGAAACTTAAATTACTAGTTACCATCAAAAAGTTTTTTGATTGTGATGAGAATAAAATGATATGAGACTTTAAGTACTAATGTTTTTTTTGTATTTAATCAACAAATATATACTTACCTATGTTTTTGGTTAAAAATTGGACTATGACAACCCAAAGTCCAATTTTTAACAATGCTCTGGAAATCGGCTAGGTACTATTCAATAATACTTTTAATAAGTTTATTTCATTTTCTGACTGTTGCAAACATCTATAATAGTACAAACAGAAAAACTGGAGCGGTTAAATTTCAATATAGAGGATCACAATATGGTAACCCACTTACCATTTTATCATTAGGAACTCCTCCACAAAACTTGAATTTCTCATTGAATTTTGATTCGAATATTGTGTGGGTCATTTCAAAGTTGAATCCGTACTGTTATGACAATAATTTTGAAACCTATTCTTATTACAACAATTTCTCATATCCTAGCGGTGATACTATTGTGAATTACTGCTATAATTATGGTGTATTTATAGAGTATGATTCAAATACATTTAAATTTGCTAATCCTAACGATAATCCAATTTTATCGATCAACTCTTCATTGAATTTAAATTCCTCGGATCTAACTGTTGCAAGCGGTTTATGGGGAATGGATACTTTGCATTTACTTGATAGTACCAGTTGGGAAGATTTTGAATTTGGATTAGCTTTGTCAGTCAATAGTTTTGTTGGGAATTTAGGTATAACATCATTCAATATCACAGATAAAACTTCAAATTGGTACAACAAAACCAGTCTAATTGATTTATTAATTCAACACAACTTGATTGAGAGAAAAGTATTGACTGAGTATTTCAAATACGACAAACTTAATAGCTATAATTATAAAGGAAGTCTCTTGATTGGAGGCATTGACCCCACAAAATTTCAAGGAAATTTGACAACCATACCAATGATCAATAGATATGATCAAAATCTCAAGCCAGATATACAACATTTGGATGTCACATTATCATCATTCTCAATCAAATTATCCACTAAAATTTTGCAATTAGACTATAATAATTCATATTCAGAGAGTTTGTTTAATTATGCAATTTCGGAATTAAACACCACACAAGTAAAGCAAATTGATCATATTGATGGTGATAACAAATCCGAAGCAATAATAACATTAACTGATAGACTATATCCAATATCATTATCTCATGATGGATCAAAATCATATTTACCACCAGATATATATAATACATTCTTGAACATGATTGCTCCTTTGGATATTGATTTAAGATATACACACGATAACTATACAACCACTTATAATATATTATATAATTTGGAATGTTTTTTTTCATTCAATCTCTCCGGTTTCATGGTCGATATACCAATTAATAGAATAGTAACCAATCATAAAAATGTAAGTTATTATTACGACATGAATGATGTGGTACATGAAAAGAAACAAGGTATTGTTTATTATAACTTCGATTTTCGAAAAAACCCTCATGGCGACTTTTTTATATTAGGTAATTTCTTTCTTAATGAATATTATGCTGTGTATGATTATGATCGGTACACCATATCATTTGCACCAGCAATCTATACAAAACCCAATCAATTCCTAGTTGATGAAGAATTAGATGAATACATTGAAAATTATCAGGAATATTTGGATGATGGGCAGATTGATTACAACGAGGTTGAAATTGTGTCCAAAAACCAGAAAATCCCTCGAGCAACAAAGGCCAAATACTATTCAAATTCATACTTTGAGTATGTCACTTCATACATCAACGTCACAACATATCCTGCTACCCAAACATACACATACCACAATTACACATTATACTCGTCATACACCTCAAAGATGTTTTTCAAATCCACTCCAGTTAGAACATACAGCCACTACATAACAACATCAAGTGGCAATGGGCCTTGGACAAAAACAGTAACAGTAACTATTAATGAAGGTAGTGAGGCAGTAGTTTCGTTCAAGGAAAGCATCAGCAATTTGGGATTCACAAAGGCATTCACCACAGTATCACATCACAATGGAACCAACGTTGAGTTTATTGGAAATAGAAACCACGGATCAAGAATATTATCAATGAATTTGCAAACACTATATATTTTTGCTGCCATTTTCGTTGGCTTTCTGTTGATAGTATAGATGGAATAATAATTTTATTATTGTCATGGCTAAATTTTGTCACTTTTCTTTTGTTCTAATTTTTTGTGTTTTGATTTTATATGACCTGTTACTTTTATAATTAATTTAAAATTGTTAGTTGTTTTTTTAGGTATAAAATGAAGATTTACAAAATTAGCTTTGGTTGGTATGTTTAAAAATCCATAGAGCTCTTATTTTCAAAGCTTTTTTAGTAGCAGGTGATAATATTTATCACCCACTGTCGGGGATTTACTGAATACCGGTGAAAGGTCAATCACCGAACAATAGCAAGATTGATACCCCCTGTTCGGTACCAGTTGTTTGGAACAATGCAGTGTGCATGTGACCGGCTGCCACTTTGGCAGACTTCTTTGTGGATCGTTGTGTGAACTTTCTTCTTCGTGGCAGCACAAAACACAGGAAAATGGCAGTTAAAAAAGAACAAAAAGAGTCAACATCGAAGGGTGAATCAACTTCCAAGAAGGCTTCTGCTAATCCTCATTCTCTTGACTTTACAATTGTTGATTTTTTTCAGGTTTCAGGCAGCTTTTTGGCGTTGAATTTTCTTCTTTCGTACTTTTTCACCTCTTCACTTACATGGGGTTACCATGGCCATTACTTGGACTTTAACTATTACAAATTCAAAATTAATCACTTTAACAGCTATCTTAACTTAACGGATTCTGAATTAGCCTTGTTCAATGGTTCAGATCCTAGTTTGCCCATTTACGTTTCCGTCAACGACAAAATCTTTGACGTCAGTTCTTCAAGAAAAACCTATGGTCCTAAGGGAACTTACGGATTTTTATCTGGAAAAGATGTAACTAGGGTATTTTTAACTGGGTGTATTGGTAAGAAAGATGAATATACTTATGATTTGAGAGGAATTGATGAGAACGAAATAAAAGAGAAATGGATTAATGTTGAAAGATGGGAAAGCTTTTATGAGAAAAACCCAAATTACTGGACTGTTGGGTATACTATTCATGATAAAGAGCTAACGGGCGATCCTCCTACTCCTTGCAAAGCTGGTGCAACAGTTCCAAATAATGTCTTAAGTCATCATGATAATTCTGAAAATCCTCATGCTTATGGTGGAAAACCCCATAATCCTCATAAAGATCACTCTGATGAAAAATCACATCAAGCTGCAGATTCTAATAAAGAAGAACTTCACCATCATCACAAGAATGCCCATAACCCTCATAAACCGAATGGAAATCATCATGGAAGTCATCATGGAAGTCATCATGGAAATTATAATGGAAATTATCATGGAAATGGTCAACATCAATCATTGAAAGATGCTTATCAGAAAATTCTTCAAAATAACAACAATCCAGGAAAAGCAGCTCGCCATCCTGGGTTTTAATTTTATTGTTTTTAAGTAATTTTTAAAGATCTTTTCAAAAAAAGTGTAGTATATATTGTGTTTTATTTAAGTAATTTTAATTGATACTAAGCCATATTTATTTATTATTTTATAATGTAAAAATGGAATGCTGCCAAAAAAAGGAAGTTTAAAAAAAGTAGTTCAAATTTAAAGATAGTGTTAAATTTATTTCATAAAAAAAGGGTAAGATTTAAATAAATTCTTACAATATTTTTTTTTTAAAGTAATGTTCAAAAAGAATACATAAAAGTCGAAAATGATGGTAATAATACTGAAAGGAAATTAAAAAAAAAAGGTATAATAAAAGCTACAATTACAATAAAAAGCTACTTTTCAATAAAAATTAAAACAGAAAAAAAAATATCATTTAAACAAAATATAAAAAAAAAGAACGAAATTTTGGGAATTGAATATTCCTGGACTAAAAAGATAGTAAATCTAAATCTTGAGAATTGTTATTTTTTGTATTACTTTTATTGACATTATTTGATTGTGTATTTGAAGTTGGTTGAGATGTAAAATCACCAAATAAATCATCGATATTATTTGAATTTGAATTTGAGTTTGAGTTTGAATTGTTTTGTTTTGAAATTGTAGAAATAGGTTTCGAGACAGAATGTGATCTTTGAGGTTGTGAATTAAAATTATAAGTTTTTGCCGATGAAAATAATGAGCTAAATGCATCAGAACTTGGTTTAGAAGCAGTCGAATTGGTAGCAGTATTTGTGGTAGATATAAGTGATGGGTTGTTGTTGTTGTTAAAAGAAAGTAAACTGTTTGGTTGATTATTATAATTAAAATTTGAAAATTGGTTTTGAGTTGTATGAGGTTGATAAGGTGAAAAATTGTTTGTAGGATTACTATTAGTTTGTTGTGGGGTAGATAATGAACCAAGAGAAAACAAATCACTGAGGTTACTAGAAGTTAAAGGTTGCTGTGGTGGTTTTTGTGTTGTTGTTGATGTTGTAGTGGTGGTGGCTGGAACAGCACTTTGAAAATCATCAAAGTCATCATCGTCATCATTACTGACGTTATTTTTTTTATTCAAGGTATTGTTGTTGGTATCAACATCATCATCAAAAGAAAAAAGATCAGCCTGAGGCTTTTGTTGAACGGATTTTTGTTTTGGAGTATGTCTTGATTTTTTAGGTTTACCAATTGAAGAATTGGAATTGGACTTAGAAGTTGAATTGGAATTAGAAGCAGTAGTGACATCATATTCTTCAAATCTATTATTTGAACCGGCAGTTATGTGTTCTTCAAATCTTTGGCCATAAACACCGCCGTCACCATAAACTCTGTTAATGTCAGCAGTACCATAACCAGTATCTTCATCAAAGTCATAAGAACTATAGGAATTGGAAGAATTATGATGACGACGAACTGAAGAACCACCTGCAACACCGCCAAATTTTCTTGCATTTTCTCTGGCTTTTTTTCTTTCACCTCTAATTTTGTTTTCATCACTTAATAACTCCAATAATAACTTGGCTCTATTACGAACGTTGATACCTTGATCTTTTCCTTGAGAATCGATATAATGGAAGCCCTTAAGGAGACCGATAAGAGACATATTAGATCTCGCATCGTCAACAATTCTTTCAGAACCATTTTTAACCAAATACTCTAACAATTGTAATGCCTTATAAATCTGTCTCCATTCATTGGCTGATTTTTCAGTAAATCTTCTGAAAATTAAACCGCAGATTTCTTCTCTTTCTCTATAATTATAAGTTCCAGCAGCAATCTGTTGCATTAAAGACGAAGAAGTACCCCAAGGTTCATTGTTGGTTGCCTCACGAACTTTTGCTTCCATTTCAGTATAATTGTATACCACATTTTGGGCTTTACGGACAATGTGCTTCACCTCATAGAGATTCAAGTTTTTGATTTGGCCTTTTAATAAATCCATTTCAATAATTAATTGATGTAATGTAGGCGAGATAGGAAGAAAAACAGAGCCAAAAAAGACAAACTAGATTACAATTTGATGGTAAAATTGGAGGTTGTTATATTGATCAAAGTGAATAAACAGATTGTGGTTTCCTCAGAAAGATTAAAAAAGTTAGAACAAGTCATACTTCCAGCTGGATATTCCGGTTTCGCAGCAGCAGAAACCCAGAACAGCGGCCCTCGGACCTGGTCGGATTTAAGCCGGATCCCCTATTTGCTGGTTTTTTCTTTCCGGCGACGATAACTCCGTGCTGGTTCGGGTCAGCCGTATGGGTGTGCCGAAACGGAGCTTTCAGTTTTGAGCAGAAGTAGCAGAAGCAGCACAATCCTTCTCGGAAAGACTTTCTTCTGAAGAGTTAGAACAGCTCTGTTTTCTTTGCTGAAGCATACAGAAATTACGTAGTAAAAGAAAGCTGTGGCACTCTCTGAATTTGTGATAATGTCAAATTATTAGGTGATCATTTGTACCCCTAGCATTAATAAGGATAAAAAAAATAAAAAGATAAATAGATAAAACTGAAAAGAAAAAGAAAAGAAAAGAAATAAAAAAAGAAAAATCTATTCCAGGACTTCAAAAACCCCCTTTCCATCTACTTTTCCTTCTTTGATGTCGAAGAAGATCTTTTGAATAGTGTCTATAGCTTCGACAGCATCGGTTGGGAAACTAGTTCTTTCTCCACCAAATGGATCATTTCTGCCCTCTGGGAAAAACTCTAACAAATCATCAACATACTCTTTCCTAATTTGGCTTACATCTTGGTGGAATACTTTATTAGTTATAGTCTTTTGACGTTCGATCCAAGCTTCTTGGTCCTTTTTGGACTTGAGGGTTTTAAAACCTGACCAAACACCGGCAACAGCAGCTGAATAACCTTCTAATCTATTGAAAAAAGCTGTGATATCTGTATTATATCCAACATTTACCAATGTTTCGTCTTCAAGAGAAAATGAATGTAAATAGAAATCTAATGCTCTTGGATGGTTTTTAAGATATTCCTTACTTAAAAATGGTACATATTGATGGTATCCAGTAGCAAAAATTACAGCATCGAACCCAGTTTCAATTGATCCATCTTCAAATTCTACACCTTGTTTGTCTGGTATGAAATTTCTGATTCTTGTTTTGACTGTTATTCCTTCGGATTCTGATAAGTTTTTAACCCATTGATAAGTAGGTAACGAATTTCTTGAAAGAAAAACAGTTGAAGGATTTAGAGGTCTTGGGAAAGTATATTGAACTAAATCAACTGCACTGATACTACCACCGATAAATAAAACTTTTTTCTTTTCATGTAAAATCTCTGGATCTAAAATCGATTTAGAATGTGTGATGTAGATATCTGGATTAGTTTCAACAAATTCCTTTAAAAGTCCAATTTTGGGGAAATAAGGAATAGTTTTTCCGTTAGCAATGATAACTGCATCAAATTTTTCCTGATACCATTCTTCATTTATAATGAATTTTTCCTCAGTATCGTCAGCGATTACTTGTTTTCTAACTGTCAAAACCCATTTATCGTTAATTTTTTCAACATTCTCAACTGACGAATAAAATCTAAAATATTTTTTTAAATCATAATCTTTGACGACTTTTTCTAAATAATTGGTAACATCCCAGGCTGATTGCAATGGACCCAATGCTCTGTTTAATCTTGGAACAACTTTATCATATGAAAAAGTCATATATTTAGTTGCGACATTGGTGAATAAATCTTTATAAACACCGGAATTTGACCATTGGTAAATATCAGTGTTATTTTTTTTTCTTGATATAGCAAGTGGCTTGTCAATGGAATATTCATTAGTGATATTTTCTGGAATTTTATACTTGTAATAAACTTCTTCTGCTTTATCATAATTTTCAAGTTCCAAATTAGGTAATTGAGGATCAAGAGCTTTTTCAATAATGTCTTTATTCCAAAGTCCACCAGTTGACGAGTTTTTCTCAAACACGACAATGTCACCAAATGCTTGTTCATTGGAGGACAAATCCTTTACGCCAATATAGGATTTCCCATCTTTTGATGTGTGTATTAATTCATTCAATGCACCAATCCCAGCAGGACCTCCACCAATAATGGCGATTTTTTTGATTTGAGTTTCAATAGTCATTTTAAGCCAATTTGTGCTATTTAAAAAATACTGTAAAAGATTGCAAAATGTTAAGAGTTACCAATAAATGTGATAAAATTCAGTGTCTGTGGAAAAACCAAATGATCTATTCTATTGATTTTGAGATATATTTATATTCCATTTTCAAAAAAAGAATTAGTTTACAATAATAAGGTGATTTTTTTCCAAAAAAAAAAGAGTTAAGGTTATAGAAACCGTTATTAATTGTGCAATTTAATAATGGGATATGATTTCGAGTGATTAAAGGACACTATCTCGATAATGAAATTGCCTAACACCTCAATCCACAGTTGTGGTGGTTAAGATTTGAGAAATCAGCCAATCACAGCAAAAGAAAGAGGTCCCTCATGCTTGGCGAAAAGAAGTGGGACACTTTTCGTTCTGATATAACCATCGTGGAATCAAATTAGCCATCGTGGATATATATGAGCTGCAGTGTAGCTGTGTTGGGACCATGTTGGAGTTATTTGAGAACTATGTTGGAACTATTCCAGAACTATGTTAAACTAAGGTAAAACCAGAGTAGAACGAGGGTAGAGGTAAAAAAGAAAGTAAATATGGTCACATGAGATTACTACATAATAGTAGAATATATATTGATTTATAGAATGAAAAAAAATGAAACAAATGAGCTACAGCAATTTAATTTGACACATCTTCTGGATCTGGGTGGTATTGCCAGTGATCACCAACGTAAGGAATCTTGCTGTAAAAAGTGTCTTTGAATTTTGGAATACCATCAGTGAAAGTAGCAACAGCGAATAAACCTGCACCACCCCAAAGAATTAAATCTGGAGTATATGATTTTAAAACACTCAATTTTGATATATTTGAAATGATTTTGTAGGCTGGTTTGGTTGAGTACTGTATTTATTTAGTTCAATAATGAGAATATTAGTTGCGATGATACTTTTTTTGTTTGTAGTTATGATTTTTGTGAATTTGATTATGCATTTAATTGTAATTGAAAAATACATACAATCATTTTGAGCGGGTGTATTTGCAATGTGTATTGGATCTATAGATAACCAGAAAATAATTACTTCTTAACGATTATAGATTCAGATGTTTATAGGTATCAACATGAATAACTAATGTATGAAGTTTGAAATCATAAGACTGCGATTGGCCCTATCGGAGAAAAAACCGGGTAAGCTAGCTCGAAAATAAAATTAAATAGAGATGAAAAGCGCTTTTTGCGAGAATCGAACTGGTAATTTAACCGTGATTCTCTTTGCAATTAATCACGAGTTTTAACAGACAAAAAAGAAAGCAATCACAAACACAAAAAGCAGCAACATACAGAAAAAGAAAGGTGAAAAACGATTTGCGAATATGAATTGTAGACTAAAAATTGCAATTGGAGTTATGTTAAAAGTTCTTTTATTTATATTAAAAAAGAGAGAGGGAATTTCATTTAGGCGCTAAAAAGAGGATATATAATAGTTTGTAGATACTGAATTAAATCAAAATGAAGATTGAAATAAACTAAATTAAATTGGTTTAACTGTCACTGAAAACACCCCAGGATTGTTCAACACCATAACTACCTGGATCTTTCCAGAGGTCATCGTACATGGTAAACATAAAGACAGAGGAACCGCAAGATTCTTGAATAGATTTGATACAGGTCAATTGGTTTTCGTAAGAAGGAACAGCAACACCTAAGGAAGAACCAGAATGAGGCCATCCTGCTTCAGTGATGAGAACACTCTTTTGACCACCACAAGTTTCCCAAATAGTTTGGATGTTTTTAAGTAACCACGAACCACATTCAGAAGGTTCGGTGTTACCATCAAAAAATGGATGAGAGTTGACAGCAATAATATCACTGTATTCACACAATACTGGATTATTTTGAAAAGCAACATAAGTGTCAACAGAGACAACAGGGCCAGTAAAACCAGCAGCGCTTAATAATGATCTACCAGATTCAACAGCACTTTTAACTTGACTAGTTGAGTAAGAACCCGAGTTAACCCATTCGTTACCAACAGATACAGCATAGATGCTATCCCAACCTCTTGAGGTAGCTTTGACAGCACTGGCTAAAGTACTAACAGCACTGTCTAAGTTGTTGTAATCATATAAACCAGCCAAGATCTTTTGATTGGAACCTAAAGCAGCTAACACATTTTCAACACCTGAACAGTCAGTAGCGTATAATCTGATCAATTCAAAACTGGATAATTTGCTGACATCGGATTGAATAGTTTCGGCCGATTTACAGTTACCGTCGTTAGCATAAGGAGAGTAGGTGATACCCTTGGCACCGGCAGCAGCTGCAGAAAGATCAGAAAAGGAAGCAGAGCTTGGTACAGGTTGGGCGTTTCTTCTGTGGACGTGATGCTCATGAATTGCAATAGGAGAGGCTGCAATAGAGGAAACAAGAGCAGATAAGACAGCTAATTTGGAAATTTGCATTTTGCGTGATTATCTGATTGTGACTATTTTCAGTGGGTTTAATTCAACGAGAAACTAAAATTGATCGAATAAAGAACAAAAGTGAACTAATTAGGCCTGAGTAGCGTATTTGACTAATGAAAAGTTTAGTTAAAGGAAAGTATGGTTTTCTAACTAGTAATAATTTGTCTTTTTTGAAGTAGTGAAAATGAGTGACTAAAAAAAACAGACTAATATAGATATAATAGAAAACAGTAAAGAGTGGTATTGTTTGTTGTTGATTGAAATTCTTTATAAAAGAGAGGAAAAGAAAACTTACATATAAAGGAAAGAAAGGTTGTGAAACAAGGGGATATATATTTTATATATCGACGAAAAAAAATGAGTTGAAAACCAGCTGGGATATATCTTGGTAAAATTCAAAGAAATTCATCAACAGCAGCCAGTTTCAGAAGAATTTAAAGCCTATTGGTATATTGGGTCTTTAGTGTTTACTATTTAGGCTGTAAGCTATTCTCCAATGTATCGTTATGTTGTAGCTTGATGCAGAAATAATACCGAAAAGAGCTAACATTCTGTTTCATAAGGGATGTGCTCAGCAAAGCTCTTCGAAAACCGCAGAATGTCCATTTTTCACGGGTTGGAAAACAACACTACACACTAAAAAACAAGCATAATCGGGAGAAAAAAAAAGAAAAGCTTAAGATTTTGACTTCTCAACGTGCTTTTTTCAACTTAAGCCTTTGGATAAAGCCCTCAGAGCATTTTGAAACAAACAGTTCTTCCTAGCAACTACCATCAGGCTTCTCAGAATCACCAAGCAGGTGGTGATCTGCTGGAGTTTCCTTCAGCTTTTGCACTATCTCTTTTCTTCTTGAACCAATTTATCCAGTTTCTTTGTCCTCTTTCTTTTCTATTGTTTATGGGTAGTTGTATTGACACCCGTCTTCACCAGGAGTCAGCGGCCACTTTGAGCAACTGCACTGGCCTATTTGGATGTGCTGCTGCTGCAAATGGCACAAGCGCAACACGCTGAACAGTTCTATCTGGCTCTGGATCGACCCCAGTTCAGTTGTTGCTGCAGCTGCTTCTAGACCAGTCTTTGTTACTTTATTGGCAATTTGACTTTGTTTGAGATAGGTTTCCGGTTTTCCTCTGCAGATTCAAGAATCGTTTTCACGTGATATTCCAGAAACTTGAGGCCGAAATGGTCGGAACGGAAAACGCGTCCGCGGTGATAGACTGATGCATTCCAATGTAGGGAACGAAAATGCTTTTTTTCCAGAAGTGTGGGTCGATGCTGTCATTGTCTCATTCTATAAGGTTATCGTTGGTGATTATATCAAAACCACCTTTTGAGTAATAAAAAGAGTTAAATTTTGATTTTTTTGATCAAATACACAATGATATCCTGTGTTGGATACACCAAAATGGTTTTCAGAAGATTCAAGTTGAATGTTGCTTTAATTGGGGTACTTTTGGTATTATTGAACCTTTATTTTTTCCATAGTTACTCCATTGATTCGTATTCCATCAGTCAAAATCATCTTCTTGTGAATTATTTAAAAGAGCCACCATCAGTAAACCCTAGACGCATAAACTCAATAGATGACATATTTCTTCAAAATAACTTTGATGGTATAGATCAAGATGTTTATCCATCTAATAATTATTCATCTGTTTATGATTCTTTATTTTATAACCTGAGTATTCATCCCATCAAATTTCAAAATTTAAACTTGAATCAAAAGTGTAATTTATATTTTAATCAATTGAACTATTTAAATGACTCTTATTTTTTTCCAGTGTTTAAAGATTTCCAATACAACGGCCATATTTACGAAAAAGAAAAGTTTATCAATGACAAAATTAGTTCATTAAAAAAAGAGATTGAAAAACAAAATGACAATAATGACAATAATGATGATAATGATGATGATAAAAAAAAGATTGATTTAAATCAAGAAAGAATCTTCTTATCAACTTATGTTGATCAGAATATTGCAAATAATTATTACGTAGACAATCTATTAGTTGATTCAATTAATCATATCAGAATATTTTCGCAATGTTATTTAAATGATAATCAAAACATTGATAACGAATCTAATAATTATACCAACAACATCAACAATATTAATAGCAGTATCAACGATGATAATAATAAGACTTGTTCTTATAATGAAATGAAATTATTTCCCTTTTTATCAGGAAAATTGCCCACTATAACAAGATACGATGGGGAAAAAATTAATTTTTCTTTAACAGTTGATAAAAATAAAAAAATCAATAATAATAATAATAATAATAATAATAATAAGGATAATGATAGGGACAATGATAAGGATATTTTAAATTTTGGTAATTTCAACTTGGCTAAAAGTAACTCCAATACTTGTTTCACCAAATCATTGAGAAACTCCTTTAGTGGTAAAGGTATTGCAATATCAGCTTCAGACAAATTCTATCCAGATTTAATTGGTTTGATTAAAGTTTTAAGGGCCTTGGGAAACACTCTCCCAATTCAAATTGTTCACAAAAATGATTTATCGTTGCCTTTTCAAAATAAATTGATTAAACTAGCAAGATCTGATAATCTAAAGAGTAAATATCTGACATACTATGAGAATAATAAGAAAATATATTACCAAAAGAACTATAATAAACACCATAAAGAGTATTTGGACTTGGAATTTCCCAAACAAGAGTTATATTTTGTTAATGTTGAGGATTGCATATCTGATAATTATAAGAGCTATTTCGACGGGTTCTCGAATAAATTGTTGGCATTGTTTTTCAATTCATTTAATGAGATAATATTGTTGGACACCGATACAGTGTTATTTGTTGATCCAAACGAGTTTTTTGAATTTGAGGACTATAAGAAGAATGGAGCATTTTTCTTTAAAGACCGAGAGTATGAATTACGATTTGATTATAAAGTAGATTTAGAATTTTTTGAAAAGTTGATGCCAAATGATTTAGACGAGTTTTTTTTTAATATCAATTTGATAACAAATAAGACAAAGAAAAACCGGTTTATGAGTGGACTAAAACATTACATGGAATCCGGAGTTGTAATCATTAATAAGAAGACACATTTCAAATCTTTAATAAACTCGTTAACATTGTCGACAGTTCCGCAGTTTATGGGTAAGATTTGGGGTGAAAAGGAGTTGTTTTGGTTGTCGTCGTCGATAATGGGCGATGAAAGCTACTCATTCAACAACATTGGAGCAGTGGCAATAGGCGAGCTATCATTACCAGAACAGAGACCCAATTCGAAGTCCAGAGAAGTCTGCTCTACGCATCCAGGACATATTAGCAGCGAGGATTCCAAAACATTGTTGTGGATCAACTCAGGATTTAAGACATGTAAAAAAGAAGGAAGTGAGGTGGTTGACATGACACTTGACAGCTTCAAGAACAAGTACGAATCAGTGGAGGATTTGAAGAGCTATTATGAGACCCCATTGAGGATTACAGGAGCAATACTTCCTCCAGATGCCTCCAACGAGTTTTTGAACAACTTGGGCGAGCCCTCGAGAGGATGGAGAATGTTTGAGTCGTGTAATGGATATCTCTGGTGTGGTTTCAACGTCGCTGGAGGAAACACTCAAAACCCCCAGGCAGTGGGCAAGGTGGTGGAGTATAACGAAGAAGAACAGCAATTCTTCGACTTTCTTGGTGAGTTGTGGATAGGAAAGGGAAACGATGAATAAGAAGCCATTGGGTGTTTTCTCTTGTGTTTTCCAGCTGTGAGCAGCTTTTTGTTTTGTTCAGCTCGTTTTTCCACTTTTTGCTCTCTTTTGTTGTCATTTTTGCTCTACTTTTGCTCTATTTTTGCTTTTTTTTAGATTTTTGCTCTCTTCCCTTCTGTTCTCTGCTGAAGACTGTGCTGCCTCTGCTGCCCAACTTGTTCTGTTTTGTTACTTTTTTGTTTTTTTAGTTCTCCAAGCTCCCCCAACCCAGGGGAGCTTGCTTCTCTAATTCTCTTCCCTCACCTTCGATAGGTCATGTAGGACCTGGCTGCCAGCCCCAGAGACAACAAAATGGCCCAGCACAGACCACTGTGCTGCCTGTGCTGCCTGTGCTACCTCCGCTGTCTCTGCTGTCTCTGTTGCTCTCTTGAGCTCTTCCAACTGCTCCCAGCCCCAGCTGGCTTCCACCGGCTGGTCTTTCCAGCTGGATGAAGACTGGATGTGCTTGAGATGGCTTAACCGAAACACACTCACTCCAGCTGTTCACTTCTGATCTTCTCCTTCTTCGTCTCCAACTACTGCTGCTCAGGATCCCTGTCTTGTTGCAAAATGCTTTCTGTAAGTACCAGAGGAGCCTTTCCCTCCATTCCCAAGGTGTTCAGGAACATCATCAGTGTCTTGCTTTTAATAGTGGTTGTTTTTCAGTTGCTAATTTTCTGCCATTTGAGTGAGAAGAACCAAATCATTCCTGCTGATGCCTACTACAACTACAAAAATAACAAGAATAACAAAATAAACAGCAACGGTTTACAAGATGCTCCTGCTCACTTAGAGAACCCGGATCTCTTTTACGATGAAGACGACTTCAACAACAACGAGATCTACAACCACATCAACAGCGAAATTAATAGCGAAATCTACCACAACAAAATCAAACTTCGCCAAAATGTCACCAAGGAATTGCTATTCAACGATCTGTTTGCTTCATCTCATTATAAACATCTAATTGAAACTTATTCAACCTCCTTCTCTTCAAACTTCTCCTTGGATAAAAGATGTGAGCTATATTTTGATGACCTTTACATTGTTAATCCAGACTGGCGTATAACTTCCTTTGAAGATTATCCCTATTTAAAAGGAGTCTTTAACCACGATCAATATATCGAAGACAAAATTAAAAATCTAAAAGAAGAAAGAATCACTAAACTAATTGAAAGTGGTGAAACTGAAGAATTGGCTGAACTAAATTACGAAAAAATCACTGATCAAGAAAAACAAGAGTTTGAGCTTCAATTCTTAAGTGACTATAACAAAACTATCCAAGCTGAACAAATGATGATAGATGCTCTAACTCATTTGAGAGTCTTTGGCAAATGCTTCATCCCTGATCCTTCTGATCCGAATAAATATCAAAATTACAATAACGATGGTTCTTTCTTAAATTCTTTATCCTCTTCTGACTCAATTTCTCAAAAGATTAAAAATGCTTTCAAATACCTAACTTCTCTCAATTCTGACTCCAATTCTGATTCCAATTCTGATTCCAATTCTGATACAAACCCAAATCAAAATTTAAAATTTGATGACCCACAATTTCTTTCAAGTTTAAATGATTTTTATGAAAATGAACAATTTAATCTAGTTGATTTATGTTACGACACTGAATTCCATCTATTTCCTTGGCTAACCAAACAATTACCAATATACACAAGATGGACTGGTGAATCGGTCCTTGGTATCCCCCAAACATCAAATTATATCAAAGGTGGTAAATATTTTATCGATAATGACCCCATAATCTCTGATGATCAAACACAGTTTCCTATCTTCAATCAAACTTATTTTTCGGCTCTTAAATCTCAAAATAACTTTCATTCAAAACGTGCTTTAAGAAGAAACTGCTTTCTAAATCAATTTAGAAGTTCTCTTAATGGTAAAGGTATAGTAATTTCAGCTTCTGACGATTTTTATGCCGATGTCTTGGGTTTAATCAGAATGCTCAGAGCTCTTGATAACGAACTTCCAATTCAAATTGTTCACAAAGGTGACTTATCTCTTGAAACTCAAATCAAACTAATCAAAGCTGCCAGAAATCCAATGAAAATCCCAAGACATTATTTCAATGTGGTTTCCGATTATGTTTCTCATGATTTTCCTAAACAAGAAATCTGGTTTGTTAACGTTAAACACTGTATTGCCGAAAACTATAGAAAACATTTTCTCAAATATGCAAACAAATTACTAGCTTACTTTTTTAACTCATTTGATGAAATGATTTTATTTGATACTGATACTGTCCCAATGATAAAACCCTCGGATTTCTTCAAGTTAAAACCCTACAAATCCTCAAATACTTTGTTCTTCAAAGATCGTTCTAATAATGAATTTATGGCTGACCATGATGCTAAATACTTTAAAAAATTAATGCCAACTTTTTTTGACGAATTTATGTTTGATATACCAAAATCAACTTCAAAAACTTTGGAGAATCACTATCTTAAAGGACACTTTAAACATTATATGGAAGCAGGAGTTGTTGCAATTAAAAAATCAGATTATTTTCCTGGAATTCTTTCCACTATCCAATTACAGTTTTGGTTCCCAGTTAATTCAAGAGTTTGGGGTGAAAAGGAATTATTCTGGATGGGCCAATCGGTTATTGGGAATGAAAATTATGAATTTAATAAACATCATGTTGTTGCAGTTGGTGAATTAACTCCACAATCAAAAAGAATAGAATCTGCATCTCACGAGCTATGTTCAACTCATCCTGGCCATCTTTCTTCTGATGACAATAAGACTATCCTCTGGATCAACTCGGGGTTTAAACGATGTAAAAAAGAAGAGGCTTATAAAATAGATATCTTAGTTGACTCGTATAAAGAAATATTTACTGAAGAATCATTAAAAGAACACTATAGGGCTCCTTTGAAAATTAATGCAGCATTATTACCTCCAGCTGGTGACTTAAATTTACTAAACGAAATAAATGAGCCAGCTTCTGGTTGGGTTATGACAATGCAATGTGAAATGTATTTGTGGTGTGGATATGATGTTATTGGTGGCAGCTCTGATCCAAAATATCGAGGATTTTATGTAGAATATGATAATATAACCGAGTATAAATATGACTATTATGGTCATTTGTGGATGGGTATTGATTTGGAAGAATATTCAGGATTTTAATTTCTTGCTTTCTCTGTTTGCTTTTTCTTGTTTTTTCGTGCTTTTTTTTTAAACAATCTTGGCTAGTGTTTGTACAATCATTTTTTGGTTTTTCGTTGTTGTTGTTTTTTTCTATTTAAGCAGCTTTATAGACATAGTGTTTGGAATTAAAAAAATTTATTTTTAATTATAAAAATATAAAAATTATTGTATAAGATAAATATATAAAAACTATTGGAAATGAAATATTATAAGATAGTAAATTAAATTAAATTAGATAAGCTAAATTAGCTTAAATGAAGTTAGATAAATTAAACCAGAATTATTTTTTTTTTAAAAAAAAGATGGTTATTTCTACAGTTGTCTAGGTTAAAATAGTGAAAAAAATAAAAATGAATCCAAAATAAATCATTAGAACAGAAAAACAGTTTAAAATAGAAAATAGGGTTAGCTTTTTATTTTATTTTATTTTATTTTATTTTATTTTATTTGAAAAGGATCTTTAATTGGAAAGAATATAATTTTCAATGTCATCTAGTTTTAAAGCAAGTTTTTTTCTTTGAAATTTAGTATTAGTAAAGTATTGTAGATTTTTAGTGGACGAAGAGTTCTGCCATTGATTTGAAGAATTATTGGCAGAAGTTCGATTTATATTTGTATTGGAATTGTTATTGGGGGTGGTATTGCTAGAGGAATTAGAGTTGATATTTGTTGCTTTATTATTCGAAGATGAGTTGGAAGGATCAGACTTTTGAAGATCCGAGTTTTGAAGAATGGGATTATTGGAATTATTGGGATTATTGACATTGATCAATTTGATAAAGGCCTGTTCTTCAGGTTTAAGTTGATATTCATTACCAACAAAAGTATATTTTTGGTTTGCAAACTCTTTTATTAGTTGAGTATTTTTATATCTTAAATTTTTGTTGAATTTGCCATAATTTTCAACGGCAGCAAGATAATCTAATAACCTTAGGGCTTCATAATTGTTAAACACATTGACGCCTATTTTTAAGAAAGATCTTGTGGGGTCGTCATATAAATCCTTGTAATTTAATTCAGCTTCGTCAAAGATTTTTGTGGAGTAAGAGACATTTTCAGCGCAAGAGAGTTCACATTGCAATTCATTTATATTTTTAAAATCAGTTAAATCGTCTATATGGTTTAAATCAGGTATTGACAAGTTATTATGGACACAATCAATATGAGAGATGTTTATATTTTTATTTGAAGAGACAATTGACTTATATTTTGATAAGTCATTTTTCAATTGGTTATTTGTGGATTGAAGATTTTCATTTTTGATTTTTAGTTTATTATTTTCTTGGATCTTTTCCTGGATTTTTTGATTGAAATTTTGATTTGAGGATTGGTAAAACGATATTAAATCATGTTCCGACAAAGCGCTATTTTCAGTTGAAATTGAGCAAGCAGAGGTCACATTAAGGTTTGTATTTGGAAATTTATCAATGTTAAATTCATTCAAAAAGTTGTTTTGGAAGTTCATTTGGTCTAAATTTCTGTTTATCTTTAAATTTTCAGACAATTGGTAGCTGGAAAGTCTCTTTGAAGTGTTGGAATTAAGGGCGGAGTGTTTTTTATTTATATACAGATCAGTGGTGTCGGTTTGAACCGAATAAGAAGGAAAGATTTTTGGAAGTTTTCCATCATTCAGTAGAAGATAATTGATTGTAGAGTTAAGTTTGATATTGGCACCCTGTTCATACAAAAGTTGGTTCTCCAACATGACAATTCTGTCTTGTAAATCGTTTGAGGAAGAAGTGACATCATCGGATGGAGGAACTGTAGAAGCATTGGGCAATTGGGTTGAAGGTTGTGTCGAATTAGGAGATTCAGATCCCATTACAAGTCTCAATTTTTTTAAGGAAGGCATCTTGGGCAGCAGAAAGCAAGTTTGGAAGTATCACAGTTGGTGGGCTCAAAAACTAGTGAGAAAACACTGGAATGGCTGAGAAAAACTAGAAGAAAACAATGAGAGGTTTATATATACCATTGAGCTCTCGCAGGTTCACGAAACAAGCTGAGCAGACGTTTGACATTGTTTTGGGCCTGTCGCGTTGAGTCAGTCGCAGCGCCAGCAACCAATCAGCGACAGCCCTAGAGCTCATAAATATGCAAACCCTGGCACTTTCTTGACGGATTCTGGTGTGATTGTGAGATCCACTTCTGGGCTAGAGACAACATCCATACAAGCATATCCAAGCTGCGTTCAGCTGGGCGGCTGTTGGCGCAAACGCACCTTTTTTCTGGCGCGCGCTCTGTTCCAGAGGGAAGCGTGGGCGGGCAGGCGCTTGTGAGCTCAGTTTGGAAATCAGCCGCCCGTTTGCACGAGGGAATGCTTCTTGCAAATGGTGACCAAATTCTGCCCTTTGAATTACTCAGAAATGACCTTTTTGAGCTAGGAACACGCACTGCTACGCAGATCTCAGACAACATATATTAGGTTTTGGATTGCAGTGCGATGCGGAAGGTGATACGATTTTCCGAGTGCTAATTGTTTACAAATAGTGTTGAATAAACTTTGGCTCGGCATTGTTTGCGCTTGTGCGTCCGTTATGCAAGAGTCAACTCAAACAGGCTGCACATATGGACACCTTTTCAAACAGAACTGTCCGCATTGGGGCTCTTGGACAAATTGAATTAAGCTAACATTAACTTTTGCAACTACAATTGTCTGTAACTCTCTTGAATTGTGCTCCTGCTTCCGATCTGATTATGCTTCTTGCTCTCTTTCCTAACCTCCAAGATATATCCATCTCTTTAATGGCATCTTTTAGCTTTTTCTTCATACGTGATTTGCCATTTTTCAAAGTCAACTGTTTTACACATTTCACTCACCTGTAGCTTCGTTTTCTTTTACACCTCTTGTGCGAGAATTTTTTCACTTTTTCCTTTTCAAATGTAATTGAATATGTCCAATAGACGGATTTCCTTTGCCATCACTTTTTGATCAATTGATTTATTATCACCGCCATGGCTTCCCTGGCTCCTATCGGTTCCTTCTCTTTTTTCAAAATTTGCAGTTTTTGTGATTATATCTGGTTTTGTATTTGTATTCCTTTCTCCAGTCAACAATAAAACTTCCTGTTGGTGTTTTTCGTAAAAGCTTGATATTATCAACTCATTTATTCTTCGATTCTTTTGGCTAAATCTTGTATGCATTTCAATACCACCGACACAATCCAAGAGCTTTAATCGGGAACTCAATATATCATTAGGAATTCGATCAATTTTCATCATTATTCTTGTTGGATCGTTGTATATCTCAATATATTTTTTCCTAATTTCGTCCAACAATTCGTCACTAAATTCAATTTTTTCAATTCCTTCAATTGTATTTGCTTTAGCCGAATTGGCCTTTTTAATGCCATCATTACTATTATTATCATTATCATTATCATTATTGCTTTTTTGTAGTGTCCATCCTGTGTTCATCTTATGAAAATTCATCTTAATACAGTTAACCTCACTCTGTAATTTCATATTCTCTTGAATTAAATCCTCATTTGCTATCTTCAATGAATTATTTTCTTCAATTTTTTCTTCATCCTTTATTTGGTAATCTCTGTTTAAATTTTTATATAACTCAATCAATTCACCATCATCAAAATTCCAATCCAAATTCAAATTTAAATTCAAATTTGAATTTAAATTTGATGAATTGCTATCAGTAGCTTCAATTGATGAGTCCATTGATGAATTCATTATCGAATTCACTGATGAACTTGTTTTTATCTTTAATGATGATTGAACTAAGTTTGAACTTGGATCATTAATCTGATACATTGATCTTTGTCCTATTTTGCTTTTGCTCAACTTAGATTCCTTTGAATTTAATGTCGATATCTCTGAAGCAGCATAACTCAAGTTTGTAACTGATTTCGACGCCTTTCCACCTTTTTCTAAAAGATGGTTTATTGCAGCATTAAGTTTTATATTAGCTCCTTGTTCAAAAAGTAGTTGATTCTCCAATAGGTTTAATCTTTCTTTATAGCTCTCCAATTCTTTCAATTCTTTCAATTCTCTCATTTTTTTTACCTCTTTTACTCGTTTATTATATTTATCATCCTTTTTGGTATCTTCTGTAACAACACTCTCTTTGATATTATACTGATTGCTTCCATTCTTAAAATGTCTTTTATGTTTTTGCTGCAAATGATAATGAATTATCTTCTCATTTTGCAGATATTTAGGTTTAAATCTATCTTCACTTTCTCTTAATTCATTATGTTTAAATGTCATTAAAGGCATTTTCAAGGAGGGGAGAAAAAACTTCTATTAGCACTAATCTTTAGTAGTTTTATTTATCAAAATAAAATAGTAAAAATAAAAATAAAAAAAAATAAAATAAAAGTAACTTGTTTACTTTCTTTCTTTCTCGTTCTTGCCCTTTCTTTTAAAATAAAAAAGAAATTGTATCTATTTAATATAAATATAAACAAAGATATCTTTTAAGGGGATCAAATGAGGAGAGAATCCATTATATTTCAACTCAAAAACAATAGTAACAAGATCTCAAATTGCTGTTTCAAAGATACAACCTGAACTCAGTAGCCACTTTTTAAACATAACATATAAAATTATTATACAACCAAACTGTATTACTATTTCACTTTAACTTCACCCATCAATAAGCTTTATAAACCATTGTAATTTTCTTACAAAAAAAAAGAGAAGAAAGAAGAAAGAATCGATTGCATTTTTCAAAATCTTTTCAACACATCCTTTATCATTGATATGTTAAAAAGAAAAATCAATCTTGCTATTTTTGACATAGTTCCTGAACCAACTAATGAAAGACAATTAATTCCTTTTAAGCAGCTTTCACTCTTGCAATATTTAAATTCTGCTTTGTTTACCACTCCTATTGAGATATCTCGACTCAGTGCTTGAACTAAAATTAGCTGATAAAACATAAAATTCCCAAGAACCAATTTGGTTTATCAAAGTTCACAAATCTGGAAATCTCAGACGACTTGTTTATTGCTCAACAAAAATTTCAATAGACAGGAGACAGAAACCAATAAGAACTCCTCAAAATCAGCAGATATTATCTAATATCGTGAAACCAAGATGGAATTGATTCACGACATTGTCTTTTCAAGAACGAAAACTACAAATTAATTTAAAGTTGAAACAAGTGTGAGACTTGTTTCCTAGATAAACAGGTTTTGATTTATAAAGAAGATTGAACGTTTAGAAATATAAGTATAAAGAATAAAGAATATTTAGAAATATAATACTTATATAATAAAATATATGTAAAAAATGTAATTGAACATACCAAACAACGAGAGAAACTATCAACTAAAAATAAAATTAAAAAAGCAACATTAAATTAAAGGAAAATTAAAGAATGAATACACATATGGGTTGTATAATGGATAAGATCAAAACATTTAGACAACAGCAAGAAATAATTTAAAATAAGACATTAGGGATAAAACAAGAGAAACAGAACCAAATGGGAAATCAAATACTTAATTAGATGACAAAAACTAAAGTGAAAACTTACATGACTTTGAAATGATTGTAAATTGGCTATTTTGTAAGAGTGTAGGAATCAATATTTTGTAATCTTTTTTTTGATTTTTCTCTTGTAGAATAATTGGTATTTTGATCTATGATATGGTGGTCATCAACAATAGCATTATCATCAGTAGATAAAGAGATTCTCGGCCATTGTAAAAGAGATTTGATGTTGATTGCAGAAGTGGTTTTTTTAACGTTTTTGTTTTCAAGACTTTTAATGACTCTTTCTGAGAGAGTTTCTTCTTTTTCTTTTAAATAAATAAGACCAAAATCATTATATTTTTTCATTGAAAAGCTATGAATGATCTGCTCATCTTTTTGTCTAATTTTTTGACTGAAACCGTTATAAATTTCCAGGACAGCAATTAATTCGTATAGCCTTAAATCATCTATTTTATTTATTTGAGGAGAGTTATTTATTTTCATGAAAGATCTAGTTGGATCTTCATAGATTCGTTTGTATTTTGATTCGGCTTCATTGAATACCTTTGAAGAGAATTTGAAGTTAAGATGGGATTTATAGATGGATAGGATTTTATCTATGACATCATCAGAATCTTCATCCTTTTTTTTATTTCCAATTCGGGGATTGTTATTAAATGGAGAATTTGAGGATATATTTTGGATAAAGGATAGGTAATTGTTGTTTTTGAAATTGTAGCCTAATAGATTATTTAAATCTTGTAAAAGGGAGTTAAATTTATTGAAAAAGCTATTAATTTCTATATTATTTGCAATAGGATTTTTACTGTTATTGTTATTGTTATTGTTATCAGTATTAGTATTAGTATTATTGGTAATAGTGGAAAGAATATTACTGCTATTTTCCCAAATTGAAACTAATTTAATGTAGGCTAATTTAATTTTTTTTAAAGAAGAATTTAAATCTGATATTTTGTGAATCAAGTTTTTATTTGATATCTTGAGGTCATTAAAATCTGAAATTTTTTCATTATATTTTTTTTTGATATCGTTATTTGAATTTTGGTAATAAGTGATGAGATCATGGTGGTTAATTGAGTTGTTGTTATTTAAATTATTTATATTATTAGTATTGTTTATATTATCGATTTTTGTTGGAAATGATTTATTATTTTGAAGATGTTTATTGAAATTATTTTGCTTATTTTTAATATCATTGGTGGTTATAATTGTGAGATTTTTAGTATTTTTATGTTTGTTAGTATTAGCATAAACGTTAGAGTTAGAGTTAGGGTTAAGATTAGAGTTGGGACTATTTTTGTGATTTGAATTGGAATTGAAATTGAAGTTGAAATTAGAGATTGAGAAAGAATTTGAATTTGAATTTAAGGTGGTGGAAGAGGTGAAAGAAGTGGAGGAGGTGATTGAAGGAGAATAGTTGGAAGAGGTGACAGTTGAGATTGAGTGAGAATTTAGGTACTCTTGATTGTGGTTAGTGTTAGCAGCTGTGTGATTTGAGTCTAGATCATTTTCAGTGGATAAAGAAAGATGAATAGTCGAGGTTAATGATTCACTATCAGAGGTATTGACATTGTTGTGATTCGTATCACTGATTTTAGAATCAGAAATGTTATCGACTTTGTTTTCAGTTTTATTTTGAGTTCTAGTTTCTTTTTTGCTTTTGTTGAGAATAAAATGATCGAAATCGTCGATATCATCTAAATAGTTCAAGTGGTTAAACTTTTCAGTGTGAGAACAAAGAGTAGAAAGTTCTGAGATGGGTTTGTTAGAATGACTTGAAGAGTGTTTGTGTGAGGCATTAGTATCAGTACCATTGGTTAAGCTCGATAAGGAGCTTGGGATGTTGCCATTATTCTGGAGGATGTAGTTTATGGCAGAGCTGAGCTTTATGTTTTTGCCCTGTTCGTAGAGTAGCTGGTTTTCGAGCACAACAATTCTCTCTTTGTAGGACTCAATCTCTTGTAAATGGTTTTCAAAATTGTTGTTGTAGGTGTCGTAGAGCCCATTAACATGATCAATGGACACAGAGCTAAAATTCAATGCATTCAAGTTGGTGACTGAATTCGAGCTGGAAAGGGAAAAGGGATGGTTGTGAGCTGGGACTATGGGTGATGTGAGCGAGAAGCTGTTGGCATAGGGGTCTTTGTAGAGATTGGATCTTTTGAAGGACATTTTGAGGTGGTGAACAGGCGAAAGACAAGGTGAGGTGAGGGAAGAAGGAGCTGATCACCAGAATTTATACCCAACCGAAAAATTCCACACCTCATAGCAATTCCCAAACAAGAAACAGAAAACACCATCTTGAAAGGGGCCATCGCCCTCGTCTTTTTGGCTCTGTTAACCCTGTTTTTCCGTCATTTTCTTCTCTTTCACCATCTTTCTCTTCCTCTTTCCCAGCTCACGCTCCACCGCCGGCAGAGCCCGAAGCAACAGATTCGGCACTTTCCCCAGCCCCTTCTCCTTCTCCATCTCCAGCGCCATGGCGATGCCGCTGCTTCGCATACACGCAGTGACCACGCGAACGCAAACCTTTTTTTGCTGAGCAAACGCTGGGAACGCAGTGTAATGCGCTTGGCACGCATCTGTATGATTGGCGCACACATCACTCGATTCAACAAGGTTGTGTTCGCATTCTGTGTTAGGGCTAATAACTTTAATCACATTTGTGAAAATAGGGCTTTAATATTTTTGACATATTGGAAAAGCAGTCATGCCGCCGGAGTGGTGCTCCCTCTGGTGCGCGAGGTTTTCGCTGGTCCCTCTGCTTGCGACTCACATGACTCACCGAACTTGAAAATTGTCATCAACAAATTTATTCACCACAAGATATTGAAGCGACAGTCCTCCATAGCGTTGAAATAACTAGACAATATCCAGCCAAATAGTATCAAAAAGTAAGTGATCATATATTACTCTCAGTCAATTAGTTCATATTGCAATGCGATTTGATTGGTTTCAATTTTTTCTGTCCTCTTAAGCGTGTTTACATTTGATTTAATAAGAATTCATCACCTACAAGACTGGTTTTAACTTGTTTTTTTTCAAAAAAGTTGATTAACTGTTATTTACTGAAAAACCCGTATTAATAAAGATTCAAATAAAATGAGAGTAAAATGAAAATATTAATCAAAAAAACAACAATCAAAATATTAAAATTGGATCAGATTTTAAAATTTATCAAAATTTTGTGTTTTAAAATATAAAATTGTTTTTAAGAAGGAAACGAATAGTTGATTTTGTTTGAATAAGAACATTTGTAGACCAATATAGAAAATTGAATATTTCAAAGGATAATAATTATTCAAAATAAACTGGATTTAATTTTAAATTATTATAAAGTGCTTAGAGCGAATATGAGTTTAACATATAATGGATAATAAATGGAATGAAATTAATAAGAATCATATTAAATAAAATCTGATAAAATTAAATTGAAACAAATATATCAAGAAGAAGAGATTGACATGATAAAATAAATTTTTATTAAATTGAAACAAAATGACTAACTTTTTATTTTTCCTTTTATTTTTCCTTTCTTAGTGTCTCGTCTTACTGAATATCAAGTTATCGGTCGTCGTTTACCAACGGAATCAGTTCCAGAACCCAAATTATACCGTATGCGTATTTTTGCACCAAATATTGTTGTTGCCAAATCTCGTTTCTGGTATTTCTTACAAAAATTACACAAAGTTAAAAAGGCCTCTGGTGAAATTGTTGCAGTTAACGTTATCTCTGAAGTTCACCCAACCAAAGTCAAGACCTTTGGTATTTGGATTCGTTATGATTCCAGATCCGGTACTCACAACATGTATAAAGAATATAGAGATGTTACTAGAGTTGGTGCTGTTGAAATCATGTATCAAGATTTAGCTGCCAGACACAGAGCTAGATTTAGATCAATTCATATTTTGAAGGTTGTTGAATTAGAAAAAACTGATGATGTCAAGAGAAACTACGTTAAACAATTTTTACATCCTCATCTTAAATTTCCATTGCCTCACAGAGTTCCTAAGTCCACCAATACTTTTTCATATAAAAGAGCTTCTACATTCTATTAGAAATGTGATTAAGTTGATTATGCTGAATAAGTTTGATTTGATTTGATTTGATATAGTATAATTTAATTTAATTTAATTTAATACAATGTAATGTTTTATTAATAATTGTCAGTGCAAAGCGATGATTTTGTGTATTTTAAAAGTGAAATTTAAATTGCGAAATCCACAACCATCGATGATTTTCATAATCATGTATAATTTCCATAATCGAATTTCCATATTCATATATAGTTATAAGATAATAAAACGGACGGGTAAGTGAGATTGGGTAAATATGACACAAATGAATCAATTGTAGTTGCAATTGTAATTATACACCAAAGATAAAGGTTAAAATGAGGGAAATTGGAAATTTTGTAGGCAGAATACGAGAGTATATGATAATTTTTGCAATGATTATTATTGTATTTTTTGTGCGATATTGTTATGTTTATTACCGATTGCGAGATAATTATAAGTATTACAATACTTATAATACTTATACTAATAATACTAATAATAACAATAATAGTATAAGAAATAAAAAAGGTAGACTTGAGAAGATTAAACAGGAAAAAATAGAAGAATTGATAAATGAGCTAAATGAAATACAGAAAAAAGAGAGACAGGTTTTGGAACAAAAACGAGAAAAAGAGGATAAAATTAAGAAGATTGATGAAATTGATAATTTAATTGGGGACAAGATCAAGAAGGCCAATATTGATATTGATAAGTTGAGGATAAATGAGTTGAACAAAATTAAAGAATTAAACGAGGATAAAAAAAGGCAAATTACAAAAATGAAGGAAGAAGAATACAAAGCAATTTTTGAAGAGATAAATTTGGAATTAAAAGTTAAGATTAATGATATCAGCAAGAAGCTAGAGTATTTGAAGGGGTCTATTGAGGAAGAAAAAGAAAGAATTTGGGTGAAATACGGGGATAAACCCAAAGGGGCCAGAAGCAGAGGGAATGATAGCGATAATGGCAATGATAGCGACAATAGTAATGACAACAATGGAAGTGGAATTTTGATTGAAATTGGAAGAGAAATCAGCTACTTTGATGAACTTAATAGGAAAATAAATGAAAACATCATTTGGAAGATCGGATACAACCAAATCAAGAACAAAGAACAAAGAAAGCTAGACAACTACAGAAAGCAGTTTGAGAACCAAATGAGAGAGCAAATGAACCGACTAGGAGAGATGCAGGGCGAGTGGTGCACCAGCACCATCAGCGAGAGCTGGAGCAAAAGAAGTACGCAGCACCGGTGGGAGAGCGACAGCCTCAGTCTGAGCGAGGGCTTGCTTCTCCTTCTCGCCCACCCCGAAAAGGTGGAGCACACGAAGATGAGGCAACAGGAGTTCCACGTGGCGGCCGCCAGCGACAGGCTCCTGGCCATGGCTCGCAGCACGGCGTACACCGTTGCTCGGCTCCAGCGGCAGTTGGAGCAGATGGGCCATGAGTAGTGAGCAGCAGAGGAAGCTCCGACAGCAGAAGTAGCAACAGAATCAGCAGCTGGTGATTCCGGAAAGCGGCAGGGGAAGCGAATAATAGACGCACATGCGCCAGGATGTGCGTGTACAGTTATGCAGAGCGCCGCAATGCGTGTACGTGCGTCTGCCTCGGCGCGCGCGAGAACCGTTCGATGTTTGGAATACGGTTTAGGGTTTATTGCCGCTTTGGTGCGCGGATCTGTGCGGCGGCATGCTTTTGGGAGCAACACCCAGCAGCATGGGAGAGCTGTCGCGAAAGTGCAGCGATTTTTTGTAATTTGAGCAAATCCTCCACAAGCTTTTTTGATATAAAATCCTGCTTTTCTCTTTATCTTTTTAAGCTGCTCTTTCTTCGATTCTGCTTCTCACCCCAGTCTCATCCAGCTTCCATACTACCTCCTCCTTATCCACCATATATTACCTTGCTTATGTCGCACTACAGCTCCTTTTCTGATATGGACTATCAAGCTCTAAAGTTCCAGCTCTCTGATTTGAAGAGCCAGTTGACTTCGAAGGAAAACCAGATCCTCAAACTACAGTACCAAAACAAAAACTTGCTCTCTCACTACACCTCCTTCAAAAAACTATACATAAGCAACTTGGTTGCCATCAAAGCAGATCTCTCCAATATCAAATCTCTTTTTTTCCCCAGCAACGACACTCAATCTGATATCAGCTCTTTTAACTCCAACAAAAATTTTGTTCAGAATCTTATATCCATTTTCAATAAAGACTACGACTCGAACCTATCCAAGACTATCAAAAACAAAATGGAATTATCCACCATTATAGCCCAAAAACAGAAGATCATCAACGACAAAAATGATCTAATTGATTCTCAAAAGGATGAAATCAGTCAACTAAAATCGATAATAATCAACTTGAAAGAAAGACAAAAAGAAAAGGAAAAGGAAAAGGAAAAGGACTCTCTTTCTCTCAATAGCCCTCCAACAAAGCCAAGCTCAATAAAATCAAACAATCTTGAAAAGACTCCTTCCAGTCATAACAACTCCATCGCAACTTCTCTCTCAAACTCCTCTTCTTCAAAAACAATCAAGAAAAAGAGACCTTCTTCTATAATCTCATCCCATTCTATAAACTTACCTTCTCCAAAGTCTTTTTCTTCTTCAAAATACAATCAACAAATTTATCATCAAATTTCCGTCCCCATCCCTCTTCAATCCATAGATCTCAGCATCCAAAGATCAATATCTCCTTCTTCCTTTAATTGTATCCATATAGATTCAGATAATAGCCATATTGAAAAACTTGAAAGAAAACTGAGCAAAGATTCAAACCTTTCAGCTAACTCTGAAAAATATCCTGATTCCACTTCTTCGTTTTCCTCAAACTCTTCCTCTGATGAAAATAACAAAAGCAATCATCATTTCAATAATAATAACAATAATAATAACAGCAATAACAGCAATAAAAACAATAACAACAACAACCACTACACTCACATCAACTTGTCAAATGATCTCAATAAACCTGAGTTGTTCAATTTTAATACTAAAAGTATTAAAAACTCTTCCTTCTCTTCTGCGTCTTCCTCTTCCTCTCCTCCTCAAAATTCTCTAAAATCTTTTAAATCTCATAACCAGTCTAGTCCTGCTAGAACTATAACTGACCTGGACTTAAATATAAATTATTCAGGTTCTCTTAACTTTACAACTAATTTCAACGATAATAACGATACTAAATCTACCATATCAAAATTATTTAGTCTACATAACAATCAAAATAAATTATCAAGAAAAAAAAGAGTCTACTAATTTCCTTTAATCTACTATAATTTATTATTATCATTATTGTAATTTATTATAATTTATATTTATACTATACTAATTCTCCATTATTAATACTACATTATTAACGTTTATGATTTTAATGATTTTCCACCTTTATTTCAAATTGTTACTACTATTATTACGACTTATTATTACTAGACTTCAATATTTACTCACCCACTCACTCACTCACTTACTTTCATTCACTTCAACTTTGGCTTTGTTGTTTTAATTTCAATTTTGATTTCTCTTTTACTCTTACTATATAGATATAATCTTCATTATCACAGATTTCTCGGTTTACTTGCTTTTTCTACAATGTCTTATCATTTTACATTATTTTACACTATTTTTACATTATTGTCTATGGTTTTTCATTTAAAAATTTGGTTTCTATTCTATTCTATTCTCTTATTCTTTTTGTCTTTAAATAAATTATACTCTAATTCATAATTATTAATACACTTTTCATTCTATTTGGCAATAATCCAATCAGTAAATTAAGAAAGTAAGAAATTACAATATTCCGTAATCTCTTCAAACATCTTCAATTCTCCAAGTCTCTCCATTTCTAATGGATTGCTCAAGTCAAATTTTCCCAATTATAGTTACGAATTATATATTAACTTATAATGATTAACTTATAATGATTTTCATAAAGACAATCACAAAGATAATCAGAAAAAAAGTTTATAGCAATTTTCCACTTAACACATTTAGTCTATTTTCCTTAGTCGGTTTAGAATGTTTAGCTCAGTAACTTTATTTGCTTATTCAGGTTTTAAAAATGAGTGTTATTTGGAAATTTACCACTTTCTATATCATGTTAACTCTATTTCGTTATTCAGAATAATGTGAACAAACGATAACATAAAAAACCAACAAAAATTTTACTCTTTTAGCTGATAAAATAACTATAATTGCAACTATGCTTGTGATTATAATTATGGATGGAAATGTGACAGTAATAATGAAGTAATTTCCAATAGTTTGAAGGCATGAAAATTCATTTAAAATTACCTGGAATTGATTTTTATAATTGACCTTAAATTGACTTTAAATTGTAATCGACATGACTTAATCAAAGATAGCTTCAGTTGAAATGAGAAAGGTTCTTTAAAGGGTAAATTTTGCTGGTTGGAGTTGTTTAAAGACAATTTCCGTCTGATTTGTATATAGATTGTACCTTTGTATGTAAACGACCAAACCAACAAATTTGTTTTGACTTTAAGCTACTGAGAAAGTCAAATCAATGGTTGAAACTTTGTGGATTAAATAAAACTGGGTAAATAAAAGTGAAAGTAAAAAACAGTAACAACAAAAAAGGGGAATAGAAAAGAATTAGAAAAAATAAAAATAAAAATAAAAATAAAAATAAAAATAAAAGAGATTAAAGTAGAAATATGGTATTAGATTTAGATATCGAGAATAGTATGATGAATTTAACAAATGAAAAGATATGTTAGATTATTCAAGGTGAATAACCATGATTTAAATTAATATGTATTTAATGAAGATAGCATAAGGAAGATCATTTAGAAAATTACAAAATATTAGCCCATTAAACCAAAATAGAACAACTTTATAAAAGATTAGAAAATGATTATGGAAAAGGTTAAAAGCAAAAAGAAAGAAATGAGAAATGAGAAATGAGAAACCAGAAGGATGTGAATATGAATAAAGTGAATAATAACATTAATAATAAAGTGAATAATAATGCGAGTAATAGTGTGAGCAACACTATCATTACTATTGGGATAGAGTTTGATAATATTCTAAAATAGTTTAAATTTGTGCTAAATGAGTTTAAATGAGTTTAAGCATTAAATTCTACAGAATCATGTTGATATTCAGAACCAAGTGCAAATGGTGGAAAGAGTGAAGACAAAAAGACTGAAATCAGCATCAGTGAAGCACTAGGTTGGGAGTAACTTTAATAGGCATTGGATGTATTTTGAGTCTCCAAGCAGAAGATAATCAGGTAACAGTGATATTTTGATACTGTTATAAGTCAAAATTCAGATCCAAAGGTAATAAAGCCCATTTGTATCAGTGGAAAAAGTGGAAAAAGTGGAAAAAGTGGAAAAAGCAAAAGGATTATAAGACAAGTGAAAGACATGAAAAAAAAAGTGAAAACCTGTGGAATTTTGGCAAAACACCTCCAAAGTTTTCAGAGTTTTCACAGAAAAAAGAAAAAACTAAAAAGAAAACTAAAAAATTAAAATTAAAATAGAAAACTAAAAAATAGTTAAAACCCACAAAAACCAAAATAAATGTCATAGAATCGTATTTTACAAAAAGAATGACGAATGCTCAGTAACAACCAATTCCCAAACAAACACAGACAATAAAGATACCAATCGATTAAAACTGAACTTGCCAGCTCAGTTTCCAGGCGAAATGAACGTCAGTGGAGTGTTCTGTCTAATAAATTGATACTAGCTGATAGTTTAGATGAAAAATTTGGATAGTCAAAGAAAATACAGAAATAATTGATACGGTAAAATTAACAAAATACGTGCAAATGCAAAAAAAATTTGGTAATGAGTACATTTTCGAACAGTTCCATGATTGATGATTCATATTTCATGTTATCTCAAGTTGGGATGGAAGAAATCACCAGTCGGGGAACAATCTGGTCTCGTTAGCCCTTTTGCACTCGCTGGTTACTCTGAGCTTGACAATAGACTTAGCTGAAAAAGTCATATAACATTCTTTTCCCTATTCAAATCCAATCTAAAACCAGCCCGAGTTACTTTTCGGAAAGCATCCGTAGTACCTACGAACATGTACCGTAGAAACGGCGAAAGCACAGAGCACACGACGAAAACACGTAATATCGCAATTACACCCGTAATCACACCGGACGTTGACGGCGTCGAAATACCGGTCTCGAATCGCACTCGCCGGTCGGCTGGTGTTTCAGCTTCCCAAATAAACTTTTCACAGCTTCCTGTAAGTCTCTCAGGGTTTCTTCTCTAGTGCTGCGAATGAGCTGAGGGCTTTGTTGGACTTGTCGCCTGTTTTGTTTGGGGAGGAAGTGGGTTGATTTGTAATTAATTACCAGAAAAAGAGCTCATTTGCACATCATCCCAATGATATGCAAAATGTTTCCAAAAAACCCATCAGTCTGAGACTTTGATGGTGACAAGTGCATTTGGAGAATTCAGGTCTGTGGTTATAGCTTTTATTTGGTTTGGATAATAATTCAGTTATTATTACTATTATTACGATTATCATTATTATTGTGAATGTTATTGTAAATATTATTATAAATATTATTACCAACACCTTTTGTTGCAAGATCCCCCATCGAATCCTATTATTTTCCAATTTCTGGTTTTCCTCAGGTTGCCTCTGAGGTGATTTTGAAACATGAACAAATTTATATTACATTGTATTGGTTTGTATTGGTTTGTATTGATTTGTGTTGATTTGTGTTGATTTGTACTGAATTCCCCTAGTTTTTAATTTGCCCATATCCAATGTGCCCTTGCTTTTATTTCACCAAATAAGTAAATACCCTCAATTGACAAAACCAAACACCTACTGTAGGCAAATGGCTCTTTTCCTTGTGATACATGCCCCTTCTTTGCTTTATTATTCTTGATTATTCTGATTTTCCTGCTTCGCATTCAATTATCAGTCAATTATCATTCAATTGTGTTTTAATTATTTCTTGTTTCCTCCAAAATCATTTCATGTTTGAAAATTGGTATTCTAATGCCAGCACTAGCTCACTAATCCAAAGAAATAAAAACACCTCCTACTGGCCATTTGGCTAATCTTCAAAAGCAATTTTGCTTTTAATTCCATACAATTTCAAGTCTCTCATTCACCAATTCCTATTTCAATTCACCTCTGAAATTGTTATTGTTTTACCAATGTTCAATCCTCAATGCTTAATGTTCAATTTGATCTTTGACCTTTGACCTGATTGATGATATAAGCCTTTACTCTTTTCTTGCTTTATTATCCCTTTGAATTTCCATTTCCTATCTTTTTTAAATAATATTGTATAAACTTTATAAATTTACATTTTCTTTTCGATGTTCATTAACTACATTTTCATTTACACTTTATTTTCCTTCTTAATACGTGAAATTAGATCATTATCTTTCTCTTTTGGTCAATTCTTAATTGAATAATTCATTTATTTTTTTTATTATTAATTGTTTATTCTTTAAAAAATAAATAATCAACTCATTTTTCTTCTTTTCTCGCTCTCTCTAGTTTTTTTATTATCTTTTTTCGTTTAGAAATTAATTTTTAACTTATTCGACTAATTTAATAACCTAATTAATTATCTCTTTAACTTATTTAGTGAAGTTTATCAAAAAAAATTTTCATTTTATATTCATTTATATTTCTTGATATTCATCTTAAACTGAAAAAAAATAAAAAAAATAAAAAAATTAAAAAAATCAAAAAAGATTAATTAATTAAACTGATTATTCTAATAAATAAATAAAAAAAAAATAAAAAATATATTAAAATAACTAACCTGATACATACATATTTAGATACCTAAATACTCACTTACTCATTTACTCACCTAATTAGCTAAAATTTATTTCAAATAAAGACTTCTAATAAACCACCAGCTAAAAAGAAAGCCAATTCCACCATACATCAACCCAAGTGCTAAACTTAAATTAATACTCTTAATTAAAAAAATAATCCAACTTGAAAAATCGCCAAATCCACTCTTAAATGAATGAATTTGATAAACAAGACTCATTACTGTTATTCCCAAAAATCCATTAAACCAACTAAACCAAATCCATTTCCAATTTCCGCAATTCAATGAATTGAAAACCATCAAAATATCTATAATCACCATTGAAATCAATGATAGTATTAATAGATACAATGTCTCAAAATTTGAAAAATTAAAATACTTGAAATAAACTGTAGCATTCAAAATTGAAATTTGAAACATTATAATTGAAAATGGTATAATCGATGAAAAAATCGACGAGGGAATCAATTTTAATAAAATTGGTTGAGGAGGAATTTGTTTCTCAATTTGATTAATTTTAATAATCTTATCACTTTTCCCATTATCATTATTATTATTATTATTATTATTAAGAGTATTGTTGAATAAATTGAATTTTTTAAAACCAATTACAAAACTTGTTAAATTAATTGGTGTATAAATAAATAACCAAATCAAAAAAAACTTAAATAAATTTGAAATTGGTATAAAATTAGTGGAATTGACATTTTTATAGATTATATTAAGAAATAAAGTTGAAATCAATAAAAAACCTGGTAAAAGAGTTTGATTTTGAAAGAATAGTTTTTTAAAATTTGATAAATTTGATTTATCTGTTACAAAATTTTTAAAAATTGATATTGTTACAATTGAAGAAAATGGAGAAGTTAAGATAAATAAATAAAAAATTGAATGTAAGATCTCGTTGGGGATTATAACTGAGATTAAATCAAAGGACAAGAGAGTTAAAACTGAGAAAGCTATTAAGAAAATTTGGATTCCATAACCAGTTAAATTTGCAAATAGAATCAATTTTGAAGGAGATCTAAAGACTTCATTTGATAAAGAAGACCAATTTAAATCTAAAAACAATTCATCGTTATCGATATCAAGGGCATTTTGGTGTAAATCAGATGTTGAATTGACATTTGAATTTAAATTTGAATTTGAAGTGGAAGTGGAAGTGGAAGTAGAGGAATGCTTTTCATTTGTAAGAATTGTTTTGATTTTTTTCAAAAATATTAAAAAGAAAACAGAGGTTAAAACAGAGTAAACGATTTTAGATAGATATTGGATCTTAAAATTAACTAAATTGTAAGAATAATGGTTTAGCCTATCTTTCCAGCTTGTTGGTTGACCAACAGTTTCTCTCCAGATGATATCGTAGGTAAAGATGACTTTGTTATTAGAGAAGGGGATTTCAGATAAGATTACAGGAGGGTGTAAAGAGCAAGAATTTTTAACATATCTTAAATTTGATTGTTGACCTGCAACAGCTTTAATTATGTTAAATTTTTCAGCACCAATGTTAATGTAATCAATGACGATTTGATAATGAGTAAAGATTCTTGGGAGGCCATTAGTATCTAAATAGCCTAGAGGCAAATTATTTGATATGTAAAATTTATTTGAGTTGTAATCAAAGAATTCTTTACCGATGGGGATATCATCGATATATAGATTAATTCTGTAATCTTTTCTAATTAAATCATTAATGTATTTAGCACTTTTAGTTGAAAAATCAACTGTACAAGCAAATTCACAACCTTTTTTGATTTTAAATTGAGCAGAAAAGGGAGAGTTGTAGACGTTGTTATTGAAAAGGTTATCTTTTTTAAAAATGTAAATTTCATCATAAGAAGGTTCTTTAGTTTGATTTTGAGAATTTGAGGATTCAAGATCTTTTTTTTCATTATCATCATTGTCATTACTATCATCGTTATTATCATTGTTATTATCACCATTATCATCTTTTTTTTCGTCTTTTTTCTCATCGTCATCATCTCTTTTTCTCTTTTTATTTCCTTCGTTTTGCTTTGCCTGAAGCTGAAGAAGCTCTTCAAATTCTTGAGCAGAGTATTTTTGTTTGAGAGGTGGACAAGTCGTCAAAAGGTCATGTTCGTAGAACCTGATAGGATACAAATAGTACTTGTTGTCCTTGGAATTGGCACCAGGGGAGAGATTTGTTAGAGATATATGGACAATGTCGTCCTTGGAGTAGTCTTGTTTGTAGTAGCTTGTAAAAGTAAAGGAGTGAGCGAGAAGGGAGTTGGTGATTAGGACGAGCAAAAAGCAGCAAACGTAACTGAGAGGAAGCATTATGAAGAGTAGAGCAGCAGCAGAAGAAGCACAGACAGCAGAGAAGTCTCTTCGTGGATGAAGAAGCAGCAGCAGCAAAGAAGAAGAGGAAGCAGAAACAGCAGAGAAGAAGCAACTTGTCCACAGCAGCCAGGTGCAGAGGACGATCAACGCAGTGGCTTGTTTGAACCAGTGCTGTCCTTCCCTGTGCTTCTTCTGCTGCTTCTGCTGCTTCCTCTTCTTCTGCTGCCCATTCTCTGCTATGGACAAGGACATATTTGCTCCTGCTAATGCTTCGCTCAGAAAGAGAGCCACTAGGTTTTCTCGCAGCCTCAGGCTCTCCCTCTCTAAAACCTGCAATCGCTCCAGAGTCTTCCAGTGCCTGTTGGTGCTCATCGCTCTGCTCTTTGTGCTCAACTCTCTACTCTCCACCAGCTGGTCTTCCTTCAGGCTGTTGGCTTTCGACTCGTATGCAGACTACGACCAGCTAGCCCAGTACTTGAAGAACGACGATGGGCTTGGTGCCATTGGATATGGAATCTCCAAGGGAGGAACTGGCAACATAGGCTTCCAGCAGAACACACGAAGAAACACAAGAGGAGCTCCTCCTCAACCAAGGGCCCCTGGCATATTTGCTGACATCTTTGCTACTAAGAACGATTTCGATGATGGTGAAGACCACTCTGCTCAGAGCAAATCTGTCAATGACAAGAAGACCATTGTCATAATATTGGCTGCTAATGTTGAAGGTGGTGTCAACAACTGGAAAAGAGCTGAGGACTGGTCAATTGAAAGAACCTCGATTCTAAATAAGAAAATATACTCAAAGATCCATGGTTACAATCTAATTATAAAAGATTTCACCAAAAAAAAGAAATATTCAAATGAGTTTAGAGAAAGCTGGCAAAAGTTTGATGTCATTAGAAGTATCATGAAGGATAACGAATTTAAAGAAAACACTTGGTTTTTTTACCTAGATCTATATTCATTAATAATGGAACCAAATATGTCAATTGAAGAATTGATATTCAAAAATCTAAATCAAAAGAGTTTTCAAACATTGTCATATTTTAATCCCAATAAAATCAAAATCGATATCCCATACCTAAGTTTTGGTAATAATGACAATAGCGATAATAATAATAATAATAATCATATCGATGATAATATCAGTTTAATCATTAGTCAAGACTGCTATGGCTTTAATTTAAACTCCTTTTTAATTAAAAAAAGTAATTGGACCAACTTATTTCTAGATTTAATTTGGGAACCAATTTTTTATAAAAAACTAATTGATATCAACGGCTACTTGAACGAAGAAAGAATCTTGGAATATTATTACAGTAAACAATCGTGGATTAGAAATGGAATGTTATTCTTACCAAACAAGATGATGAATTCTTTAGTCAGTGAAAGTTATTGTCCAAATAATTACTTTAAAAATGAAAACAATAAATCTATTAAAAAGAAAAATAAAAATAAAAATGCAAATGATTTGAATAATTTGGATCTTGATAATGACATTGATTTGGATCTCGATATCGACATTGAAGATCTAGAAGAGTATGACAAATATAAAGATTCATATGGCTTTAATGATAATGATAATGATAATGATAACAAAAACAAAAACAAAAACAAAAAAAATGGCAATGATATTGATAAATTTAGCACAAAGAAAAAATTACTATACAATTGGAAAGATAGAGATTTTTTAGTCAACATGAATGGATGCAAAAATAAATTCAATAGAAACTGCTGGGAAGAAATGGAATTTTATAACAAATTAAGTAAAAACCTAAGGCTAAGTTGGTTTAAAAAACTATTTACAAAAAATATTAAATATAAAAATTATGGTGAACCCTAAATAAATCAACTAATTACTTACACTATTTTCAATATTTATATTCAATGCATATTTATATTCAATAAATAAACTAACCATAAAACTCATAGTACTTTTTTGAATAGTAAGTAGTCGTAGTGGCCCCCAAAAGCGCCAACATCAAGGGAACCTTCTTAGAGAATCTCGATGGATATCCTCTTACAATTCCAGCAGTCAATAGCCCAGAGGAAGCCAATAAAGCTAACTCCAATCCCCAGTCAGCATTTTGCTTCAACAAATATCCAGCAGAAAAATAAATTCCAGCAAACGACAATCCTGCTACAAGTGATGGAACTGAGCGTTTTTTAGCAAAGCCCATAATTCCACCAACAGCGCAAAGTGATCCAGCAGTCCAAGAAATATGATCCTACCCATAAAGACTGTTAGTATCAGTTACACAATTGAAAATCAGAAAACCAAGGATCAATTGTAAACATACCATGATAATTGTAATACGTTAATTCTTCCACCGTATCTGATAACAATTTCCTGGCTTTACCTTCTTCTGCTGAGTAATGTTATTTTCTCTCTTTATCCAGCACTTCCGAGAGTGCTCACCTGATACCGGTCTGGTCAGCTTATGTACCGTCCAGGTGGTTTTCACCAAAGTGTCAGCGCTTAAGCCGAGATATAAAGTGGGTTTCCCAAAACAGAAGCAGATATAATGAATTAACTGTTGCCTTCAGATAGAGCAGAGAATAAGATCAGCCATTGCAATGTCTTCGCAGAGCGCTTCGAAGCAGTTTTTTTGCTTGGTTTTAGAGTTGAACAATCTCATTGTCCAGCGCAAGACCTTGGATTCATTCAAAGATTGGAGCACTATTGACAGATTTATCAAAAACTACAACTATTTGATTGATGATTTTAATTTACGATCAAACTGCTTGAGCGTCTTGTCCAATCTATTCCAATCAATCAATTTTGCAATCAATAGCAAAATGAACAACATGAGTAGCGCCAATCACCTATCTACAATTAAAAATGCCCACCTATTCAAATTCTTAATCAATTGCTACTTGAAGTTTAATATCTTATCAAACAAATTTTGGTTTGTCTTGATTGTTTGTTTTACTTTATTTATACATTTCCATTCAACTGATATCTTACTAACGCTATAACCACCTTCCCGAAAGAACTTGATCCCGGATCAACCCATATCTTTACACTCTTCAATTATAGACAATTTTTTATCTAAATCTCTTTTAGATAATAATATCAGCTGGAAATTCTCTTATCTCTTGTCAAAATTATCCGATTTAAATAAAAACGATGAATCGATTAAGTTCAATTCAATTCTAATTAATTCGTCTCATTTAAAAAATTTCGATTTGAATAAATTAAATAATGTTTTAAACCAATTTTATTTATTCAATTTATTGAACAATTTATCTATTTCTAATAAGATTCCAAATATTAATACAATTATATCTCAAAACGATTCTTTTCCATTAATTTATCAAATCTCTCAATTTAGTCTATCTCATTCTAATTCTATTTCAAACTCATCAAATGATATAAATTCCTTTTATAATTTCACTCATTGCCAAATTTATAATGATTATCTCATTTTCCTACCAAACGATATTGATAATCAAAACATGATAGAAATCAATTTAAACTATCTTGAAATGATCTATTATATTCAAGATCTTGATAAAATCAACTTAAAAATTAACAACTCCATTGCCTTTCAAAATCCAAAATCTTCTTCCTCATCACCTTTCCCATCTCAATATCCTGATAATATCACCAATTATTTTAACACAGACTTCCCGATTATCTCGCTAAACAAATCTTATTCATCAAATCATTCCATCATATCCCTATCTTTAATTGATCCTCAAAATTTAAAGCTTAAAGATATTTTTTTTGATAAATTAATTAATTTTAAGAATTATAAAAATATTGCAAGAAAAAAAATTGCTCAATCCAATTTAATTATTTCGCCATTAACATCTCAGTCTTTAAAAAACAATAGAAATAATAACAACAATACACATGAAAATACATCCTTTTCAAATGTTACTACTGAAAACACATCCTTCCAGCCTCTTGAAACTTTTTTAACAAATGATACTACTAACGATGATTCTCAATCATCGAAATTAAAGCAAAATGACAAAAGCGTTAAAGATGTTTTAGAAAATTTATGTAATCAGAAAATTCCTGATTTCAATAAATCAAAAACAAATGCCCCTAAACCTGTGGTTGCCGAAGCACAAATTATTGAACAAAACACCGTTGAATCAAACATTTCTAAGCGTATAAAAGCTAGACCAAAAAGAAAAGTTAAAACAACGACAAAACAAAAACATGAATTTAAAAATTTGGAAACTTTTCAAGAATTGAAAACACAAAATAATAATAAAAATAATAAAACCAAAAACATTAAAAAAACGACGAAAAAGATTGCTGATAATAATCATAAAAAGAGTATGGTTCAACAAAAGGATAATGGTGATATTTGTATTACCACCAATGATACAAATGAAAAACAAAAGCAAAAACAAAGCGAAAATTTAATTGAAATTGTTGATAAAACAGATTTCAATTTTAATGTTGATAAACTTAAACCACTTAAAAAATACTCTTCAAGAAAAAAAGTTTTAAAATCTATAGCAAAATTGCATAATAAGGTTTATGTTACTGAATCAATAAAAAAAAAAATAAATAACAATAAAGACATTTGGGATCTATCATCAACATCTTCAGATAATGAAAAAAATGGCACAGATAAAATTGAAAATAATCTCAACCTCAATAACATTTATATAAATCAAAAATCTTTGAAAGAAAATCAAAAAAAAAGAACTAATTCTGATGCTGGTTTTGAAACTGCTGAAGAACCAAATTCCTCATCAACTCAATTGCAAAACAATAAAATATTAAAACAAAAAAATTCAATTTCTTCACAAAAATCCCAAAAAGAAAATGAGCCCGAAGAACAAATTAGTCTTACTAGCGACGATTTAGATTTAAGCATTGGCAATAAAAGAATAAATTCTACTGCAACAGCTGAAGATAATTCGTACTACCCATCATCACCGTTAATCAGTGCAAAAATAAGAGCTAATCAAAGAAAAGAATCAATGTTAAATATTAACAAGAACCATGATGAGGCATCAGATGAAGAAATTAACATTTCAACAAAGAAACGAAATAAAATGAGATATCTTATACCAGATTCCGAAGTTGAAAGTTTGCCAAAAGAAATAAGACAAGAACCACAAAATTTCATTGATAAGCCAGTAGATAGCTTTGAAAATAATAAATTTATAAAGCTAGATCAAAGTAATATCCAACAAGAATTGACTAGAAAAAACCCTCCACGAAAAGGCAGGGCCAGACGTTCAGTTATTCAACAACAAATTTTATCTTCTGTGTCTGCACAATATACGCAATCACATAGAAACCTTCCAAGAATCGAGGAAGAAACCACTCCAACAAGGATCATAAAAGAAATGGAACAAAATCAGGATGAGTGCAACGAAAAAGTAAACATAGGATCTGGACTACTTGAACAATCTAATTTTCAAACAAGCGCTCAAATTGGTGATGAAATTGAAGAAAACATTATTCAAGAAAAATTGTATCAATCACTAACCTCGATCTCAGCTTGTCTAGTCAATCGAATGAAAAACGTCGAACAAGCCATAACTTTTAAAGCCAACGAAATAAAAAATGAAGTTGAACAGAAAATTGAAGAAATGCAAAAATTCAGCGATGAAAAAATGAAGGAGTATTTACATTTTGTCAAATCGCTAAATGAGAACATTTCTTCAAGCGATGCCGAGTTAAACAAATTATTAAAAGGGTGAATTGATCATCATATTGTAGCTATCATTTTGTTTTTAAATCAGAAGTATTTAATTATTTTTCTCAGTTAAAAATTATGATTCGAATTTTGCTTTGTGTTGATTATCGTACTTAAAGAACACCGTTTGGCTGGCTTCAAAATCACCTGATCTATTTTTGGGTGGAAAAATTTGATTATTTTTTCAAACATCAAGAAGCTTCCTTCCAGACACTGTATCAACTATCATATTAAAAGAGTGTTACCAACTATATTAATACATAGCAATAATTATAATTAAGGATGGTATGTTTTGATGATTAAAATACAATGTGCAAGAAAGTTCAATTTTTAATTATGGCTCATTCAGTAATCAAGAATCAAGTGAAAAAAGCATCAATCCTTAAATGATAATCATAATTTAAATTGGATTATTCAATCAATTCGATACTTTTGCAATGATGGATCACATTTCTAACTTTTTTTACTTTAGGATTCAAAAACCCCAGTTACTCTTGCCAAAGTTATCAAAGTTTTAAACCGTACCGGTTCTCGTGGTGGTGTCACTCAAGTTCGTGTTGAATTTATTGATGGTTCTTCTCGTACATTATTAAGAAATGTCAAAGGTCCAGTTAAAGAAAATGATATCCTAGTCCTTATGGAATCCGAACGTGAAGCTCGTCGTTTTAGATAAAATTTTTGCGCTATTGGGTTTTTTTGCTATATATTATTTATGTCACTTAGATCAAATTTGATTTTAAAGAACTATAATAAATAGTTAAATGAAAGCATTAATTATTTGTGGTTCCATTTATTTTGTACAATAAAAGCTATATTAACTTTTCAAGTATAAGTCAATTGAAGGCTGGATTCACCATGACTATGACTACAATTGGGAAAATATGGAGCATAACATCAGATAAGTAGAATTGTAGAATTGAACCATCTGTTTGCACTCTTCAAGGCATTAAAATCACCAATATCTACAGATTTCATAAGCATCAGAAACATCGCTAGCTGCGTGTATTTAGTAAGTGAGTGTTCATACTGCATTAGAGCACGTGCGCATAAAAGACAGACAATGATGTGTGTATAGTCAAAAGCTCTTATCTCAATTCAAAAAAGCAGTCACATAGTTGAAATTTGAAAATTCAATCGGCGCTCTAAACCATACAAACTAAACACCTTTATATTGGAAAAGCGTATATGGTCGGGTAATCCTTGTTCATACAAAATTTACTAAGAAAAGCTAAATTTTGTATGAGAAAATTACTATGGATCTCTCCGGGTAAACCTTAAGCTTTTTGGGTTGGGAGCCAGAGGAAAATTTCAAAGATAGTCAGCGCAATGTTGAATATATTAAATTCCAAATATTAGTGATTCAGATAATTCCAGATATCCTCCATTAATATAACAAAGAATCAGAAATGGCCCAAAGAGTTACCTATAGAAGAAGAAATCCATGTATGTAATAATTACTTTAATTCCAATGAAAAATTGGTGACTAAAAATCGATGACATTAAAATACAAAAGTGATGAATATGACTGATGGGTTTTAAATGTCTTTTTAAGCAATTTTTTAATTAAATCAAATAGTCTGGATTCAAAATTCAAAGTGAGAGCAATATATTTATAAATTATCTTAGAAGATATCAACATTTTGAAGAATTGAAACACTTCTTAAATAAAAACTCAATATAAATTCGTTATAAAAGTGAATTGAAAAATAATGAACTTAAGGAGTTATATTTTTGAAAAAAAAAATTATAGATGTTTTGATTTGACTATTAGAATCGAATTTTCAAATTCAATAACAAAATGCTTTCACATCAATATGATCGAAAAGAGAAATTACTAGAAGCTAATATTCATTATATTAATTCAAATTAAATAGGTATTTAATATAAAGGAAAAGCTAAAAAAAACAATTTTCATATATTATCTGTCATAATATTTTATTATTTTAAATTATATTTTCAAAGACAATTAATTAAATTAAGTTTATTTTCAAAATTCTAACTAATTTAATTTTTTTATAGACAACACTCGTTCAAACAGTATCAAAACTGTTAAAACCCCAGGTGGAATCTTAAAAGCTCAACATGTCAAAAAATTGGGAACAAGACCAAAATGTGGTGACTGTGGTTCTGCTTTATCTGGTATTGCTACTTTAAGACCAAGACAATATGCTCAAATTTCTAAAACTCATAAAACTGTTTCAAGAGCTTATGGTGGTTCAAGATGTGGTCAATGTGTCAAAGAAAGAATTGTCAGATCTTTTTTAATTGAAGAACAAAAAATCGTTAAAAGAGTTTTAAAAGATAATGCTGAAAAGGAAAAATTAGCTGAAGCTAAAAAATCAAAAAAATCAAAAAAAACTAAATCTAAGAAATAAATTATTCGTATCAGTTAATTAAGTTATAATCTATTTCATTTGTTTTGTATAATTTTTTAATGTCGTATATTTTTAGATTTCTAATCAACTATTTGAATTCTTTCAAAAAAAAGATCAAAGTAGACATAAATATATGAGTATTAAAATTTTCATACATGTACTATTTATTACCATAATTAAACTTTTTCATATTTCTATATCAGTAATTAAACAAAACACAATACCATATCAAACTGTTAAATTGAAATATTTAGGAAGAGAAAAAAATTTATAAAAACTACAGTAAAAATAATTATGCTATATGTATCAAAAAAGATCAGTACAAAATAAATAACAAAAATAAACATTAAAGTTAGAAAACAGTGATAAAACAACATTAAGATAAAGAATCTTATGAAGATTTAGTGAAAACATAAAAACCGGTACCAAAATTGTATGTTATTGGCTCTGAACTTATATTCTCTGACGACAGGAAAGCATATTCAAAATTCAATAGCAACGAAATAAATTCGGATATTGAGTTGAATAAAAAAATGATCTCAGTTTGAAAAAAAAATAAAAAAAGAATTATATTTAAGCTTCAAGCGATTTCTGAAAAACTGCTTTGGTTTTTACCTCAATCTTTTTTTTTTTTTTTTCTTCTTCTTGATCCCAATACCAATTTTGGCTTTGGCCCTGTCTCGGTGGGGACTACTGTTTTCTTCAAAATCATTTAAGACTAAAATTATAAATCTGCATTATCATCAATAAAAAAATATTGCCCAGATAATTTTTGTTGTTGATCAAGTTGTGAGTTCAACTTATTAATACGAGGTCTGAAAGAATTTGGATCTCTTCTAAAAGTAACGTTTAAATTTTTCAAAAATCTATTACAACCAGTTAATAAACTTTCTGGGGCCTTTGCTCTAGCTGATTTAGATGGAGAACCTTCAAATACAATTACTTTATCGGCCAAATAAGTGGCCATAATAAAATCATGCTCGACAATAAAAGCTGATTTCTTTGCATGTAAAATAAACCTTCTAATAACTTTTGAGCAAATAATACGCTGTTCAGAATCCAAATAAGCAGAAGGCTCATCAATTAGATAAATATCAGCAGGAGTACCTAAAGCTAAAACAATAGCAACTCTTTGTAATTCACCACCAGATAAGTTTTGAACTTCTTGATCAATAATATCATCAATTCTTAAGGGTTTAGTAACGTCTGATTGGAATTGAGGGTTTAGGAAATTTGCTCTGATTTTTTTAAAAAATAATTGTCTAACAGTACCTTTAAATTTTGGAGCAATCTTTTGAGGTTTCATTGAAATATTTAATTTTGGGATTTTGAAACCTTCATCAGGTTCAATTTTACCAGCTAACAATCTACAAAAAGTAGTTTTACCAGTACCATTCTCACCCATCATAACAATGATTTCAGAATCTGAAAATTCACCTTCCTCGACTCTTAAATGGAAATCACCTTGAGTCTTTTGCATTGCTGGATAAACAAAAGATCTTGAGTGATCTATCAACAAAGGTTCGGAAGCATCAACCAATCTAAATTGTAGAGATTCAGTTCTAAATCTTAAATTTTCAGTTGGAATATGACCTTCAAGAAAAATATTAATACCTTCTCTGACGGAACTTGGTAAAGTGACAACACCATAGACAGATGGAACACCATAAAGAATACAGACAAAATCAGATAAATAATCTAGTACGGATAAATCATGTTCGACTACAATACAATAATTTGTGGCAGTAAGCATCGATCTAATTATTTGAGCAGCATTTAATCTCTGTTTAACATCAAGATAAGAAGAAGGTTCATCGAACATATAGACGTCAGCTTCTTGAACACAAGTAATACCGATAGCAAATCTTTGCAATTCACCACCAGATAAAGCACCAACATCTCTTTTAAGAAGATTTTTCAAATCTAAATTCTGGATTATTCTTTTGGCTTCAGCTTTTGATTTGGTTAATCTTTTTAATAATAGTTCACCAACCTTAGTATTTGGACCTTTCAATGCTCTTGGGATGTTATCAACGTATTGGGGTTTAATTATAGCATTGATATTATCTTCTAAAACTTTAGTAAAATAATTTTGCAATTCAGAACCTCTAAAGTATTTGATTATATCTTGCCAATCGGGAGGATTATCATATCTACCTAAATTTGGCTTCTGCTTACCAGCCAAAATTTTCAAAGCAGTTGATTTACCAATACCATTGGTACCAACTAACCCAAGAACTTGACCAGGTCTAGGAGTGGGTAAACGATGCAATTTGAAAGAATTTGCAGAATAACGGTGGGTGACTTCAGAATCCAAATTTGTTGGTAAATTAATAATATTGATAGCACCAAAGGGACACTTTTTGACACAAATGCCACAACCAATGCACAAATTTTCTGATATAAAAGCAATTTTGGCCAATGGAGTAACTTCGATACACAATTTACCAGTTTTAACGACAGGACATGATTTCTTGCACTCTTGACGACATTTCTTTGGTTTACACTTGTCAGTGGAGACAATAGCAATACGGGTGTTTTTATCAACCATTCTGTAGTAGTGTGTTATTAAACAGTGCAGACAACTAAATAGTCCAGAGGAAACAGGCTGAAGAGCTCCTGGAGGTGTAGCAGAATCACGAGAAGTGAGGTTGTTGGCAGCAAATCCAGCAGAGAAAACAAGCTCCAAAAAATTTTTGTGCTGTGGTGAAAAAAAAGCCCTGTGAGAGTGGGAGACACGCACTTTGACACGCACCTTCTGAGTCAGCGATTTCTGGTGGCGTTTCATTGGCCAGCGTCGACGACGCGTCCAACACGCCTTCAACACGCCGTGAGACGGGTCAGAAGAAAGATAAAGAGAACAGAGGCAAAAGACAGAAGGAAAGGTGTTGACCATGGCTGGAATAACTCAAAACATCACAAACATTTTGGCCGCTGGAGGCTCTGTTGGAGGCTCTACTGGTACTGTTTCTAGTGCTGGTACTGAAAATGGCAATGGCAGCTCGGTTTTTGCAAGGACACTGCATGCCAGAGAGGGGAGGGAGAACCAGTACTTCAATCCTGCCACTGGTGCAAGAGTGGTTGCTGGATCCATTCCCTTGAGCAGCGACTTGGAGAAGGTGTTGCTCATCACTTCCACGAGCAGCAAGTCCAAGTGGATCCTTCCCAAGGGTGGTGTTGAGAAAGATGAGTTGACGGTTTCTGATGCTGAGAACTTGGATTTTTCATTGTCAGCCAAAAGAGAGACCTGGGAGGAAGCTGGTGTCGAGGGCCTTATTGTCAAGAAATTGGGGGTTTTTCACGACAAGAGAGATGAGAAAATCTTGAAGAAGATGGATCAATTGAGTTTGAATCGTCATTCTAACAACCTTGATGATCTATTGAAACAAAACGTTATTCCTCGCACTGAATATCATCTTTACGAAATCAGTGTTGATATTTTAGAGAGCAAATACCCAGAATCTCACAAAAGAGAACGAAAATGGTGTGATTATAAGACTGCAAAGTATGAATTGCTCAAGTCAAGAAGATTGGAATTATTGGAAGCTCTAAATCATTCAAGAATAGTTAAAAATGATGATACAACTATCCCAGATTATTCAGAGTTATCTTGATTTTTATCTTAATCAATTTTGTGTTTTGAGTTGATTCCAACCAACTATCTACCGGATCCACCGTGCTTTTTTTATATTATAATACTTTATTATATTATATTTTATTATATTATATTTTATTATATTTACTTTTATCATATTTACTTTTATTTTATCTTTAGTTTTTTTTTGCCTATTTAAATTGTTTTCAATATTCTAATTCAAGTTCCTTCTTAACAAATTTAACCACATTCTTATGATCAGAACTTTTACTTCGTAGAAAACCCCAATTATTATTAACTGACAGTAATTCTGTTGTTTCATTAATTTTTGTTATAATTCTTTTTTCTTCTGTTCCTGCCATTACTCCTTTTAATTGAATTGTAGCTCCAAAATTATCCAACAAGAGTATCCTTAAATTCTCAAATATTGGCAATTCAACAAATTGATCTCCGATCTTATATTGTTCAAACTTTATAAACCTTTTACCACCATTAAAAGATTCAAATTCTTTTAACCATAAATGCAATTTAAATTTAGCTAACTTATCAATAATTAATAATCGGAGACACTTGAAATCCAATGTTCTTAAAACACCTTTTTTTACCATTTCTCTATAATCTTCTTTATAAAATTCACTTTCTTTAATATCATCAAATTCAATTAATTTTTTTTGAAATAAAATTGCTGGATCGATTTTTTTCAATTCAAGTTTCAATAAACTCTCCCTTGCTTTACTAAAAATAACAATTTTTCTCATCATTAATAAAAATAAAATCATTCTTTTCTCTCTTTTAAAGTGTAAAATCTTACTTAATCGAATATATCTATTAAGTCTCTCATTTTCACTATTAAAATAAAATGAATATAATTCTTCTTCAGTTTTTATATTGGGATTATTCCCCTTTGAAAAGAAAGGATGAAGCTTTATCGAAATACCAACTGATCGTCTTAATGAATAAATTTCTAAATATTTTAAATCTGAAAAGTTACAATTATTTTGATTTTTCTCATTTCTCATAAATTCTTGAAATAAATTATCTTTTTTATGATCTTTAATATCAAAATTATCTCCATCATCAAAATCAATATCAATAATTATTCTTAAATGAGTCAATGAATTAGGCAATGCAATTAATGTCTTCTTAAACAATAAAAAATCGTTTGTAAATAATCCAAATGATTTTAAATTGTTTGTTTTTAATAAAACTTTTGATAAATAATTGTGAAATAAATTTTTATTAAAAACATCATTATCCCTTATTTTAAAATGTTTTTTAGATAAAATTGATGTGATGTTTAAGGTGTTAAGCTGTTGAAGAAGATGATTGGAATTTTTGATTTGAGTAAATAATCTTAATGTTCTATAGTGAGTTTTATACTCACAATCTTTATTTTGTCTCCCACTATAATTTTCCACCAAATTTACATCTAGTAAATGATAAAGTAACCATAAATAATTATTGTAAATTATCTTACACGATGTTAAAAATCCCATTACTTGATAATGAAATTTATAATTTCTAAAAAAAACGTTTTCATGATAGTCATCATTTTTATTCCTGGTTTTATCGCTGTTGAAAATCATAAAAATTACTGAATTTATAATCTCAGGAGGAATTTTGTTTAAAATTAAACAGCTCTCCTGAGAGTTTATATTATTTGTATATATGCAAGAACCGTTAATTAAATGGTGATATATTGCTAAAGAAGTAGCACTTGTAATTTCTGAATTAATAATTTCATTGTTAACTTTTATGCTTTTTTGACTTTCATACAGCAAAGCATCTGTTGTTCTTCTTTTAGTTGTATTGCAGTTAAAATCCAAAACATTGTCTCCAAATAAAGACACATTGGATTTTGAATTGTTTAGATTTTGATTTGAGGAAAAAGACCAAGTATAAAATTTTTTAAGATTTCTATCTGAAGCTCCCAGGCACTTTACTTTATCATTATCAGAATTTAGAAGTTTTAAAAATTTTAATCTTAAAAGATTGAAAAATCTGGATGATTCTGGCAATTGAGAAGTGTTGGGTGAAGAAATTTTAATAGATTGATCTGATTTTTCAGTTTTGATAAAATTATTTGAATTGTTACTATTTTTTTGATTTAAATTTGAATCTAAATCATTTTTTCTTTTTCTGATGGAAAGCCTTTTAAATAATTCTGAAAAATTCTTTTTCTTGATATCACTAGCAATAATATTTAAACTATCATCAACAATATTAATATCTTTCTGATTAATTAATTCATTTTGAGAGTTTCTGCTAAGATTATTGTGAGAAGTTTTAGTATTTGCAACATCATCATTATTAATTGTAGAGTTCATTATCTTTTTGACTAGATGAAATGAGTTAGCAAAATTAGAAAAACAAAGTGTTAATATACTTTTTTATTGAAATAAATAAACGATGAAAATTGAAAAATAATAATTTTTTTGAGAATTTATTATAAAAAACTATTATTGAAATAAAAAATGCTTTTGTGGATTAAAATTTGCAAACTCAATCATGGTTTTGTGACTTTTAGTATAGACCAAACTATAATGGTTAAAAATCATATTTATTATTATAATAATATATATTTTGAATATATATTAAGTTTTTATACTGTTTGTGATTGAAATATTAAATACTTGATTAATTGCCTAGAATGTTTAAAAATTGCATTTCTGGAAAAAAAAACCAATGTTAAAGGATTATATTAAACTTTTAAAGATTTAGATTTATTTTCAGGCTGTGAAAGTTTTCTTTTTTGAACATCCCAATTATATAATCTAGCGGTATTAACTTCCATTGTTGTTATATTCTCTCTTAAAAATTGCATATCCTCTTCACAAATTTGAAGATTCTTTTTTGCAGTATTTAATTTCTCGGTTAGCAAATCAATGGCTTCATCGATTGGATATTCTAACATCACATCAGCACCCAACCAAAGATAAACTGAGTTGGTGGGAGGAATTTCAGCCTTTGTGTATAGTGTATCATTCAATTCAAAATTTGTTTCAATTGATTCTTTAGAGTGCTTCTTTGAATTCAAATACAATACCATATCTAAAGATTTCTTGATATCGGGTATTTTTGATCTGTAACCTGCTGCAGAAACCTCTTTACTTTGCTGCATGTATTTGTATTGTTGCAATCTCTCTTGAAATTGATTCATTACTTTTTCAAAATCGGCATCGTCTGTAACAACATCTTCCACTTTCTCAATAAAGGCAGCTTGAGGAATGCCACGAGGATTTTTTATTCCTTTTCTAAAATAAAAAATAGTAAATAGAACGTTAGTATGCAACAGTCGCTTTGTGTGTAGAGTGTCTACTGATGGGAGACATACGGATCTGTCAAGATATCGACCATTTTACTTATCTATAACTGTATCCTTTATCAGTTGCCCTTTGATTATATCTAATCGTCCGAATATGGTAATATCTTGTAGCCCTTCTGGTCACATGAAATAACTAAGGGCTTCATGAAATCCTGACAGTAGATAGAAAGTGAAAAATAGCCGTTACCCGCACGTGGGGCTCAAACGGACCGTATTTTGCAAGTGAAAATTATCCCATCACCTTCACCAGTCTTAGAGTTGAACTTATCACCCAAGATCAAAGAAAAGGAATACCAACATAATAAACAGGAAGAAGATAATAGTTCAAAATGGGTAGAGACCACACCGTAAAACAACATGCCAGATCTGGTCACCGTACTGCTCCAAAGTCAGATAATGTTTACTTGAAATTATTAGTCAAATTATACACCTTCTTAGCTCGTATGTCTTTGATCTCTTGATGAAAAATGGACTAATAGATTAAGAAAAAAAAAGAATTGAAAATAAAAAAATAGGCTTTATTAGAAACGCCAAAAATCGAAAGAAAGAAAAAAATTGGTAAAAAATTGAAGTGAAACTAATAGCGAAATAGAGGAATAGCTCCATATGAACAGTAATATAATATATCTTATCACTTAAAAGATTCTGTTTTTCTTGAATCATAAGTGCTATAAGTTTTTTGAAATTGATTATTATTTTAATGCTTTGGCTTAATTTTATATTAATTTATTTGGTGGACATACTGAAGAAAAGAAATTGATATAATTTTTTAAAATTTTAATCAATTGCATTATAAAAATTGTAATAATGTTAAAAACATTGTTAATAATTTTGAAATTGTGTTCACTTTGAAGATTTTATTATCTTTGATAGTGTTAATTCTAGTTATATTACTTAGTAATATGTTTAGCATCTTCTGCGAGTGCATTTTTTGATTCTTTTTTTTTTCCAATCAGTTTATTGTTTTGATGATGAAAATGTGCGATTTCTGAGCAGAAGAAAAAGAATTTAAAATACTAACTTTTATTTTTCTAGGTCGTACCAATGCTTCGTTCAACAAGGTTGTCTTAAAATCTTTATTTTTGTCAAAGACCAACCGTCCACCAGTTTCCCTTTCTCGTATTGATCGTGCTTTATCAAAAGCTGGTTCTGAACAAAAAACCATTGTTGTTGTTGGAACTGTCACTGATGACAACCGTCTTTTAGAATTCAAAAAAGCTACCATTGCTGCTTTAAGATTTACTGAAACTGCCAAAGCCAAAATCTTAAAGGCCGGTGGTGAACCAATTACTTTAGATCAATTGGCCTTGAGATCTCCAAAGGGTCAAAACACTTTGATTGTCAGAGGTCCAAGAAATGCCAGAGAAGCTGTTAGACATTTCGGTATGGGTCCACACAAAAACAAGGCTCCAAAAGTTTTATCTAAAGGTAGAAAATTCGAAAGAGCTAGAGGTAGAAGAAAATCTAGAGGTTTCAAAGTATAAGGAAGCTAATATACTTGAGGCTTTTTGGAGGCTGTTTCTTTTATATGAATTTGTAAAATATATACGTTGTATCTGAAAGAAATGAGTTCTGTTCCTTTTTAATCTGAATGTAGTAGTTCGCTTTTGCTGATTGTTCTTCTGCTGAAATTGCAGTTGTTTTGCAGTTTCAGGTTTTTCGGGCCACGGCAGAGGGTAAGCGGATGGCTTTGGAAAGTGACAATTGTTAAGAAGAGCAAGTAAGTGGTGTTTGTATCTTTGAGCCTTCTTCTTAAAGTGTAGTTGTGCTTAATATATATATTATCTACAGCTTCAACTCCAGCTCCAGCACTCGTATCAGTGCCACTTCTCTATCATAACGAACATGGTCAGATCTACTATAATTTATCGATACGACTCAATTCCATTATGCGCATCGGTTGATGATGGACACGATCCAGAGTTGATTGAACAGAAGAACCAAATCAAGATCTTGGTGACCAAATTGAATTCGAATTCAGAACCACAGGCATCATTGAGCTCAGGCTCTTCGTTTACCATACATTACTTGATATCAGAGGGAATATACTACTTTGTTATATGTGATAAATCATATCCCAGGAAATTGGCCTTTAGTTATTTAAAAGAGATCTCCAATGAATTTTATAATTCCTTTGGTCAAGAAGTTTCTAATTCGCAAAACTTAAGGCCTTATGTTTATATGCAATTTGATAATTTCTTGAGCAAAACTAAAAAAGTCTACATAAACATCAGAGCTCAAACAAATTTAGACAAATTGAATTCAGAATTGACCGATGTCAAAAACATAATGACAAAGAATATAGAAGATTTATTATACAGAGGCGATTCATTGGATAAAATGACAGACTTATCTAGCACATTACGAAACCAATCTGCCAAATATCGAAAAGCTGCTCAGAAAATCAATTTCGATTTGCTACTACGACAATATGCTCCCATTGCTGTTATTGCTATTGTTTTTGTATTTTTAATTTGGTTTATTTTTCTTAGATAGTTCAAGTGACTGATCTTAATCAAGATAGTTAGATAATTAATAAATATTAGAATTATCATGCTGCTGTAAATGTTCTTCCTATAACCAACTCTCCAAAGTTTGCAGCTATCCTAAAAGGACTTTTCCGTCAAACTCATCTAATCAATTCCAGTTTGATCCCAACTGTTTTTTTTCTTGCTTCTTTCTCTTTACTTGGAGATATATTCATCCTTTATCTTTTTTAGTTCAAGGTAATCAAATCGAGTTACTGCCTAAACCACACACGCGTTATCCCTTAATAAATGAAACATTAATAGTTACTTTCCCTGCATACACATGCGCCAATACATATTGTCTAAAGGGGATCAATTTCATATTTTACGTTACATAGCATATAATTGCGTGTATCACATGAATGTCTCTAGCTTCGAGACGTCCTACTCGAGCTCTGATAAGATGGAGGTTTTCTTTGATTTGAACCAGTTTCTTCAGATTTTTCTGTTGCTGATTATCTTTTTCTTTTCAGTTTTATTGTCACTTTTGTTACTGCATCCGAAGATATTGAGAGGTTGATAGTTAGTTTTATTGGCAAAAATTAAATCAGGAGCAGGTTTTTTCTCAGTGAAAAGGGTATTATTCTACTTCAAAAGAAAAAAAAATAATTAATCAATTTTAAAGCATCAAAAACCTGGGGTATTCTAACTAATAATGAATTCTAGAAAAATACAGGTTAATTCAGTTACGAGCCTCAGAGAATTTCAGCAATATCTAGTTCAATGTAACAATATAATAGCATTATGTGGTGCAGGATTGAGTGTTGCCTCTGGTATTCCAACCTTCAGAGGTTCAAATGGATTATGGAAAGAGTATTCTCAAATTGATCTAGCGACCCCTGAGGCATTCCAATCTGATCCAAGCTTAGTATGGCAATTTTATTCTGCCAGAAGATATCAAGCTTTGAATGCAAAACCCAACAAGGGCCATTTTTCCTTAGCAGAATTATCTCAAAGATTAAACAATAATCATAATAAAAAAAATATAAATTTGTATGATAACTTGTATAATAAAAAATTTATAACTTTGACTCAAAATGTTGATGCTTTGAGTTTAAGAGCTAACCACGATCCAAATACTTTATTGCAGCTTCATGGGTCACTATTTGATTTAAAATGCACAGGTTTTTTGTGCAATTATCATGAAGAAAACAGGTTCACCCATCCCTTAGTGCCTGCATTAGAATTGTCTAATCTAGATAAAGCGTTTCATTCAATAAATGAAAAACTGAAAAAAAGAAAAATAGTATCGGATAGCCAAAATAATAATAATGATATTGAATTTGAAGAAGTTGATGATCAAAATGTCCAATACGATCCTGTGAAAGATATAAAAATAGAAGATCTACCTCACTGTCCTAAATGTAAAAAAAATTTATTACGACCTTCAATTGTCTGGTTTGGTGAATCCTTACCGTTAAATGTAATAGATAAAGCAGATAATTTTATCGAGGAAAATAAAATAGATTTGATATTAGTTATAGGCACCAGTGGTACTGTATGGCCTGCAATGGGTTATGTTGAACGAGTTATTAGACAAGGTGGGAAAGTAGCAATATTTAATACTGAAATTGATTTAGAAGAATTGAAAAAAGATGGCGTGGGTTGGGGATTTAAAGGCGATTGTGAAAAACTATTACCAAAGGCTTTAGAACCATTAATTGGCAAGTCTGAATATTACTCAACAAGAAAGAACTATCATTAAATTGGAGAAAGAAAGAAAGAAAAAAGAAAAAAGAAAAAAAGAAAAAGGTCTATATTTTATTTATAAAGTTATTATTATATAGAATCATGTATCGCTGTATCATTGAATATCACAATGTTAAATAAGACAGTGCAAAAGATTATCTCAAGGTCGTCAAATTTATATCGTCATAGCCTCAAATTATCACAACTTAAAAAGCAGATATAGCAGATATATAAATTATGATAAAATATGATAAATATGGAAATATGATAGTATGGTGATATAATAATAAAATTAACAAAAAAAAAAAAATAATAATAAAAACAACAATAAAGAAAAGAAAAAATGGAATTTAAAAAAAAATAAATTTGAAAAACATACATAATAATTTAAAATTTCATAAATTTTATTTTAAATAATTGACTTTGTATAATTATTATTAACAGAATTTTGACTTAAAAGTTGATTGGTTTATCAAAAGCAGCTAAAGCAGCTTCTTTGAAGGCTTCTGATAAAGTTGGGTGAGCATGACAGACTCTACCAATATCCTCAGCAGAGGCACCATATTCAATGGCTAAACCAGCCTCAGCGATCATTTCACCAGCATTTGAGCCAATGATATGAACACCGAGAACTCTTTCAGTTTCAGCATCTATAATGAATTTGACAAAACCTTCGGTGTCTAAATTAGTTTTAGCTCTAGAATTGGCAATGAATGGGAATTTGCCGACTTTGTATTTAATACCAGCTTGTTTCAAGTCTTCTTCAGATTTACCGACCCAACCAACTTCAGGGTGGGTATATAAGACACCGGGGATGTTACCGTAGTTGACGTGGCCATGGCCCTTTTTGATATATTCAACGGCAGCAATACCTTCTTCTTCTGCTTTGTGAGCTAACATTGGACCGAAAGTAACATCGCCAATCACTCTGATATGAGGGTGTTTAGTTTTGAATTCGGAATCAATGACCAATCTGCCTTTTGGATCAACTTCTAAGCCGATAGTTTCAGCATTAAGACCGGCAACATAAGGTCTTCTACCAACAGCAACTAAGAGAACATCAGCTTCAAGGACTTCTTTTTTACCTGATTTTACGTCTTCAACTTCAATTTTGACGAGATCGCCATCGACTTTTCCGGATAAAACTTTTGTGTTTGTTTTGAAATCTAGACCTTGTTTTTTGAGGATTTTTTGAATTGATTTTGCAACTTCACCGTCCATACCTGCACCACCAATTACTGGAGAGTATTCTAAAACAGTCACTTCAGAACCTAATCTTGACCAGACAGAACCCATTTCAAGACCGATAATACCTGCACCGATGACAGCCATCTTTTTGGGGATCTTTGTTAAGGATAAAGCGCCAGTTGAGGTGATGATTTGTTTTTCGTCGATTTCGATACCTGGAAAGGGGGTTGGTTCAGAACCAGTTGCGACAATTATGTTTTTAGCCTTTAGAATGGCTTCTTCACCGCCTTCAATTGGATCGACTTTAATTGAGTGCTCGTCAATAAATGAACCATTGCCTTTGTAGTAGGTGACTTTATTTTTTTTGAATAACATTTCAATACCGCCGGTTAATGAGTTGACAGCTTTTTCTTTTGATTTTAGTAAATTGCCCAAATTGATTTGAACATCGGACACTTCAATACCTCTTTCTTTGGTGTCGGTTTTAATTTGATGGTAGAATTGAGTGTTGTTTAATAAAGATTTGGATGGAATACAGCCAACGTTAAGACATGTACCACCCAATTTACCTCTTTTTTCAACACAGGCAGTGTTGTAACCAAGCTGAGCAGCTTTGATGGCAGCCACATAACCACCAGGACCGCCACCTATAATGACGATATCATGTTCTTTAGTCGAGAGTCTACGAACAAAGGATAAACTCGAGGAATTGTAGGATTTGGATAATCTTGCAAGGGAGTTAGTAAAAGGACGAGAAACTGGCTTGAGCATGTTGGAAGGTGTGCTATTGAAAGGAGAATGAGATATAAGCAGTCAATTGAGATTGAAAACGACAACAGGCGGTTGAAAAGATGCGAAGGCAGTTGTGAAGATGAATGTGGTGGTAAAGGCGACAATGGAGCGTCTGAATAGAGCGTCTTAATAGAGCTGGGAAGGTGTTTCTTCCCTCTTCCTGTTGGGCCACCGCGTGATCCTCCGCCGTCCGGAAGCGATTCGAAATTGGCCCAAACCGACCACGTTCCGGTATTTCCGCATCATGGCCGTGCACCAGATCCGCACCGCGTCCACCCGGCAAAGATCCAACGGCTGTGCACGTGCGCCATCCGCGCGAGGTTCTAGAATCTTCGGCCAATGGGCGGCAGCGGAAGCGTCAGCCGAGCTGGAAAAAGTTCCGGTAAACACAGCTGGAAAATTTTCTGATGAGGATCATGTTTTGGGATTTGCCTCCACCGTAGCTGCACTATAAATATATCGCTATTGTTTCGCTGAAGAGCTGCTGTGGTTTCACTAGATCATATCTATCCTCCACAAACACTTTCTCTTCTTCAACCACATCCATACTACAAACACAGTTACACTCATAATGGCTCGTAATTCAGGTCGTCGTCCAGCTGCCAGACCAGCCGCCAGACCTTCAGGCTTTGGCACCAGATCTACTCACAGTTCTGCTCCAGCTCAGGCTGCTGTTCCAGCTGTCTCCAGAGCTGTTCCAGCTCCTTCTGCTGCTTCCCATCCTCCCGTTGCTGCTCAACCCCAACAACCCGGATTGTTTGCTCAAATGGCTTCTACCGCTGCCGGAGTAGCCGTTGGTTCCAGTGTTGGCCATGTTATTGGTGCTGGTATTTCTGGCTTGTTTGGAGGCTCTTCTTCTGCTCCTGCTGCCGAACCACAACAAGCTGCTCCACTAACAAGCTTTTCCAACTCATCCCCTTACGAATCCGAATCAAACAAGGCCTGTGACACTGATGCCAGATCTTTTACTAAATGTTTAGATGAAAACAATGGAAACATGCAAATATGTGATTGGTATTTGCAACAATTAAAGGCTTGCCAGGCTGCTTCAAAACAATATTGATTTCCTTGATATCGATCAAATTATATTAAACTACATTAAATTATATTAAATTATACTAAATTATTAAATCATAATTTTTCATTTTTACCATGATTTTTTGAATATATTCTACTTGCAATTTGTTTTTGTTTTCCAATCACTTATCTATTTAATTCACCTTATTTAATTTAATTTAATTTAATTTGTTGTTTTTTTGAAAAAACAAAAAGAAATTGGCTTGAACTGTTGTTTTTTNGTTTATATTAACTTGATATATAAAAATAAAATAAGAAATTGGCTTGAACTGTTGTTTTTTTTTTATTTTTTTTTTTTTTTTTACTTTTTTATTTTATTTTTTTTTTGTTTTTGTTATCCCTTGTAAATATAATTATATATTTTTATATATAAGAAAATAAAATAATATTAACAAAGATAAACTAAAAATAATGCTATTTATTTTAATTTTTGCTATTTATTTTCTCCCATGCTCAGAAACATTTTCATCGTTTATATTAACTTGATATATAAAAATAAAATAAATAAATAAATAAATAAAATGGAAATCATTTGAAATCAAAATTAAATTTAACACTCAATTTAAAATTGAAATTGAAATTGAAATTAAAATTAAAATCGAAATCGAATTAAAAGAAACAAGTAAATAAAAATTAAATTATAAATAAGATTATTAAAAAACCCAAATGTGAAAACAACAATAATGAAGTTAAAATTATAAAAGATAAAAATTGTTTAAAAAAAAAAAAGAAATTAACTAGAAATTAAGAATGATATTTTTTAAAGATTACAATCTTTTTACCTTTTTTTTTATAAAAAAAATTCTAATAAACGATTACTTTTTAATCATTTGAAATATGCCAAAAAACAAATTTATCTATTTTCACCTCTTGTTTTCATCTTCAAGCTTAAATTAATTGTGTTTTTCTTTTTTTTTTTTTGATGTTTTTCTTTTTGTTTCAAGAAAACATGATATTAAGATTAATGTGAAGAGACCAATAAAGGAAACAAGATAATATCTGTAAAAAAAAAATTATTAAATAAAAAATGAATGAATTAATTAATTTTAATAAATGAAAAATGAAGATTAATCATAAAAAAAGAGAAAAAGAAAAAATGAATGAACCAACATAAAATATCTATTAATATTGATAAATATGCGTTATTTTTATTTTTTTTTTTGTTAAAAAAATATATTCAATTTGATCAATAATTGATAATTAAAGAATAACAAAAAAAGAACTAATTAATTTGTGGTAAAATATAAAAGTTGATTATAGCTTTTTAAGGCTTGAGGTTTTTCTTTGATTTAAGCGAACCTTGTTCTTCAGTTGCAACTTCAGTTGAAACTTCATTTAAATCGAATAATTGATCAAGATAGACACTGGGAGTCTTCTTCCTATGAGTTTTTGAATTTGCTGTGTTAGCCGTTTGACTGGATAACAATGAAAAGCTTCTATTTAAAGAGGTTATGTTATTATTGTTATTATTGTTATTATTGTTATTATTATTATTATTGTTATTATTGTTATTATTATTAGAGTTATTGTTAGAGTTGTTAATGTAAGGCAGATTTGGAGTTATAGGATTAACGGTATTAGGATTTGTGTTATTTGCGTTATTAGAGTTACTTGCGTTATTTGTGTTATTTATATTATTGTTACTATTGTTATTGCTATTATTATTGCTGTTACTGTTATTATTCAAGTAAGTTAGGTTACTTGTGACATCAGAATATGAATGTTTGTGATTATCTTTTGTGTATATGCTACCATCCGGTATTATTGGGGTTTGATCAGGTGAAGGGTCGGATAATATAGTTGAGTTATTAATTGATTGATGGTAAAAGGAGTTTCCAATTAAACTTGGGTTTTGAGAGTTGTAGTGTTGATGTAGTTGTTGTTGGAATTGGGACTGGTTATTTTGTTGAGTTTGGTACATTATTTCTGTTACTGGGGAGATAAAGAGGGAGTTTCTCGATTTATCTTTCATTTCTTTGATAGAGAGATGTAGGTGTTTTTTGTTAATTGGGCTGTGTCTTTTCAAAGATTTTGAGGAGTCATTTTTGCCGTTGGGGTTGTTGACATTGTTGTTGTTGCTGTTGTTGATTAGGTTTAGATTAGTTAGAGAGTAACTGTTTCTGTATTTTCTACCAACGGGAGAACATAGTTCATCTAGAGAAGTGTTTGTGTTATTGTTGAGTTGTTTGTTGGAAATTGTAGAGAGATGGGGGTTACTAATGTTTGGGTTTGAATTGAGAAGGCCCTTTTCAGCTTTATCATTGTCATAGGAGGAAGCTGAGTTTGAGCCATTGGAGCCATTAGAACCATTTGAAGAGTCAGATAAGAAGGTTGATTCATTTAAAAAGTTGCCGTTGATCATTTTTCCATAGTATTTATTGTTTTCGATGAGTTTATTTTTTCTTTCTTTGTTTGCAATTTTTCTTGAGGATAGGAAAAAGTACAAGTTGATGATAATCATTAGAAAGAGTAGGAAGGCTATGATTGAGCCGATTATTATGAAGGTTGTGCCATTTTTGTAGGAGGATCTTTGGATATAAGGGTTGTCGTTGTTTGGAGGGATTGTTGGGGTTACAGAGGGAATAGATACTGTGGTTAGAGTGGGCAAATCGCTTGATAAGGATGAGGATGAAGAATCTGAGTCTGAGTCTGAATCAGAAGTTGAGGTTACGGAAGGTAAATCGAGAGTTTCAGTGGAGTCGTCGGTTGTTTGAAGAGTTGGAAGTACGGCATCTGTAGCAGTATCATCGGCATTTGTTGTTGTTTCTTCAAGGATATTTTCGGTGTTTGTTGTTATTTCTTCCAGGCCTGTAGTTGTTTCAGCAGTATTTTGAACAGTTATTATTTCTACAGCGTCTTCGATTGTAGTTGTTGAATCATTATTTTCAGTGTTAGCTTCGTTGATTGTATCAGTTTCAGCGTTGACATTGTTCGATAAGTTTAATAGTAAGAAGAATAAAGATATTAGGAGTAGATTTTTTTTTTTAGTTGAGTTTTTGTTATTGTCGAGATAGAAGATGTGATTTATGAACATTATTAGGAGGTGGAGGTGAGAAGAAAATAAAGTTAAAGAAGGTCTAAAAATGAAAAATAAACAAACAAGTGAGTAAAGAATAATTGGGTAAGGATTAGCTAATTGACGAATTAGTTAATGAAAACAATAGAAACAGCAAAGAGAGATATGAGATAAGAGACAAAAACAAAAAAGAAAGAGGATGTGGACAAGAATAATAGTAGATTAGATGAGGATAGTAGGAGGTAGAAGCGAGTGAAAAGAATCAATAGGGAGAATGAGAAAGAGAGGGCTAATTATTAAGTATTTTGAGGGTAAATAGTAATTATGGGAGAGTAGTGTGAGTGAGAATAGGAAGAGTAATAGGAATAGAAGATATTGGAGGTTGATATAGCCAATGAGGTAGAGAAGTGGTTATAGGGAAAGTAGAAGCAAGAGATAATTTATTAATAGATATCTGGAGATTGATGGAGTGTTGTGATGCAATGAGTGATTATAGCAGCAAAGGGATATTGGAAGGGAAAAGGAGTAGAGAGAGTTGTTGTGAGGAAGATATATTGGGGATATAGCAGAAAGGTAGTGTATTTGTTGGCGATTGAAGGAGAAGATGGTTAAAATTTCATAGAAAGGAAGAGATGAAACTGAGTAGAGGAGTGAGCGTAGAGAATTGAGCTTGGGATTGGGATTGGGCTTTTGGAGTTGGGATTTTGATATTGAGATTTTCCGCTGGAACAAAAATAAAATAAAATAAAATAAAATAAAATAAAATAAAATAAAATAAAATAAAATAAGGTGAAATAAAATTTGAATGAAGTGGAAACAAACGCAGAGGGAGACAAAGAAAGAATAATTGAAAATAAGAGTTGGTTTATGTTTTAGGAATTTGATTGTTTTGAAAGTTTTCAGGTTATTTTCAGGCTATTTTCAGACTTTTTTGGATTGTCTTTGTTTTTTCTTTGTTTTTTCTTTATTTTTTTTTCCTTTGGTTTTGCCAGATTAGCTATTGAAAAGCGATGAAGCAGTACCAGTGGTTGGCTAACTGGTGGTGAATAGAAGAGAAATATTGAAGCAGAAGATGGAGGTATTGGAGGAATAGAAGGTGTTAGTCTGAGCGAGTTGACTATATTTTGTTCTTTTTCTTTGGAATTTATTTTTAATATTTTTATATTGCCTGGAACAGAACAGAAGAAGCGATTAAGGTTGGAGTAAAAATAAAACAAAACAAAAGAGCAGAGCAGTGTAAGAGCAGTGTCGAGCAGGAGCTAGGCTTGTACCCGTTCAAAACACCCAGGTGGAAAAGAGGCAGCGGAAGAAGCAGCAGGAGCAGGAGCAGGAGCGGAAGCAGAAGCAGCAGAAACAGCAGCGAGAAGAGGACAGAGAAGACACAGAGGAAAGAGGTTCTCATGGTTGCCTTTTATTGATTTTTCTCTGGTTTCTTTCGGATTTCGCTGCAGCTCAAAAGATTTCAGTTTCTCGATTGTCCAGTGCGTTTCATGTTTGGCGTTGCGCGCGCAGAGGGGCGTTTGCCGCGTGCGCGCTGAGCCTGCGCTGTTTTTTGCAGCCGGGGCCCACTGGCACAGGGGCCGAGACACTGCTCTCGCCAGTTATTTTTAAAGTGCAATTACCATAAATAGTCACATCCATGCAGATGTTCCACCTGGTGCAGACTGCAAAATGGCTCAAAATGGACACAACCCAGCAACAAACAGAGCGAAAGACGCTTCTGCACAGCTGCTTCCCCAGCCTTGCTTCCGTGGCCACAAACACTACGCTCCAGCTTCCCCAAATACAGCTCGGTTTCACGTGAGCTGAGCGTTGCAATCACCGATCGGGTTCCACGGCGGTGCTTTGCTGCGGTCTGACATCAAAGAACTGGCTTGCCATGTCACGGGTGGTATCATTATTTGTGCAAACACTCCCAACCTCAGGTCAATTGCCTGGCATTTCGCTTGAGCTGGGCAGTTGCCAACACTGTGCAAATTCTTTGTTGGCGCATTCTCCCAGTCTGCAAATATCCAACCCTCAGGTTTCTGGCTCAAGAGCGCGAGCTCGACTTCTGCTTGTCACCCAGACAAGCACTTCCAACACACCTTCATGCACAAAAAACACCTGTCCCTGTTCAGCTGGTCATAACCGAGAGGTTACCAAATGTGTTTTGCGCTGGCAATCTGCTGTAAAACTCCATATTTTAACTGAGGAATGAAAATGAAATGGAAATGACAATAAGAATAAAAACCCAAGAACCGCAAATTACAATGAAAGTCTGCTTCAGCACCCAATTGGAAATCCTACTGGAAACCCAATTGGAAATCCAATCAACATGCACAACGAAATGAAACTGTTCACTGTCGTTTTCAAATCTGCCTCGCCTCCATCTTAGTCTGAGAGTCTAGCCCTTTCCAAGTCTTAGAAGTTGGGTCCAAAATCGTATTTCGTAATTTTCATTTTCTATTTGGTACTGTTTCCACACATGAGCCACATTAATTGAGTGAAAACCGGTACCAAATACCCACTTACGACCACCTCTCCACATGCTTTACTAGCTCCAACCACCTTTTCCTTAGCCAGCCAATCACACCTCATCGCCTAATACAGAAATCATATTAAACTGCATTGAACTGTATTAAACTATATTATATCATATTAAATCACAAACGATTAAAACAATAGCCAAAAAGAGACACAAGTGAAAAATTGAAAAATTGAAGACAAAATACAAAATACAAAACAAAAAACAAAAAACAACAAAATAAAAAATAAAAAATAAAATAGAATAAAATAAAAACATACCTGTCTTATGCTAAATAAAATCCTCTAAACCCACGTTCCATTATTCTTCCTCTTAGTCATTTTTTTTTTACACTTCTGGTATCGATACCAAATGATACCTATTCTTTCTTCATCTATGGGCGCTCCAATACCTCTGTATTGGTAGTCTTTGTTGCTTCAATTTCCAACTCATCTTGTGTCGACCTAACTAACTCTCCAATAATAGAAAGTGCTGCCAACGAAACACACGATGCTATCAACAATGAAACTCCAAACCATACCAATACCCTTGCTGTGATTCCAGAATGCGTCTCCAACCTATAGTAATCGTCTTCCATTACTCCCATTAACTTGCTTCCGGTAAGCACATTTGTCTCTTGCCAAACTGCTCCCACCAATGCCAACGAAAACGCCAAATAGATGACAACAGTTGAAAACTTGTAGAATTTGGGATTGCTAGATGGACTCACAAACGCAAACAAAAAGATTGACAAAAACGATAATATAATAGAAACAATCAAAACATATGGCGATAAACAATCTTCTCGGAATTTAACACTCGTCTCTGAAACAAAATTCAATAAATCAATATTAGCTGTCGAATTTCTGTTGAAATTATCTTTATTGTAAATAATTCTCAACTCATTGTTACCACATTCCCATCCACTGTTCCCATTGTCGGAATACGACTTCAAACATGATGAAAAGTACCCAACTCTCACCTGTAATTCCGAAATCGAATCCTGTTGGAAGAAAACTGTGTTATCCTCACTGATATATTTCAATTCCATCACATACGTGCCCCTAGTCCCAGGCGTAATCGACCCTCCAACAACTATACATTCAAATATAATGTATAACAAAAGAAACACTATAGCAAAATGTCTAGGTCTTACTTGCTGTACCTTCAACTCTTTTATTCTTTGTAATCTATTGTGTTTTCTAAATGCTTTTGCTGGAATCTCATCTTCCTCTCTTTCTCCTTTGCTGACTCCACTAACCGTAGGATGAGCGTCTTCCATTATAATATGTTATATTATTATTATATTATGATATTGTGATATTATATTATTACTATGATATTATCTTAGTGTTTTCGCACTATTTCAAACTAATCTGGTTGTATTATCCTCCCTCCAATGCTGGCTCCCACAGGTTGCCATCCTCTCCATTATATACCTTATTCTCCCTGTCAACTTCTCTCACATTTCGACTCCTACACCAACAATAACAACAACACATACTTGCTCTCCCTTACAACACCTCTTTCGACTAATTGACTCCACCCCAACGGATCCGCTCTAGACGCCTTCTCTGTTTATCTTTTTCCGCTTTGGGCCTCTCTTATATTAAACTGCCATCTCTTCTGCAAATCATCCATCAACAATCACAGATCATCCATCAATAATCACAAATCCATCCATCCTCTTTCCTATCTGTCTTTCTTCTAATCCATTTACACTTCTTCTTTTTCTTGTCCCATCTTAAAACTATCAACAAATAAACAATCCAATCTTCACTCACACACGAGTTCCTAACAGTACGTTTCTCCAGTCACATGACAAAAATTCAAATTTTCTTTGATTTAATCGATTTAATCTGGTTTCACTTCCACTTTCACTTTCCATCTCTCTTCACCATCCTGTTCCCTCTATCAAAACATCAACATCGCCGATCATGCTAAACAGGAACATAAAGTTCAAATTCTGCACAAGAAACGCCTCCACCTCTTCGCTTTCCTCCATATCTTCCACCACCTCATACAATGTCGCCAAAGTCTTGAGAAACTATCCCGTCGGTGCAACTTATCATGGCTTCAAAATTCAAAGAATTCTACCGGTCCCTGAACTATCCTTCACTGCAATCAACCTAACTCACGAAAGAACTGGCGCTGACTATATACATATCGACAGAAACGATAAAAATAACGTTTTTAGTTTAGCCTTCAAGACAAATGCTTCTGATTCAACTGGTTTACCCCATATTTTAGAACACACTACTCTATGTGGCTCTCAAAAATATCCTGTAAGAGATCCCTTTTTCAAAATGTTAAATCGTTCTCTATCAAATTTTATGAATGCAATGACTGGCCATGATTACACTTTTTACCCATTTTCAACCACAAACCAAATCGATTATCAAAACTTGAGAAATATCTACTTTGATTCTGTCTTCAACCCAATTTTATCAAGTGAGGATTTTTATCAAGAAGGCTGGAGGCTAGAACACCAAGATCCACAGGACCCCAATACCCCAATCATATTTAAAGGTGTGGTCTACAACGAAATGAAAGGCCAACTCTCAAATTCTTCCTATTTTTTCTATATCAATTTCTTAAAATCAATATACCCTTCTTTAAACGTCTCCGGCGGTGATCCAAATTTTATAACAAATTTATTCCATCAAGATCTAATTGATTTCCACTCCCAAAAATATCACCCTTCAAATTCAAAAATATACTCATACGGCGATCTACCGTTATCTGACAACTTGTCCTTTTTAAATGATAACTTATCAGCTTTTGGTAAAAGATCCTACGACTCTTCCAATTCCATCCCAGTCAACCCCATAGACCTTTCTTCAAATAAATCAGTAACAATTGATGGCCCCACCGATCCAATGCTACCAAAGGATAAACAATTTAAAGTATCTTTAACCTGGTTCACCGGAAACCCCAAAGACGTTTACGAAACTTTCTGTCTCAAAATTCTCAGCAATTTATTAACTGATGGTCATTCTTCTCCTTTTTTTAAACAATTAATTGAAAAAAATATTGGCTCAGATTTTACCGTTAACACTGGCTCAGATTCAACTACAAATTTAAATAGCTTTTCAATAGGTTTGCAAGGTTTAATTGAATCTGATATTCCTATTTTTAAAAATAAAGTTGCTGAAATTATCGATTATTATTATGAAAATGGCTTTGAACCTTCAAAAATTAATGCAATCTTAAGACAAATCGAAATCAATAAAAAAGATAAAAAATCTCAATTTGGCTTAAACTTATTATACTCAATTATCCCGGGTTGGGTTAACAATATAGATCCTTTTGATCAATTGGCATTTAACGACACTCTCAACCAATTTAAGTCAGAATTCCAAATCTCAAAAGGTAATATTTTTAAACATTTAATCGAAAAATATTTCATTAACAAACCAACTTTCACCTTTATTATAAAACCAAAGGACAATTTTAATGACTCTTTAATCACTCAAGAAAAGGCTCGTTTAAACCAAAAAATTAAAAATTTGTCCGACGATGATATGAAAACCATTCAAAAAAGAGGCCTAAAATTGTTAGAAAAACAAAATTCAAAAGAAGATTTATCCTCCCTACCAACTTTATCTGTAGAAAAGGATATTCCAGCCATCGGCGAAAAGATTCCTTTAGAGTTCTCAGGAAAGAACGATAATGATAATACTTTTAAAATTTTAAAAAGAATCACAGACACAAATGGTTTAACTTATTTCTTTTGTAAAAAAGATCTAACTGACTCAATTCCAGCAAGACTATTGCCTTATCTACCTTTATTTTCTGAATGTTTATTGAATTTAGGTACAATCGACAAATCAATGGCTGAACTCGAAGATGAAATTAAACTACATACAGGAGGTTTTCATTCTTCCGTCTATATTAAACCAACCCCTGAAAATAATTTGAAGCCAAAATTATATTGGGAAATCACTGGTGCTTCGTTAGATTCTCAAATTCTTAAAATTTATTCAATTTGGTTGGAAATTTTAACTAAAATAAATTTTAATAATTTAGAAAAGCTAAAAACTTTAATAAAATCTTTAAATTCAAATAATGTATCTGCTATAGCCGATAGTGGTTCATCTTTTGCAACTAACTTTGTCGCTTCACAATTATCTCCAGTTAGAAAATTTAGTGAATATTTAACTGGTATTGAACAAATCAAATTTTTGAGCAAACTCAATAAATTTGTTGATGATGATGAAGCACTAAAAGAAAATGTTGTATCAAAATTAATTGAATTGAAAAAAATTATTATAAACAATCAAAAACTATCATTTGCTTTAATAACAGACAAAAACGCTGTTGATAAAAATGAGCAATTAATACATGATTTCACAAGTAAACTACCTGAAAAAGAAAATGAGAAACCCACTTTGGAAAAATTAAAAAATCCTAAAAGTTTATTAAAAGCCAAAAAATTTGAAGACCCATCATACTTTATTGAATTAAGAAAAGCAAATGATAAGAAATTTGATCCAAGCAAACCCACATGTATTAATTTACCATTTCAAATCAATTTTGCTGCAATGGGTATTCAAGGATCAAACTATTTATCAAAAGATGGTGCAGCTTTACAGGTTTTAGCCCAACTATTGACCTTTAAATACTTGCATAAAGAAATTAGAGAAAAAGGTGGTGCCTACGGAGGTGGTTCCAGATATGGAGGTGTCGATGGAATATTTAGCTATTACTCTTACAGAGATCCACATCCATTGAGAAGTATCGATTTCTTTAAGAAAGCGGGAGAGTTTGCTATTAGCAATAAATGGACAGATACAGATTTAAATGAAGCTAAATTAACAATTTTCCAAAGTGTTGATTCACCAATGGATGTTAAAAGTGAAGGTATGATGATGTTCAGAAATAGCATAACAGATGAAATGAGACAAAATAGAAGAGAGAATCTATTGAGTGTTACAATTGAAGATATCAAAAAAGTAGCAGATAAGTATTTGATTAGTGGTAGTAAAGATGTTAGGAGTATTGCAGTTATTGGGCCCAAAAGCGAAGAAATGGAAGATTGGAATATTATTGATTTAGATGTTGATTAGAAGATAATTGTTTAAAATTTGTTTATTTTTTTTTCTGATTATTTTTATTTATTTTTATTTATTTTTATTTATTTTTATTTATTTTTATTTTTATTTTTATTTTTATTTTTATTTTTATTTTTATTTTTATTTTTATTTTTAATAATTGATAAAGACAATTGATAAAGATTAATATAGATACATACATATATATATAAGATATCCCTGTAAATATTATTAAACTCTAAAACTTTTTAATTAAGGTAATATTAAATATATTTAATTATTTTTATAGTTTTTTAAAGTACTTTTATTAAAAAATGCAAATGAATGAATATACAAAACCAAAATTTCAAAAATAAAACAAATTGAGTTTAATTAAAATAAATTAGATTAAATAATATGTTTTGATCTGAAATAAGCTCTTAAATATTGAACTTGCCAAATACCTAAAGATATTAAGGAAATTATAATTAAAAAGGAGAAATTTTTCACTCTTGAGTTTGTTGATTCATTTGTATTCCTGAGTCTTTCTTCTCTAACCTTTAAATAGTTCAATTCATCAACTATTTCATCAGTTAATTCTTCAATTCTTCTTAATTCCAATTCTACAGGTTTCAATTTTTCGGCAGCCTGAATCGCATTCCAATCCCTTGCTGCACTACCAGCTTCAATATCCAATTCAATTTCTCTAAACTGATTTTTAGCTCTGTTGTTTGATCTTAGCAAAAGATTTTGAAAACAAACATCAAATGCAGCAGAAGCATGGGCAGTAAATGCAACTCTAGTTGAACCTGCAAAATCTTTTTTTCTTCGATATTCATTTCCAACACTATCCACAATATTGAAATTTAATTGTTGACCATCACCAACTTGACCAGAAGATTCGATATTTACCACAACTAATTGACCTTCAGATATAAAATCTCTGATACATTTTTTAGAAGAACCAGCAGGCACCTCAAATCTTAAGGCTGTTATTAAACTTATGAGAAAAAAAAACAACAAGATTATGCTTTTCATTTTATTGTTTAATCTGATTTTCAAAGAAAAAAAAGTTGAGAAGGAATAGTTGCGAGATTCTAAGGTTGTCTGATAAACAACAAAATGATCTGAGGTTCTTTCAGATCACAGTAAAGATACTCGTGTCAGTTTTAAGCAAAAAGAAATCATCATCAGAAGATTACGTAATATTCACGTGTGTTTATACAAGCACGGGCATTTATTAGCAGTAATTTCGAACTTGGCCAAATATAACGAATGTGGATATTTATTCTTTTGATTTGTTTTTGCTAAAAGCTATTTATTGCAGTTATATTCTATTTACGATATATATGGGGTTTAAATGGGTTTAATCCCAGGATTTCAATTTCATGGTACCTTCCTTGCTGAAGTTTATGTGCATTTTAAACGCATCAGCAAGAATATGGGGCTCATGAAGACTTTTTGTTTTGGCAGCCTGAAGCTCAGCTCTTCTGACATAGTCTAATAATTGATCTTTATAGTCAGGATGAGCACAGTTTTTAATAATTTCAACAGATCTTTCTCTTGGAGACAATCCTCTTAAATCAGCCAATCCCTGTTCAGTGACCAAAATATCCAAATCATGTTCGGTTTGGTCAATATGGGATGCAAATGGCACAATGCATGATATACCAGTAGGATCTGTTTTTGTTTTTCTTGCTGATGGAGTGTGCATTATAGATAATTTAGCGTTTCTGAGAAAATCACCGGAACCACCAATACCATGTAACATTTTCGAACCATTAACGTTGGTTGAATTAGCATGTGCATAGATATCAACTTCAACAGGAGTATTCATTGCAATAACACCCAATCTTCTGATGATTTCTGGTGAATTAGAGACAACTTGAGATCGTAAACATAATTTTTTGCTAAAGAGATCCCAGTTATCGAAAAATCTTTTAAAACCATTTTCGGTCAATCTAATCGCTGAAGCAGTAGCGTAATCCAATGTGCCCTTTTCAAAGAAGTCCAAAAACGAGTCCTGCAAAACCTCTGTCCACACCTTGAGGTCTTTGAATGAAGAGGAAGACAAACCATCGATCACAGCATTAGCAATATTTCCGATACCTGATTGCAAAGGGTGCAAGTTGGAAGGCATTCTTCCGGCCTTGACTTCCTGCTCAAAAAACTCAATCAAATGGTTTCCAATGGCCTGCGACATTGCATCAGAGGGAGTGTTGGGTGGAATAGCATCAGACCTGTCACACTCGACAATAGCTGCAACTCTGTCAGGATCAATTGGCACAGCAAACAGACCAGACCTGTCATCAACTCTGCGATAAGGATAAGCTGGTCTGAATGGGGATTTATGGGCATATCAATATCATGCAATCCTTCAAAGGAAGGGTTTTTGGTGTTAACTTCCAAAATTAATTTATCCGAAACACTCACTATTTCAGGGACCGCACCCACACCAGGGCCCAATATCAATCCTCCATTTTCTGTGATGGCTGTTACTTCGATGATCGAGTAGTCTAACAAGTCATTATCTTTCTTGAATCTGGTGTAGTATCCATAGGTCAAATCTTGGGCAAACATCGACAAATGTTTATCGAAAAAGTGGGTTCCCCCAGTGTTTATTGAGTTAGCTATTCCCCTTCCTACTTGGTGAGGTGATCTTCGTAGGATCATTCCATTTTCAGCCCATTTGCTTTCCTCTGGTCCAGCAGAAGCACCTACAAATAAGTTGAATGCCAATTTTCCCTGAAGTTTGTTGTCCTCAACATGCTTTGAAAGCGCTTCAGGGACCTTTTTGGGAGCACCCACACCTGCAAAACCTGACCATCCAATATACTGTCCATTTTTAAAAAACTCAACACATTCTTCTGGCTTTCTTAATTTTGATAATAGTGGGAGATATCTAACTCTTTCTTTCAAGATAGCTGACATTGTGAGTTTTGAATTTGCAACAACTTTCGATTGTTTTGTACCAGTAAATAGTATTTAGTATTAAGTTTCGCACACACACAATAACTTCAAGTGATTAATCCGATGGTAATAATAACTTTTCTATTATTTAATTTTAATGCAAAAAATAGATGTTTGGAGAAAAATGCAGTGGAGACAGAAGGCAAAAAATACTAAAAAAATTCGATTTTAACAATCCAGTAATCTGTTTGGAAGGAAGAAGCTATTCGATTGAATCAAAGATTGATTAAAGATTCAACGGTTTTTGGGATATTGCACCTGAAACAATAACTAAGCTTTTGATACTTGAATTTTCTATCAACTCAAATTAGTAACAGCTAAAAGAAAATTAACAAGTGAGGGGACCTCACTGGAGATTTTTCAGTATATATACAATTATTAGAATTCATTGAGAAAAAGATGATTGAAATTTTTCAAGGTATTATAGGATGAGTGGTAAATTAACACCCATACTTTGCCTACAAATCGATGTCGTGTGATATTCATTTCAAGAGACAATTGTATATGAGCTGAATAAAGTCGAGGAATTGCCTTGCGAATAGAATAAATATACTCAGCATCCCAGGCAATTTGCTCGTAGTAAATTTTTAATTTTTCTATAACAAATAACGTAATCAACGGGTTATCAACAAGCGATTTCACGGAAAAATCTCATGTTGAATATGTTCAAAGAGGAAAATGAAGATTTCACCTTTAAACCATTCGAAATTCTGGATTGAAAACCAAATCCTATTGAATTACGCAACTGCGAAGTTGAAAATGCAAGTAAGCTAAAAAATATCCGATCCCAAAAGAAACAGACTGAAATAAGAAGGAGGAAATCTCAAATCATTATCCGTCTTTTGCTCAGATACCTTTTGTCCGTTTTCGAGAACAAAACAAAGAGCCAAAAGAAAAAAAGAACATCGCAAACCAGAAGTTACTTTCTTTGCAGTAAATGGGTTGTACCATCTATCAAACTCATCTTAGTCTTTGGGCTTTTGGAGACACAAATGATATTTTTTGTGTTTTCTGTGTTTTCTGACAAAAGAAAAACTGCCACCTCAATGAAATCCTGTTTTCTCGATTTATATTAATGTTGAAAGATTCTGTTTTAAAGATAAAACTTTTTGGAATTGCTTTTGGGGCTTTCTTTTTTGGATTGAATATCAAATAAGGAAACAAGGGTATGTTTTTCAATTACCAAACCCTTTCGGTGTGATTTGGTGATTTTGTATTTTAATAAAGGAAAGAAATTTGGAAATAAGTATATATCAGTTTGTTGTTTGTGTTGAAAACCACGTTGATTTAAGAACCGCGGGCTTTATCTCGTTGTTTAAGGTTTTTAATGGTGCATATACAAGCTTTTTCTGATGTGGGCAGAAGCATTCTCGGGATTTCAATGATATAACAAAACCAACTACAAGGATCTTGGATTAGCTATTTTAATTGTCGATGCAATGAGAAACATATCCAAATAATTTACAACAGTTTGCTATTGATAAAGTTATTTACTACTGCTGAAAATGAAAAAGAAAAAGTCACACTGATCTGATTGGACTTATTATAGTTTTAAATTCAAATAGTCTTGAAAAACCTATAAATCATAAAGAAGAAATTGGGTGTGTGTTGAGGGTTTAAAAAGAATGAATTGATGTGGTTTTGTTTTTATCTATTTATCTATCCTATTTTATTAGAATAAATTTACTATGAACTTAAATTTCAATTAAGAACATTGATGGCATGAGCTCCAGAGTTGCTTTTAATATTCAAACAGTTCAACTTTAAAAATTAGTTGGCCAATATTTTTCACCACTAATTGCGCGAGATTTTCTTTTTATTTTCGTTGTCTACTAGATTTTTGCATAAAAAGAAATAAATTGAATGAATATAAAGGATTTTATTATGATTATAAACATAATTATAACTATAACTATAACTATAATTGTAATATCTATTTAAAAAGGTAAGACGTAAAATGAGTTAAAATGTTTCATGAAAAGTTGAGCAAAAAGACATTAAAGTTGAAGAGTAGAAATTTTATGATGTAAAACAAAGAAAAGATAAAAACCAAAAAAAACCAAAAACCAAAAAAAATAAAGGGAATTAAGAGAATTAAGAGAATCAAAAGGATCTGTTTAAACTGGTCAAAAGCTGATTATCGATATCTTTTGATAATGAATTAAAGGATGGAATACCGTTTGTAATAGATCTTAGAGGAGGTAATGAGATGTTGGAATTTTGAGGGAGATTTATGTTGTATGAAGATTTGATGTGATAATGTTGATTATTTGAATAATAGTAATCAGTATTTGGTAGAATTGCTACTGGTTTTGGTGGAGAATAGTAATTTGAGTTATTCTGATTTTGGGTTGTATTTTGATATTGGTGTTGGTGTTGGTACTGGTGTTGATGCTGCATCTGGACATGACATTGCTGCAATTGATAGGGATAGTGATTATTGTGATTTATTTCGCGATTTAAATTTTTTGAGTTTGGCAAGTATCTAGGGTTAAAGTAGGTTGAATCAAGATTAAAATCATTTAATAGAGGTATTCTGACATTTGCGACTATTCTGTTATTTTGGTTTTGAATATCGTATGGAGAAGGATTGGTGTTATTGTTTTCAGCGTTATTGTTTTCAGCGTTATTGTTCACCACTGGGGTTCCGTTGGTTGAGTAATCTGGATAAATCTTGGGGGGAATGATGATATTTTTCAATCTTATATCTCTTGTTGGGGTTTGATCGAAATAGTTAGTTGAATTGAAGTCAGACTGTTTAAAATAAAAAATCAAGTGCAACTTTCTACCATCGTGAGTTGTTAAAGAAAAACTTGATTTAATTAGGCCATCTAATTTATATTTATAGGCTTGAATTGAGCCATTAAGATGACGATTTTGCCGGTGATCTTCAATCCTTTTTCCTTCCATTTCTTTATAGGTTAAAAAGCAGCCAGATACTCTTGAAGCAGACCAGGATCTACCATCAGTCCAGCGTCTCATACCAGCTTCTTTTTCATCCCAAACATAAACTGAGCCAGACTTAATTGATTTCCTTTCTAGTTCAGTTAGTCTTCTGGTGACTCTTGGTAGAAGACCTATTCTAGTTGCCTCCATTAGGAGAATGGCGTCTTGGGGGGTTAGTATAACACCGTTATAAGTTTCCATTTCTGTTGGTATTGTTATTTGAGATAATGCTATTTGATTGTTTGAAGAATGTAAATTAAAACAGATTCATGAATTTGAAATTAGAAAAAAAAACCAGAAGAAAGCGCGATTTATATATACTCCGTCAATTGGTAGCAAAATGCCACTTTGAACAAGTTGGATATGTTATAAAACAAGTTGAATAAAGGCTAAAACCAAATTTTAAAAAATCTAAAAACATTTAAGAAAAATAAAAAAAGTAAAAAAAGTAAAAAAAGTAAAAAAAGTAAAAAAAGTAAAAAAAGTAAAAAAATAAAAGAATTTAAAGAGAAATAAGATTTGCAGGGTCGATGAATGAAAAAAAGACAAAGAGAACGGTGAGATAGAAATAAAATTGGAGAAGATTGGGATAATGTTAAAGAACAGACCAACAATAAAGAAGATTCCGTCCTTTTCTCGCGAAAGTGAAGCAGAAAGGTCTGTAAAAGACAGAGATTTGAGTTTGTTCAGTGAGAATCAAATCTTAACAGGTATGCATGCCGCTGCACGCGCAGCTGAGAGGGCAACTGGAGTCGGAAACAGGCCGAGACGCACGACGGTCAGGTTTTGGGCAAAGGAGGGGTTCGATTGGGGGGCACTGTCCAGCGGCCAATCGCTGGCGGTGCACGCCCGTGGCGGTGGCAGGCGGTGGCGAGGCTGGTGAGGGCGGTTTTTGAGCAAAGCAGGGTTTTTGGGGGGTTGTTGGATGGGCACCTCGCTGGGTGGATGCTCGCACTCTAATCGAATATAAATACAAACACCTCGTTCAGTCTACTTTGACACAAGGTGCCAAGTTCGGTCTCCGAGGGCATTTTCCATGGAGAATAGGGCTATTTTCACCACCGTTTCTCAGTTCCCAGCTTGCATTTAAGCTTATTTAATTTTATTTTTCCGCTTCTGCTCCTCACCGCATGGGTTCGCACGGCTATCGGTGGTGCTGATAGTGATAATAGTAATGGTAATAATACAATATAATATAATATCGATTGGCGATTGGCGATAAGAGATTATGACAGCTCATAATTATGTTTGAATATATATTTATACTGCAATACTGCAAAATGTCTACCATAACAGAAAGGGAGAAACAAATGTAAAAAAAAGTATAAAAGAGAAAACGTGAAACAAAAATAAAATATTGACCACACAGACCTTGCATTCACTGCGTGCTAAAACTCAGATATCTAGTAGGATTTAAGCTTTTCAAGAATAGCTTTTGTAAATTGTTCAGTAGTTGCGTTTCCACCAATGTCGTGAGTCAAGACCTTGCCATCTTTGATAACCTCGTAGGTGGCATTGGATATTCTGTCGGCGTATTCACTCAAACCTAAATGGTTCAACATCATGGTGGAAGATAAAATTAAGGCAGTTGGATTGGCAATATTTTGACCCTTTATCGACAAACCAACATGTCTGCAGCCTGGTTCAAAGACTGCATGCTCAGCACCATAATTAGCGCCTGGAACTAAACCAGGACCTCCAACTAACCCTGTTGCAATGTTGGACAAAATTGACCCATACAAGTTTGGAGTCACCAAGACATCGAACTGTTCTGGTCTTGAAACTGCTTGCATTGATGCGTTGTCGACAATCATGTCATTGACATTGATATTTTCATAACCTTGACCGACTTCTTTAACAGTTTGTCTGAACAAACCATCGGCCAATTTCATAATATTAGCCTTGTGAATAGCCGTGACATTTTTTCTATTGTTTTTGGATGCATAATCAAATGCAAATTTGGCAATTCTTTCACTTTTATATTTGGTGACAATTTTTAAACTTTCAACAACACCTGGAACAGATTGGTGTTCTAATCCAGAGTATTCAGCTTCAGTGCTTTCTCTAATTAAAATTATATCGATGTTGTCCAATCGGGTTTTAATCCCTGGGATATTTTTAATATGGGCCAATGAAGCGTAGATATCCAATTGTTTAACTAATGCAACGTTTAAGGAACCATGACCCGAGCTTGAAGTTGGAGTATACCAAATACCTTTTAAGCCAACTTTATTTCTCTTTAAAGACTGGACTGCATCCTTGACAGCAATTTGAGATGATGCATCATCTAAACCGGAAACATTGATAGTTTCCCAGTCAATTGGAACATTTTCGGCTTTAAAGATGTCAACAACAGATTTGGAAATTTCTTCACCAATACCGTCACCTGGAATTAATGTGACAGTATATCTACCACCATATTTTTTGGGAGCAAAAGCTTCATTTGACACTGTTGCCATAAATCGGCGAGAGTTGTTGAATACATTCTGAAATCAAGTTAAAAACCATAATGTTAATAAAAAAATAAAGAATGAAAAATAAAAACAAAAACAAAAACAAAAACAAAAACAAAAACATAAAAAAAAAAATACAGTTAAAAAGAACAGCAATTGGAATTGAAATTTAGTGTACAATTGAGATCAAAATGGAATTATACAAAACATACAGTTGAGATTTGTTAAGAAGGATAATTGAACTCTTGTTAGTAATGTAATTGAATAATACCACTTTTGATACAATCCTTAAACTTCCCATTGCAATTCCAGTTTTCTTTTTAATGTTTTTTTCTTTTATTTTCTTGAGTGGGCAACTCCACCTCAAACACTCAAGCAGCGTGGATAAAGTCACACAATATACTAACTCTAGATAATTGGCCAACCATTGTCAGTTTCAGAGGAAAAATCAGATGGAACCGTCGACTGCTGTGCTTGTTGTGATAAAAAAAACACCGGGAAAATCCAGGACAAAAAGAAATACAAAGATGTGCAGGAGAAGAAATAGCACAACGAGAGATCCAGCTCAGAAAATGGAGATTCTTTATCTTCTTTATAGCTTTTGTTTTGGTTCCAGCACTGCGGCTGGTGTTTGCGCTACCCTCCTCGGGCCCGATGTGGCAACCCTCTGATTGGCGCCCGTCCGCGCGTCGGCGCTTTCCCCAGCCCGTCCTCTTTATCGCGCGGCCTTCGCGGTGTTTGCGCACTATTTCCACCCTTCTTTCGCGGCCCTCGCGGCCAAACCACCTGATACTCAGCTGCGATACCAGTTATCAGTTATACTATATGGACCTATGAAGCTACAAAAATGCACAGTAAATCATGAATACTAAAATACCAAAATATAAAACAAAAAGTTCACTCAGTCATTTCATCGTCGACATCCATATCTTCGAGTGATATGAGGTTTTGCTGGACCCTGGGCTGCGTTTGCTGCTGGGCATTGTTGGATGGGCTGGGGCTATCGTCTTCAAATGGCACTCGAAAATGCACCTGGTTCAGCTCGTTGTTTGTGTCAATAGTGTTCTCGATGCCAGTGCCTGCAGCTGGAGCAATTCTGTTTGACGTGGCTAGCCTCTCGCGATTGGGCAAAGGAGGAAGAAGATTGGGTCTTTCCATGTTATTGCTCACTTCACCCTGTTCATTATCATTCACTCTATCAAATTGCACTTCAGGTATGTATGCAAGGCTTTGATTTTCCCTATTATTATTGTCATTGTCATTGTTATTATTGATATGATTATTGTCACCATTGCTATCACTATTGTTGTTTCGAGAATTTGGATTGTTTCTTCCAGAAATCGGTGGTATGTTGATGAAATTTCCTCCTTGTGCTCGACTAGCTACTGTTGTTGTGAAAGCTAAACCATTTAATGGAGCTATCTGCGCAAGCTGTGTCATTTGACTCATATTATTGATTTGATTCAACTGTCCCAACAAATTGATTGGATACATTTGGTTCCATTGATTAATATTTATTCGATCCAATGCTCGATTTCCAAATTCATTTCCATTTCCATTAACATTCATATTCATATTCATATTCATATTCATATTTGGTAAAAGCGCTATAGTTGGAGCTGTATTAATGTTCATATCAAAATTGGTGTTTGCAGTGTTACCGTTTCGATTACCATTTCCATTGCCATTGTTATTATTATTATTATTATTATTGTCGCTGTTCTCAGTAGTACTATTCTCTTCGCCAACTGCAGCGTTAGAATTAGTAGCACCACTTGTATTGGCATTTGCATTTGCATTGACATTGATATTAGTATTAGTAGTCGTAGTAGTATTAGTATTGGAGTTGACATCAGAATTATTATCAGTATTATTATTAAAAAGATTATTAGCATTAATAAAATTACTGACATTCACTGGGTTCAAATTGGTGTTTAAATTGTTAAACAAAAATTGATTTGTTTGAAAAGCTGAGGTATATACAAAACTGTTGGATTGACTTAACGCATTCATTTGTGTCATTGAATTTGGCAGATTTTTCAAAAAGTCTCTCAATTGACGAACACCATTGCCACTAAATACGCAAAATAATTTCTTTTGCTGTTCCGTAAATGAACTTGGTGCCTCACGACAAAATTTCCTTATATCATTTCTCAAAAATGCAACAATTCCAGTTAACGACAAATGTGCTAATTTGGGACATGAAATTAATAATTGAAAAATGGGAGGAATAGTCAAATTCTGACAATATGATAAATGAACTCTTTCTAGTGTATCATCGTTGCCTCTAATTCTAACCAACTCAAGTATGCCTTCATTGGTTATTTGATAGCATTTAACCAAACCAATTCTTCTTAGTCTTCTTAAAGTTGCCAATTCTTTGACAGTGACATCTGTTAATTGACTGCAACAAGCTAAATCAATATATTGCAAACGATGACAATTTTTGATTAAAGTTGTTATACCATAATCAGTTATATTGCTGCAGTGGCCCAAATGAAGATAGTGTAAACTCTTGCGTAAATTTGATAAAGATTTTAAAGATTTGTCAGTTATTGAGATACATTTGGACAAAATGACATTTCTTAATCTTGGAGCACATTTGACGAATTTTTCAATAACTCTATCAGTTATATAAGTGCAGGCAGTGAAATCTATTATTCTTAAACGGTCCAAGCAAGGTTTGTCTTGCAAAAGCTTTAGCATATTATCAGAAATGTTTGAATTTTTGGATAGTCTGATTTCCCTTAGTTGGGTCATCTTTTGAAAGACGTGCATAAGAGAATTATTTGTAATTTTTAGACAACCATGAAAATCAATTTCAACTAAAAATTTACAATTTTCAGTAAGAACGTCAACAGTTTCGTCATTAATGTTATTTGATTCAGTTAGCTTTATTCTCTTTAAGAGGATACATTTTTTAAATAAATTGATGATTGAGTCCTTTGAGACTTCGGCGGTTTCAGGAGCATATAGACCTTGGAGTTTGGGGCAATTAGTAGCAAGAGCGTCAAAGATAGAATCGGAAATATGAGGAACACCAGTCATATCGATTGATTGTAATTTTGAGCAATTAACCAAGACAGAAGAAATTGAAAAGGGAGTTAGATAGATACAGTTAACTAGAGTTAGTCTTTCCAAGTTGGGACAGTCAATAAATTTTAGTAGCAAGTCGTCGACAGCAAATTTTGAGATAAAGCATAAATTTAAACGACGAATAAGAGGTTTGTAATTCCAAAAGGTTGAGGATTGATTCAAGTCCATGATGTGACCAATTTTTTGCAAGCTTTCAGGGGATTTTAATTTGGGTCTAAACCAAATTAAAGCAATTAGTATATCAGCCCATTGTTTACAAACAGTCAAGTATTTGGCCAAGCTTGTTTTGTCAGATAAAAAGGAGAAGATTATGGATAGTAGTTCTGGGGGTAGTAGTCTTATTGTTGGTTTTGAAGGATCTTGAACTAGATTAGATAGGTTGTATTGTTTAATCCTACTTATTGTTTGAAGGGTTTCTAATTCCTTTGGGTTTTTGAAGATTCCGGAGTAGTAATAGTCATGATTATCGCTGGAAACGACAGTTATGGATTGATTATTTGAAGAAAAGGGGAACAGGCAGAGATTATTTATCATGTTATTAGGATTATCGTTTGTATGGTTGTTTGTGTGGTTGTTGTTATCATTATTGTTGATATAATTTGAGTAATTATTAGAGTTGCGGTTATTGTAGATATTGCTATTATTAGCGGAGTGGTTTATATTCAGAGTAGTAGCTATCTGGTTATTGTTGAGCTTGTGATTAAGATTATGATTAAGATTGTGGTTACCATTAGTTTTAAAATAAGAATTTGATAAATTATTTAAAAAAGGGCCATCGTTTTTTGAATTAAACTGAGTGTTATCGTCAGAATCCAAGTCAACGTCCATTATATCAGAATCGGAATTAGAAGCAGAGTTGGAAGCCGAATTTGAGCTTATGTTAGTAATTGCGTTGGAGGTATTTGTATTTGGAATGGTGGCGGAAGAGATGATAGGATCGGTAGAATTAGCAGGAACAGGGTTGGGACGAATAGATTGATTTGAAAGGATAGAGGTGTGGAAGTGAGGTTGAAGAGAAGTATTAGTGTTGTTGTTGTTGTTGTTGGAAATGATAGGATTCAATAGGGATTGTATTCTGTTTGTTGAGGTGGTGGAGATGATGTTGGTGTTGGCGTTGATGTTTGTGTTGATATTTGTGTTGATGGTGGATATGGCGCTGGTGGAGGTGCCGACGATGTTCTGGGTAATGTTGCTGTTAGTGTTATTGATGGAAGATTCTGGGTTCAACAAAGCTTGGATAGGTATTGGGGTCATTTTAAGGAGGCAAGAAAAGTGAAATGTGTTTTAGTGAGAAAGAAGACTTCTTGTCTCTTTTCTGGGTGGGATCCAAAGAAAGATGTAGAGGGATAAAACCAAACTGGAACAGAAAGAAACAATAAGGGAAAGAAATAGTAGGAGTGGATGGTAGAGTAGAGGAAGAACCAGAAGGACGAAGAATAAACTTATAGAATATTACACTTGGTGATGACAGTGAGATTAAAAATAAAACTAAAAAACGATGTTTGTAACAAAAAGAAAGGTGCCTCTTTTGCAGCGATGGCGAGAAGAAGCGGTTTATATAGTAGCTGGGCCTGTGTTGCTCTTTTGAAGCTGTTTCCTTGCTCTTGCTCTTGCTGTCGGGAGTCTGTGCAGCGGTGGCTCCTGTGCTCTCCTCTCGTTTGTCCTTAGGCCTCGACTCTGGAGATGCTGCAAATCCAGCAAATAACGACGCTTGCGGAAGGTCCTGCCGCTGCTGCGTGCCGCTTCTGTTGGCCACAACACATGCCGGCCTGCTGCACACTCTCGCCTGGGCCTTGCGCGTGCTTCTCGTGTTGTTGCTGCTGCTACTGCTGCTGCTTCTCGGTCCCTGCGTTGTCGCTATTGCTGCTGCTGCTGCCGCTGCTGTCCTCTCCTTCACATCACCGACGGGACTCGGCCGCAGTGCCGTCTCGTCAAACACGCCGTCAAAAAAAACAACGCGTTCCAGCAGCGTGTCTTCTGCGTTGCTCACGCTTTCCACACGCTTTCCTTTTTGTTACTGACCACCTTGTCGGTGTCTCTCTGTTGGTGCCTGCATTAGCCAGCGCGCTCATGAAATCCACAACTGCGGATGTGATCGACTGTTTTATTTTTATTTACCACTATCACTAAGCCTAAGTTTCATATATTTCAACACCTATTTTCCCAATTTTACACATCACTCGTTGATATTCCTTGATATCGTTGGTTTTTGCTCTATGTGTTAGTTAATTTGTACCCAGAGCCCTTGTCGTCTTTTCCATTCATTACAATACATCCTCTGGTATTCCTTTTCTGCTTTTTGTTTCTCCCAGTTTTTCCTTATTTCTCTTTTTTGGCTTTTTTTCCCACCTTTTTTCATCATGATTGAGGATAAATACATTGGTCTAGCCTTAGCTATATCATCATCTTTAGCCATTGGTACCTCTTTTATTATCACTAAAAAGGGTCTTCTAAATGCTCAGTCTCAAGGTTTTCAAGGCGAAGGTTACCAGTATTTGAAAAACCCCATCTGGTGGTCTGGCATGTTGACCATGGTCATAGGAGAAATAGCCAATTTCGCTGCTTACACTTTCGCTCCTGCTATTCTAGTTACTCCCCTTGGTGCTTTATCTGTAATTATTGGTGCTGTATTGGCCTCTATTTTTTTAAAAGAAGAACTAGGCATTTTGGGTCGTATGGGTTGTGCCATATGTCTATTAGGTTCTGTTATAATAGTTCTACATGCTCCAAAGGATAAAGATATTCAAACTGTCGATGAAATCTTATCCTATGCTTTACGTCCTTGTTTCATCATTTACGCTTTACTTATCCTAACCTTCTCTCTATTCATGATCTATAAAATTGTCCCAATTTACGGTGAAAAGAATCCAATGATCTACATCTCAATTTGCTCCTCTGTTGGCTCCATCTCTGTCATGTCAATCAAAGCCTTCGGTATTGCTTTGAAATTAACCTTATCGGGTAACAACCAATTTACTCATCTATCCACTTATTTCTTTGTTTTAGTTGTCGCAATTTGCATCCTAACTCAAATGAACTATTTCAATAAAGCTCTCAACAGATTTGATACCTCAATCGTCAATCCCCTTTATTATGTCACTTTTACAACAATGACCTTAACCGCCTCCTTCATCTTATTCCAGGGCTTTAACACCACTTCTTCTGTTAATATTATCAGCTTAATCTGCGGCTTCTTGATTATATTCTCTGGTGTTTATCTTTTAAATATCTCAAGAAAAAATATCGATGAGAATAACATGGACTACTTGCCCACTTCAAATAACTTCAATGATCCATTCGACGATAATACCGCTTATTCTCTACACAACAATAACTCTAATAACAATCATGACTTTTCAAATCAAAACTCAAGATTATTCGGCTCTGGAAATTTAATTAAAAACTTTAATGAAATACCTCTAGATAATGGTGTTGGCGGTGGTGTATCCATAAGAAGATCTCTTAATTTACAAAGAAGAGTAACAAGCATTTCAAGTAATCATTCAGTTAGAATTCACTCCAATAACAAAAATAACACCATCACCGGCGACAACAATCAAGATAACTTCAATTACTCAGATGACTCAATCAACGAGCATGTTGGTTTGACTTCTTTAAACCATAAAAAAAGTAATGATAATGATAACGATGATGATGATTCAATAAATCAATTTAGAATTTAAATTTAAAAACAAACAAACTAAAAAAAAACTAAAATTATAATTATATTTACCATTTTTACTTCTTTTTTTCTATATATATATATATATTTATTGGGTTGGGCTTATCAATGATTTTTTTTTGTCATTTTAATACTTTAATACTTTAATATTTGAATATTTAAATATTTGAATAATTTATTTTTATATTTTAGTTCAGTGTTTTAGATTATTTTTTTATCTCTTTTCTTTACTTTTTTTTACTTTACTTTACTTTACTTTACTTTACTTTACTTTACTTTACTTTACTTTATTATATTTCACTATCTTTTACTATTATTGTATCATTTGATTTTAATTAGCAATTAATATGCTTATACTATTTACATCTTATATATTTCATCTACTTATTGATCTTAGCCATCAACTTGTTGAGATTCATTTGCCGAAATTGAATGAAATATTTCTTTATTCAATATAAATCAGAAATTATTTATCTCTTTTGCTATTAGCATAAACATGGCTCCATTACAATTGGGGTATAAGAGTAATGGGAATTTGACTAGTATGCTGAAAATAATCCCTATAAAGTTCTACAATTGCATATATAAACCAATAAAACCTATTTATTTATCTTTTTTTATATAGTTACTCTATTAATACACTAATACACTGTTGTTGGTTTAAATCAACAACATAGATCAAGAAAAGAATGCTTGTCTCTCTTTCTTTGTCTTTTCTTCTCGTTTCTTCTCTTTTTATACTGAAAAACTACGACGTTACCCTCTCTTTTCACTCGAAAAACGAATCAGGTAAAGTCGTCTCAATTCCATCAACAGGATCGCTGATTTTGTTTTTTACTTTCCACAATTGAATAATGTTATCGTTGGCCGTACTGGCTAGCAACCACTTCAATCTTTTATCGGGATGCCAGCTTATATCTGTGACGAGTGCTGTATGGCCTGCGTGCATCATAAACAATTCAGGCGCACCATCGTCTGCATCATCTTGATTTTGTTCTTCGCCAATTTTAGAAATATCCCATATAATTACTCGACGATCTTCTGATCCTGAGGCTAAAAAACCATCTTGGTGTGGAGACCATTCTAATGACGTTATCGCGTTTTTATGTCCAACCATTAAATGTAATTTTGTTTCAATATTTCTTAAATCAAATAAGCCAATAGTGGAATCCAATGATCCGGTTGCAAGTAAATTGGTTGAAAAATTTGAAAAAGATAACGAATTTATACCGTCGTTATGATGAGCATTGGTTTTTTTTAAAACCGGTCCTGTAGATAATGTCCTAACATCGTAAATAAATAGATTTTTATCATCAGACACTGATCCAAATAAATTTTCATTAAAATTGTGCCATTTAACATCGTTCACAATATCGGTGTGATCGTTTAAAACATTTGAAGGTTGCAAAGAAGTTGGCGTATTATTTAATTCAACTGAAATATTTTTGGAGTTTATATCCCAAAGACAAATTTTGGAATCATCTGCTGAAGTTAATAGTTTTCCCTCATCATTCGGATTCCATGATAATCCAAACCCATTCTTTTTGTGATATTTTAAACTTAATATACATTTTCTGTTTTTAGATTTTTTGGCTGAATTAACATAGATATAAGAATTACCAGATCCACTGATGGTCGCTATTATTTGAGGATTCTGGGGCATATAGCGCGCTCTATTAATCTCTGTTTTGTGCTTAAATCTTTTGTTTATTTTAAAACCAGAAGTGGTTTCATTTTTCAATTTATCGTCAATTATGCTCAATGGAAGCTCTTTGCTAGCAATTTTTAGAAAATCATCTTCACTACCGGATGTGTCAGATCCGATTATTAGCTGCGTCTTTATCGTTTCGTTTTCTTTGTTTATCTCAATTGATGGTAACCACTGAATTGATAACGATGGCCATGTCAAAGCAGTTTGACTGACGTATTTATACATCAAAGACGAATTTTCCTTCCACATCTTGTATTCATCTTCAATTGACATTTCTTCTTCACCATCCGCCTTCTCCTGTGGTTTTTCTACATCTTCATTGTCAACCTCCATTTTGCCTCCCAAAATCACTGGTGTTTCTGATGGAACTGCTGCCAAATCGCTAATACTGGCTCAAACCATGGAAAGAACCGCCCTTCCAGCATTTTCGCGTTTTTCTTTTGTTTCGCTGTGCTTTTTTTCCTTTCGCGCTACTGGCACGTGCGCACAGACTTCTTCAAGACCTATTTACTGAAAACCGCTGAAAAACCGCTGCTGAAGCTGAAGAAGCACAACCTCATTCTCATCCTCATCCTCTGCTTCTTGTTTTAGTTTTTGTTCTTTCCTCACCTCCATGGCATCCAGACAGAAGAACACAAAGGCAAACCAAAGGGCTGCTGTTGCTGCCAATGCTGCTGTTGCTGCCAATGCTGCTGCTGCCGTTGCTGCCGCTGCTGCCCAGCAGGCACAACAAAACTCTCATCCTGTGGCCTCCAATCTTTCTCAGATGTCTATACCCCAACCTATCATCAGCCTAAGGCCCACTGATGTTACCATTCCCTCTAGTTTGGATGAGATTCTTCCTGAGGTTGACATATTGAGAAAGTTGCAGGAAGCTGAAAAGAAAATAGACACTTATACTATAACAAAATGGTTCGAATTGCAAGAATTAACCGCTAAACCTCAAATCGAGCATTTAGTATTAAGAGTATTTATTTATAATTATTGTGAAAATCAACCATGGCAAATTGATTTAATTCAGGACCCCAAACTGAGACAACAATTTGAAAATTTAAAACCATCCTGGACGTTAAGAGTTGAAGGTCGAGTAATAGATAATGAAAAAAATGATGATATTAAAAAAAGAAGATATTTTAGCTCCTTATTAACCGGAATAGCCATTGATTTATTTCCTAAGGATGAAAAATCTTTTACTGAACAAAATGATAATAAATCTTTGATAATTGAATGGCATGAAGATGTTAAAAAAGTTGATTTCGACGGTCTAGATGTTCAAAGAAATGGTTCTCAAAATATGAACTGCACAATCACTTTACAACCAAAAGAGTTTCCCTTGAGATATAAATTACCCGATAAGTTAATTGAGATATTGGGCTATGATGAATTGAACCAACATGACCTAGCCTTTGCATTGTGGCAATACATTTCAATAAATGATTTAGCTTCAAATGCTAATGATAAAAAATTTATCAAATGCGATGAACCATTAAAGGATTTATTAAACTGCGACTCTATTCAATTTCCTCAACTATTACAAAACATTGAAAAACTATTAAAACCCGTTGATCCAATAAAGATAAGTTATCAAATAAGGTGCGATAAGTCTTCAACTTTAGGTGAAAATGTTTACGACATCGATATATCCTTACCAAAACCGCAAAGTGATTTACAATCAGAATTGGGTAAAGAATTCCTTGAATCAAGAAAAATATTTGGAATGTATGAAGACGACATAAAAGAATTGGACAATAAGATAATGTTGGGAACTCAAGCTCTAAATCAATCAAAATTAAAATATGACTTTTATAAAAAATTTTCTGAAGATCCTATAAATTTCTTTAAAAACTTCCTAGAATCTCATTCAAAAGCTTTAAGAATTCTATGTGGTGATGAAGGTTACACTGAAGAAAATGTTAGAAGAAGTGACTTCTATACTGATGAGCTTTTATCCGATAATATTGACTTGTTACTTCAAACAAAAAATTTATAATCATTATTGTATTATTGTTTTTATTTATTTATTTTAATTTTTTTTATTTTCTATTCTCTATTCTTTACCTTTTATTTTTTTATTTTTTATTTTTTATTTTTTGTTTTTATTTTTAATTTTAATTTTAATTTTAATTTTTTTTTTGGTTCCACAATAACCCTGTATTAATTAAATATTTATATATATACTCAGTTGTTTTTTGTTTTTTTTTTTTAAATTATCAATCAATTTATTTGAATTCAATCTCATTTGGTGATACATAATGCTTCTTACCATTTTCTCTAACGCATTGTTTTTTAGCATCTCTAGGCAACGATTTTCTCATATCATAAGCATCAATATCATCGTTTATATCATTTCGATTTTTAACATCATTTACACTTGATCCATAATACCCAACAACCCTTCTGTAAACTGAATATCCTAGTTTCTCGTATAAATTTTGAGCTAATAAATTGGTTACTTTCACAAACAAATCAATAAAATAAACATTATATGGATTAGATTTCGTAAAGTCTTCTAAATCTACACATAGTTTTGAAGCTAACGACAACCTTCTATATATTGGATTAACAGTAACAGCTGTTATATGAGAATGCCATTCCATTCCACTTCCTTCAGCTTTACCCATCATATACCCTGAAATAGTTCTTTCATTATCATTAAATATCTCTTCAGATTTGAAAAAAAGTGAAGGCCATTCTATTAAATACTGAAAATAAAAATATAAAGGAAAATTTTCAGTTAAAGTATCAAGGTTGACAGGATTGATATCAAATAAATCAGTTGCTTTGAAAGGGTTGATTGAGGTCATTGTGAAATTCGTTAGTTTATCTGTTTTTTTGTAGCTTTATTTTATTTCTTAAGCAGTTGAACAACAGATTTAAATTTCAACTCTCCAATCGAGTTTGGTTTCTCAGCTTTCTTTCCAGTCGGAATTTATTCTTATCATATCAGTTTATTTTTCATAAAGTATCAAGCAATATCAATCAATGTATAAATCATATTAAACAATAACCAAATTTTTAAAATGGGAGCAGAAGAATTAAACGACGAGTTTGAGGCTATTGAATCGATATTTCCTAATTGCCTTCAAAGGTTGGGCTCAAATATGATCAATTTAACTCTCCCAAATGTTTTAGATTGTCAGATAAGAATATCTTTCAATGATAACTACCCAGAAATAGACAAACCACATATTATTTTTGTGAAATCAACTAATAAGTACATTGAAGAGACACATCTTAATGAAATATCCAATAAATTAATGGAATCAATTTTTCAAGTGGGTGAAGTTTGTTTGTTTCAATTTATCGATGAATTGGATCTGGAGTTGTTCAAAACCGAAGAAATTAAAAAAAATTCTGAAGTTAGAAGAAATTCTGAAAAATCTCATGATTTGGATATTGTTGAAGATGAAAATTCTGCAAATGAAAGAGAAAACAACATTTTAAAAAACTGGGCAGTATCTGACCCAATTACAGATCGAAACTCCACTTTTATTGGTTTCGCGAGAGAAGTTCATTCAGAAATAGATGCTATTTTATATCTACAAGAGTTGCGAAAAATTAGAAAAATTTCTAAATCTACTCATCAAATGTCAGCTTGGAGAATTAAAAACTTGAATGGAACTTTAGTACAAAATTGTGACGATGATGGCGAAAATGCTGCTGGCGGAAGACTACTTCATCTTTTAACTATAATGAATGTATGGAACATTATTATTGTTGATGTCAGATGGTATGGAGGAACTCTTTTGGGATCAGATAGATTTAAACATATAAACACATCTGCAAGAAATTCTCTAATCAAAGGTGGTTTTGCTCAAGAAAACCAAAAAAAAAAGAAAAGAAAGTGAAGTTAACCTATTTGAGTTTCATGGCATTAAAACCTACCTATTTAAAATAAAGAACAATTGACAGAAGTTTATAAATTTATAGTATATTATAATCAATTGGAGGTTTTTGTTTAATATAATTTGTTATACATGAATGAAATTTAAGTAAGTTGAAAATACCTCTCAATTACACAAATTTCAAATCCAAAATTCCATAAGACTTGAGTTGTTTTATTGTTTTTGTTGCCAAATAAAACAACATAATAGTTTAATTACGATTCACTGAAATGAAATATTATAATTTGAAAGTTCATACATTCATATATATAAAGCTACTAATCAAATCAATGCCTACTCAAAGTAAATGTTAGACTTGTATCATTTGACAACCATTGAAGATCATCAAAAAGCACCAACCAAATGCTTATTTGGAGCATGAATCACAGCCATCTTTGCAACATTCGCAGAGGTTGCAAGAAGTAGCGTTTTCTGGACAGCATGAGCAGCAAGTACAGTCAAAGTTGACATCAGCAGAAACAGGAACAGAGATAGACATTTTGGAATAGAAGTTGGAATGAGTTGAGGAAAGCTTGTTGAAATCGGTATATGAGAGCAGCAGATATGATTGCAGTGTGAGTGTGAGTGTGAGTGAGTATAGTGTGGTGATAGAGAAGTGTGGAAATATGGAGGTGGAAACTGGTGTTTATATATTGCAACTGGCACCAGCAATAAGTCGAGATAGAGAACAGTCAATCCATTGTTGATCAATCAACTGTTGGTCAATACTGTTGAGAGTGTTAATAGAGGGAAGTGAGATCCTTTTGACAGCCGTAGCGAACCAGCTCTGATTGAAGTGCAGCACACTCTGGGAGTCATTCAGATGTTATCAGACATGGAAAGCAAATAGCAGAGTAATGATGACAGAGTAATAATAGCAGACTCACCATAGCAAGCAGAGCAGGTTTGAATATATCGAGCAGAGGTGTTGCAGATGGAGTTTATTCAGAATGTTTCTGAGTTCGGTTTCTCAGAGGCTTTGGTTTCCCACAAAATATCCTCCACAAACCTTATTTGTGCTATCATAGATTGCTCCGAAAACGCTTCGGTTATTGTTAATGGAATGATAATAAAGCATCAAGAAAGATATTTGTTGATTGTTTTTAATAAATTACTTATCTAGAATATAAAAATGACCCGTTTCTTCTATAGAACTGTCTAAGACCTGATTAGAAAATTACCAAAACGTTTGAAGTTTTTATTAACTATTATTTTCATCTTCGAAGAGAAGAGACCGAATATTATCAAAGAAAAAAAATCAAAGTAAAAAGAAAACTAAAGAGCAAAATTTAGAACAAAAAATAACAAGGAAAACAATAGTGACCAAAATTAGAACAACCGTAAGAACAAAATTAACGCCTATCGGACAAGAAAAGCACAGAAAACCAAGAAAAAAGGAAGTAATAAAAACAACAAGCAGGATTGTAAAGACAAAAAAAAGCATAAAGAACACAAATTTAATCCTTTAACAATTTTAGATTAATAAAGATTGTTTGAAAGAGTTTTTTTGAAAAACAACAGCAGGGAAAATGCAAGGTTAAACCAAGTGTTTTTTCTTTTTTAACCAATCTCTCCAAAAACATAAGAGCATTATCCAGCTCATTAAAAGGGCAACACAACCCACACTTACGTTTAACGTAAACATTGCAGTTAAACCTCTGTATTCTAGAGCATGAACAATTTGATCGGTACTTTCCATAAAAATCAAGCCTCCGGTTAGTAATGCAAAGGAAGTAATCAATTCAGTCATTGGTCTTCTAACTTCACCAATTTTTTTAAAAGAGTCGTTGTCTTTTTGAAATAATAAAATAAGAATGGTGAATAATCTGAATAGAGAACCATATGATAGCATGTAGCCCCATTGCATATGGATAGTGGTGGATAATTCTGAGGCTTGAGCATGTTGGGACATTAGGATACCGGTCCAAAAAATGGTGAAAACAGGAAAGGGGTTTGGAGAATAACCAGGAGAAGCAGCAACAATATGGTTTTGATTACTATCAGGGTTATCGTTAGAAGTGTCTTTAATGGCCTTGTTATATCTCCAATTTGATAAAGAAAATTCTACAATTAGGCCACATAGGCCAGAGCCGATATACATGAAGGCGATGGAAACATGTTGCAAGTCCTTTGCAACCCAAGGCCCACCTGGGGAAGCCAAATGTTCTAGAAAGATATTGGTTATACCATAAAAGAAGATTAAAAAGCTTTCGACAAACTCCATTGTAATTAGGCCTTTTGGAGAGTGTCTAATGAACCACCATTTGCTGTTTGATTTATCGAAATTTGATAAAATTAAAAAGTTCCAGGCAAAGGCTGAATCTTTCCAGCAACCACAATAACGACACAAAGTTAGCATACCAAAGGAAAAGAAGACGCCGCCTTTAATGAAATGAGCTAGGAGGTTGAATACCTTGTTTGCCTTTCCTAGAAGGTTACCAACAGCGATACCAGTGGGAATATAACAAAGGAAATAGAAGAGGATGGAGTAATTTAGTAAGTTGAATATTAAAACGCAAGCATTGCCAAGATTAGCAATTAAAAAGTGAATAAATTTTGAGTGAAAGAATTTATAAACAAGAGAGCTTTTCTTGAAAGAGAAGTTTTGGTTATCAAAATCATGTTCAAGATTATCTGTATAAATTTCATCATTGTTCAGATTGGAAATGATGAGATTGGAGTCATTGAGAATATTGGGAATATTGGGAATATTAGTATTGTTAAAAGAAATTAAGTTCAGGGAGTCGTTATCATTAGTTAAAGAAGGTGGGTTGTGATTATTTGAAATAGATGTGGTGGTGGTAGCAGTTGCAAGAGAGACTCTAGGATTGTAATAATAATTTCCAGAGGAATTTTTTTTAGAGTCGTCAAATGAAGGATGATTGGAACGATCAAATAAAGTATCTTGATCAAGATCAGGAAATTGTTGATTTTGGAAATCCGAGGAAATAGAAGAGCGATAATCATGTAATGGAATGAAAGAAGGGTTTTGAGAGGAAATAGAGTTATTTGTAAAGTAATAGTTGAATTTTTGTTTTGTTTTAGAGACCAAAGCCGAAAAATAGTGAACTATAACCATAAATAATAGAATCCAAGACATTTTGTTGTAAGCATTATTTGGATATAAAGCTTCGTCAATAGAGTTTGCGAATATAGATAGAGAAGTTAAACTTGATAGAATCGAAATTAGGTTTAGAGATAATACAGGAAGATACCAAATTGAGTTAACATTGTTTAGAACCAAAGAAGCCGGATAGAGGAACAACACTGAGATGGATAATAGAGAAACATGGGAATAAAGGAAAAATTTGTTTGAAGAGTTGGATGGATAGGTGAAAAAAGTGGTGGTGTTATAGGCTTGCCAAAATAGTCTTTCTTCAGGTAGTAGGTCAGTTTCCAAGATTGGCACACCATGGTGTTGTTTGGGAATATGAGGAGTGGGAGTCAAGAGGGAAAGATTCATTGTCGAAAGATCATATTGGTAGGCATTTGTGTTGGATTGCATCTCGCCGGACATGTCCATGGCTAGAGCAGCAGCAAGAGAAGCAGGAGTTGCGGCTGAAGAGGCAATGGCTCTGGTGAGAGCGACGCTAAAGAAAAAGACATCAAGGGACCTCATTGTCAGCAACCTGTGGAAGAAGAAGGGAAAGCGACGAGAAAAGGGAGGGCAGACGAGACATATATATATATATGCCTCCACACGACACAAGAGGAAGCAAGTGCCAATGGAAGGAAGAGAAAAGCATCTCGAGTCGTAATGGCTCACACTCTCGGCCCACTTCCGCGGTGGGGCCGGTAGCTTCGGAAGTCGTTTTGGGCCCATTCGGGCACTATACTGTGCTGCGGTGCCCGGCGTCGTCCGTAGCACGCCATATATGCAGCTGCACGCTTCACTGCGCCGTGGACCGCAGCAGCGCTTCTGCTTGTTTCTCCAGTGCCATCTCTGTCTTTTCTTGCTGCCCGCTTCGAGACTCGAACCAGCCTCTTCAGCACCTCAAAAGTCCCTCCAGTGTCCGGGGTTTGTTAGGTGTTGCTTGTTCTATTCCCTGTTGCGTCGGCCAAATCGTCTCAACCCGAACCTGTGAAAGTGGTCAGATATGGAGTTAGAAGACGTCATCAGCTGCTCTCGTCCTCTTCGGGACCTCCTGTGGCGTCCTCCGTACAACGGACCGTCCATCTGCAGCGAATCTAGCTGGCGCTGCATCTCATCGATCATTTCCGCAACGCTGATGTTGTCGCTTCGATTTCCGGAGCCGTTCTCTTCGACATTCTCGGAGCTTGCTTCTTGCACTTCGGGCTCTCTTTCAGTTCTGTCCTCTGCTGGATTATTTTCTCCTCTGTTTTCTTGATACCTAACAAGAGCTCTTGATATCATTTCAAAGCGATCATGCAGATTTGATGCTTCATGTTCACTAGAACTGAATCCATGCCACGAATTCGCATCGTCTTCCTCCCCATCTGAAGCTTGGTCACCGTCCGAAGCTTGGTTTAAGTGAGTTCGGCTTTCTTCTTGGTGATTCTCTTCATTCAAAAATATTCTCGAAAGACTTCCATTGTAATCACCATTCCCTATGTTGGGATCATTAATAGGATCGTTGTTCCTATTTCCAACACTATTGTAGGTTTCAATTGGGTTCCACTGGTTCAACTCATCTTCGCTATCAATGATTCGCTGCCTTCTTAACCTTCTTCTCATTCTGATATAATCATTTTCTTCATCCTCTCCTCCTATTCCTACCTCTTCTCCAGTACCATTTGAAGATACACCTGTTGTTCTTCTCATTTCTCTTATTCTGTCCTCCACGTAATTATTCATTGGACTTCTTCTCATTATTCTTCTACTTCTACTATGAATGTAATTTCCATCTCGTTCGCTTGTAAATGAATTAAAATTAGCCAATCCATTTGACAAATCATTATCAGAATCTCTAGCTACTGAAAAATCAATATCAGAATCAACATGATCATCCGAAACTACAAACGAATCATCACCTTCACTCTCTTCTTCATTTCCTAATGATGACCGATAATATGCCCCAACAATATAATCGGTTACACCCTCCTCCTCCTCCTCCTCCTCATCATCATCATCATCATCATCATCATCATCGTCATTACCAACATTATATTCAAAGTCATTGCTAAGATCATAATCTTCAATGTTATTATCATTAGTATTATTATTATTATCGTGATCATCGCCATCCTCTTCATCATTACTCACATCAACATGAAAATTGTAACCATATGCACCGTCAAAATTATCATTTAAATCACTATTATCGCTTTCCATTTCTTCCAGCTGCTCACGCAAAAGATTCGATATCGATCTCAATCTTTCAACATTAATATTACCTATTTCATAATCCGTATAATCATTAACTCCTCTTTCATTTCGAATCAACACCCACCCGCAGTGCTCACACCTACTTATTCTTGATGAATAAATCTCAAATCCACAATTGCTACACCTCAACACATCATCATCTGAATCATACCGAACCACTGCAGTGTTTTTTTTCTTTTTACTAAATATTGATTTAAAAAGTCGCTTCTCTTTAAGATCCTTATCAAATGTTTCCAGATATTTCTCGTTAATATTTTTCACAATATCCAGGATTTTGGGGTTACTCTCAACTGATGTCTTGAAAAAGGAGTTTATAATCGTCTTTAAAACAAAATTCACCGACGGCTCAATCAAAATTTTTTCCCTGCAATATGGACATGATAAATTATTGCTAAACCATTCTTTTAAACAGCAATAACAAACCGTATGTCCACAAGGATGAAGTATCATTGGTGCTGCCATTATTTCATTGCAAATAGGACACTCAATACAATCATAAACATTTTTCAATAAACCTTTGGATGAACCCAAGTCTGCTCCATAAATAACATTCTCTATACTCAATTCTCTATATTCTTCTTTTATTTCGGGTATTTGTGTTGATGATACTCCCTGTTCAATATCTTCTTTGTGGGCTATACTTGTACAATCGTTATAGAAACTCATTTTCTTGATTAATTTAATTTTAAAAATATCTCAAAAGAAAATAGCCAAATAAAAAATAACCAATAACTCGCGTTGCTGTTTTTCTGAATTAGACATTAAATTTGCCTTTTATCATATCAATCATTCTGAAAATTCAAATTTGGTACCTCTAAAGGGCTCTAAAAAAGAGCCCTGATCATAAACCCAAGTTTATGGTAACTCCTATTGTTGCTTATACAATCCTGAACTTTAAATTATTTATTATCTACGCCATGAAAGAAATAAAAATAATGTTAAAAAGACTGAAATAAAAAATAATCATAAAAGTAATCATAAAAGTAATCATAAAAGTAATCATAAAAATAATCATAAAAATAACCATAAAATTAATTAAAAAATTAATTGAAAAATTAAATGTTTATAAATTTAAACAATAAATCAGCGTGCTTTGTTATTCATGTTTAATTCCTGATCCTCTTCTTCAGCCCAGTCAGCCCAACTTTTTGTTGTGTCGAAGCTGTTCATAAATAGGTTGAGATATTTTTCTCCCTGATCTGCTTCTATTTCTTGGATTTTTTCTTCTTTTTCAATCAATTCTCTCTCTTTTCTTTTAATTTCTTCGTTCATTAGTTTTACTTTTTGCTTCTGTTTTTCAAGCTCTCTTTCTAAACCCATGATTCTTTCACTTTCATCTGTTGGCCCGTTTGAAGAAGTTCGATGCAAATCTTTTCGAAAATTGTTCTTTTGATAATCTGTTTCAAATGATTTATTTTTTTTCAAATTAGTACGTTCTGATGGAGAATATGATTGACCAGAAGATGACGATGATGAAGGAGGTGTGAGTAACCCTAGCAGTTTACTTAGTGGATTTATTTCATGTTCACCGCTTCCTGTTTTATATTTATTTTCTAGAATATCACTATTACTACTATTATAGTTTTTGTTATTTCTATTTTCTCGATTTTCTCTATTATTTCTTTTGTTTTTTTTTATATTTTGTCTACTTTTATTATAATTTAAACTATGACCAGTATTTATGTTATAATGATTATCTTCAGCGGCATAGTCACTGTTATTAACAGTTTCGTGTTGATCATTCTTATTATTATTATCATCATTATTATTATTGATATCAATCCTGTTTTCAGTATCATCTAATAAAGAAATTCTCTTGAAATCATTTGTTGTAGATCCAAGAAGTTTTGCTAATGGGTTGTTGGATAAATCTATGGATGTAGAATTCTTTGTATTTGATTCTTCTGGTGTATCGGGAATTTCTGTTGCCTCAAAAGAATCATAATTTTCTTTATAAATATACCTTTTTTGGTTTTTCTGATTATTTTCACTATTTTTAAACAATTTTTTTTGTTTGTTATTTTGATGTTTGGAATAATTCTTTGTACTTGAATGAAAAGTAGAATTGTCCGTTTTTTTTGGCTTACTTTTAGAACCTCTAAAGCCAGAGTCTGAATCATCAAGAGCCCATTTGGAATCCAACTTGGTATCTTGGTTGAAGTTGGTTTTATTTTGATTGAAGTTGATTCTGTTATTCAGTTCGTTAATTTTGTTTTTCGATCTTGTTGGTTGAGAAGGTTTAACTTCTGGCTCTTCATCAGCCCATTTAGAAACTAGACCAGTCATTCTTAATAAAAAAACAAACAGTATGAGATTTAGCACTCTTGAAAAAAGGTTTTAATGAAAATAACTGAATTTCTATAAAGTTCAATAGAAAATGAGTTTTTTGATTTGAAAAAATTTAATCTGAAAAGGAATATTTAAAGATTGACCAAGAAAGCGAAAAAAATATTTAATACTCAAAATTTCCCCATAGAAATTTGATGAAAAATTCGCTAAACGGGATTTTTGGAAAGGAAATAAAACTAAACGCAAAGCAAATGATAAAGGCCTAAAAAGAAATGAAAATGGAGCCAACAAGTTGCAAATACTCTTTCAAAATGAATAAAGCCAACCTTTCTAGCTATGAAAAATGCTGTTTTGTTCATCAAAGAAGTTCTGTTGAAATTGGTGTTGAGAGAAATCACACAACTGGGTAGTACCGTCAGCGTGGGCTCTGCCACAACATGTGCATACATGTGCATGTAGTAAAACACATCACGTGGACGCGAATTGAAGATCTGCTTTTGAATCCAATGATATAATGTTATTAACTTTAAGATTACTAACCAGATCTGATGTTATTTTTTTAACTGTTTCTTTCAATTTCGTTTATTCGATAGAAAAAGAGAACGTTTGAAAGCATTATTTATTTTGAAGCTGTATCGATTACAATAGGGTACTTTTTTTATTTTGAATTGCCTTAGATTCCAAAGCTGGTAGCTTTTTTTTCTTTTATCTTTTATCGTCACTATTTGATTCAAAATTTGATAAAAGTGGCTAATAGTTTTCAGTTATAGAGTATTTTTTTTTATTAATATCAAACATTCAACATACACTTCATGTCTTCCCCCAATAGGCTTAAGAAATCAGACGACTCTTCAAAAGAGGAGTTTGAAGTTGACCTCTTGCCAAAGAATATTCAGAATATTTCTGTATCAAAATTATTTCATAGAACTTGGGCAGGGACTTTCATTTGCTATCCACAGATTTATTTTCAGCCAAAGACTCTTGATGAAATTATTAGCTTGATTAAGAATGCTAGATCATTTAAAAAAAACATAATGGTTGTTGGTTCTGGTCATTCTCCATCCGATTTAACAATGACAAATTCCCAAAATTGGTTGGTTAATTTGGATAAATTTAATCGTATTTTAAACATTTCACCTCATTCTTCTAAAAAATTTACCGATGTCACTGTGGAGTCGGGTATAAGATTATATCAAATTAATCATTTTTTGGCTGAAAAAGGATTGGCACTACAAAATCTAGGATCAATTACCGATCAAAGTATTGCTGGTGTGATAAGTACTGGGACTCATGGAGCCTCTCCATATCATGGATTAATTTCTCAACAAATTACAGATTTAACAATAATTAATGGCAAAGGTGATTTAATTAAATGTTCTCCTCTTGAAAACCAGGACTTATTTCGAGCATCTTTATTAAGTTTAGGGAAAATTGGGATTATTGTTCAAGTAACTATTCGAACTATACCGGCATTTAAGATCAAATCCACTCAACAAGTAATTAATTTCAACACGTTATTATTAAATTGGGATTCAATTTGGTTGTCTTCTGAATTCATTCGGATTTGGTGGTTTCCTTATTCCAAAAAATGTATTCTTTGGAGAGGAAATAAATCAAATAAACCTTTATCAAATCCAAGAAAATCGTGGTATGGAACCAAATTTGGAAGATTGTTTTACGAGACTTTGTTGTGGTTTTCTGTTCACGTTTACCCCAAGCTTACTCCATTTATTGAAAATTTTGTTTTCAATAGACAATATGGTAAAACTGAAACCTTTTTAGAAAAAAATGGCGGGGACGTTGCTGTTCAGACTTCAACAGATGGATTTTGGTTAGATTGTCTTTTTAGTCAATATGTTAATGAGTGGGCTGCACCATTAAGTAATGGTGTTGAAATTTTGAGATCATTGGATCATTCAATTGAACAAGCAAAATTGAAGAATGATTTTTTTGTTCATGCTCCAATTGAAGTAAGATGTTCCAATACAACATTTAGTGGTGTTGTTACTAGTGATAATTTACCAGATCCAATTGAGTTAAGCAAAAGAAAATATTTAGATGTTGGTGCAATTCCTGGAAATAATTTGAGGCCCTTATTAGATAATACACCAAAGTTGAATTACATCAAACCATTGTTGAATTATAGTTCCAATGAAGATATTTCAGTTATTAATCGTGACAATCAACGATTTGAAAAAAAAACAACTGAAAGTGCCAGAGGAAAAGAAAAAGAAAAAGAAAAAGAAAAAGAAAAAGAAAAAGAAAAAGAAAAAGAATCATTTAGTTACACTAAAGATAATCAAAGTATTGATGATAATCGATCTGAGTATTCATTTATTAGCGAGAAAAATGTTGAAAGCATAGGAGAAAATTATGAGGAGGACTATAATTCCTTGGATACCAAGACTGAAGGCATGGAAAAAGAACTAGAGAAAGATGTAAATTCCAGCTCAATAATAATGATTAATGAGGACGATCAAACCAATATTACTAATTCTCAATTAACATTGTATATTAATGTAACAATGTATCGACCATTTAAAACATCAGTGCCAATTGGTAAGTGGTTTAAGATTTTCGAGGACACATTGGATGCAGCAGGTGGTAAACCTCATTGGGCTAAAAATTTCATTGGATCTGAAACATATTTGCCTAAATCTTTACAAGAACAGAATATAAAAAACAGCAAACAGTATAAAGATGGAGAAATGATCGGGTTTGCAAGTAAAATGAATGAATGGTTTGGCGAAGAGCTACAAATGTATCAACAAATAAGAAGGAAGCAGGACCCTGATGGTGTTTTCTTAAGTGGAACCGAATGGGCGGTCAGAAATGGCATTATCGAAGAATCTGATGTAAGAATCTAATTGAGATTATGAGATGGTGATACGCCCTGCTGACAGTATTGATTAAAGATAGATATTTTTGGTTTTTGATTATTTATGTTACCTTTTGTTACTTTTTGTTACTTTTTGTTTATTGTTGTTTGTGTTGGCAAAGGCCTGTGAGCATTTATATTTCTCGTTCTTGAGCCCGAGCACATATTTTTCTGCAAGTTCCCATTCCTATATATAATCTTCATTCTTCTCTTTCCTCTCTTTCTTCTCAGAGCGTGGTCGACAGAATCCCGCTTCGCGCCCTGGCGGGATTTCGCCAATCTCGCTGAGAAAAATAATGAAAAATAAATGTATAAAGATTTTTGATGTTATCAATTCATCTTTCTCTCTAGCGATTGACCACAATTCAATTACTGGGCCAACTAATCGAAATGAGCAATAACTTTTCCTTTGGAACATTGAAGGACTCTTCCAGTAACAAGCCTCAATCTTCTGGTCTTTTTGGGGGAACTGCAAACACAAATGCGTTTTCATTTGGATCTGGAACCAACACCAACACCAACACCAATGCTGCGACTAATAACAGCGACAGCAGCAACAATAAAGCTGGTTCATTAGGCGGTGGATTCAATTTTGGAAGCAATGTTAATAAGCTGTCTGGTGGGTTTTCTTCATTTGGAGACAACTCAGGGGCGTTCTCGCTTTCAGCCAAAAAGCCTGGCGAGACTTCCAACGCCTTTAATTTTGGCTCTTTTGGTGCAAACAACAATGGCACTAACATCAGCACTAATAATAATAGTAACAATAATAATAACAATAATAATAATATCAATAACAATTCTTTGTCCACTAAAAACACATTTTCATTTGGAACGAACACTGGTAGTTCCTTCAATTCAACCCCTGGAGGTTTTTCTTTTAATACGGGTTCCACCAACGCTACCGCAACTAATCCACTAACAGGTTCAAATACTGGCTTTAATCTAGGCACAAATAAAACTGGCGTAAACTTATTTTCTCAAGCTTCTACAGCTGGAAACAACCTTGAAAATAAAACCGCTTCTGGTGGAGGTTTTTCTTTTGGGTCTAATACTAATCCATCTCAACCAGCAAAAACTGGGTTTTCATTTTCAAGTAATGAAAAGAGTTCTGAAAATTCTAAGGGTCAATCATTGTTCAATGCACCATCTTTGAATGCAAATTCAGATTCCCCAGCCTTTTCTTTTGGTACAACCTCTACATCTAAACCACTGGAAAATATTGGAGATTCAAATAAAACGAGTGGATTTTCATTTTTTGGTTCTAATCCCAAACCTACCACTGCCTTTTCTTTTAGAAATGCCAACACAAATTCCAACACAAATTCCAACGCAAATACTACAAATATAAATACAAACAATGATTCTGCTAAAACAATAGATAAAAGTGCTCCTTCACTTTCCTTTAACTTGACTGGAACTGCTAATAATTCTGGAAATACTGATAGTGACAAGCCAAAGACAACTCCTTTCTCCTTTCAACCTTTGAAAAGTTCCAGCACAAATTTTGGAAGCTTAGCCGGAGATACAAAGAAACAGGAAGCTGAAAAAACAATCTCAAGTGGCTTCAATTTTTCTGGTTTTGGTAAAGAAGATGACTCGACAAACCCCAGCTCAACTAATGTTTCTACCAATAAAATGGATGCTTCCAATCCCAAGCCAACTGTTTCTACTGGGGGATTTCTGTTTGGTGGCAATAAAGATTCTTCTGCAAATAAAACAACTTCAGGTGGTTTTACATTCAATTTGGGTGATTCCAAAAAGGAAGATTCCTCATCCAAGACAACCAGTGGTGGATCCAAAATTTCACCTGAAAGTAATTCATCAGTTAAACTGGATCATAAAACCTCATTATCACAGACAGAAAACAAGACTGAACAAAAGTCCAACGAATTGAAGACCAACGGTAATGAAATCATTAGCACAAAGTCTATCTCTGTTGCACCAGACCCTATTTCGCTACAGAATCAAACAATCCAAGATTTAATCAAAATTTGGGCTACAAAACTTTCATCTTGCCAAAATTTCTACCAAAATTATTCTGCAGATGTTAATAATTGGGATAAGGTCTTAACAGAGAATTCTAAAAAATTGTCTGAATTGTTTGCTGACATTGTGGAAGCAGAGCAAAGCCAAAATAAAATAAATTCCAATTTAATGTATTTGGAAAAACAACAAGATGATATTGAAAAGTTTCTTGATTACTATGAGGACAAAATCAATTCTATCTATTCGAATAGTGAAGAGAACATTTTGATTTTGAATAACGGAAATAAGGGGAACAATAATAATAACAGTAATGTGAACTTGTCAAATGACAGAAAACGAGAGGAATCATATAATAATGCAATTTTGATAGATGAGCACTTAGATGAATTGAGCAATGACTTGACAGTGTTAATCAATGACATCAACGATATAAGTGATGTTTTCAACAAATCTATATATAAGGATGAACAGAAACCAGGCAATGATAAGTCTGATTTACTGCAAGTACATAAAAGCCAAACTAACGAGAGGGATAATGGAAGCGATAATGGATATAAACTATCATCTATTATCAAGCTATTGAATAATCATTTGAATAGTTTAAGGTGGTTAGAAAATAACTCTGAATTATTGAGGGACAAGATTGACACATACAAAAAAATCAATGGACTAAGCTAATAATCATTAGGAAAATGAACAGGCTGGGGTCTAATAGTCACTGAGCATCAAAAGACCTATTGTTTTGTGTATTTGATTGTCATGATTCAGTATGCCTGTTTTTGTCTTGGTATATATACCTATAAACCTATATATTTACTATTACGACCATCATCTGTACGTTGGACAGGTTTGTAGAAACCCAGTGCTCCTGTCTGGAAGCACACGCAGCAGAAGCAGTAGCAGAAGCAGCAGCCACACCACGAGCAACAAGGCCACCACACCACAAAGCCATAACCTCAAGCCATAACCTTGAGGGTGCCAGGGCTGTGAGAAGACTGTTTAAATACTCCCACCCTCGCCCTTTTCTTCCTCCAAATGCTTTGTTTTTTCCACCACCAACAGCCTTCAAAAGAACTGCTCAGTCCACATCTGTAACAACACTGTTGCCTCTTTACTTCTTTCCCATGCCTTCAGAGGACCTTGGTGCTGATTTCCTATGATTACAGCTTTCAGAAATCCACTTCTGTTCTCTAGAAAGGTTCCTTCCCCTCCCCCCTGAGAATTCATTTTAAATTCAAATCATCTTATGGATGGCCTCCAGCAAAAAACTTTTAATTATAATATCAAATTTGCTTGTGTTAAAAAGATAGTCTGATAATCATATCATAGACAATTTCAGAATTAGGGAATCTTATCCCACCCAGAAGTTTCCATTGGTTGATAATATCAAATCCACAAAGTCTAAATTTAAACTAATCTCTTATGTTATTAATCTTTTCCTCAGCATTAAACTAGAAGAATAATCAATTTTGACGATAGAGGGATAATAATAATTATGACGATTATAAAATGGAGAAGTATTACCACTATCTTATTGAGCGATTAGTGTTGAGTTGGCAACGCTCGTAAACCTAAACCGGTAGCTTCTGCAAGGGAATTACAATCAATAACATCCAATAATCTTCATTAAACAAATTAATTTATTTAAATTTATTAGGAGATCATAATATATCTTGATCTTAGATCTTTTTTTCTTTTTCTGTTCATTAAATTAGTGATTCCAGTCATGTATCAGCTTAAACCAATTCCTTTTTATCTAATTCAAAACAGACCAAGCAGTATAAAAAAGGATAGATAAAGAAATTGCAAAAATAACTCAAATCATTAAAAAAACCATATAAATATTGCCCACTTCTCACCGTTTTTTATTCCTTCGTTTATTATTCAATACTGCTGTTTAAATATCACTGTTATCATCAATATCAATTTAATTTCTTCCATATCATCAATTTTAAATTAACTATTTTATTTCTGAAAATGGGTTGTACTTCTTGTTGCCCTTGTTGCTCTAACAATCAAGCTGCTTGCAATATTTGTGCTTGTTGCAAAGATGGCTGCAATAAATGTACTCATTAAAGAAAAAAAATCTAAGATCAAGGAAAAATTGATTTACATCTTTAATTTCCACTTTTATTCCTCCTTTTTTTTCCTTTGCAGAAACAATAAACTTTTAAAATAAAATTTGTTAAAAAAAATACAACTATTCAGGCCAATCAAAGTTCTTTGTCTCACTTGAAATGGCTGTATTTTTCTCTCATTTCATTTATTTTATTTATCTTAATTGCTCTTAAATTGGTCTTTAGTTTTTCTTTTTTAATTATTACTTGAATAAACACTCAATTTACTAAACTGATAATCACGAATTGTTTACTTTTCTTGTTGCTTTTTTTCGTAAGCTATCTTAGAAAATTTGATTGATATTCATTGTAAAAAGCATAGGTTTTTAATAAAAAGTTAAAAAAAATTCTAATGCTAAACCAAACATTAGACATTTCAATAAGACTGGCGAAAATCCATTTAAAACATCAAAATGAAAAATTTGATCATATTAGCCAATAAAATAAGATCAATAAACGTCAAAATTATTAAAAAATCTATTTTGACAAATAAAAATACAAACAAAATAAAAAATCAATAGATAATTTTGTAATAATTTTGTAATAACTTTGTATTTCTATCAACCATCAACTCTAATAAAAATTTTCAACCAATGAAACCTTTCAAAATAAAAATAAGACTACTGAGTTTCAATTTTAATTTTCAGTTTTTGTTAAAATACAATTTGATAAACTTCAAAATAGTAAAATATTCTTGTATATCGATTATTGATTGCATAATAAAACATTTTTTTGTATTGATGCAGTTATAAGGAATGATTAAGCTGATATTTTTGTTTGGTGGCAAGTTGAGAAATAATAAACAGTTTTAACGGTAATGTTTAAATTTTTGTTTAATAAAAAATTGATAAATTGAGTAGTTAACAGCATCAAAGATCTTTGAAAAAGGGAAACATCTTGAAAATACCATAAAAAATTAAAATTTGACTCCTTATATTCAAGAACAAAAATATGAAATAGTTTATATTACATTTCCGTTTGAAGGTCATTAAGCAACTATTATCGAAAAAGAATAAAAAGAATAAAAAGAATTATTTGGATATAAGTCAGTTAAACAAAAAATTCAAAAGGAAAATAAAAATCTCTCAGACTGTTTTATTTTATTGATAATTCAGTTTAATTTCCATTTTCAAAGAATAATCTTCAATTTTCATCATATAGAAAAATTCTGAAAAATATTTTTCTGAGAATTAAACCAAAGAAAAATGTGGCTTTTGAATAAACTGTGTTGTAGAAAGCAATTATTTTTGAATAATAGTAAAAAAAATCGAAAGCGCAGTTAAAACTTCCTTCAAACACATTATAGAAACAGAGGTAAATCCAGAACTATAATAGAAAACAATTAAAAATGCCTTTCGGTTCAAAATTTTCAGTTTGTGGGAATAATTTAGAGAATGATTTAGTGATTAAGTTAATGAATAAAAAAAAATCAAAGCAAGAAAGAGTTAAGAAGCAGAATCAACCATCTGAAATTATAAATAATAATATAAGAATAAAATTTCGGAGCTTTATGAAGATGAGTTAATAATTTTTAAATTAAATTAAATTATTTTATTTTGAGTTTATTTTGAGTTTATTCCAATCAATTGCATTAAAAAAATAAGCTGAAATTGAACAGACTTTTCGTTTTTAATTGTTAAGATTTCCTTCTGGTTAGCAATTTAGATATTATTTAGGTTGTTAATTCCTTGAAAAGTCAGAAAATGTACTCCCAAACTATTAATATTAAACAAATCGGTTAATTCGTCAAAGTTGCACTGTAGGCAATTATTTTGTATTGAATTGAAAAGAAATTAAAGGTGAAAAAGCCTATTCTTCAGCGAAAAAAAACCCATAGAGAACCTTTATCAAAAAAACAACTCAAAGTATCAGTACAGATTTATTATCAAAGGAGACATAGGAAAATAATAAATCTTTTTGAAAAGAATAGACTCAACCAAATAATATAAAAAGGTGATCAAATCTCGCTAGTTTTCTCGAGATTTGTTCATCATCAACGTCTGTGACTTAAACAAAACCTCCAAATCTAACTTCTGTGTCTACCTACTAATCTTCAATTCCAACTTTATTAAAATCAAAATGGGTTGTTCTTCCACTTGTTGTCCATGCTGCTCTGGCAATCAATCATCCTGCAATGTTTGCTCTTGTTGCAAGAATGGCTGCAATCATTAAAAGTGCAAAGCGCAACGCTGTGTCGCTTTGCTGAATGGTCTTCTGGATGCTTTTCTGGATGCTAATTAACCACAATTATCTTTGCTTTTTAAAAACTTCTCTTTCAAATGAAAATTTGAACCCTTTTATCTTTTCGTTCTCAATAAATGATTTTACTTTATAAAACCGAAATTGTAGTGTTTACTTTTTTCCAAACATCGCCGTGTTTTCAAAAAGCACGGAGAGCGGCGTCGGATACGGCCGTGTACTTTACAAACAGAGCATTCGGAAATCGTGTCCGTGCTGTATTTTCCGGAACTGCTTCCTCATCCACACCAAATTCTGCTGGTTTTTGGTACGTTGAAAACGCTCAAAGTATGAAAATGGAGTTTGTATTAAAAACCAAATACAAAACTTAAAAAAAAAAAAAAAACATCTTTTTGAAATTCAATTATTTGTCATTGCTGACTTTGGTTGATGGCTGCATTTGTAAACCAATGGTTGTAGTAGTTAACCAATCGATAATATTCGTGATTTTTACAGTATGAAAATATCATTATGATGTTAATTTTTTCAAACAATCAATAAAAATCGTTTAAAATGGGTATATTAAAAAGCTGTAACCAACTGAACTTAAATTTTGAGGCAAAAGATAATAATTAATTAAAAATGACATTCACTGGAAATGTTTAGTCATAATCATTGCAAATCCAGTGAATTTTTTCATGTCGTGAAAGCAAGATAAAAGCAAAATAAGAGCAAAATCAAACTGACAGACAATTCGAAAAACACTTGTAGTGAAAAAATCAAACTAAATTCAACAGTAAACACAATAACCACAATAACCACAATATATTTTCAAGTTTAATGCCACTTTTATCTTTAAATTGTAGATTTATATAAATACCAAATGTTTCCTCTAGATAAAAACTTCTTATGTGAAATTCACCTTCATTGCACGATTTTTATTTTATCATTGTTTGCAGAAGCCATTGGAAACTTTCATAGTTGAAAGTTTTTCCTTTTAATATCAAAATTGACTATGAAAACAGTTTCTTTCAGTGCAATAAGCATTATTGAAGATAAATATTTATTCATTTTATCTTAATAAATTACAGTACAATTATTTCATCAAATTCAATTAAAAAGTGAATAATTCAAAGAGAAATTTCACAAGTATTTCATTAAAATGAATAGAATGCACACTTCACTTTCAGTATTGAGTCTGGTTTATAACAATATGTCCAATCAATTTGAAATTATAATATTTTTAAGACTTGTTGTTTTGAAATAAAAACTATCTGAAGCTGATAAAGTACAGTAGCAAAAGAAGATAATAATCTTGAAGCTAAAGTTCTGTAATAGACAATCTGAATCTATTAGAAATTCAATTTAACAAAATAAAATTGAAAGAATAAATGTTTGTCTTATTCCTTTTCCTTCTAAATTTCAAAAACGTTAAAAACCTTGACTATTAAAAAAGTCAATAATTTATAAAATGTTTTCTAAAAAAATTCGTGTCATGAAAATCAAATTAACCCCAAGAAAGCCCAAAAAAGAAAACACAGAAATGTACTAATAGTAATAAATGTTGTTAAAGAACAGGAGTAATAAGTAGAGTTTTATTAAATAGATTGATTTTTCCCTAAGTCACAAAAATCATTTTAAGAAACAAGATAGCAGTTAATCCAAAATCTAAAATTAAAAACGATCAAAATTGCAATAAACTGAAATTCAGAAATTAATCAATTTTTTTAAGAATTGAAATTAAGCAGTTTTTTATGAATTTTTATGTTAAAAAATCGTTTAAAGTTGAGCGATCATATTAACCCAAAATGATTCCCAAAAAAATTTCCAGCTTCTTATGAAAACAAATTTATGTGAACCAAAAAAATTTCCATGTATCGCGAAATTAGGCGATCATTTGCTCAAAATACTTTCACTTCTTAACGAATTTTCTATAGCATTTTTTCCTTGTAATATTTTGCTAAATTCTTTTATTGATTTTTAAAAATTTTCTGCAGGAAATTTCACCAAAATCCTTACATTCCAAAAGCAAAAAAAATTAATAAAATGCAAAGTATTAATTTAAAACTAAAACAATTAAGAGCTGACATATTGAAGTAAATAGTAAATTTTTGAAATTCTGATATCGCAAACCTTCGTTGAAAGCATAAACTACCAACTATCGGGCCTGTTTCTAAAGACTTAATGTAAAATTTCTCAAATTAAGAAAAATATTTCCTGAAAATAGAAAGGTTTCATTGCTAGTTTTCCCCAATTTCAGATCATCTATAATATTATCTAAAATCAATAAAATTTAAACTTGTCTCAGTAAGCTTGCAAATCTTATGGCACCAAATTGCTTTTATAAAATACTTTATAGGCACCAACTCCCTTTTAATCTTTTAGAATAAAACATCATCCAGCTGTTCTAGTGATCCATAGTTAATGAATATAAAGCATTTCTTTGTAAATCTTGCTTTTATTTCTTGTAAAATGGTGAGAGTTATCGCCTTTTCATTTTCTGATTGCAACCTATTTTGATCAAGCATAGTTGGTGACTTTGGAGGGAGTCTTCTGTTTCTATTGCATTTGCCCAATGCTCTAGCAAATAATCACTATTGATTTCAAGAAAGCACATCTCCAAAACCTACCCAACTGTTTGTGATTATTATTTCTCTTTCTCTTTATTTCAAAGCACTTCAAATCTCAAAACTCTGTTTGTTTTGAACAAGTCGTGTCTCACATTTCGGCAAATAGCTGCATTGAGTCGTTTGAGCTGTATTTTTTAAAGGTTCTTCAAGATAGCAATTTTCGCTTCATCACTTTATGATCTCTGTTTCAAACAATGCTATAGATTTTTAAATCTTTGGCTGGTGTAAGGCGCAATATCTTTCAGATAATACCTGTTTGTTGGCGAGCAATTGCTTTAGGCTTCTTCTTCGGTCAAGCGATATATCAGATCAAGTTTAGTGGTGAAAAATGAATGAAAGTGCTGAAAACGATCAAAATACCAACAGTAATGACAATGATAACAATAGAGATATGGAAATGCACACTGAAAGAAATGACGCTACTAGTAGAATCACTGATGAACCCATTAATAACAAATTGATTGGTTATACTTCTCACAAGAAAAGAAAGAACAGCGAAAAGGATGCATCTTCCACAGCTAACAAAAGACCTCTTGTTATACCACTCTATTCCCCTGTATCACAAAGCTTTCCACATCAGACCCAATCTGAATCTGAACCTCAACTTCAATCCCACAGTTCCTACCAGTCTGTTAGAAAAATCCATGTTCATGCAACAAGAGCTTCAAGAGCTTGCAAAGCCTGTCGTCGTCAGAAAACTAGGTGCTTTCCCTCCAATTCAGTTGGATGTCAAAGATGCCAATCCTTGGGAACAACTTGTAGCTTTGAAGAAGAGGCATTTTTAAATGGATCCGAAAATATTTCAAGAGTCAGTGAGAATAATTCAAGTCTATCTTCAGTCACAAATTCTGCTATGAAATCAGACTTAAATACAGCTATCTCTAATCCTCTCTTTTTATCCTCCAATTTGAATAATATCAATTCCTCCAGTGCTGTACGCATTGAAGAAAAGTTGGAGTCACTTCAGACTCAGCTAAATCAAATCTTGAGTGTACTTCAATTAACTAAAAGCTCTAATAACAATTACAATAACAATTCAATCAATATCACCACTACTGCTACTGGCAATAGAAGTAATAATATCAATAGCAACTGTTCTGATGATTTGAGAAATGATTTGAGAAATGATTTGAGAAATGATTTGAGAAATGATTTGAGAAATGATTTGAGAAATGATCTGGAAACTAATTCCAGCAATACCAATGCTTATAACACAACTGCGATAGCTTCTCAAACTCACAAACAAAAGTCATCAAACATTTTTGCCAGTTTGTTTTCAGATAATACTGATATATATGATATACAGCCTGACCAATATTTGCACAATGTGAGGTCCTTTACTAGCTATTCTTCTTGTTTTTTAACGTCTCCTTATAATATTATATCTCAGATTGTTGAACCAAGAGATTTGCCATTATCGATTTTCCAGCTTTTCAATCATAAGACTGGTAGAGACGACAGTCTGAATGCCAACAAAAATAACTCAAAGATTGATAAAGATATCATTTCATCTGGAATTGTCACACAGTCTGAAGCATTATCTCTTATGAATGATTTTAGAAATAGATATGGGAGATGGTTATCGTTTTCGGAAAAATTATCAACCTCAAAAATTATCGACATCATTTTAAATAACTCATCGTCATCATTGTTACTAACTGTTTGTTGCTGCTTGGCTTTGAAATTCTCAAATCCGTTACTAAAATCCAAAATTTACAAAATTCTTTTACATAAAATTAAAATTGATTTGAATAAGTCCTTGTTAGAATTACCAAATGACATTCAATTTATTAGAGCGCTAGTAATTTTGTCAATTTATGGTTCAAGTTTAAGTACCAATGGTATTTTGATCTTTGATAGCTGGATATTAAGTGGGCTAGCGTTGAAGCATATGTTAACCATCATCAACTATAACAACAGTTTTCTCAAAGGTGAGTATTTGAAAGGCTCTAGTTACTCTCAACTTGCAAATAATAAACTGCAATACTTTTCGTCCATGTCCAATTTTGCGGATGAAAACGAGTTTGAAGAGCTCACATTATATCGTTTATGGAACCACCTATGCTTTATCCATTTAGTTAGTTGTATTCATAGTGGAAGAATGTGTATCCTTGATGAAATCAGATTAAATCAAGTTCGAAAATCACTAGAATTATCTCTCTCGACCAATTTTGATGGTCGAATGGTCGGGGAGACATCTCTCCAACTCATAATATATAATTATCTCGAAACCTCAAATGAGATTTTTAATTATAACAGTGGTACCAACTCTGGAGGTCCAATTAATAAAGCCGAGAATTTATTTGATAGTGCCGGCAACGAAATTGACACCACTTTGCTTTCTCCTACTGGTTTTAATGGTAAAAATTTGGGAAAGCCAGATCAAAAGCTGAAACATGACTTTAATTTGAAAAAAGACTTTTTAAAAGTGAAGGAGGATCTCAAAAACTGGTCTCTTCAATGGGGTTATCTTTTTGAGCAACCTACTGTTCAATTTGTTGAGTTTGGTTATCATTTTGGATATCTATTAGTTCTATACAGCTGGAACTTCAAGAAGAATGCCAGCTTTATTGAAAGGTTGTTTTTGAATCAAAAAGTATCGTCGTCTAATTATTATTCTGAGAGCGCAAATAGCTTCAACAATGGTAATAAAAATAGGATTAAAAATAACTGCTATATTTCAACCGACGGCCAAAGTGATAAAAATAGTGACTTTGAATTTACAAACTCATTTTCCACTTGTTTTGTGTCTCCATCATTAACTGAAAACTTGAACGATCGGGACCCCTCTTTAAATCTTATTGATCTAGTTTTACTTTTTGCTGACAAGTTATCGGTAAACTCGATGATATACCATTGCTTGAAAATTATTGAAGATATATTAAAAATAAATAACAACTCTTATTTCATATTTTTATCAGATAAAATACATTTTGAGTTAAATTATACTATGTGCATATTGCTAAGGGTATTGGGAATAATTTTTAAAAGAAGTAACTATCAAGCCATCAAAACCAGATTAAACAAGCTAGTTTGTTGTAATTCCCAAAGTTCAAATGAAAGTACATCGCTCGATTCAAGTAATATTTATGATTTGGTGGTTGATTTTGTTAATAATTCGAATCGATTTTTTGATTTAAAAATAAAGTCAAATGTATTCAAGATAACATTATTGAATTTGGAAGAATCCATTTTAAACCCAGAGAGCGTGAATGTTACTGCGAATATGAAATCAAATAGCGGAAAAGTTCAAGTCAGTGAAGCAGATCTAAATTCATATTTGATAAAAATAATGAAAATTTATAGAAAATATGAATCAATTGGAATCCATAGGAAAAAGCTACAGATCACTAGAAATAATAATCGGTCACAAAATTCAAACCTTATGACATCGAATATTCAAAGATTTTATGACAGTGATGATACTCATCTTAGTTTGAATTCTGATATCAGCGATTCATTTAATCAGTATGATAATGGTAATGAAGATGTGATTGTTAAATACATGAATTCAATCAAACACAACCTAAATAGTATTTTTCCCGATTATTTGAATGCGTACAAAAAAGGTGAAAAATACCAAGTGTTTGGAGATGTATCGGAAAACTTAAACCAACCAAACTGGAAATAATTTTATTGTTGTTATATATAAAAGAAAAAAACAGTATTCTGAGGAGATTTTATAACACAATTTCCTTTTTTTTGATAACTGAGTTTGCTGAGATAAGGGATATTTTGAATCCAAAGACATTTCTGAGAGCATTAATGTCTATTAACTTTAAAGGGACTGTAACTTTATCTTTTGAATCAGTATTTAAGATAAAATATTATTGGAGGCCATCGAAATATTTGAAAAATCCAAAATCAATGAAAATTTTTTTGAGAGCTCTCCATTTGAAGCTAAATTTATGATAATATTTGAGAGTTTTATATCCTCTAAAATGACATTTTGTTTATGAAATTCTTCTAGGATTTCTAGTTCTTTAGCAAGTATTTCTTTAACATTACCATTTTTGATGAAGTTTTTGTCATGTTTTAAATATTCCATCAAAATGAAGGGTCTAAACATTTTATAAACTTTAGTGTTAAATGTATGCGAACCATCAAGAAAACCATGACAAAATAATTTAGGAAGAAATTTGGCTTGGTTATCTTTCATTCGATTATAGATTTCTAATTCAATAATAAATTTCTTTAAATATATTTTATAAAAGCTTTCGAATGTTTGAATTGCATTTTTTCTCATTTTTATACTTACAAGATTATCAAAAGGTATGTATTGGGGATCATACACTTTAATCACTTCCTGATCAATGTCTGTGATTATTCCAAACTGGGATGAAACGAATTCGAGGTTTCAAATATTTGCGACCAGTATTTGGTCAGAGCAGAAAATTTGATAAATCTCACTTCATTAGATGATATTTTTTGGAATTTTCGTAAAATCTGCATTTTCATTGGATTGGTATTTGCAATTGGAATAATAATAAGAATTGAATTTGATAATTTGTAACCATTCTCTGTTTTTGTTATATTGTATCTCTTTTAATGAAGATTCGCCATCAATTTTACAATGGTTGTTTTGAGATAAACACCAGGCTAATAAAATTGATAAGCTTACCTTGGAAGATCGATTTACTATAAAACAGTCGAATTTGAAAGAATTGAATTCTGAGAAATTGATGATATTTGATTTTATTTTTAATTTATCAATGGGGTGGATCTGTAGCAAAACAGTTTCGAAGTGATCAAAAAACATAAATCAATTACGGTTTGAAAGTGCGATATAAGCAGCAGCTGTCTTAAGAATTTTTAATGCGATTTGATGGTCAACAAACTGGAGATTGTATCTTGTTGCAACATCATCTGATGAGGAAATAACATGTTGCTATTGAATGTATTGAAACATCCTCTTTATTGGATCACCTATTTTAACCCCAATTAGCAACATGATAAGCTCGTTATCTATAATTATCTTTAAAACAACCATCACAAACATAATTGTTTTTATCGCTCAGTTTGAAATAAGGATGATAAGTAATATCATCAAACAAGCCCAATTCAAGAATAAAACAAAGGCTTCCAAGTTTTGCCATCAAATCATGCTCGATATGATTTTGGAGTTCTCAAATCTTTTAATTGCTTGAAATGTATCGTTGTTGTTATCATGTATTTCAGATCTTAGCACAGATTTTAATTGTTTGCACGAATTGTTAATTATGGTTGAATCATCAATTTCAATAGAAGTAGATTCTGGTAAAAGTTCATGGAGATGGTTAATGATATCGTTGTAGCACTATGAGTTTGAGAGTGTTATTTGTGATGGTTTCGCTTTTGATAGTTTTGCCTGTGCTAATGTTTCTTTTGATAGTCTCATTGAACTCGATGGTGTCTCCAATGATGTTAACCCATAAATGCTTGTTGGTACCTCTAATTCGTCTGCATCATTGTTTATATCATCAGCATTTGATTTGCTGTCAATTTTTGTGTCCTCAACTGGTAGCATGATCTCGTTGGGATTGGGCAACATTGCAAATAAAGCTGTTTTTGCTGGAGAGTTTTCGTTTGAATCTCTTGATAGATTATCAGTTTGATACAATTTCATATTGAATTGTTTTTTCTTTTTTTGGTGGGACCATCATAAACTCTCGAGCTCTTTCTATGAGCTGGGATTATATTATATATGTTCTCTGTAGAGTTCTGCATTATTTTTGCAAAAGTATTGATTACTTTTTGATCATTTGTATCGCCCATCTTGTTTGGTTTGTTTAGAAAATTGATTTTAGTTAATCTTGAAGTTTATGACGAAAGGAAAGCTTGATTATAACGAGCAGCAAGCTTGATAGTGCTAATAAAAACATCAGCACTTTTAAACAATTATTTGATTTTTCTACAGTATTGTGCTTTTGACACTACTTCCAGCTTCATAATCAACAAAGCCGATTAGCGATTAAATTCGCTTTCACTTGAAGCCTACCAGAACTTGATATTTTGTGTGGGTTCATGTTCAAGCTTGATTTTGACAGCAAAACTGTAAACCTGCTCTGCAGCCTAAAATCAATACCAATAGTATATAAACTTCTATAAAAGGTATGACATAGATTTTGCTACAGAAAATTCTATGATTTATTCACTATCTGAATCAAGGTTAGAAAAATAATTTTTATTGGCTTTTGCATTTAATTCAGGACCAAGCCATTCACCTTCCTCATCACTTTCATTTACACTGTGGATAGATTCATCATCAGCGGTTCCATCATAATTAAAGGCATCTTCTTTTAATTTGATTGTATCCTTATTATATTTGGTTGTTCTAATAAATTCATATAAATATTGGCTTCTTTTAGATGTTTCTACTATTTTTCTCGCAGTCCTTTCAATATACCTTTGAATCAATCTCAACGAGCTTTGATATTTAGACTTATTGTTGTGAATGAATTTGCCATAAATATTGAGTATTTCCACCAACCATGTCAAGTTAAATTCAATATGCTGAGAATCAATTGTGAACTCTGATAAAAATTTTAGTAACTTAGGAAGATATATTTCAGGAAAATCTTGCAATATTAATCTGATATCACTAAATGGAATGTGTTCAAAAACCTTTAATATCAAGTGGTTTTCGTTTAAACGAATTGCCATTACTAGAGCGATTAAAAACTTTTTGTCGTTCAACTGTTTCAATATTTCAGTCGACGTAATATTAATATCTAAATCAAAAGGATCAAATATAACCTTGGAATCAATTGAGTAAATAAGTAATCCCTCAGTTGAAGCAGCAGCAAAAGAACTAGAGGTAGGAGAAAATTGAATAGACATCACTCTAATTTCAGGTCGAACATTTCTTAGTGATGGATCTGCACCTCCTCTTGAGGATCCGGGCAAAGCATTATCTATTCTGTCATCCAAATCTGAATTTTCACCATCTCTATCAATCAAGTCAATACTGATTCCAGCTTCTGTTATTTTACTACTATTAAGCATCTTCAAAGTACCGTTTAAACTCATATTTTCAGAAACTTTGAATCGTCTTAATAAAACCCCATTATTAATATCATATAAACATATTGAATTGTTTATTCCGCCAGCCACTAAAGCTGACCCATCAAATGAGTAGTTTATTGTTGAAAAATACTTGGATCTAGCAGAATTTTTAGAATTGAACCTATCTTCAAGATATCTCCCACTAATAACGTCATTCTTAATATCAATATTTCCAACTTGTTTTGCATTTTCAATATCCCAAAAAGATATTTGGCCATCAATTGTGGAAACTGCAACCTGTTTAGAATCAGGTCTCATGGCTAATGCTAGTACATCAGCATATAGTTGAAAAGGCTCAACTTGTTGAGATCTCGAAAATATATTCCAAATTCTTATAGTCTTATCCCAACTTGCACTCACTAAAACAGAAGAATTCTCACTTCCAAATGCTAAGTATGACACAGGACCTTCATGACCTGCTAAAGTTTCCAATATTTGGGATGTTTGTACTGACCAAACATATATTTCATATGTATCTTCGGAGGCAGCACAAACAACTTCTCCAGAGGGATCAACAGCTAATGATGTGAATTTAACTCTATCATTGGTGGTGAAGGTTCTAAAGTTTCTGTAACGAATAATATCCCATGCTCTAACAGTTCCATCTAAAGAAGACGAAAAGAGGACATTTCCTTTTTTACTGAATTGAATTTGAGTAACAGCACTAGTATGTTCACTAAAAGTATTTAGGCAAAACCCCGATTGAACATCCCATATTTTGATTTTGCCATCATCTGAAGCTGTTGCAAGTTTTGACCCATCATGAGAATAACAAACACAATTCATTGAATCAAAGTGGCCTTGCTGTTTTAATACATAAGATTCAGACTTCCACTCATAAACCAATAGCTGACCTAATGTGGAAGAACCAAATGCTAGCCATTCACCAGAAGAATTTACATTGACACTATTTATTGCATTTTGACCCATAGAAAGCTGCTGTATCAAAATGAATTCAGATGCTTCGTATATCCTAAATTCACCAGTTTTAAAACCGACAACCAATATATCCGATTGAGAATGATAAGTTGCACATTTTACTTTAGAATCAGAAAAAAAGTAATTTTTCGATGTTATTCTCCAATTCATTTTTTTATTGGTTAAATCTTGTTTCTGTTGATTGTTTTGACCATTTATACTACTATTACCACCGCTATTATGCTCATCTTCATCTTCAACTTCATCTTCATCTTCTGTATAATTTGACTCATCACTTGGTTTGGCAGTATATTCCCATTTTAAAAGCGCACCATCTTTACTGATGGTGTATATAATTTCTTGATTCTTATCAAAAAAAGCACCAATCACATAATCTCTGTGGCCAGACAAGGTTATTGCTGCTTTTTTGTCTTCAGAATGCAAAGAATATATTCTACTTGTCATATCTTTTGATGTTGTTAGAAAAAACCTGGAATCATTGGACCATGTTATGGATAATATATCATTGTAATGACCAGCGTAAACTCTGTGACGAACAAAAGGAGCAAATTGACGATCTTCATTTATATCTGGAGTTTTCCATACTTGAATAAGTCTGCCAACTGCAACAGCGAAATAATGACCATCTGGAGAAAATTTTAAATCCTGAATTGAATTCTTAAAATTAAAATGATGTAGAACTGTTCTCGACTTGAAATTAACCAAAATAGCTCTTCCATCTTGATCAACAGATAGCAATAAGGTTGATTGTTTATTCAATGCTATTCTGGAAATATTTTTTCGATGCTGATACTCAAAGGTGAAGAAAGCATTATTTATCAAATCAAAAACAGAAACTCTATTTCCAACAGGACTTAATAGAGTCTTTCCATCTTCAGTGAAAACAAGATTTCCTTGTCGATAAACTGTTGCCAAAAGATTGGAGAATTTAAAATCAGATCTCATTTCTATTTCTATTTCTATTCCTATTGCAATTGATTTGGCACTGAAACTTTTTCTATTTCCTAAAAGAAAAAGAATATTCTTCAAAATTTTCACTTTATTGAATTTTTTTAGGATTTTAGCACGTGATCAAATATAATTTTCATCAAAAATATTCTTCAACAGCCAAATCTACAACTATTGTAATAATATCGAAAGAACAGCACAAAACTTAGATATAAAAGATTAGATTTAACATGAGTGGGTTTTCTAGTAGGCTTATGAACATGAAGTTCATGCAAGCTGCTGCTAAGAAAGAAGAAACCGAAAAGATAGAGGAGGAAATCAAAATTATAAGAGATGCATCTGAATGGAAACTAAGTAACTTTGATAGAATAATAAAGAATAAAAACAAGAATAAAAGGATTGAACAAAGAAAATTTCAGTCCGTTAGCTATTTAGATATATTTAAAAATTCAGGGGAAGCAGAACAAAAAACATCAAGTGCTATTGGAAGAAGAGTCTGGGGAGAAACAGAAAGCACGACTCAAGTTGTACAGATTCTGGAAAAAAAGCGAGACGTTGAACCAAAAGTTCCTGAAAACAAAGACGTCAACACAGATTCAAGTCCAAAGAAGAAGAGATCGAAAAAAAGCACAAAACTAAGCACAAAAAAAAGAAAATTTTCTGAGAATTAGTTATTTGGCAACAATAAAAACCATTTTTAATTTTACTATTGTGGCGGAATTTTATTTTAATAGTTTGATTTGAAATAAAACTATTATCAAGGTCCAAATTTTATTATATTGTATTGTATTGTTCTTATAATTTTATGGTGTATATCAAGCCATTTTGTTAAGATAAAGAATATCAGAGGAATAATTGATAATTGATAATTATTTGTCTTTGAAGTTTGTTTTCCTATCCTTTAACTTGTACAAAAACTAATTTTGGCATAAACAAACTGTTGGATGACCATCAACTAGATGAGAATGATTTATTTGAAACTGAAATTAGAGAGTCTAAGACTCATTTTAACAAATTACAATCGGGGATTTTATTCAATCTTTGTATTAACTCACGATAAAATGTTAATCAAAGACACTACAGTCCACTATGTTCTTAAATAGCAAACATAATTGCATGTTACTCTTCCAATCTCCAAACTATAGCCAGTTTACTTGCACCCACATTATCGCTTCTTCAACAACGTTTTCGGAGCAATCTATGATAGCACAAATAAGGTTTGTGGAGGATATTTTGTGGGAAACCAAAGCCTCTGAGAAACCGAACTCAGAAACATTCTGAATAAACTCCATCTGCAACACCTCTGCTCGATATATTCAAACCTGCTCTGCTTGCTATGGTGAGTCTGCTATTATTACTCTGTCATCATTACTCTGCTATTTGCTTTCCATGTCTGATAACATCTGAATGACTCCCAGAGTGTGCTGCACTTCAATCAGAGCTGGTTCGCTACGGCTGTCAAAAGGATCTCACTTCCCTCTATTAACACTCTCAACAGTATTGACCAACAGTTGATTGATCAACAATGGATTGACTGTTCTCTATCTCGACTTATTGCTGGTGCCAGTTGCAATATATAAACACCAGTTTCCACCTCCATATTTCCACACTTCTCTATCACCACACTATACTCACTCACACTCACACTCACACTGCAATCATATCTGCTGCTCTCATATACCGATTTCAACAAGCTTTCCTCAACTCATTCCAACTTCTATTCCAAAATGTCTATCTCTGTTCCTGTTTCTGCTGATGTCAACTTTGACTGTACTTGCTGCTCATGCTGTCCAGAAAACGCTACTTCTTGCAACCTCTGCGAATGTTGCAAAGATGGCTGTGATNCTGCTGATGTCAACTTTGACTGTACTTGCTGCTCATGCTGTCCAGAAAACGCTACTTCTTGCAACCTCTGCGAATGTTGCAAAGATGGCTGTGATTCATGCTCCAAATAAGCATTTGGTTGGTGCTTTTTGATGATCTTCAATGGTTGTCAAATGATACAAGTCTAACATTTACTTTGAGTAGGCATTGATTTGATTAGTAGCTTTATATATATGAATGTATGAACTTTCAAATTATAATATTTCATTTCAGTGAATTGTAGATTTAAGTTCCACATAAAGGTATCAGGTTTCATAATAACTCCAATGTCTGAATGTTTAAGAATCAACTAAATAAAGACTTGTAATGAAGTTTGAAGTTTGATTTGAGGTGGAGTTTATAATAAAACTTTTTGTGTGTATGTCTGAAGAATTATCACGATCAGTTTAGTTACAGCTTAGTGTTTCTAAATCAGTTTTATCTGCAAAATGTGAAATTCCAATCACAATGTTTTTTGTTCATATATTTAGTGCTTAGTCTCTAATATCTAATATCTAACATCTGATAGTTAATATTAAATATCTAGTTATGATTGATATTTATTTGATTGCTTTCTTGTATTCTGGTATCACTAACTAAATAAATTAAAATCTGTGTGTTTCATATAACTAATCAATAAAATAAAAGAAACTGTGGCTGAAAGCCGAATAAACAAAATATAACTACTGTTTATCCACTTCAACAATAAAAATGGCTGTATTTGCACTTTTATATACTTTAATTAATCCAAATTTTCTAAATTTCCACTTCCTGTAATTCTAGTAAGGTATAGAGGATGAATTATCAGGTATCTGAGAAAGACATAGTTCGGCTTTCAAACAATAATTCAAAAAATTTCAAACAATAATCTAATAAAATTTTCAATGATAACAATACCACTCATTATATCTCAACATTAAGATCTATAAATTCTGCCAGACAGTTTCCTGAATTAGAAATCCAATATGAAATCTTATAAACTTTGAGATTAAAAGCTTTGAAACGATTCAATTATGAATTATTCCTGAAAAACATTTCCCTGATATTATTGAGCCATAACTTTATATTTAAAAAATGTTTGCTAGTTTTGGTATCAAAATTAATCATAAATATTTTGCACTTTAATATAAAAAGCCGTAAACAATATCATCAGATAACTTGGATTTGAAAAAGTTTCTTCAAGGAATAACTTCAACGCAAAGGAATTTCACACTAAATCAATAAATATTCTAGAAATATTGTTGTCTTATCTCACAATTGGTTCAAATGATCATTGTTTGTAAGAAATGTAATTGAGAGCTGAATAAAAAGTAATATCAATAAAAATAAAAAGTAATATTAATAAAAATAAAAAGTAATATCAATAAAAACAAAAACAAAAACAAAAACAAAAACAAAAACAAAAACAAAAACAAAAACAAAAACAAAAATAAAAACAAAAATAAAAACAAAAATAAAAATAAAAATAAAAATAAAAGTAAAAATGAAAATAAACCGAAATTAGAATAATACTCATATGAAAATCCCTAGTTCAGCATCCGTAAATAACTCTCGTATTCCAGGCAATCTCTTATCATTACCAGAGATTTTACTTCCATTATTTCCATTGCAGCTGTTACAGTGGCCACCCTCAATATCAATATTGGGAGTGATATTTGGAGCAATATTTGGAGCAATATTATTGTAGCTCCCAGCATAATTAGTAACACATTGATCAAAACTAGCAAGATGATCATTACCACGATAAATTCGAAGAGACCCTATTTGTTTTAAACTATTGCCTGCATAAATTAAAAACAAATCATTTGAATCATCATTCTTACCAATGTATATGGGTAATGGTTCTCTAGTTGAATTACATCGATCATTCAAGTTGATATAATCACCAATATACGTGACAAATATCCCATTGTCACCAAAACCAGGAACAAAAGAACTTTTATTCACGTAACTTGCTTTATAGCTATTGAGTGGAACTGACTTGTATGTTGGCTGAATTAAATTGGATTCGTGCAAAGGATATAAATAGCTGGTTCCCAGCTCTGCTTTCCATGAAAACTGGTACATAGGAATTTTGTGTACATTGGTGTGACGCTCAACATTGGCTCTATAAGGAGATGAATAATCGCACTTGAAGCAGCTAAACCATCTCTTGACCTGATGTACACTGAAATAATGCTGGAGTCTCTCATGGTCAGTCTCAAAACCAACCATGGAGTAAACACACGTCTTATACAGGCATTTCAAATGGTTCTGATTTCGATTTAGTGCCTCATTTCGATCAGGTCTGCTATCCAGTCCACTGCTGCTTAACTGTGAAGTATGAGGCATCATTTAAAAAATAACCTGAAAATAGTTAATGAAGTCGACAGTCTAAGAGCTTTTGATTGATTATAATCGAAAAAAACTGAAACAAGACGTAGAGCTTGTCTTTGAGTATGTGTACGTTGGTCAGATAAGGAGTAAAACAACAAACAGAGAACCTAAAAAAGAGGACCTGAAAGGCCAATGAACCTGCTATTATTTTTCCTTTCATCATTCAATTGAGATTTTCGTGGGTATTTCTTGTGCAACAAAAATGCTCAAGCCTAAAACCTCATTTATCAAGCAACAAGCTCTTTGTCAATCTGCGTCAAAATCAACGTTGCGTCTATACAGTATTGATTTGAAAACAGCTTCTATTTCTGATATTATCTGTTAGAATGCAATCAGTGAAATTTAGCCGATTATCATCAGTAGCTGGAATCTGTTGGTGTTGATAGCTCTCATTTAATTTGTAAACTTCAAGCGAAAAAGCAAAAAAACAAACAACAAAAAAAAGTAAGGACTTAATAAATATGATGAAAAACTGATTTGTACTTTTTTTAAACCAAAACTCTGCAATTCTCAACTTCAGCTCATTGGATTATAATCTTGGACAAACAAACCACTGTATTTCAATCTGACTAAAAGTCTCAAGGGCCCTCGATGGGGCAAAATATATGAAAGTCCACACTCCATGCCGAGCTTCTTAAATTTGCCAGTCAAAATCACAAAACAATTGGCTTCGTTGGAGCACAATGTGAAGTAACTCATTAATAAAGAAATATACAAACCTTCAAAAACACAAGACAATTGCTTCTATTAGATTGAAATGCAAAGTATAATTGCTTCCAATATAAGTAACAAAACGTTCAATGACAATTGCTGAGACCTCACACTTCAGAGGTTACTAGAATCTCTCTCTTCAACTGAGCTTAATCGCTGTTTATATCTTCAATTTATATCTTCAATTGATGTGGAATAAGTCGTTTCTCTTTCCTGACCTATGTCAAAATATAAGTCTTATTCCAGTCTCAAATACCAAAAAAAAAATATTGAATTAAGTTATTGTGATAAAGAACCAGGCATATTGTGCTCAAAACAGTTCTTAATAGAAGTAGCTGTATTTCATATAATTTACCAGATGGTTAACTGAGATGAACATTCTTCTGATGTCAATTGTGTACTCCATTGAAAAAACTCATTATGATAAATTTCTAGAGAGCTATTCAGCCATGTTCGGATTATCTCAACAAACAGACTAGACTGAGCTAAGCTATTGGTTCTCAAGCTTGATAAAACACTAATGTTCAAACATATGTACTGCTGCTTGGTCAAGAAACACTAGATTAAGGATTTAGTAATGAAAAACTTGGGCTTTGATATTGAACCAAAAAATGAATATCCAATCACAAAAATTTCCACTTCTCTCTAAATTAAACATAAACTGAATAAATTTTATTTATAAGGTATTTTCATCGATAGTGATCCAGAAAAGTGCAAAGATTTAAATTAATAACCAGAATTGAATCTAGAAATTAATATTGGAAGTATTTCTTTGGCTGGTTGTCTAGAAGATTTCTAAAGGTATCATTTCTTTACAGAGCATATTTGGTTTATTTTTGATTCATTTTTGATATATTTTTTTAACAATAAAAGAGCAAAAATTGGAGTATATTTAACAGGATTTGACTAACAATATCAGCACTTGACTAAACAATGATATTAATCAATGATATTAATAGTTGACTAAACAATTAGTATCAAACCGCCCAAATAGTCTTGCTGAGAGAAAAAGTATTGAGGTTGTGGAAATAGACAGATTCTATTCAAAAAAAAAAATAGCAATCGATCTTATTGTTATTAGAGTTAATGATGATATTGTTGATGGCAGTTTGAATGATTCTGTGCATTTCAATCAAAAGACAAAGAGTGGGTCCTTGTTTAGCATTAGAAGGGGAACCAAAGAATATGGAAGTGGAAACTGCTGCTGCTTGAAAACCCTTGGATGTCTATTCAGTAGCATCAGCATTTAATTCTTATCCAGATTATTGATTCAGTGTGTTGGTGTTGGTATTATTGTTGTTGTGTTGCACCAAATGCCTTTGAGGATTATCTGGAATATTCTCCTTCACCAGCATTTCTATTGAAGAAACCCCAAAGGTTGAAGCTATCAGCACAAGACTGAACAGAAGGCATTTTACTTCCATGTTTAATAATTGATGAAGACAAAGCAATATAAAAGAAAGCTGAGAAAACAAGAAATACAATGAGATGTGATGTGTGATGATTTATGATGGACTTATGTGTTGCTATTCCTTTGTGTTTGGTTTTCCAGAAAGGTGTTCAAGATTTTAGTTCAGTGGTGCTTTATTTTTTTCAGAGAAGCTGATTTAAAACCCAGAATGCTTCCTTTTCACTACAACAACTTCAAATCACAGAAAATTCCAAGCTCAAAAGAAATATCGTACTTTCATTGACACTATTGCAATTTCTAAGTAATCCTGTGTATTTATCTTCATGTTTATATCCAAGGGAGTGTGCAACAGCATGGTAGAAGTGTTTCTGTCAGCTCAATAAAAATTTTCCATGCTATTTTTTGCATTTTTTTTTTCATTAAGAGCTGATATCTGGTTTCAATATAATCTATGGAGAACCAAAATACAGTATTGCAAATGAAGCAGTGTTTATTGAAGTACTTCATCCATTGATATTTAGATTTTCAACTAGTATTTGATATTTTCCTATTTTCCTATTTTCCTATTTCCTATTTCCTATTTTCGATGAACTGGCAAGAGTGATTTTAGTAGTATCTTTGATGACAACAAAACACCTAGTTTAATGAGTTGGTTTCTCTCTCTTACATTTGAATTCCTATCGATTTTGGAGACTGTGTGTTGTATTGAGATTATCTGTTTGCTATTGTGTTTTAAGGCCCAATAACAAAAGAGTTTGAGCCCAAGTCGAGTGAAAAATCAAGGGCGTAATTTACAAGAGCGATTTTTCGATATCAGACTGGTATGATTGAACAGCAACAAAACAAAAAATTCTGTTGAAACAAGCTTCAAAAACGCCAGTAATTCTACAGAATAATAGAGGATTCAAAAGACATTAGAAGCCATAAAATGTGATTGTTTGGTGATCGCTTGAATTGGAAAATGTCAACTGGCCTATGAGAGAGTTCCATTCACAGCACCACCATTTTAGCCAGAAAATGCAGCTGATTCTGCTGCTCTTCCAAGATACCTCTACTGCAGAACTTTCTCCATAAATTTCTCCATAACTCTTTCAAAAACCAGCTCAAAAACCTCACCTTTCAAAGAGCCTTTGTGCCAAAACAGCAGTTCGGTGCGTGTATGTGTATGTATATAAATGCAGATCCAAGCGTAGTTGCAGAACTGTGCATGCTATGTATTATCAACTAAATGCCACTTTAGAACTATCGTAAGAAAAATTATCTTAAGAACTATCTTGAGAAGAATTATCTTGAGGAAGATATGTCTAAGATTTAGACCGATCTCTTTCGCAGTGCTTTTCTTATTGATTTGCTGCTTTGGAAAGAGAATCAATTTATACGACTACCAATGCTTCAACCTTTGTACAGCTCTGACTTAGTTTTTTTTCTCACATTACTGGAATAATTCAAATATCAGCTGAAAGATCTACATCTTTTATACTCTTGGTCTATTTGATACCACCAATTTTGGTTTTGGTTTTGGTTTTGGTTTTGGTTTTGCAAGAACTTTTATGTTTTAATTGTCGCAATGCTGTTCGGGACATAAAAACCAACTTTTCTAGGAAATAAACCCCAAAGTCATGTCAAGATGGTATGCAAAATGGAATTTGCTGACTATCGCGAGCAAACTTTCAATTTAATAACTAGATATTTAAGCTTAAGTAAAGATATCGAAATCGAATTTTTTATTTATACAGAAATACCGAATCAGGACTACAGACAAACAAATTGAACCTGGCTTTCGATTCAGTTATTTGACTCAAGAACATATTATGGTTGAGTTAATCCAAAACAGTTCTCTGTTTTTAATCTTAAATAGCAAACATAATTGCATGTTACTCTTCCAATCTCCAAACTATAGCCAGTTTACTTGCACCCACATTATCGCTTCTTCAACAACGTTTTCGGAGCAATCTATGATAGCACAAATAAGGTTTGTGGAGGATATTTTGTGGGAAACCAAAGCCTCTGAGAAACCGAACTCAGAAACATTCTGAATAAACTCCATCTGCAACACCTCTGCTCGATATATTCAAACCTGCTCTGCTTGCTATGGTGAGTCTGCTATTATTACTCTGTCATCATTACTCTGCTATTTGCTTTCCATGTCTGATAACATCTGAATGACTCCCAGAGTGTGCTGCACTTCAATCAGAGCTGGTTCGCTACGGCTGTCAAAAGGATCTCACTTCCCTCTATTAACACTCTCAACAGTATTGACCAACAGTTGATTGATCAACAATGGATTGACTGTTCTCTATCTCGACTTATTGCTGGTGCCAGTTGCAATATATAAACACCAGTTTCCACCTCCATATTTCCACACTTCTCTATCACCACACTATACTCACTCACACTCACACTCACACTGCAATCATATCTGCTGCTCTCATATACCGATTTCAACAAGCTTTCCTCAACTCATTCCAACTTCTATTCCAAAATGTCTATCTCTGTTCCTGTTTCTGCTGATGTCAACTTTGACTGTACTTGCTGCTCATGCTGTCCAGAAAACGCTACTTCTTGCAACCTCTGCGAATGTTGCAAAGATGGCTGTGATAAATAATGGAACAAACTCCAAATTATATAATTATTGAAATGTTGATTCTGATAAAATGAAAAATCGCTACCAAAGCTAATTAAATATTATTTCTATAAGTAATACACTTTGAAAAACCTAATTTTGCTGTAGATCTCGATAATTTGTTTCTCTGAGCGAGAACTGAACTTGCAACAGTTTTGTTTTTCTCAGCGCTCATAACACAGTATTTCTTTTTGTTTCTTTTCAAAACTCCAGCTTCAGAACCAAAACCCATTCTTCACAATCGATAATCTCTTTCAAGATATCTGTAGAATTGTTTGATAGCCATGATTTCAAGAGAGCAGTAAGTTTATTTTTTTCCCCCAAAAACTCTACTAGTAGAATAGATCATTACTTACAAATTATGCAATTCCTACAATTTATCCAATTTTACAATTCATACAATTTAGAGTTCAAGATCAAAAAATAAGATCGTTGAAAGGTCTATATGAATGTGAAGATTTAATGGAAAAATGTGAAAAAGAAACAGAGATATTTAGACTAAAAAATTTAACCACTTTTTTTCAAAAACGTCTGAGGTATATTTCTGATATTGAAAAATTTTGGTATACAGTTTTAACACAAAATGAAGATTTCGAAGAATATATAAGACCAGAAGATTCAAAATATTTGGAATATCTCAAACGTTTACACATCAATTGGGATGTACTAAATAATCCACAAAGTGATATTGGTGACTTTTCAATTGAGTTTGAATTTGTTAGTAATGATAATAATTTTAAATCTCAAATAATTAAGAAAATTTTTAAAGTCGAAAAAACTTCAAAAATCCACAATAACAACAGTAAATTAGAAACATCTATCTTGACTTCTGTACTTGCAAAATTCGATTGGCCAAAAGATTATAATGACCTACCTCCTCAAATCAAAAAATTGAGTTTTTTTTCATTTTTTGATTGGACTGGAAAAAATGAAGAAAATGAATTTAAAAGTGGCGATGATTTAGCAAGGTTGTTTTCCGAAGATATCTATCTAAACGCTATTAAATATTATGTTGATGCTCAAAAAGATAGTTTGCAAGATGAAATAATTAATGACAGCGAAAGTGAATTGGAACTAGATGCCAATGAAAGTAGTGGATTTGATTTTAATGGGGGAAATGAGACTGATACTGAGATTGAAAATAATGATATACATCAAACCCACATAAATAAAAGACCCAGAGATGTTATTGAGGTTTCTCATGGACTGACAAAATATGTTAAATTACAGAAAACAAAGTAATTATTTTTTATCCTATAATAATTCTGAATGAAGTTAGCTATAGTTATTTGAATGAGTAAAGCTTTTAAAAATACAAGAGTTACCAAAGAAAAACAACAATAATAATAAAAAGAAATAAACACTTTCTACATATTAATTTGTAACTTCTTTCATTTCTTGATCCTCCAATTTTTGTTTTAAATTATCTTTTGGCTCTTCTGTGTATGTTGAACCAGTTGAATCAGTTAAATCAGCTAAATTAGTTGAATTTTTTAAGTTTGTTAAACCATCATCATTTTTATCTAAATTTGTATTTCTTATTTTTGAGGTAGTTTGGATTTCACGCAAAGTATCTTCAGATGCAATGGAATTATTTGTTTTGGTCTTAAGACCAGTCAAATCAGATAAACCAAAACTATCGTCTAAAGAAAATCCGATTTCAATCATTTCGTGATCAATTGGTATATCTTCTATGCTTTCAGGGTTTTTGACCATGATCGGATCAGAAGAAATTTTTTCATCATCTAAATAATTATTATGCTCATCGTAAACATGTAGTATTTCATCTTCACTACTTAATCTTTCCTCTTCTTCCTCTTCTTCGTTTATTTCCTTGATATGTTTATCCGTAATCCAAGGTATTTTGGTCATTACTAAATTTGGTAGCTCATCGTTTGTTACGTCTTTTAAATCAAGAGGAAGAAAATTTGTAATTTCTTCAGATGGTTTTCTTGCATCATTACTGTCACTTATATTAGATCTTGTCAACAAATTTGGTTTTGAGAATTCAATTTTGGGAAAATCATCTATTGAAGAGTTGACAAATATTGAAGATTCTAAACCTCGTAAAAACTTTTCGGGATATCTATTTGAATAATATCTGTTTGGTTCTAAAAGTAATTCGGCGATTCTGAATATTGTAAAAGGAGGAGAATAATAAAAAATGTCTTTTAGATAAGCTATAACTCTATTAATTATTTGTTGAATCAGCTCAAGCTCGTTCAAAAGAGGATTTTCAATAAAAGTTGTCAAGGGTCTATTGAAATTTTGAGTTATTAAAGCTGGTAATTCCAGTTCTATTTTTAATAATAAAATGTTCCATGGTAGATTCTTTTCACTATTATAATGCTTTTGTGCTTTTATTTGAAGCAAAGCGGTTTCCACTATCAAATAAAAGTTAGTATATCTGAAAGAGAAATCGAATTTAAACGAAAAAAAAAACAGAAATAGTATTATACTTACAGTCTTTATCAATCATGATCAAAATAGCTGATTTGGTTAGTGACTGAATTAAAGATGGATTTAAGATGGACTTGATGTGGATGAAAGTTGGTAAACAATCCTAACTTGAAAATTTCAAAACTTCAAAGTTTCAAAGTTAGAAAATTGATATTGTCATGTGGAACTAAAAAGAAATCTAATTTGCAACTTCTACAATAAGAACATTTAAAATTAATCATTAACTATTAAAAACAGTATACATTATATGAGTTTGTAAGATGATGGAGTAAAAAAAAAGAAAATTAAAAGAAAATTAAATAGAAAAACAAAAACTGTAGAAAAAGACGCGAATAAGTTCCAAAGAGAGATTCAAGCTTAACAAGAAATAACACCAAAGGTGAAAAGAACTAAAGCAGTGGCCAATGCTTTAGTAGCAGCATTTTCTTTTGAACCGTGGTATGTATATGGTCCAATTTTGTTGGAACCTGAAGAAGATGTTTCAGTTTCAGTTCCAGAAGCAGAAGCAGTATCGGTATCCGATTCAGTCTCGTCATCAGAAGCAGCAACTGAGGAGGATTCAGAGCTGCTAGAAGAGGAACTAGCAGAAGAACTAGAACTTCTTCTGGAGCTGGAACTGGAGCTGGATTGAGACTCAGACTCAGACTCAGATTCAGATTCAGCAACCGAGGTAGCACTAGCAGTAAGAGAGCCACTGAGAGTTGATGTAATTCCTCTTGAGCCATTTGAGGTTTCAGTTGCATCAGAATCAGTTTCAGTTGGATCAGAATCAGTTCCAGTTCCAGTCTCAGTCTCAGTTTCATCCAAGTCATCTGAACTAGAAGCTGCAGAAGTAGTGCTAGATTCATTGGAACCAGAAGCAGTAGTAGATTTATCATCATCTGGAGTAGATGTAGATTTATCATCATCTGGAGTAGATGTAGATTTATCAGCATCAGAATCAGAAGAAGTTGTCGTTTCTTTTACTGAAACACTTTCATCATCATCACTGGCTGAAGTCTCTGAAGTAGAACTAGTTGAAGTTGTGACTGAGGTGGTCGCTGTGGTGGTTGGCGAAGCATCAGTTTTGGTGTTAGATGAAGTTGGAGTTGAAGCGGAGATCGTTGTTTCGGGAGTCCACCAGACAGTTCTATCAGGAGTCCACCAAACAGTTCTGTCAGGAGTATACCATTTTGAATCATAGGAATATGTTTCTGGATTGAAAACTGGAGCCGAAGGAGCTTCTACTGACTTGGTTAAATCACCATGAGACCACCAAATGGTTCTTGTTGGAGTCCACCATGTATTGGCGTTAGGTCGGGAATCTTTTTTGACCAAGTATTGTTCATAGTCTTTGCTTGGGTCCTTTTTGAAAAGATTGAGAGGAGAAGCAAGGACAGAGGATATCAAGAGAGCAGATGAGGCAATTTGAACAGATGAGGAAAAGAGCATTTTTTTTCAAATTAATCAAATGTGGTAAAGTGTTTGAGTGGTTGGGTATTGAAAGAGTAGTAAAGTAGTTGTAGCGAGTGGGAGTGAAATATAAGCGAAGGTAGCAGTTTTTTCGAGTTAGATAAAAAAAAGTAGAGAAATTGATTTGAAAAAGAAAAATATTATGAAAGTTGTAGAAGCTATAAATTTATCAAGACGAATAAGAATTTTAAACTGGTATGAAACTAAGTTGTTTATAAGGAAAAAAAAACGAAAGGGAAAACAAAGCAAAACGAGAAGAATATTCGAGTGAAAAAGAAGATTTGCGGCCTTCTGTAAAGAGTAATTGGATTTACTATTTTTGACCAAAAGGTTGAGAGACAAATACCAAGTTGAGACGTTGGAACTGTGGATGGTAGTTAAATAATGGTTGGATAATTGACGAATAATTAACGAATAATTGAATAATAGTTGAATAATAGTTGAATAATAGTTGAATAAGTTTGAATGATCATTGAACAAATCTGAACAGACGTTAGCAGTCAAATTTCAAAACAAAAACGTTCTCGGCCAATGAAAACGGGATGAAAGTGTTCAAATAGTTTGGGGACTAGAAAAAGATTGGAGAAAATGAGGCAAATAAGCCAAATGAGATAAAAGGATTGTTGAGATAAGAGAAACAGTGAGAATTATGGTGGTAAAATGCAGCAAGAAGCGATTTAGAGGATAATATTTGGGAATATTTGGAACTGAGCACAATTTTGTCTCCTTTGACCTAACTTTAAATGGGCGTTCAGCTATAGAAAGGTCAATTTTTTGGTATTTTGACCTGAAATAAGCATTGTGAGCTTGTTATGCGATCAGTGAATGCTATTAGTAGTGGGTATTATAAATAGCACCAAATACAAAAAGACAGGATTTTAGTAGCATTAATGGACAGTGGAGTGTAAATATATAATGGAAAAACATGCGTGGTTTAGAAAAGAATGAAGTGGGAATTATAAATTGGAATCGTGAATTAAACTCAAGGATTTAATGTATGTATCATAAATGAAAAATCGTCAAACACATAATAAATAAAAAGTAAAACAAAAAATAATAAACAAAAAAAAATAATAAATAGAAAATAAAAGATCAAAGATAAAAGATAAGACAAGACAAAAGAGGAAAAACTAGTCAACACTTAAAATAGTTTTCATGCACTTTTCTTCAGCAGCATTTCCGAATTTACTGTAAGCAGTTTCAATTTCATCTAGTTTGAATCTGTGAGTGATTAGTTTCCTTGGGTCAATTTGGCTGTTTTGAATAGCGTCTAGCAATTGAGTAGTTGAGTAAGCAGATACTAAGCCAGTTGAAATGTTGATGTTTTTGATCCACAAATCTTGTAGTTGCAAATCAACTTTTGAGCCATGCACACCGACGTTAGCAATTCTTCCACCTGGAGCAATGATTTCTTGACACATATCAAAGGTTTTGGGAATACCTACACATTCGATTGCAGCATCAACACCTGGCTTGATGCCTTTTCTCTTATCAGCAAATTCAGCAGTAATTTTGTTGATTTCATCAAGTAAAGAACCGGAGATCTTTGAAGGGTTGATTGAGTGGGTTGCACCAAAGGAGGATTTGGCTAGATCTAAACGAGCATCATCCATATCGATCATTATAATTGCAAGAGGGTTGTAAACTTTGGCAGCCAAAAGAGTAGCCATACCAATTGGACCACAACCGATGATGGCAACAATATCGTCTTTTTGAATTTTAGCACTAATGGCGCCAACCTCATTACCAGTAGGTAGAGCATCACTTAACATTAATAATTGATCATCGGATAAGTTCTTTGGGGCGTTTATTAGGGAATAGTCAGCATGGGGAATTCTGACATATTCAGCTTGAGTACCATCGATTAGGTTACCGAGAACCCATCCACCATCGTTGCAGTGAGCTTGGATGTTTTTTTTACAATAGTTACAAGTACCACAGGAGGTTATACAGGATACGATAACTCTTTGACCGTTTTTGAAATTTTGAATATTTTGACCAATTTTCTCGACAATACCAATTGCTTCATGACCCAAGATTCTACCAGGTGTTACTTCAGGGACATCACCCTTCAAGATATGTAAATCAGTACCGCAAATAGTAGTTGAGGTTATTTTAACAATAGCATCAGTTGCTTTCAAAATTGTGGGGATTGGGACCGATTTCCAGGCTTTGAGGCCTGGGCCGCCATAAACCAAAGCTTTCATCATTTTGGACAAGAGAAGAAAAAAAAAAGAGGGAGAGAGAGTTAATTGAGAAGGAATAAGAGGAATTAAATGAAATTAAATGAAATTAAATGAAATTGTTTTAATAAAACAAAACAAAACAAGAGTGGGAGCTATTAAATGTGTGTTAAAAGAAAAAGAGAGACTGGGGAAAACAAGCTGGGCATTAGGAGCATTTAAATACAATTGAGAATTGTACTATCCCTCAGAAAACATGTCAATTCAGAGGAAAAACAGACAGTGGGAACACTGTAAGTGATGTGAACAAAAGGAGAATAATTAGTTGGGAAAGTCCTTATGGAAATTAACTTTACAAATATTCATTTATTCGGAGTTTTAAAGACCCAAATCACCAGTGCAAAAAGCAAGTCCAATACTCTCCACAAAAAGTTGATTGAAACATAAAGACTGAGGGAGATAATAACTGCACTTGGTGGGGTGTTCGCAGTGCCAGGAAATAGAGCGCAGAAGAAGCAGGGGAAGCAGAACGAGCAGAGCGAGCAGAATATGGAGCACCTCCAACGGCTTCAGCATCTCCAGCACCTCCTCCAGCTCAAACGAAAGTCCAAAAATCACGCGCCAAAGCGCGGGTGCCGGCACGGGGTATGCAAATCAAAGCACCCGCTGGAGTGGTCTTTGCGTCTTTCAGTCGTGTGCTTCCTCTTTGGGACGCTTCTTTTTTGGTTGCTCTTCACCCACGTTCCAGCGCGCTTCTGATTCACCTTCTCTTCTGCCTTTCCATTCATCTAATCCATCTAATCCACCTTCCTCACCACACATATTTTCATTGTCCTGGATATTGGATTCTACACAATGTCGTCTGCTATCTACAACCGTTCCTTGACAACCATCAAGACCGAGCTAGAGTTCCTTCAGGAGTCTGGCATCATTACCCAGAGGCTCTACGACCATTTCATCAAAACCTTGCCTGATCGTTACAAAGTTGGCATGTCTGCTGCTGACTATGCAGACTATGTTCCAGCTGGAAGTTCTCCATCTCAACCTACTCTCCAACAGCCTACTTTCCAACAGCCTACTCTTCAACAACCTCCGGTAACCTCGTCTACTTCCTCAATCGATGTCTTGAATAAACAAGTCTCTGCATTCTCACTCAATGACAACACTAACAATCCTACATCTAACACTACTCCTAATACGACAACTACCCCAATACCTGAAATCTATACCTCAAATTCTCCCTTAGATTATTGTGAAGCTCTTTATGACTACTCACCACAGGAACCTTCTGATATTGATTTGAAAGCAGGTGACATCATTCAAATCTCTGACTTTGTTTCCAACGACTGGTGGAAGGGTAAAAACATCACTAAGAACAATGATAAACTTGGTATGTTCCCATCAAACTACGTTAAAAGAATACCTCCACCTGCACACCTACAACCCCAAAACCAGCAACAATCTCGTTACCACCAACCTGAACCTCTTTCAGTATCTCAACACAAAAGCTTTTTCGAAAAGTCAACTGAAAAATTAACTCAAAAGATTTCTGAAAAATTCCCTGATAACAGAACCAGCACTCAACAACAACCTCCCTCTTATTCTTATCCATCTCCACCTTACCCCCCTGTTCAAGCCCAACCCCAGTCTCAACAACCATACTATCCTCAACAACAACCTCTTGCTCCTGTTGTCTATGGTCAACCACAAAATGGTGCAGTAGTTGTCGATCAACAACAACAAGAACAGACTGATAAACCTGTTCCTGAATCTGTTAAAAAATTCGGTTCCAAATTAGGTAACGCTGCTATTTTTGGTGCTGGTGCAACCATAGGTAGCAATCTTGTTAACTCGATTTTTTAATTTACTTTTTCTTATTATTAGTATATATTACAATATGCAGATATATATATCCATTGGTTTTATTTTATTTCTTTCCTTTCCTTTCATTTCTCTTTTACTCCATTCAACATACTACAAATAAACACTCAGTCATCATCATCACTATCACTATCACTATCACTATCAATAATCACTTCAATTCTACTTAGAATTCCGAATTGCCTTCACATCCGCTTCCAATTTATCACATTGTTTTTTCGCCTCCAATAATAATGTAATATTCTTATTCAATAAATCAAAATTTTCAATCACAGAACTCGTAGGCATACAGGGTTTTAGCGCAATTCCCAACTCTGTTAACGTAGCGTTGATTTTGCCCAACAACGTAGTCTTATATGTTGCTATCCTCGATGACCTCAAATGTGCTGCGCTTATCGATAGTTTTTCTGTTGCTCCATGATACTTAATCCCGTACATCGCTTGATCTTTTACTGACAAATGTTTTGCTAATAATCTTGATATTGGATCATTCAAATCGACTCCATTTTGGTTGACTTGCTGATAATCCGCTGGTATTGAACTTCTGATATTATTTTTAATATTCTCGTTTTTATTTTCATTGTTGTTACTATTATTTCTATTAATATTATTACTATTTCCATTCTTATTCTTACTATCATTATTATTCTTTGGATTTCCACTATTATTCATTCCTTTAGATTCAGAAGATTTATTCGTATTTTCATTTTTAATTTTTGTTGAATTACCATCCTTCCGCTTTCTCGAAAGATTTTTGTTTTCCAAAATTGGCGTATTCAGTCCTGATTTAATAATCCTATTAACGTTGCTTGGTGTGGTAGCAGATGAACTATTATTTGAGTTATTTCCATTCCTGCCACTTCTACTTCCACTTCCATTTGCATTGCCATTACCATTACCGTTACCGTTAACAGTATTAATTACATTGATACTGCTACCATTTGCATTGCCATTTGAGCTATTGCTATTGCTATTGCTATTACTATTCCCATTAACATTACTCAAATTACCATTGCCATTAGAGCCATTATTAGTGTTTGAAGCCATAAACTGATTATATAACAGAGTTAAACCAGCAGAGTTTTTATAAGCGTTAATATTACCATTTGCTTTTGGCGTATCTAACAACTGCAATAATTGAGCTCTTTCAATCATAATCTTTTTGGAGTTTTGTTCATATTTTTTAGCTTCAATAATCAAACTTTCTTCTTCAGCGATTTCAGCAGGATTTCTGTTTAGTAACCTTTCAAGATAAAGCTTTCTATTAATTTCGTTGTTTCTATCAAAATTTGATAAAGATTGAATCAAGTTTTTCTTATCATCAGGATTATAATAAATATCAAGGTTTTCATCAGTTTTCAATAAAATTTGTTTTGAAACATGATAGAACCTCTCTTTCAAATCTTCTATCAACCTTGCTTTCCGATGAAATACTAGATTTTTCTTATCCGAGAAATTTTTAGAAGTTTTAATTTTGTTATTACTTGGAACAATATTTGGAATGTCTTCCTTTTTAATTTTCACCTGTGATTCAACTTCATTATTCAAGTTTTTTTCACTAGTGTTATTTTTTTGATCTTGATCTTGATTTTGATTTTGATTGTTTGAAAGTTCTGTTATTTTTTCAGTGATTTCGCCATTTTTCGCCAGATTTGTATTAGCACCAGCTTGATCATCTTCATCAATATCCGATAGCTCATCTATGTTTGAAACAAAATCATAACGGTCTTTTATAATAACCCACTTTAAATCATATAATTTGCATATATCAAATAAATATTGAGTTTCTTCGTAAGACCAGGTATTAGATTGATTTGATTCATCATCAGACTCAATAAATTGATCGTAAATCTTTCGATCAAAAGTAGGTATCCTCAAAGAAACATTATATTTCTCAAAAGGATATGATTCTTCAATTTCCTGGTGGTTCAATGGATTTTTAACCCAGTGCTTTAACAAAGAAAGATTTCTATCATTTTCATTATTAGAAAGAATTAGTCTTGAGTTGTTTTTGAATGGTAATCTGACCCAATGGGACACTTTGAATTCCTGAAGTTTCTTCTGGTCAGTGATAGTGTTGGTTTTATTAAGTTGGATGGAGGGTGTGTTGGGACCTAGCAAGCTGTATAACTCTCTGTTCAAGCCGGAGAGTTTTTGCTTAGAAGGGAGAGGATTCAAAGGATCAACTGGGAGCTTTCTCTTCTTACTATTGCCATCCAAGGTGTCGTTGAGTTTAAAGGCATCGAGGATATCCGAAGTGGAGGAAGCTGGATTCATGATGGATGAGATGTAGATTTGTAGCATCAATCAAGTCTCTCCAGCAAATGCACAAAAAACCCAATGCGACGGGAGAGGTAGATCCACATCCGCATCCGTACCCATAAACAATCCAACCCGCGGTGCATCAAAGGCTCCTAACCACTCGGAATGTGCTGTTCTTGAATTACGTGACTTCATGACATAATCACTGCACCACCAGAATTGGTTAATTACTGTAAAAAGCAGTTTCTCCAAAAGGCAACTGCCTCAAAGTCAAGTTTTATACTGAGAACAACTAAATAAATATTAGATATATAAGAAAGACAATTTTCCTTTAAGAAAAGAGAAGAAAAAAAAATGCAGGATTTATAAAATAGAAATAATAAAAAGCTAAAATCAATAACTAATAGTAAAATAAATAAATAACCAAAATTTTATTTACATTAATTATTGAAGGCCCTAGACCTTAAAACAGAAAAGGTCACATGACTAATGCGTGACTCTGGTCACGATATTCTTATTTCGCGTTGCTTTTTCCGACGCGCGTGAGAGATGCGCTTATCGCTGATAACCAGCACCTTCACGTGGTCTTATCTCACTGTTGTGAGTCTTGTCTCACCTCTTTTCAGTGGCGACGGATGGCTGTTGCCCATTTCTCGTCTTCTCAACACTATTTAAGAAGCTTATTATCTTCTTTTTCTTCTCTTCTTGCTCTTCTTCTTATCTCTCATCTCTCATCTCTCGACTTATTCTTGTCTTGTTTCTTAATTATAGCTAATAAGACACTAGAATACTTTTTTCCTTTTCTCAAACTCTCTTCTGCTACAACCCTCAACTCATTTGCTTTTCAATATGAAATTCTCCACTTCTTTACTTTCCTCCATCGCTCTTTTTGCTGTTGCTAATGGGTTGGTGATTCCTCAAATCAAGGATCTTCAAGACGTTTTCAGTGTTCAAGTTGAGTCTGATACTCAGAAAGATATCCAAAAATCTAAATCTCCAGTTGAACTATCCCCATCTTCCCTCAAGAACGACGATGTCGATGCTGATGGCCTTGCTCCTTTGTTTTCAACTGACTTCAATACCATTATTGGAAAGTATATTGTTGTTTTAAAATCACCCGAGGATCTTGATGCTCATTTATCCTCTCTCTCTACTTTATCCAATTTGTCCAATATGGAGAATCTTATTTCAGATTTTGATATTACCAAGTTTTCTATTAACTCATTTGCCGGTTATGCCGGTTATTTCCCTGATTATATGATCAATTTATTAAGAAAAAACCCTCAAGTTGCTTTCATTGAAAAAGATTCTAAAGTGTTTGCAAATGAATTTGACATTCAAAATGGCTCCCCATGGGGATTAGCAAGAATTTCTCACAGGGAAAGATTGACTTTAGGTACATTCAACAAATATCTTTATGACAACGAAGGTGGTGAAGGTGTTACCGCTTATGTTATTGATACTGGAGTTTCTGTCACGCACAAACAGTTTGAAGGTAGAGCCCAATGGGGTAAAACAATTCCATTAAATGATGCTGACATTGATGGAAATGGTCATGGTACTCATTGTGCCGGTACAATTGGTTCTAAAGATTACGGTGTTGCCAAAAAAGCCAAAATTGTTGCTGTCAAAGTTCTTAAGTCTAATGGTTCTGGTACAATGTCTGATGTTATCAAAGGTGTTGAATTCGCTGCGAACTCACACATCGCTGATTCCAAGGCAGGCAAGAAGGGTTTCAAGGGTTCAACTGCCAACATGTCTCTTGGTGGTGGTAAGTCCCCTGCTTTAGACTTGGCTGTCAATGCTTCTGTTAAAGCTGGATTGCATTTTGCTGTTGCAGCTGGTAACGAAAACCAAGATGCTTGTAACACCTCTCCAGCAGCTGCAGAAAATGCTATTACTGTTGGTGCTTCTACTTTGGGCGATACAAGAGCTTATTTTTCCAACTATGGAAAATGTGTTGATATTTTTGCTCCTGGTCTTAATGTTTTATCTACTTATATTGGCAGCGATGAATCAACAGCCACCTTATCTGGCACTTCTATGGCTTCTCCACATATTTGCGGTTTATTGACTTACTTCTTATCCTTATATCCAGACTCTGATTCTGGTTTCTCTGCTGCCTCATCTATCACTCCTGCTCAATTGAAGAAGAATTTGATTTCTTATGGCACTGATGGCATATTATCTGACATTCCAGATGCTGAAACACCTAATGTACTTGCTTTCAATGGTGCTGGTGGTAACTTGACTCAATTCTGGTCTACTGGCTCTTCATCAAAAGTTTCAAATTCCGATTTTAAAATCACTCAAGAATTTGAAACCAAACTTGATTCTTTTGTTCAAAACTTGGAAAATAAATTGGAAGGAAAAGCAAAAGAAATTGAACAATTAATTAATGACTTACTTTAGGATTATTTATTTTTTAAAACTTCATTTCACTTTGTTTATTTCGGTAATTTTTTATTTTTTACCAATTGGTTTTTATTTGCTACAATTTCTTGAGCTTTTATTTATTTTTTTGGGGATTGAAGACTTAACATTAACATTTCCTATTTACTACTTATGACTACTTGATATTTTCTTTTCTATTATTTGTTTTTACTTTGTTTTGTCCTATTTTTTTGTTTTTGTTTTTTGTTAATAGTACAGGCTACTATATTCAAAGTTCAATTAAAAAAGGAGCCAAGAGTGACATCTGGTTTTTCATATATTTATTATCAATATACTACATTAAACTTTTTATACTTATTGTAGACTATTGGCAGTTTTGGATCGTATATGTTGAAAATTGGTAAATTAATTCTTAACGAAAGTAAAATAGGTTTCAACACTTCTTTGACGAATGTTTAAATATTTGCAATGTCTAAAGATTAGAGCTAGCTGGCTGCCTACAAAAATTGAAATTCTTTTGTTTTAAGATTATGGATTTGATTTGATATACTTCAACATTAAATAGAAAGAGTACTTATACATTAATAATATTAAATGTCAATTGACTAATTTAAGAAATGCTTGAAATATATGCCATAACTTTAAATACAAAAGAAAGAGAATTAAATATTATATAGAAGAATAAATCAAATTTAAATTAAAATAGATATTTATTGGTATTCACTATCACCAACACATTCATTAACAGTTACTAAATCAGTGAAGTAACTGCTAGCAAGTTCAATACCAACTTCAACATTTTGGGCAACAATGTCATGCTCCAACACTACACCTGGACCTTGAGCAATCCAAGATGTAGCTTGAGAGAAAATTTCTTCAGGAGTGATATCACCACCAGCTAATTTCCAGTCATTGGTATCATAATTCCATAAAACAGATCTCATACCGAATTTTCTAACAATAGCTCTAACTCTGTTATCAATACCACCGTATGGGGGTCTAAACCATTTTGGAACATGACCACCAGCAGCTTGCATGGCCCAAATGGACCATTGAAGTTCACCAGCAATTTGTTCGTTAGTTAAAGATGGTAAGAATGGATGAGACCAAGTATGAGAAGCCATTAAGTGACCTTTAGCTAAGGTAGCTCTGTAAATATCTGGGTATGAAATGATATTTTGACCTAAAGTAAAGAAGGTAGCCTTGGTGTTAAGATTATTAATCAAGTTGGTAGTGGTAGAAGCTGGACCATCGTCAAAAGTCTGAGCAAATCCACTACATGAGCTGACATCATCGGAGGCAGCACATTGGGTACAATCGAATGCACAAGCATCTGAAGAGGGGCAAGTACCTTGTGAACGAATTGGAATATCGGGAACATCACTAAGATCAATGCCAGTTCCTGAGACGAAAGGTGCAAGAGCCCACTGTGCAGGCCAATCAGTACGGCCAGTCAATTCAGCCAACCATGAAGGAAAACCAGTCTCAGTTGGAACAGAAGATGAGGAGCTGGAAGAACTAGAAGAACTGGAAGAACTAGATGAACTAGATGAACTGGAAGAACTAGAAGAACTAGATGAACTGGAAGAACTAGAAGAACTAGATGAACTGGAAGAACTAGATGAACTGGAAGTAGAAGAAACATCGCTTGATGAGCTGGAAGCGCTTGAAGAAGTTGAAATAATTGAACTTGATTCACTTGAGGAGACAGAAGTTGAAGAAGGAATAGAACTTGATTCACTTGATGAAGCGGATTCAGAAGCGGATTCAGAAACAGAACTAGAAACAGAACTAGAGACAGAACTAGAGACAGATGAACCTTCAGAGGAAGAAGCAGAGGAAGAAGCAGATGAACCTTCAGAGGAAGAAGCAGAGGAAGAAGCAGAAGAACCCTCAGAAGATTCAATATCGGAATCAGATGAAGATACGATTTCAGAAGAGGATGATGGGCCGGCAGAACCAGATAAGGTTGTAATAGAAGATTCTGAGACAGAAACACTTGAAGTGGCTGAAGCGTCATCACCTAAAATACTTGAAGAAGAGCAAATTTCATCCTCGGTGGTGTCAGCTTTTCTGGTATAGTAGTAGTTATATTTGGTTTTGTAGTAGTTTTTAGCCTCATAGCCTTTGTAGTAGATTTTTTTCAATTGCTTTTTAGCATTGTTTGATTTTGGCAAAATATGAGCATGTCTAGCATCAGTTGGGAGAAGAAGTGAGAGTAGTAAAGTCGAAATGGTGAGAAAAAAGAGTAAACGAGTGACAAACATTTTGAAATGCAACTTGTGGTTGATTTTATTTCAAGAATGAATTTTAATGAGCGAAGATAGTTGGAAAAAAACAGCTTGAGAAGAAAAACAGAATAGACAACAGAATAGCATTATCAGATTATTTATATATATTTCAACGAGGAAAACAGATTCCAATTCAGGATATGTAATTGCAATATGGTGCTTCTAATTTTAATATTCTCGAGAGAACTCTTATGCAGCGTTACAGCGTGCAGCATGAGAATAATAAGAAACTGAATGAACTGAATAGTATGAGCTATGGGACCGCCAACGAGGATCAGACACAGACCAAGAAGCGAAGCAGGACAAGAATGAAATACCCAGAAAGGTGTATGGGAAGTTGAGTTGAGTCTGTTCTGGAGTGCTGGATGGGGCTGGATAGAGAAGAAAGCGAGAGAACGGGCAACATGGTGTTTGGGAGGGCGTGGGCCTGCAGGAGCTTGGTTGCAAACCTGCAGAAAGCCAAGATCACCGACCCTAAACACCTGCCATTGTGCAGCAGAATGCGTGTCCACCGTGCCACGCAGAGGTGCCTAAGACACCAGTTGGGTTTGATCGAACAAGATGCTTCTGGGAGAAGAGGTGATTTTGCTGCGCCAGCGTGGTACTGGCAAAGTTTTTGAAAGCATCAGAGTCTTGATGTTGTTCCACAGAGATCCAGCTTGGTCGAAAACCAGCTACCGACTGTTAAAGCCACAAGTAAACCGTACTAAAAGCAGTACTAAAAGCAGCACCAGAAACAATGCAGGTCTTCAGAGTCTTGTTCGCGTCTTTGCTGCTTCAGTGCTTTGTTTTTGCTCTTCTAACCAAAACACTAGAGCCCAAAACGGTCAGTTCCAATCCACTTTTTGCCCAAAATCAAATTTTAAGATAGAAAAATGAAAAGTTGTTTCACAGATTTGAATCATGTTGACTCATATTAAATTGGCAGAGTTTAAAGTATAACGTTGGATGTTGCAGTGAGCCAGGCATGGTCACATTATCCTGAACTGGTATGATTGCAATGTAAATTAAAAGATAAGGATGTAGTCGTTATACTTGGCTCTTTAAGTTTAAGGGACTAAAGAAAAGGAATGTGAAACACAATACAGACTAGGCGGCTTTGAGTAAAAAGACGGAACCTGAATTGCGTGACTGGCCCCAAAGATACATTTATTACTGTTTATTAACATTTATTACCATACAAATCAGCAGCAGTACCTGAACAGTGGATTAGGATACAGAAGAAAATGCTTTGTCAGCAGCGATGAGAGCATCCTACTGTTGGTGTGTCGCGCTGAACACGATCCTGGAAGCAATGCAACATAACTGTATTTTCTCCTGTTGCTTTTCGTGAAAATAGACTTTTGAGTGTGTGAAGAGCAATTAGAGTTGGACTCAAACTTGGCTCATAAGGTAGCGAACTTGGCTTCTGATTTGTGCCCAGACTTGGCTTCTGAAGTAATACAAGACGTGTGGGATTGGCTTCAGTTCTAATTACGGAATGACAACTGGTTCCATTGGCTCACCATCGTCCATCATGTTCTCTAATGCACCAATTATTGGAAGTGGTAATTGCAAATTTGCTATTGCTGGAATGGTTTGTGATTTGGTAAGGTATTTGCTAGATGTGCTGGAATTCCCTCGAAATCAGATGGCATTTGCTGTTGTTAGGAATCTTGTGTTTCCATGGTTTTTAATCATATCAAGGGGGCTTCCGCACGTTTTTTCTTTTTTATTCGAGTTAGAAGCAGTATTTCTTGTTTTTTCGTAACCGTTTCCGCTAAGCGTCCATCCTTGGCTGCTTCCAAGATTAGCAGGCTCAACACTACCACTGGTTCTCTAAGGTCCTTGTTGCTTTTGGTGTGCCGGAGTCTGTCTTTCGACCTCCTCCCTAATTCTGGTTTTTAGCAGCTATTGACTATTTCATCGCCGAGTATTTCACTCCCTAAATTTTATCTTGCTTCTCTTCATCGTAAATTACGATTATCAATTTATGATCTCTTAAATCCGTTTGATTTTCTTCCAACTTGATTGCGCCCAATGGACTCAATTCCACTATCAGTTTCTACAAATGCTCTTCATCCGTTTTACGCTCAGCTGCCCATGAAATTCAAGTTGTCTTGCATCCATTGCTTATGCTGATACATTACAAATCTCCAAATTTGTGACTAAAATTTGTTTGACCATATTTTAATCACTCTTAGATTTATTCGGCAATTATTCTGTTTTTGTTCTCTTGTTATCATTATTAGCTTGTTTTTATGGTTTAATTTCAGTTTTCAGCTCTCCAATGTAATCTGCTCGCTTCTAAGAATATACAATTCAAGCACAAAAATTACTTGACTGTTTTAATTGAAATAATAATATCGATCTATAAATCTTCGAAATAGCCCTCCCCTTCCAACTTCTTTCTCTCTCCTCCTTTCTCGTACTAAACATCGCTACGTAATTCTATTTTCCCTAATTCTGTTTTCCTCAATTATTCTTCACAAAAACCGTCACGTGGGAAAATTCTGATTTTTCAAACCTAAATTTTTTTTTTTATTATTACGTTTATTTTTACTTTTGATTCTTTAATTTTCAATAAAATCTATCTAAACTAGATTTTTCTAAATTTTTTTTTTTGCTTTCAAAAATGAGCCAAGATAAGCCAGCCGAACAGAGATTATATGTTGGAAATATATCACAATCATTAGTTGATCAAATTGATGACTTACAAACGAGATTTTCAAAATTCGGTGAAATCATTTCTCCCTTTGAGATTAAAACAACCCAAACTTTTCTAAATAATGTCTACTTTGCTTTTATCACCATTAAAATCAGTCAGCAGAATCTATCCAAATTAATTTCCTCCTACAACAACGTTAATTTCAAAAATAACAAACTCATCGTTCAATTATCAAAGTCTCCTCAATTTCCTCAATCATGGTTTATCGATCAGAATTCTCTAAATGCAGTTAAACAAAACAACAAAAAACTTCAACTATTATTAAAAAGAAATAACATCCAATATAAAAGAGAATACTACAAAGACTCTTCCTCTAAGAGACTAAATGACGTATTCAATCTACTCCATGGAAGAGAAAAAAAACTTTCCTCCAATAATACAATCAACAACGTCACCTACAGAATACGAATAAACAAATTAAAACTATCCTCCAACCAAAAAAAAAAACTAAATCAAAATGGCTTTTTGGTTGTCAAACCAAATCAAAAACTAAAATTATGGGGCTATGAGAAAAACAAATCAACTCAAGATCTAGTCCATACCTATAACCACAATCTAAAATCTTGGCTAGATGGTTCCGGCCATATAGTTGAGAAAAACTCCTCTCATAATTTTAACCTCGATGATTTTTCTCAAACTTCTCAAAAGAATATCACACTAAATAACCAGATTTCTAAAAATAGTAATACAACCGAATCTCTTAATAGTATCCATGATGATGATGATGATGATAATTTAGAAGAAAGACACAAAAATCTCGAACTTCTTGGAACGTTTATGCAAAACTTTGATTTTGATAAACAACTTTCTTTCGAGGACAGTGATACTGACTCAGAAAAAGACAAAACCACTTTACCATATTCAAAATCACATTCAAAATCGGATACTGAATCGGAAACTCAAACTTCTAAATCAAATCATAAAACCATTCAATTCAAGGAGCTTGATTCCAATAGAGGCGTAGTAGTTTTTACTAAAAATAACCAACAATTTGATTATGGAGATGACCAAGATTTTCAATATGAAAGTGAAAGTGAAAGTGAAAGTGAAAGTGAAAGTGACAATGGAAACAAAAATTACACTAAAGAAAAAAATCAGCAGTTCTCATTGAAATCTTTGTTTAATTCAAACACAAACGACACAATATCAAATAATTTCAAATTGATTGAATCCGATGATGAGGACATCGATCATGAAGCCAACAAAAAATATTTCAACCATGCAAAAATTGATAATCTCAATAACAAAAATAATGATAATGAATCAACCTTGGAAGATACAGGTACTGAAAAATCAGCAATTAATAATTCCCAACAACTCTTTTTTGAAAAAACACACGGTTTGTTTTTTCCACACTATGAATCGCCATTTTTGTCTACACAATCTCAACTAAGTAAATTGAAAAACACAAACGTTCTTGAGGATGATTTTTTGAGCAATTGGGAAAAAGAATTTGAGGATAACAGGCTTGATTGGGTAAAGGCCTTTAAAAGAACAAAGAAAGACACTCTTAAACGATACAGAAAGCTAAATAATCTCAAATTAAGAACCAATATACTATAGATATTATATAGATATCATATAAATACTGAAAATATCTCAAAAATTTCAAAATAAATGCAGTTTGAAAATGGATAAATATATCATCTAGTAAAATAATAACAAATCAACTTTACTAACCAAAAGTTTTCAAAAAGATGCCTCTTGCCAGAATTGAACTAGCGACCTTTGCATTACAAGTGCAACGCTCTACCACTAAGCTAAAAAGGCTATTTTTTGGGAAACAACTTAGAGCTTTATATATAAAGCTCTTATTATACTTTTTCAAAATAATTTATCTAATTTTTAGTTTTATTTTTTTAATTTAATAAGTAATAGTTTTATCTACCGACTAATAAATAACACCATGCAAGAGCCCCAATAGGTGTGTTCTTAGCAGTTATTTTTTTAAAAAAAAAAAATAATTTAATAAGTATATGTACTTACTATATTACAAAGGTTTTATTTTCTTACTATATACATTAATAATAATAAAATCTTAATTGAATGTTTGAATAGAATTTTTTAAGTGATCTTCCATTTTTTTAACATACTCTTTGTGTAATTTTTCAAGTTGAGCAGAATATTTTTTGCCTAGATCTTCATTTTTCATTTTTTTGATATCATTTAAAATTTTGGATCTAATATTTTCCAAACTCGTTTTATTCAAAGAATTTTTGAACAAATCCCGATTGGTTTTTAGATTCTTAATGATTTCCTTATTATCTTCCAAGGTTCGAGGAGGAATTTCAATTTTCAATTGCTGCGAATTCTTTGCATCTACTTGAGGATTCAAATTCAATTCAGACAATATAGCCGATATCACATATTTAACATGGTTGGGATCAAATACATCAATGACTATGTTATTACCAACTTTAGCCAACACTTGCGCAACTTGTTTAAAACGGTAATCCACATTATGAATCTTAATCGTCAATTCATAAAACTTTTTTCCATCATACTTCCCTTGTTTAATTAAATTTGAAGATTTCTCATATTCTACAATCACCTTTTTGAAATCAGCATCCACTGCTTTGATGTCAAGTATGAAATCCGGTTTATCATCCTCTTCAGATTCTTCTTGTTTTTGATGTCTCTTGCTTTTCGAATTTGACCCCTTTGTTTTCGATGCTTTTTTGCAGACAGTTCTAGATGAAGAAAAACATCTCTTTTCACCTGAGAATGTGCAATTTCTTTGATCAGCTATGAATGGAGAAAAAAAAGCTGGTTTCACGGACAGTGTGAAAACCAATCTCTGAACACAACTCCAATTCTTTCTAAAAACAAGCAATCTCGAGCAGTTCGTCCTCATAATAATAGCACTCATTGTAATATCTCACTCAAAACCTATTCAGCTGAACTCAATTCAATAGCTGGAAGAGAAGCACATACAAAAATTTGTAGCCCCCAAAGGTTACCCGCAAAGCATTAACTGCTTCGGCCGCGACTCGAACCGCCTACTTTTGAAACGCGGTGCTGATTTACCCTTGAAATCATTGGGAGCTCATCGCTTGTTTTTCGACCCACAAAGAAAGAAAACTTTTTCTGGATGGATTTTCTGGAGAAGAAAAAAAATTTTAATGGAGATGACAACGATTTTATTAATCGCAAAGATTTCTTAAACTGCTTCAGCTGTTTCGCTTTTGATTATAATTATTATATTTTGAACATATTCTTTTATTCCTTTAAACTTTTATTTTTAGCTGTCGTTGGAGATGTCTTTGAATATCTTGTTACTTGGTAATGGTGGTCGTGAATCTGCTTTATCCTATTTCTTAAACAAATCTGATTCTGTGAGCAAAATTTATATTGCCCCTGGAAACGCAAATCAAATTAAAAATTCCAAAATTGAAAATGTCCCAATCAATACTAATAAATCAGATTTCCCTAAGTTGTTAGACTTTTCCTTAAAAAAAGACATCAATTTAGTTATTCCAGGCCCAGAACAACCTCTAGTTGATGGTATTTCTAAAGTTTTCCAAAACCATGGTATTCCAGTATTTGGTCCATCTGAATTAGCTGCTAGAATGGAAGGTTCAAAAACTTTTTCAAAAGACTTTATGAAGAAACATAGTATTCCCACCGCAAAATATCAAAATTTTAGTGATTATGAAAGTGCAAAAAATTACATTGACTCAATTGATTATGATATTGTCATCAAAGCCTCCGGTATTGCTGGTGGTAAAGGTGTTTTAATTCCTCAATCCAAACAGGAGGCCTTAGATGGTTTGCATCAAGTTATGGTTCAAAAAAATTTCGGTGATGCCGGTGATGAAGTGGTTATCGAGGAATTTCTTCAAGGCGATGAATTATCAATTTTAGCCTTTTCGGACGGTTATACAATCATAGATTTACCTCCTGCACAGGACCACAAAAGAATTGGAAATAATGATACTGGCTTAAATACTGGTGGCATGGGGACATACGCTCCTGCTCCTGTTGGAACTCCAAAACTATTAAAAAAAATTAGAGAAACTATTCTTAAACCAACAATTGATGGTATGAGGAAAGATGGCTTTCCATTTGTTGGTATGTTATTCACCGGTATTATGCTAACTAAGTCCGGTCCAAAAGTTTTGGAATATAATGTTAGATTTGGAGATCCAGAAACCCAAAGTGTTTTACCTCTTCTTTCAGATGATAGTGATTTAGCTCAAATTTGTCTTGCTTGTGCTGAACATAGATTAGATTCCGTTAAAGTTGATGTTAAAGAAGATTGTTTTGCAACTACAGTTGTTATGGCCGCTCAAGGTTATCCGGAATCCTATAAAACTGGAGATGAAATTGTAGTTGATTACAATAATTTACCTCAAAACTCTTACATTTTTCATGCTGGAACTAAATACAATTCTGAGGGAAAAATCGTCACCAGTGGTGGTAGAGTTATTGCTGCTACTGCTTTTGGAAAAACATTAGAAAAAGCTGTTGCAAGTGCTTATAAAGGTGTTGATTGTGTTCACTTCAATGGAAAGTATTTTAGAACGGATATCGCTTATAGAGCTTTCAAAGATCAAAAGAATGTTGTAGCTAATTCAACTATTACCTATGAAGATGCCGGTGTTTCTGTTGACAATGGTAATTTGTTGGTTGATCAAATTAAACAAAAAGTCAAGTCAACACAAAGACCTGGTGCTGATTCTGATATCGGTGGCTTTGGTGGTTTATTTGATTTAAAAGCTAGTGGCTATAGTGCATCTGAAGCTCTTTTAGTTGCTGCAACTGATGGTGTTGGTACAAAACTAATAATAGCTCAAGAGATGAATATTCATAATACTGTTGGAATTGATTTGGTTGCTATGAATGTAAATGACTTGGTTGTACAAGGTGCAGAACCACTATTATTTCTAGACTATTTTGCTACCGGAAGTTTAGACATTAAGGTAGCTACTGATTTTGTTTCGGGTGTTGCTGATGGTTGTATTCAAGCTGGATGTGCTCTCATTGGAGGTGAAACATCAGAAATGCCTGGAATGTATGGTCCTGGTCATTACGATACCAATGGAACATCTGTTGGAGCTGTTTTAAAATCAAATATACTTCCAAAAACCAACATAATGTCTAAAGGAAACGTTATTTTAGGTTTAGCTTCAAATGGTTTACATTCCAATGGTTACTCTTTAGTCAGAAAAATCATTAAAGTTAAAGAATTATCGTGGTTTGATAAAGCTCCTTGGGATTCTAACACCTCTGTCGGTAAAAGCTGTTTAACCCCAACTAAGATTTATGTTAAACAACTATTGCCATTGATTTCCAAAGGTTTGGTTTTAGGTTTGGCTAATATCACCGGTGGAGGATTAGTCGAAAACATACCAAGAGCTCTTCCTAAACATTTATCCGCTAAAATTGATATGAAATCTTGGAACGTTCCTGAGATTTTCAAATGGTTTGGGAAAGTAGGTAATATTCCTACAGATGATATATTCAAAACTTTCAATATGGGTATTGGAATGGCTTTAATTTGTGAAAAAGCTTCTGTTAATCAAGTCACTAAATTGTTAGAAGAATCAGGTGAAACAGTTTACCAAATCGGTGAATTAATTGATAGAAACGATTCAACCCCAGGCTGCTTTATTGAAAATACCAATTCACTATACTGAAAAATTAATTAAAGCTTTTCTTCCTTTTTCTTACGATTTTTTTAAGTTATTATATTTATAGTTTAAATTGATATAATAATATTATTATAGGATATCTTTTCTACAACCATAGCCAAAAGGATTATAAAAAAAAGTACCAAGAAAATAAAAATATAAAAAAGAAATGTATAATGAAGTTCCCAAAGACTAGCAAAAACCAAAATAAACCTCTTTCTCCCCATGTAAAATCAACCACGCAATTGTTTCATCATTAGCCTATATCCTTTTAAACCTTTTCTAGAGTTAGAACCAGAAAAATTGGGCTGAAATAGCTGCTGAATATTTTCAGGTAATTCATTCTTAATATCATCCAAGTCAAAAAGTTTAAAAAATGTTGGAACCAAAAAAATTAGTACAAACAATGATAGTAGAAGTAAAAATATAATAGTGTACCAATAAATAACGACGGACATTTTTCTTTTTTGTTTCCTTGAGAGCACCTGAGGTCGTATCTGCCTGCTTGGTTTTAGCCAGAAAAGCATCAATGAGTGCCAGCGATCAATGTATGGGATTAGTAAAATGGGGATTTGTATAAATAAAAGCAAATGTCCAAGAATGAAATCGCCAGAAAACATACTCATTTCAATAACCTTGCAAAGGAACTCCCTTATTGGTTGTGTTACTACATTCCAGCCTAGTCCAGCAGTAACCCATTTTCCAGACCACCATGCTCTATTGCTTCTATCATGATTCATTTCTCTAGTAAGAAAAACCGCAATTACAATCTTGAACAAAAGACATTGAACCATCATGCAGCTACTGGCACCTAAAATTGTTTTGGAAAAATCCCATTGTTGAATAAACCACAAAGCTTCAAAGAAAACAACATAATTAATCACAGAAAGTATGTGGGCAAGAGTAGCAATTGCGGCAGGAACTTTAAGACAACAGCAGCCCAAAATTGGACCAAAAATGCACGAGAAAACAAAAAGAATAATGAGAACAGCCATATTAACGAAAATAGGCCCAAGTGAAAAAATTGCAACTCTTAACAAAATATTACTAGGTGCCCCAATTCTACTGTCATTTTGAGAATTTGAAAAAAAATATGCAACAAGGATTGACAAAGTTGCAAACAATTGGGTACATATTTGTGAAAAAAACAAATTAGTAACTGATGGCTTTTTAAAATCAGAAGCAAGATTATCTCCAGGTTTCCCAAGTTTCTTTCTTTTTGATCCAGTAATTTGAGTTCTGATAGTTCGAACATAACTTATCCAAGAATCATGATACCAGGTAGTGTTTCCTCGAGAAAGCCACCTCAAATAATTTTTGTAATCCAAAAAAAAATCATTATAAGAATACTGGTTAGGATTATACAAAAATGGACAAATGCATAAAGCAATAATAGTAATCCAAAACCATAATAGAGCAGTTTTCCACATTGAAATAGAGCAAAAAAGTAAAATTGGTAAATTTGATGCACCAAAATACAAACTTTGAGGAGCAAAAGTAGAGTATAAAACAGAAAATGGAATACGAACTGTCGCAAAACCTCTTCCAGTAGCAATGTAACGAGCACCGCCAACAGCTAAATCATTAACCAAGGATTGTGCATATATTTTGCAAACAAAAACTTCAAAGCAGGGAGATAATGATGCAAAATGTTTTCCCAAACGAGTAAATGCTTTCCACACACCACGTTCAGTAAGCTCTTGTACCATAAGTGGAACAAATGAAATGGAAAAAACAATAAAAATAGAAATAATACACCTTTGTAACCACTCAATAGCTGGAATCAAATTATAACAACCACTAGGTTTATGTGGATCAGTAATAGGTCTATTTCGGTCGTATTCACAGATAACACTTTCATGAGTAAGAGCAGCAAGATTCACACTCACAATCAAAAATAACTTAACTGAGAGAATGATGAAAACATTATTAAGATGAAAACCTGGATGAGCATAGTAAAATGACAAAAATCTATCTAATGGCAACTGGGTCCCAAGATAAAAATATTCTCTTGACAACATTTGCTCACCCATGCCTGCTCCAATCTTTGTTGTAAAATTTAAAATTGAACCAAATCCAAGATCACGACCTTTCCCGCATTGCATATATTCGCAATGTTTAATCCTGCCTCCTCTGATCATAGCATTTATTCCGGCATAAATATCTTCATTTAAATGTAAACCTTTTTGTGCTTTTGAAACTCCTCCCCTTGTAGTCATAAATGCCCCATTTAAAAAGTCAGGATGGCCATAATGAAGTTTCCCACCAATTTGAGCAAGAGTTCTTGCAAACAAAGTTCCGAAAGTTTGTTCTTTTCCTGCTGCAACATCACCTAAGATACCAATATTTTCAGAAAAAATATACTCTCTAGTTCCAATTATAGCTACAGGATCATAATTGGAGGTAATTTTGTCTATTTCAGGATATAGATCAGTTCTTTGTTCATATTCTTCAAACTCAGCTAATACGTTTCTAATCTTAAGACACTCTTCTAAATAGTTATCTTGATTAGCATCTACTAACTGGATATATTCTCCTCGACAAAATATCAAAGCATGGTTTTGATTGTCACTTTTACCATCCCCAAGAATAGGATTTCCAGAAAGTCTTATTTTATATTTCGGTTCTCTTTGTCCATCGCCTGAAATTTCGCAACTGCCATCAATTAGAGAAGAATAATAAACTACTTCACCGGTATCCAACTTTTCTTCTTCAAGATAAGCTATTTGAAGTTCTGGATATGCTCTCAATAAAAACTCCTTATTCTCTTGCTCATCTTTATTGAATTCGCACATACGTTGCATTGAAACGATTATCCTAAACTTCCTTAAAGCCATGACTGCAGCTCTTTCCAACTTCAACTGTTCGTCGTTATTAAAGTCTTCCAAATTAGGGTTCTCCACATCGTACAAAAGTTTGATGGCTCTTGAGTAATTCATGAAACCGGATATAGTTCGGTATAAAGTTTGAGATCTTAAAGAAGCCCATATTCTTGTTCTTAAAATATATTCAGGAGTGGCCGACTTAAACCCAACACAATAATAGGGCAAGTCATCATAAGCTTGTTTATCAGAGTTAAATTCCTCAGAGAGCCCGCTTTCAATTTCCTCGGCTAACATTTTTGTGTCTTGGACAAAACATGACCATTCCAAAGGATGAAGCTGTTTCAAGTATTCAAGAAGTGTTACATGAGAATACTTATCTTCTTCTCTAATTATTTCTCTCAAAGTTAAAGTTATTTTCTCGCTATAATGGGGAATTAGAACAGTAAATGTTGGCATTGAATCCGTTGAACAAGATTCTCTCATGGGAGTGGACAATGATTGAGCAAAAAAAGTAATACGTCTTTGTGCTTCATTTTGTGTATCAAACAAAGAAGATTTTACCGATTTGTCTTCCTGAGCAACAAAAAATGAAGGTTCCTTCAAAACATTCCCATTTTCTGCTCCTGGGGTAACTATTTGTTGATAAATAAGTCTTTGAACATGTTCTAAAGAAAGCAAGTGTTCCCGATACATTGATATAACTATTGAGTTCCATACTTGAGAAACTAATACTTTTGGTCTAATATTACGATCATCTGTAGAAATAATTTTTGAAAAAATTCTCTTTGGTAGTCTTGAAAAAATATTTCTCCATGGAGTCCAAATTGAAACTCCTATATAAAAAGAGCGACAAACAGAAAATAATGTGTTCCAAATGATAAACCATAAATAAGTGTCAAGGAAAAACAAAACTAAATCTGTCAAGAACATCAAACCAATAACCATAAAAGGTTGATAAGTACATAAAGTCTTCCCAAGGATAGCATCTCCAACACACTTAGACATTCTCATGTTACTTAACTCACGAATAGGATCTCTTAATGAAAGTGTCATAAAAAAGTAAGATTCCAGTAATTTTGCCAAAAAGACAGCAATCCATAATCCATAAGAAGATAGAGCAGCCTTTCCTTGAAGTTTATGAACAGAGGAAGTAAAGGTTTTTGTGGGAAGATATTTTCTGTCAGATTTATTCATGTAGGAACCAAGCAAACTTCCTAATGGAACAATTGAAAGATAAATAACAGTGAAAATTGATATTAAAAACTGAGAAATAGAAATCCCTAACGCTGCTTTATTTGGTTGGTTAATTGGAATAAAACCCAAGATATAAATAGAAGGAGAAGTGTTAATAGCAAACAAAAATAATAAAAAAAGCATTCTTGAGGTTAATGGTTGTGCACCGGGCCATTTTCTTGGAACAAATCTATATTCACATATGGTGGCGATAATATTAATCAAGCATGCAATGGAACCACCTAATGCCATCACAGTGAATCTTACCTGTGATAAAGGCTGATTGTTTAGTTGTTGCTGATAGTTTTTTGTGTATAAAGTGGGAGAGTTTAAGGAAGTGTAAAACCAATAAATAGAAGTATGAATAATCCAAATTCTGTTGAAATTAGTAAGAACATGAAACCAGGATCTACTTTCTTTATAAGTTTTATAAAATACTTTTGACCAGTTGATATCTTTGAGTAACAAGTATCTTTCGTGAGATTTGTAGTCTAACAAATGGGACTTGTTTTTAAGAACCAATTTTTGTAAACCTTTACGATACCAAAACAATTGATTTATATCATCATAGCCAATTATTTTAGAGTGATCTTTATCTTTGTGGAGATATTTTCCATTTGTTAATTCGTAAACCTGATCACGATAAAAATTGTATAAAGGGGTAATAACATGATCGAGAAATGGAATAGAAGGCCTAGCAATGGGTTGAGATAAATCAAGAGAGTAGTAGTAATCATTGCAGCATTTAAAAATGAAACATAAACATTCAGGCATAAATCTGATATTGTTTGATTCGCCCCAACACAACAAATAAAGTGCTAATTGAACAATACAATCGTGAGAAGAAAGATTTTTCATGTTGATTGCCCATTTTTTTTTAGATTCTTCAATGGAAAAGAATTCCAAACTAGTTTGGTCAAGTTTAGATCGAGCATTTCTCTTGAGGTCGCCGTCACTTTTTGTATTTTTAAAACCAATAGTGTCATCAATATCTAATTGAGCAGCGAAATACCATTTTTTGAAGTTTGAATTCGTTCCTCCAATATAATCAGCATGTAGTGATCTTAGAGCAAGATGAGGCGGCATTCTTGAGCCTCTTGAATCCAATAACCTTAGCAAGTGATCAAACATATTTTTAGTGTTATCTGATTGAAAGCCAAATACATCACTCAACGAGATAAATATGTCTTCAATCTTTTTTCTATTTATTGGAATGTTGGAATCAGAACTCCAGGATGGATAAGGATCATGATAGTTATCGAAGACGTCATAAACACCTTTCTCAACAAACTCCTCACCACTTAAGTTAACATTTGAGGCTTTAGCACCATATATTTCGGCAATTCTGTTAAGATCTCTCCATCGACCAGAGGTAATATGGGGAGTTTTAAAGGCACTAAAAGGCATTGCGGTTCGATCTGTTAGAGCTGAGGGAAACGCCAAAGCTGCATCGCCATAAGCTAGAGAAAAAAAAAAAGCAGTTCATTGTCGTTAGTTACAAGTCAATTTCTGCAGGAAAACCCATTGGCCATTGGCCATTTTCAAGATGAAAGATTTCCAAAAAAGCTTTAAAGCTGAATGAAAGACATAGGTAGAGCAGGTGGACGATACTAGAAGCAGATTTGCAATTGCGGTTTTGGAATTCTGGGGAGTCAGTGTACTCTGAGGGAGTAGCAGAATCAGATTCGGCAGCAGCAGCAGCGTCGTGGAATACTGAGACAGCCTCCATATCAACCGAGAAAGCTGAGGCAGACGACATTACTGAACAACTTGAGATAAACAGCTTAAGGGTTATATTAGAGTAGTATATCAGTCAACAGGCAACAACCCCATCTGCTCCAGAGAAGATGATCAGAGGCTCCGATGGCAAACAGTAAAACGTTGCCCAAACCGCCAGTGGAGCAAATGCACGAAATCCAGCAGCGGAAGCACCACAAAAGCAGCTCTTCCACCATCTCGGTCACCTGACCTGATTATATTGTTTTTTTTGTGGTTTTTATTTGCCAGTGTTTCTCAGTTTCTCAGTTTCTCAGTGCTCGATTTCAGTTTCCATCTCGACAAAATGAATTTGGGAGTAAGGAACAGCGTCAATACCCTTGTGTCTTCCCCTGTCTCGAGGGTTTTTGTGAGATGGTCAGCCATTACTCGAAGAGTCAAAATACCTGTGCAGCTATTGAAGAACTTTGAGGGAATCGGTGTAGCTGGTGAAATCGTGGAGGTTAAGCACAGTATTATGAGAAATCGCTTGCACCGCTACAATGGCGCCATATACTTGACAAATGGTCGAAAACCCATAATACCTGTTGTGGATAATCCTAAGATCAAACTTATGGAAAAGCTTAAAATAAAAGAGCAGGAGAGGTTGAAAAATGAACAACTACGAAAACAACAGCTAGCTCAAGAACAGCTCAAGTTGAAAAAGATTGAAATCGAGCAGAAAAAGGTTGCAGCTCAAAAGTTGTTAACTGGAATTATGTTTTCCAAATCTGAATCAAAGAAGAAAACCTCTATCGAAGCAGCTGTTTCACCTGAAACATCTGAAACATCCGACAGTAAGACTTCACCTGATTCAGCCAAACAACCAAAAGAATCGGAAGACTCAAATCAAGACCATGTTAGTATTAAGATAAGTCGTTTAAGAACTTTACCTCCATCGTTGTTGTTTTTGACAAAGGCCAGAGAATCTGGATATTTGGAGAAAAATATTACAAAACCAGAGCTTGTCAAAAGATTATACAACATGACCGATGTGAAATTAGATGAAAAGAATATTTTAATTTATTACGGAGAGAAGATTGCTGACAGAGCCGATAAATTGGATGAATTCGATTTTGTTGGTTTATACACAATTTCAATTAATCTATCGGGATCAAATACTAGACGTCAAGTCTTAATTAAGGCCAGAAATCTTTCTGCTATCAATAAACTAGTAAGGCCAACCACAAATGCTGACAAAAAATGATTGTTCTAAATAATATCAATTTTTTTGGTTTTGTTAAATTGGATTCACACTTGAAAAACTTGTATATATTTCAAAATTACAATATACATTCTTTTAGTTTTAAGAATTATTGCTTATGGTATTATTAAATTGACCATTTCTCTATTATTGAATGAACTATAAATGTATTTTGTGGATTTCTCACTTTTACGATTCTATCAAGAACAAACTTTCGCTTTTCAACATCCAATAATGAAAGAGAAATATCAAATCGACGAAATTTAGAAAATGAATCCATAAGCAATAAAATATTCTGGTTTATCGATTCTTTTCCATTAATATAATAAATCACTGCATCCAAAAACTTTTCCAAAAATTCCGAATCAATTCCAGCTTTCAGAAATAAGCTTTTAAAGATATACAAATCTATTGAAAATATGTATTCAAAGATTTGAGCATCATACTGGGATCCATATCTTGACAAAGAGTTGAGAAAATAAACAGTTGGAGTTTTTGGAAATTCTAGTTTATCTTCTATAAAAATCTTTCTAGTATTATTTTTGCTTTTACTGATAACAGAAACTAATGAATCTGATTTGAAACTATTTTCATCAGAAATACCATCAAAACCACTATTATTCAATAAACCATTTTTTATAGTTTGAAATTGACCCAGAGTCTTTGAAACTCCAGTTTTATTAAAAGCAATATTTATTAGCTTTTGATACTTCTCCGGTAGTGTATCAACCACTTGAACATCTAATTCCTGAATTTCGCTATTTTCTTGCTGAAATTTAGATTTCTGCTTAGTTTTTGAAAGAATTTTCAATTGCAACGCTTTTTTTTCATTCAAAACAACACGATTTTCAGCATCAAGCTTTAAGGCTTTGTTATAACTTTCCAAAGCTTGTTCATTCTGCTCGATCTTTGATAAAGCAATTCCTTTTCTCCAAAGCAATTTGACATTTAAGTTTCTATTATTTCCATTATTAACCACAAACAATAGTCCCTTTTCACAATCTGATATCACCCTTTTCCAATCTTCGAGCTTGATGAAGCACATTGCCCTGTTGGAATAAAGTACAGGATTTTGAGGATTGGTCCTAATAGCATCCCGATATAATTTGGCAGCTTTCTTGTACTCTTTATTGGAAAACGCTTTGTTTCCTTCTTTTTTCAATTCGTCGGCATCCATTATCGATCCATCTGTATTTTTGAACTGTTTCAGCTGATCCATCATTGAATTTTATGTTCGGATCATATTCCACTGGATTCATCCAATTAAGTCTGTCATCCGTTGTAGATCCTTTAAAAACCTACAACGGTTCTTCTCGTGGGCAGACGGATTTCAGCGGATCAGCTTCACTAAACAGGTGGATTGAAAGTGCTGTAATTTTTTAAAGGTTCTTCAAGATAGCAATTTTCGCTTCATCACTTTATGATCTCTGTTTCAAACAATGCTATAGATTTTTAAATCTTTGGCTGGT